TTCTAACTTTCTCTATAATTATTTCTAAATTAATTATTTTTAAAATAAACTTTAGCTTTAGAAAAAATAATTTCTTATTTTTTTCTAATAATAAGTCTTTAGATATTATTAAAATAGAATATTATATTAGAATATCTTTTCTCTATATTATTCCTATTAAGTTTAAACTCTTATTAGAACTAACTATAGAATTTAAAAAAAAAGATCTTTATTTCTATATTTAGTTATTATTTAATAATAACTTAGAATTACTTAATCTTTCTCTTTTTAATATATATATTTAGAAATATCTAGAAATAGATCTAATTAATAAAAATTACTTTTATAATTATATAAAATATTCTAAATCTAGCTATATTTTAATTAGAATTCTTTATTTTTAAATAGTTAAAAAGATAATAAAGATATTTTTAGAGTTTTTATTTATATCTATATCTATTTATTCCCTTAAGATTTTATTTTCTACTAATTTAGCTTTTAAATCTTATAAATATAGTAAAATTAGTTTATTTATTAATATAATTCCTAATCTTTAGATTTTTAAAATAATATATTTTATAGAATTCTAAATAGTTCTAATTATATATTAATTAATTAAATTCTAATAGATTAGAGTTTTAATATTCTATTCTTTTAATAACTAAAAAAAAAAATATTTAGAATTAATTTATTTAATAAATATCTTAATTAATTAGATTATAATTATTATTTATAATAATCTATCTTTTAATATAAAGTTTAGATTATTTTTAAGAAAATTAGTAACTTAGTATATATATTTAATATTAAATATATTAAAGTAATTATTTTTTAAACTAGCTCTAGCTAATATCTAGCTAGATATTTCTTTTATTACTCTCTCTTAAGCTATTAAATTAAGTATTTAAAATTTTATAATAATAGAGAATTACTACTATTTATTATATTTAGAACTAGCTATAACTAGCTAGAGTATTATAAATAGATTCTTAATTATTAACTATAGAGTAACTATAGTTAGATAGCTTATAATTAAAACCTAGATTTATAATATCTTTACTTATATATAAGATAATATAATTCTTAAAGCTTAAGTTCTTTCTATCTACTAGCTATTTATAGCTCTTTTATAGAGAGCTCTATATAGTCTCTATCTATAGTATAATAACTATATTAACTAAAATCCTTCCAAGACCTCTAATAATATAATATAAGGCCTAAAGGATATTACTAGATTTAACTATATTTTTTTTTATTTAGTAGGATTAGCCTATAGCTTTTATAGCTTTGCTAGAGAGGCTTATTCCTAATAGAGGTAAAAGCGATAGACCGGCCTACTACTAGCTTCTACCCTCCTTATTTACCACCCTCTTAGGTATTTAATATTCCTAATATAAAATATTAAGTTATAGGGAATATTCTAAAGCTAGATTATATACCGATTAGCGCTATAAATAACTCTTGAGAGTCTGTAACCGGGATTAATAAAAAAAAAATACAAATTACCTATAGCCAGCTTTATTTCTCAAAGCTCCTTTGTGCAAATTGCGACCGGTTTGCCTCTCCTGTGCTGTTGCCCCTGAACTTAGGCTTTACTCTAATTAGTTAAGCTTCTTCTCGCTTTCTGATTAGCAGAAACCTACCCTGCTCTTGATTTTTCTGGATTTTTTCCTGTAATTTTCTTATCCTCCCCCTTGATTAGTTAACTTCCCTTCTGTATCCTTTTAGTACTTACTCTGCTTATTCCCTGTAATAATATTAAATTCTTCCCTAATTATCCCTCTCTATACTTTACTTTATTAGGTACTAGGCCTGGATATAAATTAGTTTTTCTATCTTATAAAATATATCTTTTTTCCCTATATATATATAATCTATAACTTTAAAAATAAATTATTATCTCTTCCTACTTTTAGTCTTTCTTTATTTAACTATTACTATTATATATGATAGGTTATTTCTCATTAAGGCAGCTCAGAGCTATCCTGACAGTCTCCTCACTGAGCAGCTCGAGCCTTGCCTCCGCAGCTGCTATATCGACGGGGATTCTATTGCTGATTACATCTGTCTCACGCGCTTTCGACACTAGCATAATGCTATCGAGCGATGTACAGCGCGATAGCTGAACGTATAGGCTGTATGGGTCGCACTGGGTCGATCCGCTTCCTTAACAATCTCCTATATCGTTTCCCAAGTCGAAGTATAAGGCGCCCGGCAATGGATACTAAAGGCAATACAGAACCCTCTCCTAGCAAAAATATCTGCCAGTTCCACAAGATCCTTTGTTAGGTTATCATATAAGGGTGTAATTTCCTCTGCATTTGAAGAATAAAGCTTTTTTACTATTAGCTATAATGCTATTATAACTACTCAGGGTTTTCTTCACTTTTTTACTAACCTGTAATATATCTGTTCCAGCAGCCTTCATTACTTCTAGCCACCCTCGTGCTCGTGTGAATGTATCGTCTTATTCCTTATTGCAGTTCGAGAATTGCGAATAGCATGTATCTGACCCAGGCCATGTTGCAACCGTTACTCCAACCACAGGCTATCAATGTCTTATTGAGTTGCCCGTACGTCGTGCCTAGCACTCGTGAGCTTTTAAACGTTCGAGTTCCATACCAAGCTATGTGGGGGTCTAGCGACTAGCAAATTGGCCAGCGACTCGCAAAAAAAAAGTGACTTAGTGCAGCAGGCAAATTAGCGGGCAGTGCAGGTATACTAGATTAAATGCAAGTCCTCTGATATATGCAACGATACAACGGGATAACTTCAAATGCCCCATCTTGCAAATGACACCAACAGCTATAATTGGCCAATTGTATAGAAATAGCACGTGATGCTATATGACGAAGCCAATATGGTCTAGCGGCTTGAAATAAAACGGGATATGCATCTAAAGTGGTGTCTATATCTGAGACACGCTATTTCAAATAGTGCGCTCAGTTCCTTTTTTTTTGCGAGTCGCGTCGCGTTAATCCCTCCCCCGAAGGGGACTTGATAATTTTGAACCCCCCAAGTATTCAGTTTTACCAGTCTATTCTAGTTCCAAATAGTCTGACTCAGGCTGATCGGAATTGATTGATTTAACTGTTATTGTATTCCAGTTCTCATTCTGAATGGTTTTATTTTATTTAGCCTACTTCTTTATTGTCTAGCCCTAGTTTTTCTGGTATGCCCTGGTTGCTTCACTCCTGTATTTTAAGACTGGGTTGGAAAGTTAGGGTATATGTACTCGAGACGGTATTGGAGCCCTCATCTCCGCGATAGCAAGGCGACAAGTTTCGGGGAGATCGTGCCTGTCTACTAAAGAAACTTTTATGAACAGAATAACTACAGAATCTGCCCGATAATAGTTTCTTGCCGATCTCGACAGAGCATTGGAAATACTGTATTGATACCAGTATTTACAATGAACTGCACTGTGGCTAGGTATCCCATCTCCTGGATACATAGGCAGCCGGGGTATAATAGATTGTAGGTACTGAAGAATACTGCTTGATCAATGGGCACAAGAGTGAAGGTGATGCTCAGTCAGTGCGATGCCGTCAACGACCCGCATGGAATTGTACGGCTTTAATATAGGAACAAGCCGGTTCGCTGATGAGACTGGCCAGACAATAGAGAATATACTCCTGTCTCCACTGTGCTGAAGTCTGGAGAATGGCTTTGTCTCTGTGTAATATGTCTGCGGGCATCTTTTGAAAAGCGATGAAGCTTTGGTATTTATTCTCATTCTGGCACATACTAAGACCTGTCCGGTAGTATACAGAAGACTTGAACCTAGCAACTATAGGATAAGATATATATACGGGAAGGGCGTCCTCGAAATTTCTGATAAATGAACAGAAGGCTGTCTCCGGATGCAAATACTCAAGGACAAGTTGATCTGTAAATTTGGTGGCTACATGCGTCCTGGACTCAGCTTTAAATGTGTTGAAGTAATAATACGGCCCATTATCACTCCGGTTCCTAGTGGAACCGTGAACTAGGACGGTATGGGTGTCCGCCAAATACCAGATGATATGACTTGGTCCTTATATAAATCTGCTTCCCGACGCTTGCTCTCGAGTACGGGATTGGCCGAGTTCCATGTCGGCTCGCACCTAAGCACATCAGCAAGTTGCTCGACAGCACGGATATGTGGTTGCGATAATTGCGGGATAGAAGCTTGGCCTCTTTGACTTCTACCAAGATGAGTGGCCATGAGGAAATAGGACTAGTTGTCTCGTCATGGTAGGCTACAGCTATAATCTCGCCTTAAAGGACAGCCTTTGCGCCACTTATTTCATCAGGGGTTGATCTAGCTGTTGGACAGCTGGTTTAGGGGGCAATCTACCTTAGAATGAATTGTGTCATTGTCACGCTCACCCGGCTTCTTACTCTTCACGTCACATTCCGGCACTTCCGACCTCCCGATGCCATGCGCAGTACGAGAGCTGTCCGTTCTCAGATTATTCGATCGGCAGTCCGTGCAAGCCATTCATATGTTGATCAAATAAATCTTTCTTTATTCGGTAAGATTATCAATGTCACCGAAGTATCACGCTACACTTGATAGAGTAAAATGAGACATAAGAAGAATTTGTAATACTATGAATGAAAGTATGTTTTACGCAGTACTCCTTGGCAAGCACCTATTTATACGCTTAATTACCTCTAGTGTGCTGAGGAGTTCAAACCTTGAGCGGAGACTTCCTAATTGAGGTTTCCCGAGAATATCTACTATGCAAGTGTCAATGTATTATTAATTAAGGAATGTTTAGAATAAATTAAGAATATACTATTAATAATATAGAGGAGCGCCTATTTATTTATATACGCAGTCTATTTTTCTATATAATAGTTGCTATTTGACTGCTTTTTTTTGGAGGGGTATTTCAGTATTCTATTGCTTCAGTATTCCATTACTTCTTTATTCCATTGCTTCGCTATCCCATTGCATTTTGCATCCTGCTTTCTTACTACATTTATATTCGTTATTCTTCTTCGTCCAATTAAAAGTTCAAGAAACAACAACAATGTCAAGCTTTAAGCAGCTCTATCTAGGAGCAACTCTCCTACTCAGCCTCACCCACCAAGCCGCCTGCAACCCAACCGAAGAACATGACTTATCGGTCAGGTTTGGCGTTGCTCAAGATCTAGACGCACGAGATATCGAGAACATCAGAGCACTTGTTGAGCGAGACCTCGAGATTCGCCGGGGAGGAGATGGTGCCGGTGGTCGTGGCGGCAAAGGTAGCTCAGCAACCGTTACCGATGGCTTCCCTGGCTATACACCTGGTGGTCGTGGCGGCGGCAAGGGTAGAAGAAGCCTTGAGATTCGCCGGGGAGGAGATGGTGCCGGTGGCCGTGGCGGCAAAGGTAGCTCAGCAACCGTTACCGATGGCTTCCCTGGCTACACACCTGGTGGTGGTGGCAGCGGCAAGGGTAGAAGAAGCCGTGAGACTCGCAAGGGAGGTGGTGGTAGTGGTGGCCGAGGCGGTAGCAGCGGTGGTGGAAAGGGTAAAAGAAGCCTTGATATTCGCAGGGGAGGAATGCTCAATTCGGGCATAAGGCGTAAATTCAATTAAGAGGCGGACAGTGGAGTTAAACAAACGCGTCTCTCGCTCTATTGGACACTTTGTTAATGTTTCGCCATCTCAAGCTCATCGAGAGCATGTACCATATACAGTTCAGGTAGAATTTTAGCTTGCTGAACTACAGCAACAATTTAAGTTTTTATAGTTACCATATCCTTCGTCTATATTTTGATGTCTTGCTGTTGAAGTATGTAAATTATCCCTGAATAACTAAGGATGTTATTATAGCAGGCCAGTGTGATTTTGCTATAGTTCTATGTTTAGTGGGCGGTCCTTGGCGGTGGCTTATATCAAGCATCTGTTCTGACACAGTCAGCTAAGAGTATAAGTGAATTGCTTCTCCTTTTAGTGATCGCATCCACGAGGGGCCTGAATGCTTGTATTACTGTTATAAAAGCCAACATGAAGGCTGGATTGGGAGCTTGGACTGACAGAGACGAAATTTCTCGTCCCGAATCTGTATCCATGTTATCCCATTTCGAGCGATGAACGGCCATGGAGAATCATTTAGGGCTAGTCCCCGAAAAAAGATTTATATTGAATAAATTAAATGCTAAAGGTAAAGAAATACGATACAAGAAAGTAGAACTATAGATCGTATTCGATGGCAAGCTGATCACGCTTTCTCTTCGGGCCCTTCCCCCGTTGTCTTTCTTAGGGTCAGGGGGGGCAGGACGATCCTTCTTCCCTGGGCCACGGGCAAATAGATACTTGTCTTCCTCGTATATATCACGCTCGTAAAGCTCTTCAAGAAGATTACAGGCCTCTAGCTCGCCTTCTTTATTACGCTCCTCCAGCTCGGCGGGAGTATTACAGGCAACAAACTCAGGAGTACTATCAGACTTAATACTGCGAGTAATAAGATTAGTAGCTTCAGTCTTAGCAGCTAGTCTGTAAGCAGTAAGGCTAAGAGACAGAACAGCTATAAAGCTAAGGTTCTTATAAGTAACTATTATAAAAAGCTAGTATAAAGAATTATTCTAGAAAAGGTTCTAGAAAATAACTAGTAATTTAAGAAAAGATAAGGATAAGGAATAGAGAAAAGGAAGAAAAAAGTATATAAAGAAAGATAAAGTAAGAAAATAAAGAATAGATTAAAAAGAATTATTTTTATTTTTATTTTATTTATTTAATAAGAAAGAAAAGTATATATTATTTAGATCAGTTCAGACTTTATATATTTTTCTTCTATCTTTCTTAAGAGTTCTATATTTCTATATCTACTCTTTACTTAGATATAATATACTATTAGGGTAGTTATACTATCTATCTATACTTTTCTTTCAGGAGGTATAAGGTAAGCTTTAGGGATCTTAGAAAATAATTATAATATAATGAATACCTTTAAGAGATAACTAAGCGAGCCTAGTTCCTCTGATACCCCCAGTTCCCTCCTCCCGATTTTAGCAAATCGATTCTTCGATAGCCTGCCGAACCGCTCGGGTAACCGAGAAGGAAGCAGCTAAGGGCGGAGATACAAAGGGCTCTAAATAATTGGACATCCAACATCCCAATTGCTCTCAGATCCTATGAAAAACTACGGTAAGCGAAACAAGTTTTCCACTTTCGTGCTTTTACTAATGTACATGAAGTTACGAGCGGACGAGCCTGACCCAGCGGATGGGATGGGAGACTCGCCACGCCTGGCACCAGACTGACTGGAATGCTGTTGCCTCAAACCCTGAATTTCTGAAGCTGCCTCAGCCAGCCTGGCTGCTTGGCGTTGATGCAGTTGAATACGCCGAGGAGAACATCGAAGCTGTGAGATCTCACTTGCTGGATGGAGCGTCGTTTCAGTCGAAAAACGTGCCACCCGGACACGTTCACGAAGATTGGAATATTGAAATGATGCTATCTCATGAAGGCAAGAAGGTGGATGAGGATTTTTACAAAACCAGAGAGTAGAGAGTTGTTGTATCGAATGCAGGTCCATATTCTTCTCCTTCTACCATGATGAGCAAAATACTGTCACTAGCAATGATCGAGGACCTTTGCCTCACTTTCAAACGTTCATGAATCAACATAATGTTGATATTAAGTTTTGAACTTCAACAGATATCACGGAAGATGCCATTCCGTGCGTTGTGAAGGGTCTTCTTAGTGCCATACCTATAGCCGCAGATTTTCAGGGCGCCTCGTAATTGAGTAGTTTCATCTGGGCTTAGACCTCGAGTGAACACCGTTTGCTATATTAAAATACTACATTTGATATTCTGCGCTATGATGTCGCTAGTTAGGCATTTATTTGAATGAGGCTTTGATAAACTCAGGCGTGAAGTTTCCTTCGCTGTCAAGGTTCTCTTGGGCGTCACTCCAACTCTTTCGAATAAACTCTTCACGGCTCTTACTGCGAACCTTGATCGTACATCTGGAGATGGTTAGAAGATTTCACATTGATAACTTTCGGGTTTCAAACTTACTCAAAATCCTCCGGTCGTACAATGAGTCCGGGAGTTACCGCGTCTCGATTAATGGGAATTATTTTCCCACTTGCGTCCCGGGCTCGGTAAAAACCAAAGCCCCAGAGCAAGCGAGATACTACGATAAATATATTCCTTTCGGCTACATGGAACCCTGGGCAAACTCGCCGTCCAGCCCCAAACGTGAAATGCATTCGGCGAGGAGAATCCTGGTTGATGGAGTTATTTTCCACCAAAGTTGCTTCAGGTGCATACCGCGTCGGGTCGAAGTCGCGAGGATTGGAGGAACGATCATGATTCAGGGTCCAAACCTAGGTATACATCAACACATTCAGCCTCACTAACGCTTGTCAAGCTTTGGAATGAATACAATTGAAGTATTTCTTACATTTATCATCATCATTGATCCCTTCGGGATAACCATCCCATTGTAAACGTCGTCTTCTTTAGCAGCATGTGGGACCGCCGCACTAATAGGACTCGGTGCACCTGATGTATTCAGTACATTGACACTACATGAGGAAGACTTGAGCGATGCTACTCACATCTAAATGTCTCTTCCACTATCCCACGAATATAGGGGAGGCGGTCGCGATCGTCTCATTGTGGTAACCGATCACTCCCGATCACGGCGTCGATTTCTTCCTGCCCTTTCGCTTGAACATCAGGAAACATGACCATGGCCTGTTCTCCGGTCAGATTATGTGATGAATCAGTCCCAAAACCGGGTTGTCTTTCTCACCTTTATAAACCCCACAAGGGTATTCGCCGAAGTGTCCCTTCGGGTTGTTAGCATGGGATATAAAATGTATTTAAGCTTTAATCTCACATTGCGGCCCCGAAGCCATGTGCTGCGTTGTTCGCAATTTGGCGGTCATCAAGCCGGTCGTGGTCTTGGTCCATTAACATATCGCGGATAAAACCTGCGCTGATGTTAGAAGGCGACAATTAACAATGTCAGTATGGAACTAACTGGGATGAGCCTCTCCAGCTTCCAATTTCTCCTTTGCTTTTCCCAGTAGATCGTAAAATACTCGGTTTTCCAGTTTCTGAAGGTTTTCAAGCTTTCTCTTATTGGGAAGCACCCAACTAGGAAGGACTTTATAGAGAATACGCAGAGAAGGATAGAAGTCAACAAGCTGAAAGTTTAGAGCATCGGAGGTGACTTCCATCCACTGTCAATTTCTTTATTAGTGTTCTAGGCGCTCAATAACAAAGGAAGACCAAAATGGGGCTTAATATATACTTCAAGAAGGTCTTTGACGTAACCTGTGTTGGTGTAAGGCGTTCTCCACCCGTACAGCACAGTTGTTGAGATACTGGCAGTGTATCTCTGGATATGTTCCAGCCAAGCATCTGGGCGGTCAACAATGTCATCTAGAAGCTGCAGACTATCGCAGTGCTGTTCAGTGATCATGTAAGTTGGTCATCTTCTTCAAATCTAATGCAGACATAGGAACTCACTTGATAAGGGAGGTATCTATCGGCGGACTTTACGTTTAGGCGGACGTGATACATCTTCCTCTGGCGACGCCATATCTCGTCATTACTGACACATGATCAGTACTTCTCGATTCATATTGGATGACATACTCTCTCAGTGCGATATTGAGATTATCTCCAAACTGTCGAGCATATAGATCTGGGCGACACGAATAATTATTGCTTCTTTTCTCCAGCAGATCACAAAATACAGCGGGATCATTGAGGAGGAACATGTTCAGGTTTCCCAGCTTCATCGTAGCTATAGGGCCATCTAAAGCTTGGTTAGCGAGGGACTTTCTATGGCCAAAGACAAAGGGGGTAGATTCATTGATGGGCCAACTTTTGAAACTCAAGATGGAAGTTCTTGGTTGGCATCTGATGCAAGTTGCCGATAATAGGTAGCGCCGGAGGTCCTTGGAGATCAGTCAGCCTAGTTCCTCATCTTCAATCTTCAAATTTGTCAAATCCATGCGTACCAGGCGGGAAGCCCTCTGGACGATTCCTATATCTCAAAATCCTTGGCAGCACGTAAAGGCTACATAGCAATGCTATAGTGCAGTAGATTAAAGTAGAATGCTCTTTGGAGATGGAAATAATTGCCATGGCGTATTGCAGTAGTACGTAACACAAAACCTATCGTAGCACTCTGTTCCCATATCAGAGCTTCTGCTCAGAGAGGCGCCTTTGATGTAAGGGAATCTCTTAATAACGACCCGTGATCTAGGAGCGGACCGTTACTTCCGGATCCGGATACTATTTCACCATGTGCCATAGGATTTCCCTGACATCGGGATGTGATTAATAAGATGCCGCGGTCCCCCGGGTGTCATGTAGCTAGGCCCGTGGCGGGACATCGATCCCATTATACTTCAAACAACTGAACAGCCCTCAAGTTCCAGTGTCCCACCCGAGTATGCAAAGGGAAACGGCGTATCCCTAGCAACTCAACTCATCAGTCGCATCAACATGTCTTGGCCATTTTCGACTTTGGGTAAAATCGTGGTAGTGACCGGAGGAGGGTCAGGTAAGGCCTAACACATCTACCAAGTCGGGCATTACTGATATAAAAACCTCCAGGGATTGGACTTTCCTATGCTGTCCTCGCTGTGGCAAACGGAGCTAAATCAGTCATTATTGGAGACATAGCACTGACAGATGAAGCCCAGAAGGTTGCGGTCAGAACAGCAAACCTAACATTTCAACACTGGGCCGATTTACAGCGTTTGATTGATGTTTGCATAACCAAATCTGGTGACGTTCCAGATATTTATGTGGCATCCGCGGGCGTTTTCGAGCCAGTGAGACGACCAAGCTCTCAGTATTCCGGTCAATGATGCATTTGCTAAGCCTCCACCGTAAAACTACAGCCGTATTCCAACTTCTGGGAAGATCCTGAGCCACTTGACAATAATGGTTACAAGCATGTCGACATCAATGTCAACCACCCAGTGAGTTTATGATTGGGAGGTAGTGAGGAGAGTTGTTGACATAAGTTAATGGTCTTTCATAGATAAAGTTTACAAGACTCGCGATGAGAGCGCTTCTTGGGAAACAGAAACAGGGCGTCGTGGCCCTTGTCTCCTCCATTTCTGGATACAGCAAGCAGTATTCAGCTCCCATCTATAGCGCAACAAAACATGCAGTGGTTGGATTTACGAGAAGTCTGGGCGATGCACAGAGGCTCCAAAGCGTCAAGGTCATCAGCATCTGTCCAGGGTAAGTCAAAAGATAGCCGCCCAACTTGCAGCCAGTCCTAACGTTATCATTTGGTAGGATTGTGAGTACTCCCATTTGGACAACAGGCACACCAGGCTCTGGGGAAAGATTTGGTATTGTCGAAGATATTTCAATCACGCCGGAAGTGGTTGCAAAAACAATAAGCGAGGGAATCGAGTCTCCTGAGTATCCCGGCGGAACAATCCTTGAGGTTTCTAAATTAGGGACCAGAGTCGTGCCGGAATGGTTCATCCAGCCACCAGGTATGGTTGATGGTAAAATGCCAGAAGGTACCGATGTCGCAGAACATATGCTTGTCAAATCTCTAGAGCCTATCATGAGCGTCACAGAGAGGGAGAGGGGCAAGATGGCTTAAAAACATGTATCGCTACGAATAACTAGTTCGCTCTTGATTCCCACTGCCCAGTACAAACAAATTAGTTATGCCAAAAGTCAACGGAAGGAACTTTCATAACCTTACTCCACTTGCCTGTCCCCTACTGCTTCTTGTTTACCTTGACCGCATTTTAGTAAGCTGCCGACATAACAATACGTTCCGGCCCGGACAGTCACTCCTTACGCACCGGGCTTCGTAACTCCGTAACCCCTCATTGTTTGTGGCTTGGATTACACCCCAAGCCAAGGTATCCTTAGTTCTTTAGACAATCTAGTGCTTAATTGCCAGTACCTATGCCCCTTGAAGGTTTGTTTGGCGCATCGCAACCTGAACGCACATAGCGCAGCCTTAACCATGGAATCAGATGCCCCTACCACCAAATCCCGGCCCACATCCGAGCCGCATAAAGTTCCAGATGATACTGTCCTCGTTATTGGTGGTGGGCCCGTCGGGTTAATGGTAGCCTCAGTGCTTGCATATTATGGTGTACGAAGCATTGTTTTAGAGCGCAACGCTGAGCCAACACGGTGAGATGCCCCCATCCCACATCGCAGAACAAGTAACTGAATTTGATTTTAAGATGGCCAAAAATGGACTTGACAAACGCGAGGTCTATGGAGTTGCTGAGGAAAATCGGGTTGGCAGATCAGCTACGTGAGCTAGGTACGTTGCCGATTACTGGGTTAAATGCTTATTTATATGCATGTGTTGGCTAAACTTAAATCAAGGAGTTCCAGGTGATATCCCATACACTGTCCTCATGTCGACTGGCCTAAGCCAAGATTCTGCTTTTGCAAGCTGGGATCATGTATCCGTCGACAAGTACGGAGAGAACATTGAATCTATCAACGACGGCAGCCAACCGGCGGAGCCATACTTGAGAGTATCTCAGAGTATATTTGAGACATGGATGAGAGACCTGTGTTAGCAAAATCCGCTTATTGATCTCAAGTATGGCTACAAGCTGGAATCTATTCAAGAGCTTGAACAAGAAGCTCGCTGCACAGTTGCGAAAGTAGGTCAAGGGGAACGAGAATACATTTCCAGTTATGTAGTAGCTTGCGATGGTGCTTCAAGCTGATGTAGAAAGTCCCTCAACATAGACCTAGATGGCAGTCCGACGTGAGTTTATTACATGCAAGACTGTTGTGAGATGCGCGCTAATCGGCGAGGAATAATAGCGAAGCCTCCTTCCTACTCGTTCACTTTAAGTCCACCGACCTAGAACATCTTCATAAGCAGGGAATATTTTGGCATTTATTCATGTTTGCTAAAGGCACTTTTGGTGGTGCCGTGATATCACAAAATGAGAAGGTATGCAACAATATCCAGCAATCATGTCCCATTTTACTAACCAAGTCTTTGTAGGATATTTTCACTATCCATTATCCCCTCTTGAATGGCGTCGATGAGTCTTCCATTTCCTCCGAGGACGCTATATATACAGTGCTCGGTGGATTGCACGAGCCATACAAGATTAAGATTGATGAAGTACTCTTGAGGTCAACATTTCGGCCCAGTATTGCTGTAGCCAACTCATTCGCTAACCCTGAGCTGCGCATCTTTCTTGCTGGAGACGCAGCGCACCAAAATATTCCGACGGGGGGCTATGGCATGAATACGGGTTTGGGGGATGCTTTCGATATTGGTTGGAAACTTGCCGCCGTAATCAACGGACATGCTCAGAATGGCTTGTTGAGGACCTACGAAACAGAGCGCAAACCGATTGCGTATCAGAATGTGCAACGATCAGGCGTACACATGGGTGTTCACTTGAAAGCTGTACAGCTTCTGGGTGATAGACCCGAGGTGATCGAAAGCTCGTCTCCAGAGGGTACCAGTCTCCGAAAGACTCTTACGCAGCATTACGAAGAGAACGATGGAGAAAATAAGGATATGGGCATTGAAATGGGTTACCGCTATGACTCTCCAGTTTGTCTTCCTGATTCAACAGGAACAAAACCAGATTGGGAACCTAGAGGGTATCTACCAACCACTTGGCCAGGCAGTCGTGCGCCCCATGTCGTTTTAAGTGACAAATCATCCATATTCGACCACCTTGGACCATTCTTTACATTGGTGGAGTTTCAAGACAAGGAAGCTGAAAGCAGATGGTTCATCATTGCGGCAAATGCACTCAACACACCACTTAAGCTTACTCAATTGCGAGGGGAAGGTTTAGCTGCACAGATTTGGGAGCGACCTCTGGTACTAGTGAGGCCTGATGGACACGTTGCTTGGAGGGGATATCGCGTAGATACTTTATCCCAGGCGAGTGGTATTTTGGAAGCTGTTCTTGGTTATCATTGTTGAGAATAAATGACGTTCCTTCAGCTTTTTCCTTGTACGTGTCAAGAGGCATTTTGACAATCGGATCCTTCAGCAGCATCTTAATGAGAACTAAATGATGGAGTTGTCTTCATTTAGTGAACAAAGGGGCAATCAGGGCTGTTGTGGTGTTTCGTAGTTAACTTGATAATAATTTACGTTTGTGAGGATGTAAATGGCATAAACTAATTCGCAGACTAGTGTGCTTTCTTTCGCTGAATCATAACACCCAGAGGCTCTGCTTCCTTCCATGCTTTGTCGATAATATCAGCATGTTTCTGGCTTCTTGGCTCAAGTACCGCGTGAAACCGAGCAGGAACCATCAAGAACCCAGGTTCTGTCTTCAATACAGGCTGAATCGGTACCCCGTTCTCATCTTTTCCACACTTGATGTTGAATCCCCAAAGGGTTCGCGCCATGTTGATATAGAGCGAGTTTTGGGCGAGATGCATCCCACTACAGATACGACGGCCGGCGCCATAGGCAAAATGGTCTCTCGCATCTCCATCAGCCAGATTTACGGATTCAGCAGTCGTGTATTTATCATCAAGGTATCGGGTTGGGTCAAATTCCTCTGGGTGATCCCAACGCTTCTCGTCGTAGTGAATAGCCCTGTCCAAAATGTTAATATGGTCCGCGGTTTGAGAATAAAGACGCGCAGCATACCACCAATTAAGCATTACAACGCTCCCTTTCGGGATGAAATGACCATTATACCAATCATCTTCTGTCGTCGCATGGTTCATCCCAGGCTTTGTAACAGGCCAGAATCGAAGCGTTTCCTTCACCATCGCTCGGATGTAGGGCAGGTTATCCTCGTCTTCAAACCCGGGCATTCTATCATTACCAATGACGCGGTCTAGCTCTTCTTGCGCGGATTTGGCGACGTCAGGATAGATTTGACAAGCTAATATCCAAGCATTGATGACGGTTGAGGTCGACTCGCTGCCGGCTTCCACCAAGCCGCCCGCGGCATACGCAGCTTGCTCATCGTTGATACCCTTTTTCTCTAGTCCACTTTCATAGAAATCTCGAATAACACAGTCGGGTGCCGTTCCATTTTGAATCTGTTTCACCAAATCCAAGTAAAATTCGAGGTACACTTGGCGATCGTACTCGAACCACTCGCGTCCAATCTTCCACCAATTCTGGACCATCCACGAGGGCAGACTTGCAAGCGATGGCAAGGCATCAACTAGCCAAGCTCCGGGCTCAGACATTAAAGTAAAGTGCTCAAGAACTTCGTAGATCTTCTTGATATAGCGGTCATTCCAGTCCGCAACTCTATGACCATAAGTGACTGTCATGATCACACTAGCTGAATATCGCCGATTGATGTCGTGGAATGCCATGTCATCTTTGGTGTGCAGAAACTCGTACATGACTTGTTTGGACTCGAAATCTTGGATTGGCTTGTATGTCGCAGAGGTGTTCAGGTTAAGGGCTGCGTGGCTGAGTTTCCTCAGCTTTCTCCATCGCTCTCCGTATGGCATGAATATTTCGCGGTTTTGGTTCGACGTGGCCTCAAATGCCATAGGCATTCGTGGGCGGGACGAGTACTTTGAACCTCGCCTGTCAAACAGTTCCTTGGCCACTAATGCTGAGTTGACCCAGATCCAATCGCCGACACCCATTCTGGTGTACACTATAGGACCATACTCTAGAGCCCAGCCTCTTGTAATATTCGGAATCTCATCTGGATTCGAAAGCGGTTTGAGGTTCCCAATGAATGGTAGACCTTTGGGTCCTGGAGGCAGGTGCTTTCGTCGCTTGTCGTATGTAACAATAAAGGAAATGCCCAGGATAGCCTTTCGCAGTCAGTAAGATCTTTCTAAAGCCAAGTTAAGCGAACTTACGAATGAGATGAAGATCAGAGACAGGGATTTCTTGAACATCCAAGTTAGATTCAACTGTGAAAGATAATCCATGATCCGCTTTTGTATCATCGTTACTCATTTGTCTTCCACGAATTTTAAGCTGGCTTATTGAAGTTTGCCGCCTCGTAGATGGTGATGACGAGTCTCAGTCACAACGAAGATTATATCATCTGCTTTCAAAGTCACAGAGAAACTGCCGAAAATAACACACAAGCGATCAACTCCGGTTCATAATTCACGGAAGGTTTTATTACTTTCATTCCGCCGGTTAGCTACTCTATCCGCCCGCCACGCGATTGAGAGTCTCCACCGTCAAGCACTCCTAACACGGGTGCATTTTCCCCTTGAATATTCTAGAAGTTGCCCGAAGATTCCAGATAGAACTTGCCCCAAATCGGACGTATTCAATTTCCTCCTTGCCTGATAATTTTTCGCTCGGGATTGTTGATATTGAGTATCCGCGGCATAACCGCACCGTTCTCTCCGCGGGACAGAAGAAGGCCGGAAACCGGGAATGAGCACCCGCCTGCAATGACCCGCACCTGTCTTCCGCAACTAGGTATTGAGGGGATCCTATTTGCAGAGACATCTTATTTGCAGAGACGGGGTTGATTGACATGCATCGTTTTCCTCTTTTGAGTATAGGCGATAAACCTGGCTCATACTTGGATGGTAGATACAGCATCTTCCATAGGTGGGTAGTCAAAACCAATCCCCCATCCACTGAATCAAAACCATTGAGTCGTTTTGCGTATCGTCTTATGTGTGAAGTGAAATCCATTACATGGCATACGCGGCTATACTCGGGTGCTATAGAACGTAGAGTAGATTTAGACCATAACAACTCTTGCTCGTCTCCACCATCAAGCTCTTCCTATTTCTCTTCTTTCTTTTTGAATTCCACAGATTCAGTAGCCTCTTGCTTCCCAGTGAAGTCCGCTATCTTCGTCGCCATGTCAACTGGAAAGGAGTAGTGCTCATGAACGTATTTCCATTCGCCTCCATCAACCTTTCGTAGAAGTGACGTGGAACGGAACGAGAAATCATAGGGTTCTCCATCAGCAGCTCTCCCATCTACACGCTGCACAGCCGTGATATAGCCAAAGTCCTTTGTAACTGCCACAATCTCAACCTCACGAAATCGCTGATTGGTTTTTCCAAGGTATGGCGTAATGTGATCGTAGTGAGGTTCGAGATTTGGGCGAGAAACAGTACCCATCAGGTCAAAAATGGAGTAGTCCTTCAATTCGAAGAAGTCTTTGCCTGCCGGCACATCCGTATGGCTGACATGATTGAGAAAGTTACCAAATCGCTTGTAAAATTGTAGGATTTCTTCCTCGGTAGCGGCCAGTTCCGGGTCATGATACTTATCTCGTTCAGTCAAGTAAGTAGGAAAACATCGAGTCGAGGACTACTCACTTTGCTGGGGGGGTTACTCAGATCTTTGTGGAGAGCATCCACGGTAGTGAAATCTGTCTGCAACTCCTTCAGTGAGGGTCTCATTTAACATATAGGTTACGCAGCTCACCTCTTTCTTCCAGTTTGCCATTGTGTAATTCTGTGTTTGAGTTGTTCAATGTCGCATACATCCTCCCCCCATCACCGTAGCGGGTGCAAGCATGGTCGTATCTATAGTATAATTGGCTGTGGGTGTTGTGAGGTCCTAAGCCCGGCTTTAGCACGCCCGGCCTAACGCTTCGCTCATGGCCCGCGGAGATCCGACGGGATTTATCACAGTTTATGCCAGATCACCACGAGATATTGTGAAATCACGTAATATGGGTAGATCAGAAAATGACGCAGGATGTACTTCACAAAATCAAGACTCAGTGTGATCATTATCGATTCGCAAAGACAAGTCCAGCCCAAGAACAATTAGCACTCAGGAGGCGCAACACCGTTATTTTGAGCCTCTTCAACAAAAGTCAAACGTTGGCAAAATAGCGGCACTCATACACCGTTCCTTGCCTAAAGACTAAACTCTTGAGAAGCTAATATATTATATGAGGTCATAAGACTCTCTAACATCCCTCGGGGGAGGTTTTGGAATGGTATCCAGACCCCGAGGACCAATGTTTGCTCTCTTCTTAAGGAGCCTCTCATCTCCAGCCACCAGCTGCTCGATGAGATTTTCTGGATCAAAGTCGACCCCAATAGGGTTCTCTGCATATTCTGAGGATGCCACAAACTGATTGGCTTCTTCAACCGTATCGAAGTTGTCTACCTGCGTCTCGATTTGATTGCCGTCGGGATCCTGATAGTAGATGCTGGTTGTCGGTCCGTGATTTACAGACCAGATAGGGAGGATCCCTCGAGCTTTCCGCTGTGTATATGCTGAAAGCAGATCTTGCAGGTTACTAAAGGAAAACGAAAGATGTTCGAGCCCTGCGGAAGTTGGGACTTTCTCTGACGTTCCCGGGACGTTTCCAATTGCGATGCGATGGTGTTCTTCGTCGTAAGTCAGAAATGAGAGAAATTCATTCTCAAATGTCGCATGTGCACCAAGAAAGGCCTTGTAGAATGCTACCATGGGCTTGAAATTGGAAGTTCGAAGAACGACATGCGCTAAAGCTCTCGGCGAGAGCACTTTGCTGTCCTGCTGACTTTGGTTTGGCATGTTTATCCTTAGCGAGATCGATAAGTCGAGAGAATGCGGTGATTTCCAATGCCGCGATTTTAACTGTAACGTGATGTAAGCCGTAGGGAAGAAAATATATTGAGAGTGAGCTTGGTGGCTGTGTGACTTCTCCTCACGGGAAGAAACCGAATGGGCCCAGAGTTTGATCACCCGAAAGTAACCTCCGTCTTCCGGGTCCCGACCGGGACGAGGGCAAAGGCACACGAAGCTCTGAATACGCATACGTCGAGAGCCAAATATCACGAAGATTACGGTCATTCAGTACAAATAGATGGTTAAGTTCCTCTAAATCTTACTTAATCATGTCGATTCTCTCATCACCCTTTGTGGTGGACCTTATTTGCATAGCACAAAGCAACTAGAAAGCAAAAGGAATATATTCAGAAGGCTTTTTTAGATCTCAAATCCTACTTTCCTTGGAGAGCCGTCCGGAGCGCGGATGTAATCCTGTGTCTCATTAGCCTTGCAGCTTTAGCTAAAGAAGGTGAAAGGCAAGTAGGATGATAACATACGCCCCAAACTTGATAGAGTGAAAGCTTCGGACCCTGAGGCTCACGATTGGAGATGGTAAAACGCCCAACGAACTCTCCATCGACATTCTTACCGTTTTTGAGACCCATAGTCACATGTGCAACAAACAGGAGGTCGTTACAATCGGGCGCCCGAGTATACACTCTCAGAATCTTGTGCTTCCGTGTTTCTATCGTATCCATGCATGGATTCCAGACTTTCGAATTTCTGCTCCGACTGAGTTAGATGGTTTTCTTGAGAATGCTTTCTGATCATACCGTACCGTCTAGCCCTCGAAAGGGATGGGCACCAAAGTAAGCCACGCCATCTTCAGCGAATAGTTGATCTGCCAAAATATCACCAGCATCATCGCGATTGGTGTCAACAGTCTCGAAAAAGCGTTCAATAAGGCTTTTCACTTCCACGGGGATAGTCAACCCCTCGGGCCACGTCGTAGTATCTATTCTGTAACCCATCTGGACATTTTTATGGCTCTCAACTGGTCACATGTTTCTCACAACCAAACGCAGATTTATTAGAAATTTTGTAACACGTGCGGATGGAAGCAGCTCCGGGCCCGGGACATACTCCTCGTGGCTTCCGATGGGAGCCAATCCACTAGTGGGTGTGTAGAGGGAAGATAATGCATTACTTGAAAGAAAATACTCAAAAGGTAAGATAAATACATAGTAAACTTTATTACCACTATTATTCTAATCTAAAGACTGACAAATGAACTATTCTAAGACTGTAAATCACCTGATTAATCCACACTAATTAGGGGCAAATTTTATATGTAGTAGTAGGGTCCTAGTAACCAACCATGCTCCCTTCAGGAGCCATTACCTCCAAGATCACTCCCCCTTCTTCGTCTTGGGAATGCTCCATTTCTTGACCCGGAAGAGGTAATAAAGTACGACCGTAGCAAAGATGTTGAACACAATATATGCCCACATAATGCCGAAATTACGCCAACGCTCGGACCAGGAAATCCCGACCGAAGTCAAGAATTGATCTGCAACGGAGAGACTGCAATACTGACATTGGGAGCTGTCGCCGGGGTTTATGAGCTGCCCGGGTGCTGCCTGTAGAAAGTCCGACATGTATTCACCGCATGTCTGGCCTTGCGGCGGGTCAAACACAGAAGTTTCCGTGGCGGAGCAGGTTATCGCTCGGTCGTGAAGCTGAGTACCCACGATTCCACCAATCCAGTATGTAATAGGTGATACCCGGTACATGAAAATCCAGAAACGTGGCAGCAGGTCCGGAGCTTGCATCACACCACAAAATGTGAGCGACATCATGAAAAGCAGTGTCACGATGGCGCTGGCAGACTGAGTGTTGGGTAGGGCGGCTATCGTCATGTGCGCGACTGTGCTGGCATAAATGAGAAACTGAACAAGGAAGAGCAGGACCAGACATTGACGATCGGATGTCTGGACTCCAGCCACGGGATAGTAAACACAGGCAAAAAGAAGAACTCCGGCGACAATCTGGTAGGGAACTTCAACGACGATGTTGGCAATGATGAAGGCCTTCCAAGAATATGCCTTACTAGGCCGCTCGCGGACCTCATAGAGGTCACGCTGGGTGACAAACAAGGGTTGTACCTGTGCAATCATGTTAGAAGAGGGAAGGGGTTTTCGAGTCGGGCGGCGTTGGTTCTCGACTGACCTGGTTCACCAAAGTAGTGAAGATGGTGGAAATCATAAACACTCCGAAGAGGACAATTGACATGCCAGCCAGGTCCTGATCGGGATTGAAAAATGAAAACCCAATAAACAGCCCGGCGGCAATTGCAAGAACCCACTTGGAAGCAATGTATGACGGCATCCTCCAATACTGCTGGAATATCCTCACGGTGACATGCTGAAGTTGTTGGATGAGTGGCGCTGCGAATTCTGAAGAAGCACCTTCGTCATTATTGTGCTCGACGGAGGATGCGTTGGCATTAACTGTATTCAGATGGTTGATGTGTTCGTCGACGGCTTGACGCTGTGGGCTCGCGTTCCAACATGTATGCCAGTCTTTTCCAGTGCCGCTAGTATGATTGTTCACAATGTCAAGCATGCTGACATTCAGTTAGTATCGTGTCTGATCCTGCCGCCACGCTGGGAATTTGAACTTACTACTCAGCGGGATTTTCCTCGCTATCGCACTGACGTGCTCCGTTGGACTCGAAATAATCTAGAAGGATACGTGAATTCTCACCAATATCTCCAAAGTAGACCGTCTTGCCACCTTTTGCAAGGAAAAGAAGCCGATCAAACTCTTGAAACAGGAGGGCGCTCGGCTGATGGATTGTGCAGAGAACAGCTTGGCCCATATCCGCCAGTTTCCGTAGGAAAGCGCAGATAGCCCGAGAACTTTGGGAGTCTAACCCACTAGTTGGCTCGTCAAGGAAGAGCAATAGTTTCGGTCTTGCAGCCAGCTCGACACCAATTGTCAGCAGTTTCCGCTGCTCGACATTGAGGCCCTCCCCCGGAACTCCGACAACTGCATTCGCAAATTCTCGCATATTGAGCATATCGATAACATTTTCAACGAACTTGAACTTCTCTTCCTTGCTGATAGACTTGTGTTGACGGAGAAGGGCGCTGAATTGAAGACTCTCGCGGACGGTGGCAGTGCTGAGATGCAAGTCTGCGCGGGGTCAGCGGTATTCCCACGTAGTCATGATTTCTAATAGAACTTACCTTGCTGTTGAACATAACCAGTCTTACGCTGAAAGCCAGCATCAAGTGGTCGGCCATTCACGAACATATCTCCCGTGACAACACCGACTGTAGTTCGCTGTGCAAGTACATCCAGCAGGGTTGTCTTGCCAGCACCAGAGACACCCATCAGGGCTGTAAGATTACCAGGTTTCACCCATCCAGCCACGTGATCTAGCAACCTACGAGGCTCACCCTTGATCTCAATGTCATACACTAGATCTTTCCAAGTGAAGATATCTGTCTGAGGCTCGAGATGATGGACTTGTGGTTCTTCATCACCACGAGACTTCGAAGTGACGTAACGTGCGTTGTCTTCAGTAGATTGGTCCTCGGCGGCTACGTCCGCAAAGTGAGCTGGGACATGGCCACGGCGAAACACAAGGGATTCCGAGGTGGCCGCAGTTGATGAGTTGAGCTCGGATGACACAAAGTAGACAACCATAAACGCAATTGTGAAAGCCACGAGGATGCCAAAGTTGCGCCACACATGAGAATAATAGTACCCGTACGTTGTAGCAATGTAGGCATCGCCACTCGTGTACGCTTGGCCAGCGACAGACCCCACCGTTGAACAGATCCAGGAGTCTCCCACAGGCGGGCTGTAAGGCGGTACAAGACTTCCGGCCGCGCAGGGAAACTCTCGACCATGAAACTCGTTGGCGACCAAGATCTCAAAGGCGTAGAATATGGGGTTTATCCAACGAATCCAGCCGAACCACGGATGCATGTCTGGTACCGAAATAACGTAGCCCGTATATATAACAAGAGCTAAGATCAACACTCCAGCTAGTGTCATAGCCTGCGAGACTGTCTTGGTAATTGCCCCCATTGTGCGAAACACGGCACTCATGGTGAATGTGGTGATGAAAGTAATCAAGAAGAAGAGGAAGAACGGTCCAGCTTCACGCCTGAGTCCAGCCAAAAAGTACAGGATTACGTTGAAGCAGACTGCGGTGATGAACTTGATAGGAATGTCCGAGACGACCCCTGCGATCGCTTCTGTTGCCGGATGATAGTACGCGTATGAGGCATGTTTTTCGATGATCGGTCTTTGCGAGTATAACGTTCCAATTTCCGAAACAGCACTAAGAGCGTTAAGTAGGATAGCCATGAACAGAGTAGCGCCCTTGGAAGTAAGACCAGATGTATCGCTAGGCGTGCCGTAATAGATTGAGCCAATGATGAGCGCAATAACAATGTTCACGATGGGAGGAGAGAGGGATCCAGAGAGGTCGTTCCAAATGCGCTGGTAAGCCCGCTTCGTAGTAAGTTTGATCTGAGACACGACGGATATCATGAAAGGTGATTGTGGACGGGTATGCTTTCCCTGGAAAGTAGCTTTGCTCTCTCGTAGCTGAGAGATGCCGTGGCTCTCCGGTTGCGTTGAATGGTTCTGCTCATAGGCCAAGATATCCAACTGCAGCTTGGCATATTCCGGAGATTCACGCCAATATCGCTCGAACTCGTCCGGCGTACGAGGGACGCGAGCCTCCATACCGTCGCGGGCTTGACGCTCCAATGGGTTGGTCACGGCAGTCAAGAAATCTCCTGTCGTTTGCCGGGGTGGGCAAACCCAGCCTTGTCTTTCAAAAAAGGCCTTGGCAGCATCAGCAGGCCCAAAGTAGATCTGTCGACCTTCATAGAGTACTGTAGCCTTATCGAACAGATCGTATATGGCCTGACTGCCCTGGTAAATGGCCACGCAGCTCGCCATCCTGGCCGTGTCTGAACTCAGGCGCAATGTCTCAACAAATCTAAGGGCACTGGCAGAATCAAGTCCTCGAGTGCTAGTTTGATCTGTTAGTGACGGAAGATTCGGTCTGGGTATCACCACCGGGAATCACTATCTCTAGGATACCTGACGAGGATTGACTGCTTACCTATTATCCCACGCACAAAGTGAAGCACCAGCAATCAACATTTCTGCTATACTGACACGTTTCCTTTCTCCTCCTGACTACGCTCGAGGTTAGTCTCACGTCAACTTGGACAATATCTGGAGAACAAAGAAAGGCGAAACCCACCACTCCTCGGATGAAATCATTCCCGACTTTGGTGTTGTTTGTATGGCTTAAACCACAAACAGCCATGATGACTTGAGCACGATATTGGGCTACCTCCTCACGTGTCATGCCATGAAGCTTGTGGGCGCCGTCTGCCTCACGGCATGCTGCCGCAAATTCTAGGGTCTGGGAGACGGTGAGCTGTGGAAAGTGCTTATCAACCTATTAAAGACGTTAGAAACTTGAAAACAAGCAGGGGTGGTAGAAAAGGTGGTTATACCTCCTGATTATACAGTATCTCTCCTTTGAACTCGCGAAGCATCTCCTTCTGAGACACGCCTCGATAGGTGATGGAGGATTTCTCATCGACTTGCAGACCGTGGAGTTCGCCGCAAATCGACTTCAGCAGAGTGCTGCATCCCGACCCTGGTCTACCTAGGACGACCAATAGCTCTCCGCTGTTGACCAAACCGTTGAATTGGTTGAGGATGGTCTTGGGCGCCCCCTTCTTGCGATGGAGTAGCTGCGTTGCCCGCATTGGTGCCAGCATCATATCCCCGACCGTCTGCTGCAGCTGAATAGCTTCGCCCGAACCGTAAACGCTTAGGTCCTTGAAAACAACACCAGTGTGACGTGATTTGTAGCCTCCAGCCTCCATCTGTCGAATAGCGACCTTAATCCAACGGGCCACATCAAATTTCTCGCTCTGAGGGTCCAACGTCGGATCGTCGCGAAAAGCAGCAGTGCCATGGGAATGTGTACCTGCTTCCGGGAGAGCCGAGCTCATGCGCCTGGATAATGTAGTCGCTATACGTTCCAACTCTTGTCGATCAGACTGAGCAATGAACCCAGAGACTCTCTGCGAGAGTCGAGGCCATGCAGACTCGTCATCAGTAGAGTCTTCCTCGTTGGTGCTGGAAGAATCGCTGCCGTCTCCTGAAGCCGGCGTGTCAAGAGCTTCTTGTGACTCAGGGGGGTGCTGGCTGCTGGCGTCCAATCCATGTTCTCTCATGGTGGGCGCCGCCCCTTCCTGTTCACGAGGAAGAGACATGGCGTAGCTTTGGGATGATAGGCGTGAAGAGTTGTGCTCGATAACGGGGAAAATTGGTAATGTGGCTAGAAAATGCAAATGAGATTGATTGCTCTCGAGTCGATTTCTCTATCACGAAAGCGGCAGCCTTAAGTACAGGTGCCAAAGCAAAGAAGACGGCAGTGATAACCAGCCAGATCGTCATCATTTACTACATACAAACCTAAATCTCCTAGCATGAAGCGCTATGACTATCCCGGGGGCTCCTTTTGCCGTCGTCGGGTCTAAGCCCAGGACTCGTGGCTAGTTGAGTGGCCCGAACCTATCAGTTATGTTCAAGCTGCGACATCCCATCTCCGTTGAATGTCATCCGTACACGTAGCGGCATCAGCCCGGCTGGCCGGGGTGTCCGACATCTGTCATCCCTTCGACCAGAAGCTCAGCTTATCGAGAAGTAAGCCGAATCGGGCACGTCGACAAGCCGAAAACGCGACAAACGGGACCCGAAGCGTCTCCCCGGATCAAATGAAAGCATACGGTGCGGTGTCTGCTTGGAAGCCGGCCGTATCCCACATTCCAAGTCAACAGTTGGGCTAGCGTAGGAGATGTTGCTGACCCCGAAGTCCCGCCTGTTCTCACTCAAAAGTCCCGATATCCGCTTACCTAAGGTATTGAAAGTTATGACCCGCCGTAGTTAGCACCAAAATCATAACAAGAGACCAATCAGAAATCCCCTTTACGACCGGGGACCCCGGGTGCCGAAAATTGCAATGGGCGCTTCTAACACTCCTTGTTGGAAGCTAGCATGACCGTGTAATAACAATGGCAAATCTGGATACTGCGATCTCATGGGGGCTAGACCCTTTAAGATTTCACGTCTGCCTTTTCGCTAAGAGCACGGCCTTTGTTGTCTTTCATGCTTGTTGAGAGATCAAGTAATGCAGGTATTTCTGTGCTTCGTCCAACGCTCTTTTATCTACATTTATTGAAAACCAGGTCACGATTGTAAAGCTTTGCCATTTCCTACAATGAAGGTGCTCAATCCTAGTCTGCCCTTCAACTATTTCCAACTTAGATTCGTCTACTCATCGAAAATAGCCTCGCCAATTTCTCCAAGGATCAAGGCAAGCTCAGCGAAGCTGAAGCGATGCTTGACCGAGCACTAGAAAACCACGAGAAGGTACTTGGGCGTGACCATATGTCGACTCTCAAACTCGTCAACAATCTGGGGAAGCTCTACATGGATCAAGGAAAGCTACTACATCTAGAAACAACAGGCACAACAAGGCAAGTGACGGATCCGGAACACGAATCGGCCTATGTATTGGCCTCACGAACTGCGACACTCATCTTAGCCCCAGAATCAGTAATGGGAGATAGCACCAAACCAACAACTACACCGATGTTACATGAGGCCAACCATGAGGGCGGTGAAATACAGTCCATTTTTTACGAATCACTTGAGCCAGAGGCATCTCAATGAATTGTGAATCGCTGTGATTCCAGCTTGGAGGTGCACGCTACGTCTACCCCCAGCGTTCCATTGGAGACACCCACCGACAGTTTGATATAAGACCATCGACAGTGCAACATACCATGAAAGAAAATGCCCCAACAGATCAGAATGATCCTAGTTGTTCGTCGGGGCGTTTGTTTTGGACGCAGAAAGCAGACGATTATCAAGGTATGGCAACACATAATATTGGCGGGTACCTTTCTCACTAGATCGTGGAACCTGCCCCTCTAGGACAGAATCTCGTTGAATTTGTGTCTTGTTTCGCGAGAGCAACGCTTGGGATTTCCATCAAGATGCCGCCATTACCGGAATGGAAGGAGCAGTAAGCTTGGCGTTACATACAACTGGTGAGTCGTGGTGAGTCATCCAATGGTAGAGTCACGTAGATCGAAAGATTCTTTCGTCTTTGAACAATTATAAACTAAATCTACCTTAGATTATAGAATAAGTTTAGCATTTGTATGTTCTTATATCATATACACAGTCGACCGACAACCATTAAATATGTCTGACCCAGTAGCAATTCCAGCCTCAGCGGCATATCGGATCACATCCTACACCTATAACCCCACAGACCGTGCCAATCCGCCAGAGACCCCAGACGTCACGCAAGCCACACATCGCATCAACATGGTCAACGGATGGGCCGCGATTCCCAAGGGCGGCCGAGTCCTTGAAATCGGATGTGGTCAAGGACTATGCACAACTGTGCTAGCTGAAGCCGTTGGGCCATCCGGGACTGTCGACGCCATCGACCCTGGATCCCTCGACTATGGCGCGCCTGTCACCTTGGGCCAGGCGTATGAATGGATTACCGACAGTGAGGTCGGCAGCCGGATAAACTGGCATCAGGCCACACCAGAGCAATACCTCAGCCAGACAGCGGGCGAAGGCCTGTCCTGGGACGTGGCAGTATTGGCCCACTGCATCTGGTATTTCAAGTCACCCGAGGAGCTTGGAAAGATCTTTCGAGGTTTATCTGGGCGCGTGAAGAAGATCTGCATCGCCGAGTATGCTCTGACAGCTACTGCACCGGCAGCTGTGCCGCATGTTCTTGCCGTCCTAGCTCGAGCTGCATTTGAGAGCCAGAGACCGGAGAGTGACGAGAATGTCCAAAATATTCTCACTCCAGACGCCATCAAGTCTGTTGGGAAGGCTTCTGACTGGAAGGTTGAGCACGAAGGTCTCCTCGTTCCCCAGCCTGGGCTGCAAGACGGGTTCTGGGAAGCGGGCACCGTGCACAGTGATAGTTTTCTTGAAGACGTTGAAGCTCATGTTAGGGATCCAAGGCTAAATGCCTACCTAAAGTCTTCGAGAGATGCTGTCATAGCAGCAACGTCTCTGCAGGGGGGGCTGAAAGCAGTCTTGACAATGGATGTTTGGTTAGGGACCTTTTCTAGCTAAATCAGCACGCAAAAATTCGGGCTTTGACAAAGAGAATCGCCAATCGTTCTAGGTCTTATCTACATCATTGAACATGTCTACATCATTGAACATGCGCATCACTAGGATCAAAATGGACAAGGTATGCAATGCAATCCATTGATTTTATTACTTGTTCCAGCTGGGTATTCCTTTCTTTCATTATAACCATTTTACCTAGAACAAACCGCTCGCTTCTAATATCAAACTGAACTTCCATTTACAGACCTGCAAAAGAATGTTAGATCAACTAAACAAGCTTACGAAAGAAGCAGAAACTACTCACCGAGAGCCGTAGCAAGAGCCTTGCCAACACCAGCTGCAGAGGCCGGGTTCTGGCCAGTAATGATGAGTCCATCGGTCACAACCTTCTCGCCCCAAGGCTCGTCAGCCTTGACAAAGGTAGCCCCAGCCTTGATTAGGGCATCCTCGAGCAGGAAGGGCATCGCGCTCGTCAGCTGCATGATGTCCTCCTCAGCATTGGTGAAGCCCGTCACGGTCTTGCCCTTGAGGACGTGGTTTCCATCCTTGCCCACGACATTGGCGAAGGCGGCGGGACCGTGGCAGACGGCGGCGACGGGCTTGCCGGCGTCGAGGAACTGGATGATGAGCTGGATCGACTCGATGTCGGTGGCGAGGTCGAACACGGGGCCGTGGCCGCCGGGGTAGAAGAGGGCGTCGTACTCCTCCGCCTTGCCGAGGAACTCCTTGATGGGCCTGGTCTTCTCCCAGACCTCAGACTTGGTCTTGTAGAAGTTCTGGGCGGCGTCATCGGACTTGGAGAATTCAATTGAGGCGGGGTCGAGAGGGGCTACACCACCCTTTGGCGAGGCGACGACGATCTCGGCCTTGGGTGCGAGAATATCGTAGGGATGGGAGAATTCGGGCTATTTGAATTTCTGGTCAGTCGTCGTACATTTCTAGTATCTGGGGCGATGGCGACGAACCAGGAACCAGCCAGTAGGCTTGTTGATTGACTCGATCAGGCTATGGCTGGTGAGAACAACAAGGATCTTGGGTGCCATTTTGACAGATTGGGATGTTGTGTTTTGGGAAATATTGATGTGGTCTGAGAAGAGGCTGGTAAAGGGACAGACGGTGGAGGTTATTGATTTTGAAGCTTGTACTGTTCAGTGTTCAATCAGCGTCCCCTCATTTCATTATATACCAAGTTGTTAAAATGATGTTTTGCTGCGATGACATCCTATGGCGTCACTAGAGCAGAATTCCGCTGGTGATCCTTGTTCACTGGCCGGAATCACGGAGTCTCGGAGTTCTGTGGACCTCAAGACTGGCGCGGAATCTAAACGAAACGCGGACTCACGGAGATGTTCTGGAACATTAGTATGCAAGTATGCAAGCTAGCTACAAGACAAGTTAGGACTAGGTTGTGTTATCAGCAAAGCCAGTAGAATGAAAGGGGGGGAAATACAACGAGAGACGATGAGAAGTTTAATGGAAATGCAGATTGAGGGGCATGAACATTGACCAATTCAACTGTTGAATTGCCACACTGATTGAATTTATTAAAGTCACTTATCGAATCGGCCTCGGTATGTTCGAGGTCAAGTTCATAACCTAAGACTCCAGACTCATGTTTTAATTTTAGTCACATGTAAGAAAACCGATGCTTTCAACCAGCTCCTAGTCACCTATCATCATTTCCAAGCCATTACCGCTATTTCGGCTGCTCGATTGATGCTCTTATTGTTGTGCTGGCTTCCATCCAACCTACCCTAAACCTTTGCTCACCTCTAGCTAGAGCTAACTTGTAGGCCTTTGGCATTACTGTCAACTTGTTATCTCTATTCTTTTAATCTGCATACGAAAAAACTAGCCTACAACAGCGGGTAATTTTTGGCCATTGCTAACTAATTTGCGCATTGGCACCGTATTAACCGCACACTTGAAGAGCTGATAGAGAGTGCTTTTTAGACCGTACGGTCACGTGTTGGCCAATTCAAACTTTTCAGTGTATTGATAACCCAACTCATACTACTAGAACTGACGTTATAACTAAGCAAAAAGCTATTGTAGGCACTTACATCTAGTATGTGTAGACTTGATTTGCATTAAAACATACCTGACACGATTGCGCACTTCCATTAATTTTAGGAGACAAATGTAAACGGGGAAGCCAAAAAAAGTAGGCAAGGATCTGCTTAATAAGCTTTAGTCAGCAGCCTTCACCACCTATTTCCTCAAATAGGTAATTCGTCCGCCCTGACCCTCTCTAATAGACCCGTATTTTTGGACACCTAAGCCCAATCATATTTGCGCTCCCCGCGTCAAAGAGAGGAGAATTGGGTCCAAGAATTCGGTAGAATCTTTTGAGAGCCAAGTGGGTGAAATAAAACATGGCACATCGGGATCGTTCAGCACTGAAATTCAATACAATATCACAATAAATAACCCACTATTGAATATAATATTAAGCTAAATATTATAGAGTAGTTTATTATTCTCTTATTATTCTCTTCTTATTATATTTATTTAAAAAATAAGGTCCCTGTCTCACGCGGAAAGAGCTTGGGTTGTGCCATGTTTTATTCCAGCCACTTGAGAGCATACGGTATCGGTACTAAGTACTCAGGTATGGTTGTAGATATCAGGGCACAGCAAAATAGGGATAACATTACGGGGAACACTGAACATCGAATGCAGGCGAGACACCATGATAAGTAGCCTTGGAAAAGGTGAACAGAGATCAAACGTAGAAGCATTATCGTGTACAGGCTCGCAATGGGCTTCCCAAAACTTAAGTACCTAGTCGGAATAGTGGTAATGGCTTGAAGTTGATTAAAATTGACTCGGATGAGGTTGAGTTGGAAGGCACCTACCTAGGTAGATACAATGAGGGCGAAGTTGCAGGAGAGCACAGGCGATCCTTCTCGCCCAGCCCAACACCGCCTTCCATTTTCTTGGTGCGACATGCCTCGCAAACTCTCCAACATCATCACAACATCGTCACAGCGCGTCACAATAACAATATTGTCACAACGTGATAACAATATTATCACAATATCACAACAACATTGTCACAACATCATAACAATATTGTCACCGAATATTTGGTTGCGCACCTATCGCGCATCCAACGAGGTACGTTTGATATTGCATTTCAAGCGGCATGCACTGACCTTGCTAAACAGTGTTTACCGCGGATCCTCCCTCTGGTATCTTGCGGATCTTTGTTGTCTACCGGAGTCTTTCATCGCCATCCGAGCCGGCCAGCAACATGACCACGGGGCTCGAGAGTCTCCCGGCGGAGATTTTGGTTGAGATTGCGGAAATGTGCACCTGGGACCTCGACCCTCCTCTTTCTTACTATGCCAACCCGTCCAACTATCTGAGAAGCCACAGCAGACTCGCCCGGACATCCCATCGCCTATTCGACGCACTCAATGCACAGCTTTACCAGCAGAACCTTACCGGAGATCCGCCGACGTACTCATGCGTCCTGTGGGCCGTAAATCAAGGCAGACTTGGCACACTTATTCGCGCTGTAGGCTATGGAGCAGCCCTCGATACGACAATTGAAGTAGACGAATTCGCCGAATAGTGTCCGCCGTGGGGAAGAGGAGTCCAGGAATTGGACTTCGACTATCCCCGCTATTTCTCACTGCTTCACCTTGCCGTGGGGCGCCGGCATCGAGATATTGTTGCATATCTGCTTGATCATGGCGCCGATGTCCACACTCCAGCGCGGAACGTCTGTTGTGACAATGATGGAGATGGATACTATGGCGCCCCTTTGTATCCATTACACTTTTGCCTCGATCACACGCTCGAGGGAATGTTCCAGCTTGTATGGGGGCACCTGTCATCGTCCTCCCAAGAGTCCGCTACTGATTACGGCGATTATAATCACTTCGAAGACCCTTCGCACTTTTTCACTTTCAATGAACGCCTAGGCTCTGACCATGATTCGAGGGCAGAAATTGCGGCCCTTCTCATCGACAGAGGCGCTTTCATGGTTGCGGAGAACATCTCTGCAATCTCCAGCCTTGAAAGAGAAGGGCAACCTGACCTTGCCGCCAGACTTTTCCCCCGTTCAGACCCATTGTCGCTTGCGGCAAGCTTGCATGTTGCCGCCATGAGGAATGATCTTAGCCTTGCACGCCAACTCATACAGCGCGGTGCCGATGCTGCAATCACGGACTTTGAGGGAGTGACGGCTCTGCATTTCGTTGTTCAATCATGTAAGGACGGCCTTGAGCTGGTTCGGATGATTCTGCAACAGCCTGGGGTCGATGCAGGGGCCCAGGATCGTTATTATAGGACTGCTCTCCATCATGCATGCAAAAATGGGAATGCCCAACTTGTTCGATTGTTGCTAGCACAACCAGGACTGTCGGTCGCTCAAGCCGATGATTGGGGAGCTACGGCTCTCCACTATGCTTGTCGTTGCTCGCAACAGGAGAGAGCCAAAGAGACCGTAAGGTTTCTGATCCTTATGGGGGCTCAGCTGGACCCAGACTACCCCGGTCGTGGGAATAGTCCTCTAGCCACAGCACTCCAGTACGAAAACTTCAGGACCGCCGCGATGCTTGTGAGTTTAGGCTGCGATCCGTCAAGCTGGTGCTCAGCTGTCGATGATCTTACATTCAACAAGTGGATCTCTCGAAGCTCTGAAGAGCAAATCAAGTTCACTTGCAACCTCGTTGACACTGGAGTTAACCTCGAAGTCTCGTCTGACCCTAGAAGGATGGACTTGAAGGCAACCCTGGTGTACTTTGCTGCATCTTCACTAAATGTCGAATGCATGAGAATCCTGTTTACAGCTGGGATGCGGGCTGATTCAGTCGTCGTTGATTCGAGAGCCGTTGGAGCGATGGGAGAGCTCCGCCCTAGGGATACTGAAATGACACTTCTTGTGGCCGTATTGTATCGGCTATGGGGCAGTCCAAACCGCCCTCACTCACTCAAGAAAACACTAGTGATAGCAAGGGAAGTAGTCATGGTGCTTCTGGAACATGGAGCACCACTCGGCCAAGCGCCGCTTTCGAATAACCCCACCTACATGTCTGCACTGGATTACGCGCTTTCAGTAGCGAGATTTGGAGACTCTTCTCTCATGCAACTGCTCATGGACTGGTCAACGGCGAAAAATGTCGAGAGAGACTTCCTGCAGCGCTTTATGCGTAGGCGGAGGTTTCCGACCACCAGGCTGCGGGATGGGGTAAAGGAGTTTCATGACCGCATATTCCCCCGTGCAGCTGAAATGCAAGGAGGGGACGCAAATGGACTTGATCAGACTGGGAATAACTGAGAAAATAATAACAAACATTGAAAGCTCTCGACGGCGTCACGGGATCTCCAACATACCGGAACGGATAGATGACTTTAATAGCATAGCTAACTCAACTCAATGAGTATGGCAGCTCAACAGTTGAATCGGTGTTGATGTCCCTCAATCTGCGTTTCCATTGATTGAGCAAATGTAAACCATCTAGGGCGAGTCCAAAAAGATAGGGAGAGACTTGTTGAAAAAGCTGTAGTCAGCATCCATAATTGTCGAGTAGGTATGGTCGTAGAAATCAGGACACGGCAAAATATGGCCTATGTTACGGGGGAAACTGAAGATGGAAATGCAGATGAGATACCATGGTGATTAGCCCTGGAAAAGACATACATGGATCAAACGTAGAAGCATTATCGTGTATAGGCTTGTAATGCGTTTCGCAAAACTCGCCAACGGCTTTGTTTGTAATCGGATTGGACAAGGATATGTTCTATAGTAGCAATTTGTACTTATGCGTTGACGACGGTCCCTTGCTCAGAGAGATTTACTTCTTTAATCTCACCCCCCGCAACCTGCACCTTGGCGCTTGAATTGAGCTGGCCTTCCACGATTGAGAGCTTTACGGCGCCGCTCTGAGATGTGATTGAGACCTTGGCCTTGATCTGACCAAAGTGTTCATGGTCGGGAATATCCACTACCTCGGCCATACCCTCAACTGGGTTGACAACGATGGTAACATTATCGGACCAATCGTACACGACCTTCTCCTTTGCCAGGTCCGAGTTACCCAGAACAACAGCCTTCCCTGGTCGCAGAAGTACTGGTAGGCTGAAAAAGTCATGCTGCTCTGTAACATATCCCGACCCTTCCCTGATCTTGCCGTCAAGAAGTCCGTACCACTTGCCCTTTGGTAGGTAGTACGTCACGTCGTTGTCTTCATTGAAAACGGGTGCCACTAGGAGTGAAGACCCAAGGAGGTACTGCGTGTCGAGGTGCCATGCGATAGGATCCTCTGGGAACTCAACAAGCATGCTGCGGAGCATCGAGATGCCCGACTGATGGGTCGCAATGGCTTGGGAGTAGAGGTATGGCATTAGCCTGTGCTTCCATGACACGAAGTGGGTGAGCACACGCGATGCCTCCTCGGTCGGGTCGACGAGCCAGGGAACTCGGAATGATCCACTTCCATGTAGTCGGGAGTGGGATGAGAAAAGCCCGAATGCGATCCAGCGCTTGAAGAGAGCCGGGTCTGGGTTTCCTTCAAATCCACCAATGTCATGGGCCCAGTAGCCGAAGCCACTCAAGGCAAGGGATAGACCTCCTCGCAGCGTCTCGGCCATGGCAGGAAAGGTCGAGTAAGGGTCGCCTCCCCAGTGAACTGGAAATCTCTGTTTGGGGAATGGTTAGTTCATCACTCATCTCCTGGTAGTAAAGGCTAAGAAGAGAGAGAAAGTACCTGGCATCCAGCAGTTGCCGAGCGGGCAAAAAGCGCAGCGTTGTTCTTGCCCAACGACTTCTCAAGAACCTCAAAGGTAACCTTGTTGTAAAGATAGGCGTAGTAATTGTGCATCTTCTTTGGGTCGGATCCGTCAAAGTAGACGGTATCACCTGTGGGAATCCGCTCGCCGAAATCTGTCTTGAAAGACTCGACTCCCATATCAACAAGAGCTTGGAGCTTGTCCTGGTACCACTTGCAGGCATCGGGGTTGGTGAAATCTACGAATGCCATTCCGGCTTGCTGTAAATATGATTCGGATTAGCCTCCACAAAGTTCCAGGGAATCCAGCGGTCAAGTCAGATGAATGATCATACCCAGAAATCATACTGCCAAACGCTACCATCTCCGCGCTTGACAAAGTATCCCTTCTCGGCACCTTCATCGAAGAGTTTGCTCTCCTGAGCAATATATGGGTTAATCCAAACGCAAATCTAGTTACCAGGGGTTAGTAGCCGCTCTAGAACTACTCTCTTCCAGATTTGGGAGCTTCTGCTTACGTGTTGACCGCGGTCCTTCATCCGCTTCAGCTGTCCGGCAGCATCGGGGAAAAAGTCCTGGTCGAACTCGAAATCGCACCACTGGAAGCCCTTCATCCAGAAACAGTCGTAGTGGAACACAGTGACGGGGATATCTCTCTCCTTCATGCCATCTAAGAAAGTATTGACCGTGTTCTCATCGTAGTTGGTCGTGAAACTGGTTGTAAGCCAGAGACCAAAGGTCCACGCTGGCGGAAGAGCGGGGCGGCCAGTAAGAATGCCGTATTTGTTGATGATGTCCTTGGGACTAGGTCCGTAAATCAGGTAGATGGAAAGAGATTCGCCTGGAACAGCAATGTTGACGCGAGTCGTGCGCTCAGACTGAACTTCCAGAGAAACAAGGCTGGATGTGGGGATAAACACGCCATATCCAGCGGAGCTGAGGAAGAATGGAATGTTCTTGTAGGTGAGCTCAGAGCCAGTGCCGCCGTCATCATTCCAGAGGTCGACAGTTTGGCCATTCTTGATGAACGGACCGAATCGTTCTCCCAGGCCGTAAATCTTTTCTCCAACACCCAGGGAAAGCTGGTAGGTCGTCCATCTCTCTCCCTTGTTGGGGTTGGTGTAGTTTGCCTTTGGGTGCAAGGCAGTGGTGTTCTGCTTGACATAGCCGATTGAACGCCAACCAAGAGATGTCAACTTTCTCGAACCATTCTTGAAGTCCAGGTTGAAGCTCTTTGGGGTCGTGTTGACGGATGCCGAGAGATCTCCGACAGAGAACTTCAACTCTTCATCAGTTTTCGATGTCTTGATAGCCTGAGTGTGGCCGGGCTGTCCTTCTGGGTACAGCTCAAAGTGAGGACCCGAGGTAACGCTCTTCTGACCCTTCCAGTGGGTTGAAGACAGGTACAGAACGTCATCAGTGGGGGAGCTGACATGGTGTGTCAACGTGGGGTTGTTCAGGGTATCGCCCCGATGGTTGATTGGCTTGGAGCACTGCATAGACTGTTAGCCATCCGAACACATCATCTATACATCGCTGTTTGAAGTCTCATGTTTTCAAAGGTGTAGAAGAATACTCACTGTGACGAAATGCAAATTATCCTCGTTTGCAACACCTTTGACTACCTCGACAGCCCAGTCGATAATGGTGTCTGGGGCTGGGTGCCAGCAACCGTGTGAGAACTTAACCATGTTGGCTGTAAAAATGTCTACCTATCTCACGTTCACTGCTCCTGAAGCTCCCAGAAACACGGGCTACCAGCAACGTTTTGAAGCCGTAAGATAATATATCGCAAGGACTCAGGCCCACAGGTATTGACCCCCACCGAATGCTTCGAGTTGAGGCTGTCTGACAGACTTGTGGACACTACGGTGGAGAAGAACTTCAGCCAGACTAAACTTCCGTTATATCCGAGGGTAAAGTCGGAAGTCGCGCGCGCGAGACACGAATCGAATGACCACACAGCTAGTGGCAATTACTTATCCTTGACAGATAGGATGAGAACCCCGCTTGTGGACACTTGCTCAGGGATGATGTTTGGGGTTCGTCGGGGCAAGTTCCTCCCACGCAGACGCTGAACGAGCTCTTCCCCCAAATCTTCGAAGTGAAAGCAAATGCGAGCAAACGGAAACTTGAAGCGATGATTCAGTGGTTTGTTGGGGGTTTGGAGAAGAGTTGGAAGGGACTAGGAACAGGAGTTTCACTCCGCCAGCTCCACCTTCAGCCTCTTTTTATATACGGTATTCCCGATACGACTTCTTGGCGGACAACGGTGAGAACTCGCCTACCTCCCATGTTTTCTAACTGGCGACCCATTAGTTACGGAGGCTGACCAGTAGGGAATATGGAAATTGTCTGGGGCATTTAGGCTGAATTACAAAACTCTCCTGATCCCCAAATATGACCAGAATCCCCACCTCGGAAAAGCGTCTTGTGGGAAGGCCCTGTCACGACAGCCGGGGGCATCGATCGATCTCTGCTCCATGCCGGATCCCAACGACCGTTCTGCTGGGACCAGGTAAAAAGGTTTAAGTTATTCATATCCATGGGCTGGGAATTTAGCCTGAGTGTTAGCGTTCGATTTGTCACAAGAATAGAGGTCAGATGGTAGTCAGAGCCTGGCCGGGTATTCCCCAAGGAGTACGCATGGCATTACCTACGGTTACGTCCGGAGGATATCCGAGAATGCCAGCCAAGTCATCGGGGTTCCTCCCTAGTTTCAATCACGGGGTAAAGTTTCCCCCGATAGCTTAGTATCGACGTTCACACAATAAAAAGGAGACGACCTCGACACTTGGTGATCCTCGTTTCTCCAGGTCACGGATTTCACAGTCGATAGACTAATTTAACAATTCGCCTAGCTTTCGGTTTTGAGCATTGGACATCGTTCGCAATGGCGGCGAAACAATCAGTGAATTGGTATACTTGGGGATGCGCCCTTTTTGCGGCGGTAAGTAGCTCCCGCCCCAATGCTTATGCCATCCTCGAACATCAGCTTATCTCGAAACATTAAATAGGTCGGATCATTGTTGTGCGTGAAACCTCATCTCCAAACCTCCGCTTTGTTCCTATAACTCACCAAACTCCCCATCTAGATACGGTATCGACTCTGGTGTCATTACCACTGTAATTGCACAGGAACACTTTAGCGAGTATTTCCATCCCTTCACGGCCGATATCAAGGGTGCCGTCGTTAGCACATTCAATGGCGGCGCAGTCTTTGGTGTCTTCTTCGCAGGATGGAGCGCAGACTACCTCGGCCGTAAGAAGACCATCGCCATCGCATCTGTCATCGCTCTGATTGCCGGTATCATCCAGGCCGCCTCCGTTCACATTGGTATGCTCATTGCCGGGCGTATCGTGGGAGGTTTCGCCGTTGGTATGATGAACATGACGATCCCGATTTACAATTCCGAGATTTCGCCCCCCGAGAAGCGTGGTATGATCGCAGGTCTACATGCTCAGTTTGTTGGTTTTGGTTTTGCTGCTGCCAATGTCAGTCGGATACCGCCTCTCTCCCTATTGCCCCGCGTGTGAGTTTGAGCTGACTTGATGTTTGTAGTGGGTTGGGTTCGGGTGCTCGTATGCGTCTGGTCAGTTCCAATGGCGCTTCCCGTTGGCTTTCCAGTGTCTCCCGGCCCTTATTGTTATGTTCGGCATCTATTTCCTTCCCTACTCCCCACGATGGCTGCTCGAGCATGACCGCGACGATGAGGCCCTGGCTGTTATCCGACGTCTGCACGGCAACATCGGCCATGATGACAGCTTCTTCCTCGCTGAATACAACCAGATGCGGGAGCAAATTCGCTACGAAAAGACAGTCAACAAGGCCGGCTGGCGCGAGGTTTTCAGCACTGCTGGAAACAGGAAGAGAGTCATGCTTGCTGTGCTTGTGCAGGTTTTCACGCAGATGAGTGGTATCAATGTCGTCAACTACTTCCAGACCGACCTCTACAAGGGTCTGGGAATGACAGGCCACATGCCTACACTTCTGGCAGGGTAAGTCGGTCTCTTCTTCCGATTGTCCGTGGTATCTGTTGACCTAACTGCCATTCTTTCCCAGAATCTACGGTCTGGTTGGCCCTATTGCCAATGTGATTTGCCTTTACTATGTTGATACCTGGGGACGCCGTAAGACGCTCTGGATCACCGGTCTTATCATGGCTCTTGACATGGGTCTCGTCATGGGTCTATCTGGTGGCTATGGATCTTCGCAAAACATGGTCGCGAAAGGCTTTACGATCGCTTTCATCTTCTGCTTCACTGCAATGTAAGACCCTAACACCACGTACAGTCTGTTCCAATTTACTGACTGCGAACTTTCAGCTACTCTCTGGGCTACAACTCGATCCATTACATTTACGTTCCTGAAATCATGACCATGGCAGTTCGTGCCAAGGTAAGTACTCGTCCGAAAGTTGGATTGTTGAGCATCAGCTAATAGGTGTATTTGCTAAAGGGCTCTGCAATTTCCGTCGTGTCCAACGTCCTCATCAATATCGTGTTCAACCAAGTCTCCCCGATTGCCTTCAAGCAGGTTGGCTACAAGTACTATTCGCTCTTCATCTGCACCAACCTTGTGGGCGCCATCGTTGTGTACCTGCTCTTCCCTGAGACCAAGGGCAAATCGCTTGAAGAGATTGCCGAAATCTTTGGAGACGAGGTTGTTGTCGCGGATCTTGACAAGACCCAAGCGAAGATGGCGGATACCTTGGAAGAAGCGGAACAGGTAGAGCATCGCAATGCACAGAAGTGAGCGATTTCAAAGATAGTCTCGGAAGTTTAGTCTTTCCCGACGGCAAGAGATTCTTCGAAAGAGGGCGCTCGATTTCATGAATGAATAAAGCCATAGGATGTATATAGAGTTATTAGGTTGTTTAGCAGCTTTTACTACCTGGTAGTAATTGACTAGACTCAGAATCAATATTGGAGGCTAGTACGATCAAACTTCCTCCTCTTGCTGATATTATCTTCTCACGTAGCCCATAAAACCCTCGCTACGTAGATCGTCTCCAAAATCGATCGATTAAGCACTAGTACGACTATATGATGACCCTTGAGTTGAGGTTGATACGTCGGACATTCTTTCCGTTAGCACGTAATCTTCTACTTTCTCTTCATGATTTCACATGTTTCGCCACCCCACACAGTAAGCTTTGCCAATAAGTCTCTTGGGCTTCGCGTTCTGATATATTTTACCAGATGATTAGTAAAAGGGATCTTACCCTTCTCTTGTACGTACGTCGGGTAGAGTTGACATCTACGCTCTCTACCAGACCAAGAAGTTGTTACTAACTCTTCAATTCCGAATAATGGCCATAATATAGCCTATAATGCTATGAAAAGAGAAGGTACTAAAATCGATATAACCCGATATCATTCTTATCTAAAGCGACACCCAGGCACCAGGGCACATCTTCAAGGGGTCAGGGGTTAGGGGGGAATTGGGAGGGATGAAAACGTAACATCGCCTACGAGGCGCAGCCATTGTTTGCAAAACTAATTCGGAAAGTGATCTAATCTAGAATATATCATAACGCGGGCCGCAAATTAAAAAGAGGTCGGTTGGATCCAACCGACTCTCAGAAAGTTTGCTTCTCCTCGATGCTTTTTAAAGATTGTAAGGTGTTGGAAGCCCAGGCACACCAAGCACATTTCATTTCCGCTAGTGCTTCCACACACCATAAATAATCCCGAGTAGCTTGGTGCTCGCCAACGCCTCTTCCTAACCTCAATTCCGTGAGATGGGTGATGGCTGCCGTAAAAGCTGCCTGAACGGCGACGAGCGGGACAAAACGCCGGGTTGGGGCGAAAAGAATTAATAACCGTAGAGTGGATCTAAAGGCCAAAGGCAAGTGCTTACAAAAGTGAACCGTCTTTGGTATGACTTCAACAACTTCACAATGTCCGAAGCTGACTCCCTGCAAGCTTTAGAGTGATAGGCATCATCTAAAGACTGGACTCCGATACCAACAGCACATGACTGGCTTGCTAACAGCGGCCGGTGCAGCAAGATAAGACTGCTGTGGTAATGTAGACTTATCACGTACGTTTAGTTATGATAACACTTAGTGTTGATGCCCACGGAACTTACAGAAGCTGGAAGACATGCGCATGTATGGGTGTGCACGACGGGAAGGACACTCTCAAGTGGCTCGGCAGGCTATTATACCACGCTCGCAGCTCAACGTCAGCTTTACTGACGATGTTTGCCATTGCATCCTCAGAAAGGCAGCTGTTTGGCGCGTATCTTCCTAGAGTCAACATGGCGTCGGGAGGTAGTTGTGGGTGGATATTACCGACATTTGGTCCATAGCTTCATAGGCCGTCGAGATACATTCCGTCATATACTGTCCAAGAGAAACAACTCGAGCTGGCGTAGGCTCAGGCCGAACGTCCAATGACATATGTGAGTTCGGTACCCATGGCTCATACTCCGCCTCCGGCAATAAGCTTGGCTTTGGGCACGTAATCTGCGAAACTCTCGTACATCCTGGCCTTCCGACCACAACCGACAACAATCTAGCATATTATTAGTCTACTAGGCATTGTGAGGTTCAAAGAACAATACTAACTTGTTGAGGTAGACGCAACCCCACCATGTTATCTTTCGCACCTCCGCATCGTCCTCGCTAATCACACCAGCGGCTACCCACGGTGAACAATCAATGTTGAGTCCCAAGTTCAATGCCATTCGAGTTGCATTGCCTAAAACGGTGATCATCAATATGAGCTACTCGAGGGTCGCCTGACCAACATACGGCCGTACAGCCAACCTAGCGCTTCATGACCATCCGATAAAGCCCTGAGACTCATAAGCGCCGCTGCCTGGATGGTTGCAACAGTAGGTGCCTGGCTCTCATGGAGGAACAGGACTTTTGCTTGTTCAAAAAACGCTTGTCCAGCGGTCTCGGTATCATTGGCCATAGCGCGAAGCTCGGGGCGATCTGAAAACCGACTGGCGAGAGCAAAAATCGCCGAGAGAAGCAGAGGCGTGCAGTACTTGCCGTAAGTTCGATTTTGAAATGCTTCACAAAACAACTTCTTGTGAAACAGATAGGTTGAAGGGTGCTGCCACCTCCAGTACAGTTCGAGTAGGTGCGTTGGAAGCGCAATAGGAAGCGAAACGTTGAGTCCTAGACGCTCGACAGCAAGTAGGCCATTTTGTTGAAGAGTAACGATGTGCCGGATTTCATCAGAGTTCGAGAAGTCATGGACAAGATGATGACTGCTTTGAGCTCCGAAAAAGTGCAATTGTGCATGATCTCTAATACGGAGACAGCCTGTCATTCCTGTCATTGCAGAAAGTGAATTATGATTCGCCGGGCCTTGATATTCCAAATGATCTCTATGGTAGAGGCTCGAATCTTAATTGCGCCTCTAAGCGATGAATGCGCGTTTCAAGGGAGAGAACGTAGCGTTTGCTGGGTGGCCTTTTCCATCACATTTAGTATTTTTTAACTGCTGATTCTTTTGCTCGAATATCATACTCTCTTTTGTTCTCGGTGACGCTGTATCTGCAATGGATGGCCGCGTGGTTACATGGGCTGCAATGAGGACGAACTCCATCACACTGCTTCGCAATAAACCTCCACAATTCTGATTAGAGAGTCGTTACAGGATGACTTACCCGAATTCTCTTTTGTCGGCAAGGTGAACACGCCACGGACACTCGTTGTCTCGACCTTTGATTTGGATTGTTATTCTGTCCCATCTGTTTTCGTAAGTAATGCTGCCCTAAAAGATGAAGCAATCGTTGAGACCAGGGAGGAAAAGTGGTTGGCGATGGAATCCGAAGTGGCCAACCCTACTGCTTCGAGCCTTTTCAGAAGACTGTTCCTCACGGGTGATTACCGACCACTGGATACTGCTTCTCCGTGGGCCAACATTTACCTAATATACATTCATCATACGGGTTCCAAGTCATACCGCCTACCAATACAGGCCCCACTACCGATCTCGGCGCAATTGGAGTCTTCCTAATCAACGCTACCTTAACGTTTGACAAAGCGCCCCACGGCCGGATATCGACTATCCAGCAAGATGAGTAATGGAGCCTCTGAGAGTCTCTGACTAGCTGACTTGGGGCACTGAATTACTCGTGGGTATAGCCTTTAGTTTTGCCTTTGTATGGGACGATCAAACGTGTAGCGGATCTACACTTTCCGCGTCACGGGCAACCATTATACATGGCTAGAATTTAGCTGTGTGTGAGCTAAAAGGCTTAGCCTGATTATTAAGTACGTGTTAGAGTGTGAATACCGTTATACCTACAAGGACATTGTTCTTCAGTAGATACGCTACTATAAAGGTCGCGTATCCGGCCGCGATTCAAAGCATTACTAACCTCATACTTGCTATATTCTAACGTATCCTACCGAAGTGCATATTACACTTAAACATGGCTACCGAAAAAGTCTTTCGTCTGTCTAAGCGGACCTCTCTTCATGACCTGAAGCTCGACCTCGAGGCTATCCCTAAGCATAAGGCACATGAAGTCCTAATCCGCATTCGGCATGTCGCCCTTAATTATCGTGACATTGCTGTCGCTACCGGCACATATCCGTTTCCCGTCAAGGATAACGTTGTCCCGTGCTCAGACATGGCAGGCGAATTTGTTGAGGTTGGCACCGCGGTACAAGATCTCACGGAAGGCGACAAGGTCATTTCATCCATCGATTTAAACACCTCCTATGGGGCAATGAAAGATTGGCACCACAGCCTAGGCGGTCCTTACGACGGAGTTTTGCGAGAGTTCATTACACTCCCCAGCTCAGCTCTTGTTAAGATTCCGCAAGAGTCGACACTTAACTTTACGGACTTGTCTGCACTCGTTATCACCAGGACGACGGTTTGGAATGCCTTCTATGGCAACACTCATCTGAAGCCTGGCCAGACGGTCTTATTTCTTGGTAAGTTGTTCCCAGACTCGTCTAAAGCACTTATACTGACTGCTCTGAAGGGACTGGCGGTGTTTCTATTACGGGACTCATTGTGGCCAAAGCAGCAGGAGCGAGAACTATTATCACGTCGTCCTCGGATGCCAAGTTGAAATACGTCCAGAAGACTTACGGTGCTGATTTCATCATCAACTACAAAGGTACACCTGCTTGGTCTAGGGAAGTACTTGATATAACACATGGCCTAGGAACCGATTACGTTTTCGAGAATGGAGGCGCCGGAACTATTGCGGAGAGCATCAAGGCCGTTGTATACGGGGGCTCTATCGCTGTCATTGGGTTTCTGGCAACCTGCCCTCAAGACCGAATGCCTGACGTTGCGGCTCTTGCACTGGCCAAAGGCGCCCTGATACGCGGCATCATGATCCGGTCTAAGGAGCACCTAGAGAATGTGACGAGGTTCTTCGTGTCGAAGAATCTCACTTTTCCAGTGGAAAAAGAATTTGGATTTACTCGAGATGAGGTCATCGAAGCTTTCGGGTATGTAGCTACTGGCTAGCACATTGGCAAGGTCTGCATTAAGGTTACATGAAAGTTACATACATTAAGATCTTGGATAAGAGGGCCAAGGAGACTGAAGGAGTCCAAGGACACTTCTCTGCGGGATACATCTTGCTTTAAGGTTGATAGTATTAGTGGAAAATGGTAATATTCTTGGAATATAGGAAATGTATAGGGAAAGGCAGATGGGTTGCGTGAGCTCATAGCGCGTGAGATTGCGACGTAAACTTGGACCCTGTGCTTTATATATGCTGAGCGCCCATGGGAGAGGAAGAGGGATTCACATACGCGATACTAGCTTCTTAATGGCCCAGCTATCCGCCGCCTATGATTTGAGCACCTATCGCTCAGCAGTTCATGAATGGAAAAGGCCACTATATTAAGTTCCTCGGTTGTTCAATAATCTTTTACTACTTGGTAGTGATCGACTTTACTCAGAATCAATTTCAGAAGCTAGTACGATCAAATTTACTCCTATTGCTAGAAGTCGCTGGTGTTTTCTTCGCACGTAGTCCATAAACCCTTATGCAATGATATTTCTGTCGCTCTGCAGATCGGACCCAAGCTCGATCGCATTAGACACTAGTACGACTATATCATGGCCTTTAAAGTGTGTATGATAAGTGAGATGTTCTTTTCATTAGCACCCAATCTTCTACTTTGCCTTCACGATTTCATGCATGCTTGTTGCTGCCAAAGCTCGGCCAGAAAACTTACAGTCGAAGGAACAACATATACGCCAATAAATTGAAACTGCTACTAGTATTGAGGTCTTGCGAAACCTAAATACATTACCCTCTTATTGTATGTATATGTCGCGTAGACTTGAAGCAAAATTTGGGTGTCAGTGCTGCATCAGTATTTGAGACATCAAGAAAGTGTGACGCAGTCATCATGCAGGAGGCCTACCAACACAAACAACAAATTGATCGAATCAAACGCAGCCACGTGCAACGAGGAGAGGGAACCTTTGAAAAATACGACGGGTCGCTCCTACTCTGCCGATGTTGGAGCAGGTCTCTTTGCCCTACTTAATGATTATGGCTACCACGATCTTGTTTGCATATCTTCACTCTACTCGCATCCTTGACTTGCCTTGTTTACATTCAACCTCCGACAAAGAAAGCCTTGGCCATTGACAAGACCCTTAACGAAGTGATTAAAGCTGTTGTGTTGACCGGTTCTTTCCGTCGATTTGCAAACATTCGACAGCATGGACTCTGATACTACCTCGAAGGATCAGAATAGCTTCCTTGAACAGGTCTGCTACTTGCAACCTCCAATATTTCTTGCATTGTGGCTAATAAGATATGGCAGGCTATTGAGCCACTCATGGTCGAAGCCAAGACTATTCCGCTCAAAGGGATAGGCCTGGTAGCCCTCCAGGACATACCTCAAGGGGCTCTAATTCTCCAAGAGAAGCCTCTATTAGTAACCAAACCTGGAGCACCTGGTACACTAGAGGCTTTCTTATCGTCAGAGCTAAAAAAGCTGGACAAAGCAAGCCAACGCCAATTCTTGTCCCTTCATAACAACTTTCCCGGAAAGTATCCCTTTGCTGGCATTATGAAGACGAATGCTCTGCCGTGTGGCTCTGGCTCTGAGATCGGGGCTGTTTATCCTACTATATGTCGCATCAATCACAGCTGCCTCCCCAACAGCCAAAATACATGGAATAGTGACACCAAAATCGAAACTATTTTCGCCATCAGACCAATCTATTGCGGAGAAGAGATTACAATCTCATATGACAAGGGCGGCCCATCTGCGGTCCGGCAAGCTTCCTTGAAGCAGTCATTTGGCTTCCAGTGTAGCTGTGTCGTCTGTTCGCAGCCACCGGACATGCTTCGGGAAAGTGACGCTCGTCGTTCACGAATCCAACAACTCGATAGTCAAATTGGGGACCCTTTTCAGATGTTGAAGAGCCCCGAGAAAAGCCTCAAAGATTGCCATTCGCTGCTACAACTCCTAAAAGCCGAATATCGGGGTTATCCCGGGGCTCTCGCTGCACGGCTTTACTACGATGCCTCTCAAATTAGTATCGCGCACGGTGACAAAGCGAGAGCAAGTATTTTTGCGGAGAAATCGTATGAAGCGAGGCTCATGTGCGAGGGCGGCGAAACGCCCGAGGCGAAGAAGGTCAAGATGCTTGCAACGAATCCATCAAACCATAGGAGCTTCATGGTATGTTCTTCCAAATGGAAGAATACGAAGAAGGAGAAATTTGGAGAAGCTGATAATGAGGCTTTTGAGCGCTGGCTGTTTCGCATTTCGAGCTAAGAACCTGGAAATAGCAAACAGGTTTCTTAGCGACCTATTGAAGATGACCGCCAAGATACGCCTTGACGAGGCGCCTTTATCCTGAACCTCTCTAGCTAGTGTCCTCGAAGCCTAAGAAGTAAGAGCGAATTCACCCAGGATGCATCTGAGAAGACTGAGCTGGTATTCTGCCCTAACGGTACTAAGAGTTGGATGGAGTAAGAGTTTTCCGAATGATTCTATAGAAGTGGAAAGAGAAAAGTGTTGAATTCTAAATCCTAGTGAGGTGGTAGATAACTTTAGTAGTTGAAGTTATAGGGAATGAGACTTTTGGTATGTGGCATAGTGTTCTGCAATATTTTGTATGCCATACTTGGAAGTGGTGGCCGAGTTTCCAGCCCGTGTGATGCGATGGCCGTAATCGGTGTAAGAAAAATCCTGCTCGTGATAGAAAATGGATAGAGCAATAGCTGGACTATGGGTAGGTAGCCTCTATGTGAGAAGAGCAAAGAAAGCTATTTTTGTATACGATCTATCATGCCAATAAGATCAAGTAGGCTCTTTGGGATACTCTAACCAGTTCCACTGAACCCACTCATTTTGATTTTTTTCCGAGTAGAGGGAGGGGAAAGCCAAGTTTATGATGGCATGACAACTCATCCATGCATCGTCATGGGAGCTGTCAAAGGCAAACCGTGAAAACAGGCGGGGCCGAGGGGCAACTTTTTCTGCGTCTCAATGCAACGGTATAAACGCATGTCTTGATCGAGACGGAATCCAGCATGTGTTTTTGTGGTATGAGGTGGCAGGGCCCGACTGATCCGGCAATCAGTGACAAGAGTCAGCCTTGATCTCCTTGCATAACGCTACGTTTCACCAGCCCTCGGGTCGTCTTACGAGCAACCCGTTTTTATCCTGCTGTCGATGCTGGCCATGGAATGAGATTGCAACCCCACATATGCGGCACGACGGGCGCAGCCGGTTTTAGCTGAGAGTACCACCGGCTCGCATTCGATGGTGATGTCCTCCCAGATCTTCATCGCAAGATCTGCCCGATTCATGAGGATTTGTTGTAGTCACAAGCTCCAGACACAAACATTACGCATCTCGTTGTACTCCTGTAGTTGCATTCTATGACATTGGGCGCAGGAGCTGCACAAGATTCTACTGGATTGTCTTATCTAAAGTGCGACATGTCTAATTACAGGCAGACTTCATGGCTACAGGACAGTTGACAACCTTAAATCATGGTGATCGCAGCGGAATTTAATTTTAGGTCACGCCAGCAGGGACGGAAAGTTGGCCGCCCGTCCAGGATGAACGTTCCGCGTTTCATGTTGGCCCCATCTCAGGCGCAGGATTGAGCATCATGCATGGCCTTTGACGTATTTCCAGAACGAGAATGTGTGGAGCCGTTCGACGCATCTGGGCATGATGGGCACTACGTCAACATGGATCTGTTGCTGCGAGCCAGATCTTCTCAGCGGTTGCCAATTCTTTATATATTGCCTTGCCAATCGTCCATCCTGCGCCTTCCGATTCTGCAACGGACCCAACCGACCTCGTTCTACTATAGACTTGTTTCCGTCATCATGATTCTGACCAAAGTCGCTTTGTCATTGCTTGTGGCTATGGCCCAAGCCTGGACCTTGGATAGCAGAGGTATGTGCTAGTCGTTCCCTCATGTTGCCTAAGTATTTACCGTGCAGATGCTGATGGTACGATTCAGAGCTTATCCCCGAGGATGGAAGCTCCCTGGCAGAGCGCCGGCTGCCTAAGGCGAGCAAGGTCCGTGGCGTAAATCTCGGCTCCCAGTTCATCATCGAGGAGTGGTTTACGAAGGATAGCTGGAAGAACATGGGCTGCTACGGCTGGTACGACGAGTGGAATTGCGTCAAAGCCCTCGGTCAGGCCAAGGCTGACGAGGTCTGGAAAAATCACTGGAACACGTGGATTACCGAGGCCGATATCAAGCAGATTAAGGAGATTGGCCTTAATACTGTGCGCATTCCCGTCGGCTTCTGGATGCGAGAGAGCCTTGTTTATGCAAACGAGTATTACCCCCGCGGGGGCCTCCCCTATCTCGACCGTATTGTCGGGTGGTGCAAGAAGTATGGTGTCTATGTCATCATTGATCTCCACGGTGCCCCCGGATCGCAGTCTCCGAATGAGGAGTTCACTGGCCATGTAGGAAACCCTTATCTTGTTTATCGATTGTACACTTCTCGCTAATAGATTCTTTACCAGGGCGTTAACCCCCCACAGTTCTACACTTCTACCAACTATGAGCGAGCACTCAAGTTCCTCGAGTGGATGACCAACCGTATCCATACGAATGGCAACTATACAACTGTCGGTATGCTACAGGTTTTGAACGAACCTGTCCGAGGCGGAGTTAACGCTACCGATATGCGCAAGAACTTCTATCCAAAGGCATACGAACGCATCCAGGCCGCCGAGGCTAAGCTCAACGTTGCCAAGGCAGACCGCCTCCACATTCAGTTCATGGTGAGTCCCTTCCCCTTGGTCCTGTTAAATGTTGGTCCATTTCAACTAACAGAATCACAGGGCACGAGTTGGGGATCTGGAGATCCAAGAGAGTTCCTACCCAGCACTGAGATGGCTTTCTTCGACGCCCACCGCTACCTAAGCTTTGACAACCGCATCGAGGGTACAAAGAAAGCTTACATCACGCAGGCTTGCAAGGACAACATGGGCACCAACGTGACGGTGGGTGAGTGGTCGCTTTCGGTGAACAGCACACTGAAGAACACACCCGAATTTAAATACGAGGGCCAAGAGACGTGGTATCGCGCATACTGGGCGGCGCAGGCCGAGTCATTTGAGCGCTCCAATGGCTGGATCTTCTGGACCTGGAAGTGTGATGGAGTTGAGGACTGGCGCTGGTGCTACAAGAAGGCTGTTGAAGCGGGTGTCATCCCTAAGGATGCCGGATCAGCTGCGGCCCTTAGCCCGTGTTCTAGATACACTTAGATGGTGATGTTTTTAGACTTCATCAGCTTCCACGCTCTAACCTTTCCTCGGAGTTCATTTGATACATACACTAGGATAAGTCGAGTTTTACTAGAAAGATGAAATCTTCAATGAGAGTGGCCAATCCGGCCATGGCCATAACGGTATTTTCTTCTTAGTCACTACGGAAGCAATGTGCAGTGAGATGAGTGAACTGGTGATGTCAACGACTTGAATAAATATCATCCATTGACGAACTTGTCAGGTTCGATGCTATTCGCAAGGCTCGGCTATGGGTTCAATCTTTGAAGCCGCAGAATCTACATTCCTCCTTATATGCACAGCCTCTCAAGCCAAGGTATCCGGCCGAAGACCTTCTTGCTCTTGTTAACACTGACATCCGAAAGCCATTTGATATGGCAGAGGTTGTCGTTCGCATAGTTGACCATTCGCGAGTGTCAGTATTTAAACCATCGTACGGGAAAAACCTTCTCACTTGCTGGGCCGAAATCCATGGTGAGTGCATTTGCCCATGAATACCAGAGCGCCTGGAAGAATTGAGGTGCTAATTATTAATTGATTATAGGCTTTCGATCTGGTATAATTGGGAATCAAACCCCTGTCATCCACCCAGATGAAGCTTCAAAAGGCGCTCAGTTCATCCGGCTCTGCGATCAAGGGTATGGGAGCCTGACGATGTTCTCTTACCCATGATTATCTCCAACTGATATCTATTCCAGGAATATTCCAATCATCTATTTACACAACGTGACCGGATTTATGGTCGGCTCCAAGGCGGAGAGAGAGACTATCATCAAGAAAGGTGCCCAGTTTGTGGCCGCTGTGAGTTGCTCCCAAGTACCTCGGATATCCGTTATTCTTGAATCTTCATATGGTGCCGGAAACTACGTTATGTGTGGAAGAGCCTATGAGCCTCGGTTTATGTTTACTTGGCCATCTGGAAGATGCAGTGTGATGGGACCGGACCAACTCGCAGGGGTTATGGATATTGTCCAGTCCGGAAGCGCGGCGAAGAAGAATCTAGGGAAGGCAGCCAAGGTCCTTTCTTCATCATACAAGGCTAGCATCGAAAAGTTTCGGCAAAAGGTTGAGAAGGAGAGCCAGGCATACTACGCCAGTACTAACCTTCTGGATGATGGGATAATTGATCCAAGGGACACAAGAGAGGTGTTTCTGTTTGAATGTTGTTCACCTTGATCCTGTTCAAGGGGCTCAGACACAGAAGGGCCTGGCCAGACTGTAAATCAGAAACCATTTTCACTTTGTCAGGAGAGAAATTACTACTCATGCTTACTTTAAGAAACCTTGGTCTTATCTCCAATTCAGTTTCAATCTCAATATATGTATAGAGTATCTGAGGCTTCTGGAAATCATCTGCTGGACGCCTGACACTCTTAGGGGGGGCTACGAGGACAGGTGTATGTGTGTACGTTCATGTGTTTGAGAGAGACAGTGGGCTTGTATTTGACTGGCCTAGCTATCTATCTCCCTTCCTTCCTTCCTCCTCCCCTCCCCAGTTGTGTGCAGCCTCAGCAGCTGTCTTTATGCAGCTAGAGGCAGCGGCGGTTGTGATTGTTATTCTGTAATGAGATATATTTTGGTCTAAGCAAGGATAGCTAATAGCTATACTTAATCTGGATATTGATATCTTCGAAATGCTGCTCTTCAAAGCAGTTATTTCTATCAAGGATCTCACTTCCTAATTTAAGGAGATTAAAAGCCTGTTCAAAGCTAAGCTCTAAAGGGCCAAGTTATAATTCCTATATTATCCAGCTGGCTAGTCTGGATAATGGGAACTGTTGCCAGAACCCGCGGCCTCTTCTTTGACTTCTTTGTCATACTGTAGGTTGTGTTCTTTGACAGAGTATATCGGGCGAGAGCTCGGTGGGATGTTTGATGTGTTGATGTGCGAAGTTCTGACAAGAAGTCAATTGATCCGACTGAGTAGCGATGAGTGGGAGTTGACTGATTTGACTGATGACGAAGGTGGCGATGTGTGGCACTTGGCTTGTCTCAGCGATTTACGAAATAGGCAGATTGTTGATACTTTCGCAAGTACAGATAGACTTAAGCTGTACGGTTCATTCAGAACCAGGCCAGAGATAGCGGTCTTTAAATAGATAAAAAGCAGTATCTTAAGGTTTATAAAAGGAGTTATACCGATAAAAGAGTTATACTGATAAAAGAGTTATACTGATAAAAGAGTTATACTGATAAAAGAGTTATTACCAGGTATAGCCTTTAAATTTAAACCTTATATACAGCTAGGTATAGTTATTATTAGTATTAAACCTTATATATAGCTAGGTAAAAAGACTGAAGTTTAATATATTATAATACTAGTTGTTATTAAATTCTTAGTATTTAGGAATTTCCTCTTTTTTTTTTAGTAGCTGTATAGCTCTCTTACTTACTATATGCATGCTAGCATAGGAAAGAAGCTAAGTGAGGATACTGAGCCGAAAGCGATTTTACCCTTGTGAATATAGAGCAATACTCCCAATGATGTCTCAATATTTGCTCTTTTATATGATTCTAGGCTTTTATTCGCTGCTAGGCGCTCATTCATTAGTTGATGCTAACATTAACCGAACTATCAATTACAGCTTGCTGCCCAAAGCTTTCATCTCCTGATTTAGAGAAAGCTCTGTCAAAATCTCTTCGCTTCCACCGCCAACTACCATGCAACGTACATCGCGGCTGATTTGCTCAACCCGTCCGCCCCTTCCCCCCTTAGAGTAACCGACACCTCCCATTATCTGCTGGGCTTCGCGAACAGCGTGCTCTAGTACTCTGCACGAAAGCACTTTTGAGCTTGCCAGGAGACCACCAATGCCCGGAGGTTCTGCTCCAGTTGTTCGCAGTGATTGGGCCAACATATAGACCAATTGCTCAAGATAGGTCTGACCTGCCTCCAGCTCACGCCCTACAGTTGCCAATTTGGCCCTGATAATTTGGTTCGAGAGAAGCTTCTTGCCAAACGTCTCGCGCCTTGACGCGTAAATAAACGAATCCTCAATGCATACTCTGGCAAGACGTAAAGCCATACAAGAAAGCCAGGTTCGTTCATGGTTAAAATCTAGAGAAGACTAGTATTAGCTCACGTCCATATAGGATAATAATATGAGAAGTCATACTTGACATGATGATTCGGAAGCCTTGATTCTCTTCTCCGATCAGATTCTCGATTGGGACTTCAACATTGTCAAATTCAATGTAGGTAGATCCTGACATAGCTTTAGTATCCTCAATATCGAAGCCAGAAAGTAATACGATTTTGCTTACCACTAGAAGAGACTCCAGAGTTGAACAGTCTCTTCCGAGTTATCCCGGCAGAGGTCAGCGGAATAACGATTGCAGAGATTCCCTTTTGTCCTGGACCTCCGGTCCTCACAGCTGCGGTGCAGTAGTCCGCCCAGATGGCATTTGTAATCCATTTCTTAGCACCATTGATCACATATTTGTTTCCTTGCCGAGTAGCTGTAGTGGTGATGCCGGCGACATCGGAACCAGCGTCCGGCTCAGTCACTCCGAGACAGAACCTAGTCTTTCCTTTCAAGACGTCAGGAATAAACTTTCGCTTCTGTTCCGGCGTTCCGAATCGAACCACGGGAGGCAGGCCGATGATATTTCCGCATGCGAGCCCCCAAATAACTCCAAGATAGCCGCACCGTGCAATTTCATCCATCACGATTAGATCGCAAAACTCATCCCATTCTGAGGGGCTTATTCCTCCAGGGAGCTGGATACTATCCAGGTAGTCAGTGGCCAGAGGGAATACTGAGGCGGCCATGAGCCCGTTCTCTGCAAATTTCACAATGACCTAACCAGGTGAGAATCGATTCATCTTAATGGGTCGTAAAGCAGTTCTGTAACCTACCTCTTGAGGAATTGAACCATTCGTCTCCCATTCCTCACAGTATGGGATGATATTCTCATCAACAAAAGACCTGACTTTTTTCCTCAAGGCAACATGCTTCTCTTGGTAGTATGGGCTGTGGCCTCTTGATACCCAGAGGGGATCAGCGTACGGGGCACCCATCTTGAAAATATTCGCTGACGACACAAATGATTGAGCTATCGACGAGACTCTTGATGTTTGAGTCACAGGCTATAGTAGTGAAAAAAGCTTGCAAGTCACAATTCATATACAGAATCTAGGTTATATACCTCGGCTTTCCGAGTTACGGCCGTGGTGTGGGGACGGATCATAGCAACTCTTAATACCCGTGCCTGTCTAGTCTCGCCGTGTAGAAGTGCACAGAGGATAACGCAAATCCGTTCCTTAGAAATACCGAGATAAATCCTCCAAGATGTATGGCTAATTTACAATGTCTCAATTCACAGGAGAATTTGCAAAGGTCGAGATTCAATAGCCAAACGTAGAGCTCAACTAGCTACTAAGTACTCCAAGAACTATGGACACAAACGTGTGTAAAACCAAAAGTTATTCAATATTCATATCTTTTATGGTGAGTGCTTCTTAACTAGTACGGGGGTTTCTTAGTAGCGTTAAAATTCTTCAAATCCTTCAAGATATGCCATGTGGTTAATTGAAATTTTGGAGCAGTTTCGTAGATTGATTCGTAACTAGGCTGAATTTCACTGTCAAGAAACCAATAGATTTATTAAAATTTATACAACACATCATCTAAGACCATCAGTTAGCCAATCTACGTGAATCCTTCACAGGCCTCAAGTTCACATTGGAACTCGTAACTGCGAAACGAGCCGCCCGTACCCTAATTACTTAATGTATCTAAACAATGGAGAGCTATCTCCCAACTCGTGCAGTTCCTCTGTTGAAAAGAGCCGTTAGCAACTCGGAATATGACGGGCTTGCGGTGAAGTCAACAACCTACCCTCTGTGTACTTGGCCCTGATTTCAGACTCAGGAATCGCATCTCTCTTTGCATTGGTCGGGTCGACAGCGAAGCGTAACGCCATTGCTGCACACATGCCAGCAACTACAACGCCAATTGAGAGGCCGTAGGCAAGCGGGCAGCGGGGTGCCTGCTCGTCCAAGAATATGTTTGCTCCAACCGCTCCACCAAAGCTGCCCAATGTCATCAAAAAGGCCATTCCAATGGCTCGCTTCCAGGAAGGCGCAAGGTTGTTGCTAACGCATGATATGCAACCAATAACAGCTGGATAAAGACCAGCGGGAATACAAAATAAGGGGCATAAGTCAAACCTGGTAAGCGAGGGTGTGGAATAGACAACAGAGCGATAAGCCCTACACCAGAGATGCAAAATGGTATGATAACGAAGGGCCAGCGGGCTTTGGGTCGGTCTGAGATCTTGCTAGACCATACGTCGCGATCGATCCCACCAGATAGATGGGAAACGTGAGAAGTTGAGCATTGGCTGCAGAGTATCCCAGCTGCCGAATGATATTTGGGGCTGCGAAACTGAATGCATAGATACAGACAGATACTAATCGAACCGTCAGTCTCAACCGTTTTCTTGTGCCAAGGCGTGTTTAAACTGACCTGTTGCCCCAATACACGATAACACCAAGATAGATTCGATAATACACGAAAGCAGCACGAAAGTGCTTCTATTGGAATTTTTCCGCTGAGTCTTCCCGTGCCTGAGTCCCGACATCTTGCTGCAGCCGATGGATGAGAATCGCTTTTTCCTTTTGTGTAAGGAAGGAAGCTGTCTCGGGAGAATCGGGGAGCGCCCAGGGAATTATGACACCAATAAGCACTGTCAAGATGCCCTCGAGGATAAAGATCCAACGCCATCCTCCAAGGCCAGAAATACCTTCCATATGTTGGATTCCAAAGGCAAGAAGGCCTGAGAAGCTTCTCGCCAGGGAGGCCGCTGAGAAAAAGATAGCAACCCAGGTTTGATATTCCCAGCGGCAGTACCAAGTCGTAAGTATGTGTGCAGCAGCTGGGAAAAAGCCAGCTTCAGCAACCCCGAAAAATATTCTAGTAACCAATAATTGTTCATATGTCTTGACGATTCCTTGAAGAGTGAGGGCCTGTGATAGTCACCAGTCAGTTCATACCGCCCTATCTATTATGGTCCTTGATGCTTACAGTGCCCCAGGTAATGACAAGAATGTATATCTATCGTGAAGGCCTCATTATCTTAAGGACCACAATACTCGGCACTTCGAAAAGCGCATAGGGAAAGATGATGCCACCGTAGCCCAGCCACTTTCCCACGCCAGAAGCTGCATGGAGTGGAATGTAGTCCCCATTCAGTCTACTGAAGTCAGCACCGACGACAGGCGATATTGATTGGCCGAGCTTCTTCCCTTACCTGTACAAATGAGCGCTTTCCTGTCCAACTTCGACCTCGAAAACCAGATCAGCATGTCGATCAGGCACGGCCTTTTTGTTGGACCTCGGCCCTCTTGGTCAACCCCAGTTTCCTTATCCCACGTAAAACAAACTGCCGATAATCTTTGCACAGACTTAGCGTCTATCAAACAATCTTCGGATCGGACTACAGTTCCTGAATTTCCTTTGTCATAAACCCCGATCACCTTGGAACGGAACTCAAATTCATGGCCAAGTGATGTTCTTGGTAAAGGCTTGTAGATCTCGACAGCTCTATTCCCATCCACCAATCGTCTGGGGTCAAGCTTAGGTACAATTGAAATACTCGTTGATCACAAGGTTCCGTAGAAGTCAAAGACTTCACTGTGCTCTAGTTTAAAAACTGTTCAGTTGGTCAGTACATCGCTCTGGACTACACCATCGAAAGTAGCACCTAGTCCTAATGGGTATGTCGGAAAGGTCGAGAACCTCGGGTCACCCTCCTGTCCAAAATTAGCGCTCACGTCATCTTGGGTATATGTCATTGGCGTTGGTGACTCACATAAACGAACCGCGATTAATCAACGCGGCATCCGATACTGAGATTGAACAACAAAGTGTCTCGCTGCAGCCATGTCACATTCCTCGTGGGAAACTCGAAATCTTTCCATGGCTCACTCATATCAACCGACATCTAATCAGGTTTTCCTCTGTCATTTGTCCTTACTATACAACCTTTAATTGAATACGATATGCGGATGGCCTTTTTAGGGCTGGTCGGTTCCTGGACAAGGCAGACGGATGGCCGGCTATATACTACCGTGCCCACCAACCTACCTGAACTCCGATTTCGATAGGCCGACACTACTGCAGATCGAAACTACTCAAGTCAAGGCTCAGCAGGAGAGGCAATAGTCTTAGATCAGCACCTGGCTGTTATGTACTCATTCTACGAAAAAAAAATGAGATCCTTGAGATGACAGAAATACAGATCCCCCCTTTTTCACAGTGTAAGACCGGAAACAAGCATCTTTAAACAATGAAATAGTAAAGTTCACCACGACGCCTTCCATAATGTGCTATCATTGGAGTTGGTTGGTTTTTCCAGCTACCATACTCTATATTGGCTTTCTTACAATTTACTGTCCTTCCATCGTGTGACTCGCTTTTCTGTGAATGCATTCAATCCCTCCTGCATGTTCTCAGTATCATAGATATTTCTAGACCACCCATCAAAGAATAATCTACTCGCGTCAGCGACACCAAGTGACTCCCATCCCATCTTAAGCCCTTCTCATGTGACAATAACAGCATCCGGACTATTCTCGACAATCATCTTGGCCATCTCAAGAGCATCTGCTACTGCATCAGTTCCTTTCTCGCAGACTCGGTTGCAAACTCCCCACGCCTTGAATTCTTGCGCCGTTACAGTACGTCCCGTCAAAGCCAGTTCTGTCGCTCTTTGACGGCCAGCAGTTCTTATGATTCGTGGAAGCGTGCCTCCAAAGGGTGTGACGCCGCGCTTGACCTCGGGCAGGCCAAAAGTGGCATGAGCTGATGCGACTACCAAGTCGCAGTTGACGGCCATCTCACAGCCACCTCCAAGTGAAGGGCCATTGACTGCCGCAGTGATTGGCTTCTTACCATGGCGAAAGGAGACACCACCAAACCCAGTCTCTGGCAGCTTCATCGGCACCCCTTTCTTATTGTTTTCCATCCATTCTTGGAATGTTGTCAGCTACCGTGAAATTGACGCCCCTGGAAGTAAGACGATAGCCTTACCTTTCAGATCAGCGCCGACACAAAATGCTTTGCCCACTCCAGACAGGATCGCGACTCTCAGGCTAGTCTCTTTGTCGAACCATTTGAACACAGAATCAAGCTCGAACGCTGCTTCAACACTTAGGCTATTAAGCTGCCGGGGTCGATTGACCAGTACCAAAAGAATTCCCGCTTCTGGAATCGAGATCTTGACGCTATCCAAGACAGTGGGTGCACTTTCCAGAGCAGAAGACATTATGCGTAGGCTCAACAGCTTTTCGTCTCTGATAGACAGGTTTCGACAGTGCAGGGTGCGTAAATACAATCGAATAGAGCGTTCAGGTAAGCTATGGATGCTTTCTTACGCATCTGTTGATTATTGCATTCGTGATAAGCTCAATCCTCAGTGGGTGACACCGGAGTCATAGCCGGGCCACACGGCATATCGTTGCCGTGCGAGGAGTCGGATGCCGCCCCGTGGGTAGAGGCTCATCAGCTTACACTTGAGGTATGGCTTAAATTAATGAGCGAACCTAATAGTGCGTTCGTTCAAGTCATTGTTCTTTCAAAAAAGCAATCCTTTCCGTGGTTTTGTCAGCATACACTCCATCTGCAAAAAGATGTCCAACCCAGCCTTATCTCTCGCCCACGGACCGAATGAATCAGCCCTATTCGATCTGACAATTGGCCAACTAGCCAACCAGCAAGCATCCAGATATGGAGACAAGGATTGTATTATAATCGGGTGGAATAACACGCGCCTTAGCTACTGGGAGCTGAGTGAGAGCAGCAAGGTCCTTTCTCGTGGATTATTAGCCCTTGGGGTGCAAAGCGGTGACCATCTCGCTATCTCGTCTGGTGATGATGAACGCTTCGTGCAGCTATTCTTTGCGGCTGCACGTATTGGCGCTTGTCTTGTTATTATAAATAAAACATACACAGTCCCAGAGTGCCTGCGAGCTCTAAAGCACACCGGTGAGCACCGCCAAACTAACATACATTTGTTCCTAGCTCCCCAGGCTAATTTTGCGTCCCAGACCCTGTGATACTTTTCGTATCCAATGTCGTGGATCGCCGGCCGACTGCTCCCATCAGCAATTCAAAGCTCAATAAGCGTCAAGCCCAGGTTGACAAACATTCTACCGTCAACATCCAGTTCACCAGTGGCACAACGGGCCCCCAAAAGTGCCAATGCTTACTCACTTGTAAGTCGGAGGCCACGTATTCGGTCAAACAGAAGGCAAATCTCACAGTTTATATCTCTAATAACATCAGTACCAATGGCTTCTACATGGGACACTACCTTCAGCTGGTCCCAGAAGACGTTATGTGCTGTGGTCCGCCTCGTCGCAGGTCTTCTCGCGGCTTTTACTCACGGCTCCTCGATCATTTACTCTGCGCCAGATTTCGACGCATCAGCAGTGGTGAGAATGGTTCTTACAGAACACTGTACTGTCTTGCATGGTGTCCCAACCAAGCACAGATCTTCTTGTCAGGTATCAGAAGGTAAAGTGTTGACAGCGTAGTAGGAATGACCGAGACTGCACCAACAAGTTTTATCGTCAGAGTTGAAGATAGTCTCGAAAGGAAATTAGAAACTGTGGGCACGGCTCTACCTCATGCTTCAGCAAAGATTGTTGATCCTCAAAATAAGATAGTCCCACGCGGAACGAGGGGTGAGGTTTGCGGTGTGGATGCACACTGGAGATGAGGGAGTCATTAATGAACATGGCTACCTAACCATCACGGGGCGTATTAAAGACATCATTATTAGGGGTAAGTCCCACACTCGCTCTAGCCACCATTTCATTTTTCAACAAAACATTATAGATTACTGACCTTGCTGATAGGCGGCGAGAACATCTATCCTGTCGAAATCGAAGAGAGGCTCCTGCATCACCCAGCTATTGATCAGGCCAGCATTGTTGGGCTACAGGACCCCCGCTACGGCGAGTCCGTCAATGCATTTCTCGAACTATGTCCGAACCAAACAAAACCTACACTTGAACAACTCAAATTCTGGGTACGCGAGACACTGGGTCGTCACAAAGCCCCCGTTAGAGTCTTCTGGGTCGGCAATGGTGAGAGCATAACCCAGTATCTGGTCACGCGAAGTGGGAAGATTCGGAAGGAGATCCTGAGGGAGGCTGGAAATAAGATGATTTCTACGAGCGCAGCGCCAGTATCCAAGCTATAGAAGAGGTCCAGACATTTCTAAACGATATCCCCTTCGCCCAAACTTATCAATCCCTCGAAGTCGCCCATGTCCACATTTTGTATGCCTCCGAAATCTGGTACTGGAAAGTCGAAGAGCAGACTGGGGGAGAAATCGAACTCAGAAGTCTGCATCGCTTCCGCTTGGAGACTCGGGCTCCCCGGGCGTGTAGGGGTGGAAAGAAGCGCATAGTCCACGCTTTGCCATAAGGTCTTTGCATCTACTGGAAGCAACACACTATGTTCCTTTCGCGTGTAGCTCAGGAGTGGCTTCCCTTCAACAGACTTCCGGAATCGCTCAAGCCGAGTAGCCTATCATTCATTAGTCTCAAGTCAGAAGACGTGGTAGAGAAGAACAAGAATACCATCAATCTCGCATGGGCCCAGTAGCGAGCAAGGCCATGAAGAAAGTCGACGGCATATTTGAAGTGAGTATTCGCTTCACTACTGATCGCTGGGTCATGGTCACTCAGGCACAACGCGTGGATAGTGCCCGCAATCATGGTGCAATATGCGTACAGCGATGGAAGTATAAGGACATTTTGGTTCCTCAGATCCTTGAGCCCCGTGATACTCTTGGCGTGCATTCTGCATGTATCCCACGCTGTCTTTGCAAAACTTGCAGGGGCTCTTTGCTGCAAGCGCTGAAGCCGCTGATGTAGGAGAAAGGGGTGGTGGAGGAGGCAGTGGGAGAGGTGGAAGATAGCCTTGGCATAAACAAAGGAGCCCTTCACTTGTTGGTCCGCAGTCCCATTTACCAACCTTCCCAGTGCTTCCTCCGTTGGATCATTCAATCCAAAGTTGACTTCTAACTGCAGAAGGGAAGCCGAGATTGAAGTATAAGGCGAAGAGGGAGACCAGGGAAGTCCAAGCTCAGAGAATCGATTTTCGTGCAATGCATAATTCGACACGCGATTCAGAGCAGATCCAATGACAACTATCAGAGCGAGAGGGCAGCATTGCTCCACCGCCTTTTCATCTACACGTTCCCCATTGAAGCGGTCAAGCGTTGGGCATTCCTCCTCAAGGCTGTTACGAAATGCGACTTCGGAGCAGGGAAGTGAGATGCGGCATACTTCGTCTTGCAAGACTGGGGAACGCTCGCGGGAGAGTGAAATCAATTTGTCCTGAAGATAAGCAGACCAAAATACTCTTTTGCGCTCTTCTCGAAACACGGGCGGTAGATCATCTTCTGGCTCTAGGTTTAATCGAGAATGTAAAGCAATCCGGAGAGCAAATCCAAGCTTCATATAAGAACCAGCACAGTTCCCAGCTACAAAAACGTTAGGTTCGATGATTTAAGGGTTAATCGAGGTATCAGAGGGGCATGTTACCTGGATGTTCTATATTAACAAGCAATACGATAGTTTGTACGATAGCGACTGCCTCTTGGTCGTTTTTAGCACCTTCCCATGGTAGATCGAGGGAATCCCATGCCAGCTTGGTAAGGGGTAAGGGGTCGTCAGATATGCTTTCATGCAGATCCGGTAAGCTGGAAAACCTTCGTGCGGCGGACAATATCGCCCATGCAAGGTAGGTAGGAACTTGTCCCGTTGCTAGACGATGCCTGAGTGTTGCTTCGTGGAATAGGGAATATGGTTGGTTGTGACAAAAGCGAAAGTACACATCCGCTGCAAATAACAAAGTATGAACGGGAGGGAATATACTCTGCGAAGTCATGGTTTGTAATTGGGGCGAGATGTTGGTCATGATACTACTTGCGCATCGAGACTCTGACAGTGGACTTTGTGGCTGTGGAATCAAGGCGGAGGTTTGGGGTCTCGTTTCAACTATGGATGCCAATGATGCTAACAACGGTTTGATTCTAGACGCGATGGATGGACGAATCAGTTTGTGACATCAGAAACTCAACGTAAAAGGAAATAAGGTACCCTGCAATAGCATTTTCAATATTCCCGAGGCGATCGTCCAGGGTTGCGAATCTCAGCTGCATTTCATTCTACTCCGGGTCAGCCCACACACAATACAATGAGGATCAATTGGCCCTTATCCAGATGGGATCTTCCTTACTTTGAGGAACTCGAGTGCCTCCTCATCCGGGGCTAGATGAAACGAGGCTCGCCTGTTACTACGGCCGTCTTCTGTGTACACGCAGGTTTGCGACAGGCGGCTACAGAAAGTACAGACGGGCTTCTCACCGCCACATTTGACCTTCTTCCGCCTATCAAAGTCGCGTTAACAATGCCTTTGTGATCATCGAACGGGCACGGTCTGTCCTCCTCGCTCTCGTGGTCGTCATGTACCTGCAATTGAGACAAGCCTGCCTGATGCGCTTCCTCCGGCTGTTCTCTCCATCCGAGTCCCCCGCAGACTCAGACATCACATCTGAAGCCTAGCAAGCGCCGACAAGCCTGCCGCGTGCAAAAGGTATATGTTGAGTGATCAGATAAGGTGGGCATGGAGGGTTATCGGTGGGATGGAATCGAATCCGATAGGTCCGTGAATGTGAAGGGACGGACAATGATGAATTGGGGGCAGGGGAAACAGTCGGGGAATGTGAGGGAACAGAGTACGGCAACAGAAATGCTGGCAAGTAGCAAGCCAATGCTAGCCCCGCCTGAAGAACGGATGCATCACTGATACCCTAACTATGGCCTCTGTTCAGGCGCAGCGGCCCAGCATTACCCAGCACCCAGACTGCTACCTAGACTATACTGGTGCAACCAGTAACTCGCTGGCCATTAGCCATTAGCAGGCAAGAAACGGGGAATGTGGGGAAACAAGCCACAACTGGGTCGCTGTGGAGACTTCCCCAGATCACGCAGCCAGTGAAGCTTATCTGGCTACCCTAGAGACAGAACACTTCGACATGAACTTACTGCGGCCAACTCCTCAGCAAGGCAGAAATGATCGAAGGAAGCCTTGAAACCCACTTCTGGGGGTTTTATTTCGAGATAATCGATGTTATATCGTGGACGCTTAGAGATATCTGAAATAACATTCACGTACAATGCCTGTGCAGTGAACCAAATCGTTTGACGTAAATCATCGAATGGGTCAGCCGCTCTATATTTAGCCGCCGTTGCTTACGCGCTTGGTGTATTCTCGTATCTTATGAGAAAACCATTTATTTCGTATATTTTTCACATTTTTAAACAACGAACTGATGCAATTCTGCTGGTGCTTCTCTTGCTGTCCGGACGTGTTGTTTGTTGACAGAGAATCTTGCTCCGAAATAGCATCAGACATCATTTTCTCCAATGAGAGCAGACGTTGTGGGTACGGTTAAATAACCGTCCCCACTAACCATCAATGACATCCTGACCGTCGGCGGACTCTCGTTTTGCCAGGTTATGAGAACCGACACGCCCGTCATACCCGACGCGTCCAATAATCGCCTTCAGGCGACAACCACTGCCTCGGTCGTGCAGGTCCTTGATAGCGCTGCTGGAATTATATAGTACATTGGCAGTACCTAGCATTGAATTGTACATGTATCCCTGACAGACAATTATGGTTATATGCCACTGACTTGCCCTCGGGCCTCGGCAACCAAAGACAGCCTTCCTTGAAACACAGTAAAGACAACAACATACTAACCAAAAAAATACCATTTTCTAAGGTTTAGCGTGTCTGTTATAGAGATTGAAACATTCCTTTTCACTTTGTAACATCCTTGCAGCAACCGGTTTTTGCTTGCTTTGACTGCGAGGATGTCGACCTCTTTTGCACTAGCGAGCCCAGCATTGGAACCCGTCGACCAATTGGAGGACGAGACTTGCTGGGCAGTGCAGCATGACAACCTGGGATCTACGTGTGCCAAAAGTTACATTGACAATGTTTACTTCGAGGTCCCAGTTCTGGATATTGGAGCGCTATGCACATCTTGGCAAAACCGCAAGGCGCCATTCTTGCCCGAAAGCCCACTTCACCATGCCTTGATTCTTGCAACTGTCTCGTGGTTGGACAAGTCTACTCTGATTCGTCACGGGTTTACGAGTCGCGAGGAAGCATTTGATGTTCATTTGAATAAGTTGAAGGTATGCATGACTCCTTGAAAACCAAATTTGAGAGGGATAGCTAACTTTGACTATAGAATTGCATAGCACATGCTCCTGAGCACTTAATAGAGGTGCAAGCTCTTCTCTTGGCCATCTATGCTCTATCCTGCTCGGGTATTCGATCTGGGAGAGATCAATCTAGAGAATGGCTCCAACGAGTCGCCGACCACCTCAAACAGGGTCTCTCCAAAAAGACCAAATCGAAAATGGCGAAATGTTCTTCCCTGAGACGACGTATATGGTGGTCAGCTTTTATCGCTGAGCGTCTTCACTACTTGCGTTATGCGCTCGAGGAGCAGACAGATAATCTGAACCCGTCGTTTGAACTCAATCGGCAAACAGCTATGCCGCTGACAATGGAAGACCTAGGGTCTCAATACTATTTCATGGTCGGAGAGACTGCCGACGAGTACTGGTCCAGACTACAGAAGACATCTTGTTTTCTTCAACGAAAGCTTATCTGCGAGCAAATTGATCAGATAGTCTGCAGCTCAACTCTGTCACACCCACTAGAGGGGACCACACCGGACACAGCGACAAAGATCTCGACGGCAGCGTCATCCATGGCGTTTTTCAAATATGATATCTATTTTGCCACATTACAGTCGCTAGGCGAACTCTTCCGGCTTTACCAAGAGGGGCAAGGAAGACCAGATAAGACTGATTTATTGAATAGCGGAAACTGGGCGCTGGCAACCCTGCGGCTCAACACATACTTGCTCTTCGCTCGGGCCTTATTAGCAATGGCCCGGGCACCCATCAATACCTCTGGGGTCCCAACCAGGCAGGTTCATGTATGGGACATCGTAAGAGATAACATTGTCAGCGATATGACGAGGAAAATTATTCAGGGGGCAACAGGCGCCTTGCACCAAGTCAATATCAACGAACTCCACCGCACAGCCTCCATTCTGCCTCTGAGAGCTGTTACATGTGCAACCAGGGCATTCCTCTACCTGTCGAAATCACGCACTTCCAGGGACTACTCTTGCATGAGATCTCAGCTTGACGTTCTCCTGGGAACGTGCATAGCGGCTAGCGATGAACTCTGGACAGAAGGGGCATTCATCGATGGCGACAGCACACCGTATCTTCTCCCTGAGCTTAGCACCATGGCAACAACTCCAACCTCTAGCTCCGCTCCAACACCAATCGGCGAAGACTTCGAAATGTTAAATTCGGCGATAGAGGAAAAGAGAGAGTTGATGAGCAGCTTCGACGAATTATGGAATCCACCGAAACTTGAATACATATCACCGAGCAGTGTTATAGATCTAACTTAGATATTTAAACTTAATTGAAAGAGCAATTTTACAGATGATCGGATCCTAGTTTACCACACAAGAGCGGTGGACCTCCTCAAGGCACGACACAATGTAGGTATCAAACTCATTGCCTGCTCAGGATTTGATTTCGTGCCAACTGCCCGTCTCTTCAATGCGTTTCACCGACTTCCTCATGTCACTAAGATAGTATCTACTTGGCCCTTGCTTGATCACCTTAGGGAGAAAAGGCCAGATAAGGGCCGTATTCCCAACGACAAAATGATACATGAGTGTGTTGATAGGCGTGGGCTTCAAGTCGTATGCTGCTTGGAACCTTTCGGGAAGCCAATGAGTTGTTAGCAGCCGCGCGACTGGTGCGGCTGGATGGAACCATAAGGGTACATGTCTTGGATACATGAGATCCTTGGTCAGACTCTTCGCCCAATCAGTCACCTCCAGGGTGTCAATATTATGGTTCCAATATACCCAGAAGTCATCTAATGTCTCTGGCCACATCTCGGGCGGCATGCGTAGGGATGTTGCATACACCGCAGACTCTTTGTACATGACTTCTTGGCGAGCCTTGGACAGTTTCCCAAAGAAAGCCTCATGAACGATGATGAGGGATACGAAAAGTGTCGCGGCTGTCCACTTATGTAGCTCAGGGTCATCGGCGTAATAGTTTGGCCCTTTGACATCTGCATGTGCAGCATGAATGACACTGAATATGGCCTCTTTTTCCTCTTGAGTGCCCATTACGGCTGCGTTCAAGAACCTCGCGGTCGTTTTAAGCCGATTCATTATACGGTACGCAAAGTTGGAGTGTTTGAATGAGCCTTCAGCTAGCCCAGGATGGGCAAACTGGCACAGGATCGCAAAATGCCCACCGAGCAGGAAAATGCAATCTTGGGTTAAGCTCCTCAGCTCTCGCGGCTCTTGGATTGTTTCAAAGATGTGAGGTTTGGTGAAGGCAGCCCCAGGCTTTGTGGGCGTCTCATTTCCAAATCCTGCCGGGCAAGCCATGGCGCGAGCACGCGAGAGATATCAGTATTGCACAGAAAATGTTGCAGAAAATAGATCTTAGTGAGATAGAAGTTTATTGACAACAGCCAGTGGGATTTTTCGATGAAGAACGATGTCACGCCTTGCTTGACTACGATTAGACTCATAGATAACAAATTCGTTGTGTCTAGGAGCCTCGGCACTTTAACTGTAGCCTTGTAAGTGACAGTAATTTCTGACGTATCTATGCGTGACTGATCAGCGGCGAATTGTAAACCCAATTTGGAATGCTTTGTGCCCCCGCATGCATGTAAGTATGGAGGCATTCTGCCTCGGGGTAGCGTCGCCCACCCTCATTCTCATTGCGGGGGAAAATGCCCCGCGACCTGCATCATCCTATATGTAGGTTGGCACATGACAGGCCTGGGTGACAAATGTGTTGGCGTTATCTGATCGTTGATCATGGCCTTTATGGACTGCCGTCGCTGACTCAAGATCCAATGGCATGCTGTGGCGCAAAGTGTGCGTTTGAAAACATACGATGTGTAGCTGAAGCAGCTCGATGCTTGATTGACTATCTAAATGCCCTCACTAATTTGATCCGAAACCAAACCCAAACCTCCGAAGTAAACCTTTCTTATGTTTTGACTGACCCAACTGACCGCTCTCATTCACCGTTCCAACCAGAAGGGTCTCTTTTTTCGGCGCAAGAACAGCCCTTCTATGATGTTTATCGAACTTCTTGGTGGCATCCTTTCCTGCAACTGCTCTCATAACTGTATCACTTGTTAGAAAGTCATTTACTACGGGAAGCGTTAGTATTTACCTTTGTAGCCGCCCGGATGCTTGTGCTGGAACTCGGTCATATCATAAACATCATTATCAATAACAACCCATAAGTCTGCGATCGTGTTGTGCCCTGCAATTTCGTCCATCGTGTACTTGGGAAGATTCTTAGCCATGGGGGTTTCTCCATTTTCTGTAACTTTTTGAGATGTCTTGTGAACATCCGCTGCTACATTTTCGATAGCAGATTCGTTGTTGTTCTCAAGGACTTCATCAACCATTCCCATAGAATCTTTTGACAGAAGATTGTTATCGACCGTCTCTTCTGTGTCGGCGAGTAGAAGTCCGTTCTTTTCTGAATAAGGACTTTCTATTTGGTGCTCGAAATGTTCCACTGTGACTTTCTCGGCGACCGCCACGCCGGGAAGCTGCGGCTCCGGTGGCAGGATCAATGGCTGTGCCATAGCTGCAGATGCAACACTTTGCGGTATGAGGTTGCCTCGGAGGGAAATATTTGGGGCTGTATGCTGAGAACAATGTAAGTTGCTGAGATACACAGTTGCCCGTTAATAAACGTGAGATAGACGGATTATGCCATGCCGAGGCACATCTTCGCTAGTCATGGGGATGATACGGAAAGGATCAGCCCCTCCCACTGTCGTACCATATGACCGGTAAGATGACAATCCGGATAGAGGATCTCGCTGACCTCCAATTCTCGGACGATGCCTTGCGTCAAAACTTCCGGGGCTAAAGCGCAATCAAAAGAAAATTAGGTTCAATTATGTGATTACGACTGAGGTTATCATTTAGCGTTGCAGCTTTGCTACGACTATTTCCCTCAAATCTCTCTTCGCATTTCCATCCCCAAACCAAGTTTCGTTGAGGCCTTTGAGAATATCTGAGAAGGCTCCCCCGCCACTATCACTGGTGCTGTTTCCACCCCGAAGACCATTCAATAAGGAGTCCAAGCCTTCTCCAATGAGATCGAGTAAGCCGCCTAGGTCAGTGTCTCCTGACGCCACACTCTGCATCATGTCGGAGAGAAGCTGTAAAAGAGGAACTTTGCTTGTGAACCTCGCAGCGTTCAAAACCTTTTCCAGGTATCCGATGTGATTACCATCAACTACGGTTGAGTTTCCGTTAAGACCAAGCTCGATTGCTCCACTCCCAAGAGAAGTCGCCTGACTGCCAATGACTGCAGGCAGGTTCTTCAGGAATGTCTCAAGGAAGACCTGTCCTCGGAAGGGCAGTGTGGAGTTGCCGGGAGGGAGCAGAACATCAAATGCTGAGACCTGGCCGATGAGGAGTTGACCAGCCCAGACATTGAATGTTAGATTTCCGAGGCCGATGGTGAGGTCGGACCAGTTAGGCAGGATCATGTCCCCGAGGAGATTGGAGCCGTCTTCAGCGGGAGGGATCTTTATTCGGGCACTGACAAGACCGAATCCGTCTAAACGGTTCAACGCTTTGACCTTGACCGTCTTTTTGAGATTTACGCCAAAGTGAAGCGCGCCTAGATGAGCGGTAGTGTTCCCCTTGACACTGATCTCAGCCTCTTTATTGTTCAGCATCCCTGTCAACCACTTGTCCAGTTCGTCGCGGTCACCCACGCCGACAGTATTATCATGCACAGAAATCTCGGTGTGTCCTTTGACTTTCTGTTCATCAAGACGGACCATGGTGTATGGGTTGAATCCCTCAGAGTCTGCATTGTAGAGCCATAACTCCACAGGATCTAGACCGACAGTCAAGCCGAGCGGGACATCCAAAGCAGTCCTAAGGCCAATCAACACGCTATCATTGGTGAGAGCCTTGAGCGTCGCAGAATAAATGGGTAGATCTGTGTCGTCAATGATGCGCTGTGCTAGAGCCGGGATAATTTTGAGGAATCTATTGATTTATGAGTGGTTAGTGACAAGGAATGCCAGGCGACTTTCCTGGAGGCATCGGACTTACAGCATTGGCAATCCAATTGCCAATAGAACAATGATTAAGATGGCATAGCATAGCCAATACTTGACCATGTGCTTGCGGAATCGGGTGAAAGCATTTTTTCTGTTCTTCCTCTTCTTCCTCTTGATATTTTCCTTCTTCCTTTTCCCATCCGGATTTTGGATATCTTCTATGTGCACAAGATTGATCTTCCCTGGCTTGATGTTGGAATCCATCGACTGAACTTCAAGTGCTATAATCTATGTCAGCGCGAACAAGATCCAGAGGCGTGTCGGGATTGATGACTTACCACCAGAAGCCTCCTCATACTCCTCGAGAGCCTTCTCCTTCTCCTTTCCGCCCTTCTTTAAGCCCATAATATTTGTCTGATGGTGAACAAGAGAATTGTGAGGTCCAAGCGGGGCTGCGTCACCAGCAGATTGTTATGCCAGCTGCCAAGGCACAGCAAGGGTGTTCACTGCCGCCGTCCTCATATACTTTTCCTTTGCGAAGGAAAGTTATGATGCATCGGATTATTCAAGGAGGGGTTTGGGACTAGCAACGAGGGTAGTCTCGAAGTAATCGTGATTTGTCCGCCCAAATAGATGTGTGGATGTCCTGTCTCCATGTTTGACGTTGTAATTAGCAGCCGTGTTGCAACTCAGGTGGCCGATGGGCACCCATCTCAGTTTCAGTAGCATCTAGTCGTCTATTCCGAGGATCGATCAAGATGGGGGTGTGCTCAGCTGGACAACAACCATGTATGAGAGCTCTACAAGGATTCCCCAGATGATAATTCATAAAAATCTCCTAAAAAGACCGCATGTCACCTCGGCCTAGGATCTGGATTCGGTATTGAATCCAATGCGGGGAAGGTGGTATTGTGTATTATGGCATAGGTGAGCATAGACTGGGATACAGCCGGCATTGCGTAGACTTCCCACCTGATGGCAGAGCTGAGGTTTAGACAGGGAGTATCCATAATGCACGGCAACAAAGGCGGGGAGGGATCTTCAGCATAGGAAATCAAATAGAATATGATGGGCAAGGCTTGGCCTGTAACCCTGTAATTATTATCTGCAATGGGCCATTGGCATGTACCTGTGAGAAGCCCGCCAATAGCGGCGAATCCCAGCCCCCCCTGCAACGACACATTGCGAGGCAAGTTATTTGGTCATCTCACGCACCATTGGAGAGGCGTTGTAATATGTCATCTAGTGCAGGGAGGTGCTCTTTGCATGCTGAAATCTCATCCCACAGCGTACAGAGTTACCGCATGCGAGTGGAGCACCCTTCTTACAATGAGGTAGTTGCTCTGCTCGTATGATCAACTGAACCCCTCAAGGCTGCTTACTGACCGATTGGGTCTGACTGGCCTCGGCTTGGCACTTTGATTCAAACTCCTCATCAGGCTTACCGAGGTTCGGAACGCCCATAGTCTCTGATGGATGTGGGAGATGACTCGTCGTCAATCGTCGAAGCGACTCAGCGGGGGCTGTCTTGATATAGGACTGACGAATGTCGAGTCAGTAACGATTGGCCATCTGTCTTTGGCAACGGATTAGAGATCTATTGAAGGCCGTTTGGCTATGGAGTATATAAGTCTTCGTAGTCAGTCCGAGAAAAGACAGAGAAATGCCTGCATAATCCACCTTGCAAGAGCCTTCCAACTCGACCGGTGACAATAGACTACCAATATTCTTACAAGTCCTCTCAAAATACCCTCAAGATGGGGAGTGACACGTTAAGCAATGGCACCGAGACGTCGCCCATTAGCGAAAAGCCCAAGGGGGGTTTCCAGTTCAGCAAGGAAGACTTCCTCTCAGACAACTTCAATCCACAGCACATCAATCTCATCGTCCAGGAGGGCATCATTCTTGGCGGAGGTGCCGCCGCTATTTTGCTGCAGGTGGCAAGCCCTGGCGTTGCTCAGGGTGTTAATCAACACAGCAACTTCTCGTATCGTGTTGCCGACCGGCTTCGCACCACGATGACATTCGTTTACGCAATGAGCTACGGTACACCCCAAGAGAAGCGAACGATTGTCGACTTGGTTGGAAAAATCCATGACCAGGTGTACGGAAAGCTGGACGAAGGAAAAGACAAGGGAAAGCACTATGATGCCAACGATCCCGACCTACAGATGTGGGTTGCCGCCACCTTATATGCAATCGGAATCGATATCTACGCACGAATCTATGGTAAAATCGATGATGAGGAACTTCACGAGAAGATCTTCCAAGAGTACTCTATCCTTGCTTGCTCTTTGCGGGTGCCACCAGAGATGTGGCCAAAGACCAGGGCCGAATTCTGGCAGTATTGGGACGAGAAGATTGCTACTCTGGAAATTACGCAGCACGCGAGGGAAGTGGGAGACGATTTGTTGTATTTAAGGAGGGCTCCGTTTTACTTCCGCATGTTCATGCCGACTGTTCGTGTGGTCACGGCAGAACTGCTTCCCGAGAGAATGCGTCAAGAGTTTGGTGTCAATCGCCACCCCAGGACATACAAAATTGTCGAGTTCGGTGTGAAATCTATCTATCGGCCTCTTCCCTTATGGGTTCGAAGTATGCCCGTCAGATATTACATGAAAGACCTCAGAAAAAGGCTCAACAAGCACCAGAAGGTCTTTGAGAAGGCATGATAAGGACTTGTCGTTGGACTTGATTCTACCCTTGTCTTATGCAAGATACTTGTGGACATTATCAATGATTTCTTATTAGTTGGTAGAATGCCTCATGCGTGAATTCCAGGGCAATCTTGTGTTGATAGTGTGAGCACTGCAAACCTAAATTGAATGGCTATGAACGTGGAAACCCCGACGGTGTCACCAAGTCGCTCGCAGCATGGAACTGGGGAACTTGGAAGAAACTTCTTACTAGAAATGAACATGCTGCGCTAATGATCTTCGGCTCGACGGCTTATATTCCATAGAGGCTATCTGTGATTCTATTTAATTTTTCTCCTATAATTTGCATCGCTATAGCTAGAATAACACGAACTAACTTAGTGATGTAACAGTCCATTCACAATTGACTAGAGGAAAAGAACAAGTTTTCAGATGCGTATTGTGCCTTTTATTCCACTCAACCATTGCGCGTCTAGCAAAGGTAACGGGTCAGAATGGAGTAAAAGGACATCAGATTCAGCCATCGATTGAGAATCCGAATCAACTGAGCAGCTTTCATCCTACTATAGAGCGATATATTCAGACTGACTCAGCTGGATTTTTGAAGCTTTTATAACTGGAGATAATTTCTCTCCTAACCTTCCCGCATAGAGGATACTACTCGACACTTTCATAGCTACGTGCTACTACTAAAATTGTATTATATCCCACCCTTTAATAAGACGAATCTGAAGAAAGTGAAAAATCTGATGATGAATCCGAGAAATCTGAGGAGTCGGAAGAATCATCAGAATACTCTTCCACCCGGATATCAACCTTAGCATGGCCAATCTTTTTCCATAACTTATCGCCTTCGTGTTCCAGCTTGTCCAGATCTGCTAAAAGCTGGTCTTTGCGCTCTTTGTATGCATCCATACGCAACTGTGCAAGCTCATTTGCCGCCTGTGTGCCTATATCTGTTCGCTTTTGCCACCAATTTATGAATTTCATTTCATTATCGCAATACTGCTTCTCGGTTTGACGAATTTTCTCCTCGGTCGCTTCAAGTTGACTCTTCAAGTCTTTCTTCTTAGCTTTTAGAGCGTCCATTTTCTTCTCTTTCTCGGATTTCTCCTTTGGTGGCGCTGTGGATGGTTCGCCCACTTCCTCCTTTGCTGGTGCCTTTCCTTTGGACTTCGCAGAGTCACTCTTTCCGCTATCCGATGCTGGCTTGGATTTCTTGTGAGACTTCTTGCGAGACTTCTTGGGGGGCTTGCCTAAAGCTTGGGCAAAGGCCTGGAGCAATCCGGATTTTCCTTTAGCCATGCTGCAGTCAGGGATAACTGAATAATTGGGGCTGACAGGCAGGATTCTTCTTCTCGGCAAGAGTTCAATAGGTTTCGGATGTTGAGGAGAAGCTACCGTAAATAGCTCTCTAAAAGGATTGAGTGGGGAGATTGAAAGATAAGAAAGAAGACGCTCTAGTTGTCAAATATATATAATGGTAAGGCTGCGTGATTGGGTGATACTAGATAGATGATCGGAATATACGGTTATTTGATTCAGAACCCGTCGAAGGTAACACCGGGCTATCTTTAGGCCTCTGGGAATGAATATAGCTCTGTTGGGAAAGCCTTGGTGACTAAATGATAGGACACGAGGAGCTGCCTATCCTTAACTGTAAGTCATCGCTATTCATCACTGCTAATCTCGCCATTCTCATCTACAAATTAATTCTATAATTAAAGCTATGAAGTGAGCCATTAGTTCTCCCTGCACTGAATGGTCGTTCTTATCACGGGAAGAGAGATGTTTCATGGTCATACCTCGCAAGTCACACGGTATACTTTAGCTTGGGATTATGTTTGTTTGGCTGAAAGATGGGTTGGAACTCCCGCCTTTGTGTCTGCTCGAGACAGGGGAGAATGAGTGCATCCTGTAAATCTCACTAGGCATGCACGTTACGGAGAGCTGAAATCTTCGCCCAATGAACAACCCGGATGCACGCAAGCTACCTTGATCTTATTGGTGAGAAGTGAGACGACCTAGTAGACTTATCATAAAAAAAGGCACTATCAAGACATTGTGCAGTAGCGCAGATTCTTCTGGGCGGAGTATTTCAGATCCCACGAGGTCTCGCCCTCAGCTCGTCAGCCCAACCTCTCTGCACATTTGTGTCGTTCTTTTCTTCAATCTTGCCACTTGAACTGACGCTGTAGATAATAAATCACGCAGTCTTTGGGCTCTATGAGCTTCAGTCTTTCCCTTATTAAACGCGTCATTATGTCTAGACAACACAAATTTCCTCTTCTTGTTTTGCTGTTACTGAGCCTCCTACTGAATGACTGTAGAGCGCAGGCCGTGGATAAGGATGAGGTCGTTTGGACGACACAATCCGGTTGGAATGACATGAAAACATGTGCCAAGTGCAAGTTTGACTCCCTCCTTTGCAACTGGCCAGGTAATCTGCAGGGGGACATTGGCTGCAGCACAAATGCCTGCATGTGCCGGGCTAGCACGTTGGGTCAGACACTCAAGAAGGTGTCTGATTCCGTGCTGTCTGCCTGCTCCAACTACGATGATCAACGGGACGCGACAAGCTTCTTGATCGCGTACTGCTCTGATAAGGGCTACACAAGCATCGGCTCTGCCGTGATAGCCAGCTCGACAGGTGCGTTGACGGTGACAGAGACTGTCACGGTGTCGGTTGTGACACAGACAGTTTTCGTGTCGGTAGTCTCCTCGGGATCCTTATCACGACCCCGGAATTTCAGCTGGGCGATCGTATGGTTTCAAGCGGTGGTTGTTTGTCTGGTTGCGCCGAATCTGCTGTTACGTGTAGTACGTCACTGACGTCGCTCACAAATTGGTGCGCCGCCCTGGGATTTGCATGCGCCCTTTTCGACCAGAATGATTTGATTTGATGGGATTGGCCGTCATCATGAACGGAGGATAGAAGCTGACAAAATATTTAGCTAAGGTTACTTCCGACTCTCGTGTTAGTTCACAAACATCCGAAGCAGTGACAACGACGACGAAAGAATCTCGGACAACTGCACCGGGTGTGATAAGCACACAGATCATCAGTAATGGTGTCACGTCAGTAATTACAATCACAAAAGGGCCGGAGCAGACATCGTCATCCACAACCAGCAATGGGAGCAGCGACATTACCAACTCATCATCCCGCGACGGCGATAAGCTAAGCAAAGCAGAGCTGATTGGGATCATCGTTGCTGTTGTTGGAGTGTTTATCGCTGCTCTGACTCTGTGGGTGACTTGGAGAGGGAGGAAACGCCGCCGGGCCAAGAACAAAGCATCGCCAACTACTTTGCCAGATGCTGGACACCAGCTGAAGAACATTCCTGCTCGGAACCAGAACGAGGCTTAAGAAATGAGGCATACGTTTCACTATTTTATGATTTGCAGGTAGCATACACACACCACTCTAAGAATCTTAATCGTACAAATTACAAAGTTGCAATACGAACCAGGCTTTGGTATCAACGACTTGACCCTGATGCGTCTATGTTTGGTAATATGTGATACAATACGACTAGTCGAAAGCGATATGCTGTACCTAAGCTATTTTCCCCATATATCTTGACATCCTACTGGTGAACTAAGTGATGTTGAGAGATACGCAACCGGTCGATAACCGTGAAGGATCTCGAAATGCCTCGATGCCTGTCGTCCTTCCCCACTGGAGCATGAGGCTTTTCGTATGCAGCGGGATTCTTTCCCACCTGGCGTTCCTCCAACCATCTCGTTTAACCTGCTCGAGGTCTGCAATCTCTTCGACTAGTGCCCAACTTTCTGCCTTGCGCATGGATCGGAAGACAACGCGAGTCCCGGCGTCCTCGAAACGGAACACTCTCCAACAAAGCCTCCGCCATTGCTCATGTTCCGAGCCCTCCTTTGCATTCTCGACTTCGAGCTTACAATTCTGCTCTGCGATGGCTAGAAAGGCGTGGTTGTTCCATATCCCGTCCCGGTGGGGATATTTGTCCATGATGCGGATCGCCTCGTTGCGGGTATTTGCGTCTCGGCAGTTTACTGCAACGAACATCAAACGCCACAGCACGGTTGACTGCATCGAAAACACGCCTTCATCTGAGTTGAGCTCTCTCCTACAGCTCCTGGCCAAGTCCTCACAGAGCTCATTCATCTGGCGAAATGCAGGCGTGAGAGCGCTCACTATATCATAGTTGCCTTTCTTTGGGAACATGGCAAAGAGATAAAGCTCAAGATACTGGAGGTGGAGATAGATGGTCTGATGGTACATGTCCGGGTTGGACGAGCGATTTCGAGATGCGCTCAGGCGCAGCGGTTCAAACGCCCGGTACCAGTTCTCGAGAAAATGATGAGCGCTGCGCACGAAGATGTCCATTTCAGCCTGATGCTCGAGCTGATCGAAAAAGTTGTCGACATCCTGAAATGTCTCGTTGAAAATGATCAGGCGTGGCATCGACGCCATAAGTTGAGGGAAGTATTTTTGAATTTTGCGTTCGGTGAGGGACCAATGCTCGTAAGCTTCTGCCAACGTGGAAAAGGTATCAGGGAAGGAATTTAGGTCGATTTTCCGCCGAGGATTCAAAAAGAAATCGAAGTTTGCATCAACCTTTTCCGGGTTGTAGCCTTTGGCTTGCAAGCCTTGAGCCAGGGTCCGTATTGCGGACTGGCTTCTGCCCAGTCGTCCGCTCATCACGGTCTGTGTCTGAACACCTAGGTATACATATACCCTTGCGATCTCGTGGAGGAGTTCCCAAGGGTCGGGGGCTATTTTGCGGATATGAGAACTCGACCTGTCGTGGGTGAACAATTGCTGAAGTAAGGGAGTCCCACGAGCGATGTGCTGCAATGCTGCTTCTTGGTTGGAGCGAAGAGCCTCGAAGCAGATGAAGAGAATAGAGCCTAACATTAGACTCTGCATGTCTAAGGATGCGAGGTTTGCTTGTGCCTGGAGCCGTAGTGCTTTGCAATAATGGTCGACTGCGTTTGTATGATGAAGAGCCTTTTCGACATGCCCTCCTGCACAACTCGTGGACATGGCTCGGCTCATTGCCCCAATCGCTATCGCTGCGTCACGCAATATAGGATCCTGGCGTGTGATTTGGGGCATGAACACGGCCCATAACTTACTCGAGGAGTAGCCGCCAAGGAATGACTGAGAGAGATGGCTCCATTGATCGAAATACTGTGCCTCAAGATCGTTCTTGAAATAGAGGGAGTTGATGTCGGGACCACAAGACAGGATGAAGCCAGAAGAGTGATTGGCTTCAAACCCTGCTGCATATCTTACGGATCGATTCTTCCTGGGTTTGATTTGGTAGCCGGTGCAGGTCCGGCCAGATTTGGTACAGTTTTGGCAGCATGGTTTCGCCTCGTCACACCTAACATGCCGTTCCCTAAATTCATTTAGTCCCGTATTGGTACCAAGGTGCATATGTGCTTATTCTTACTTGCCTTTCGATTGTCAGTATCAAACATTAAGGATTGGTGCACGTGTCTTTGGACTTACAAGTCCCACATCCAGTCCGGGATTTGGGCGCACTACTTCGAACCTGCGTCCGCATCGCGGTACAGGAGAATCAATCGGAGCCCCCGTAATTCCCGCAGTCTCCGGAGCCTTAATATCTTCGTGTGGGATAAATGTGAGCGTTTTCCCCGATGATCCGCAAGCTGGACTGTTTGTGTTTGGTTTTACGAAGGGGGGGCTTTTGACGGGCGACTAAATATGGAGCATCATCTCAAGGTTTTGTAATCAAACCTTGGCTATTCCTTTTTGGTCCGGTTTTACGAAGAAGTGGCACCAAAATCCGCTGCTTTCTGCGGAGCGGCGTCGTGGAGCTGCTCATACCGGTAATGAGATTGGAAAAGTATAAATCAGGCAAGATACGCCTTTTTGACCGACATTAGACCCTTTTTACGGCACGAATACAATTGAATAGCAGTCTAGGAAGCAAACTCGACAATGACTACCAATAAAGTCCTTGTGCTTGGTGCTACCGGCCCTTCAGGCATCAGTCTCCTCCGAGAGCTGCTCTATCGCAAGTATAGCACTGTTGCCTATGTTCGCAGCCCTTCCAAAATACCGGACGACATTTCGTCGAATTCTCTGCTCACTGTAAGCTGGCCAAGGTCAAATGTTAAAAACTTACCTCGGAACACTTTTCTAAGAAGAACAATAGGTCATTAAGGGAGCCATGGATGACAGAGAGGCTTTCACGAAAGCACTGTCTGGTGTCGATGTTGTTCTTTCTTTACTTGGGCCGACGTTTGGCTCTCCCATATCCCCCTTCGAGGATTACTACCGGGATGTGGTATTTCCCGCCATGCGCGATAACAACGTCAAGCGTATTATCGCCTCCTCAACCGTCTCTGCACCAGATCCCAAGGATTCTTTCGTCTTTCGCGTCACTTTAATGAAACTCCTCGTTAGGGTGCTCGCCCCTGGTGCGATACCATCTATTCAGGCAACCGCCAAAGTATTCCAAGAGGAAGCGACGGACCTTGAATGGACTTTATTCCGCTTTCAAAACATTGTGGGCCAGACGGATGAAGATAGCTGGAAAAAAGATCGGGAGGGCGTCATCCACGCTGGATATCTTGGTGACTCCAAAATCGCTGGTTGGAGCAATCGCAATGCGATTGCACGATGGGTGGTTGATCTTACTGAGAACGGACAGAGTGAATGGGATAAACAGATGCCTGCTGTGGGCCAAACCAGTGGGTGAAGGGAGACTCTTGGTGACACGGGCATACATTTTCATGAGTACATACATCTGGGCCAATTTTGTAGCTTTAATTACCTTAGAATTCAAATTGATCGTTGCGTTCTTAGTCGGAGTGAGGCGAGACTTATGGGCAGCCAACATAAAACGCATAATATCTTGGTTAAGCCATCCGGGAAAGGGAAAGACATATATTCTTCGAGATATCGAATTTATGGAAGGCGGTAAAGTGAAGTGCAACTAGCTAGGTCCCGATACTAGTCTGTCACAGTCAATACAAGGAGACGGCCGTGGTCAAAATCAGTCCCGACGCCCATGCCACAAAACGAAGCCTACAGTTGAACACGATCAAATGGACCGACTATAGTATGGTGTAATTCTAATTCGAAACGTGTTTATTTCGACATAATCTTAGTTGCGCTGAACTATAGCGACATCTACAGTAATTCTTTACCTTGCCAAAATCTGGGTCGATCAGTGATGGAACAATTATTTCTGTCGGGGTTTTCAAAGCCGCTTTTATCTAAGCAGCTCCCATGCCACTTTTAAGCTCCGATTTCCTGTTATACACTCGCTAATCTCGCTGAATTATGTCTATCCGTGCTGGGGTCAGAACCTTCAGCCTTCACCACACAGGGGCTAATTATAGACACAAAGAGGCCCGGCCTAACGAAACAATGATTTCTTTCATGGGAACTCGTTTGCATGGGAATGAAGAAACTTAATCTGATGTCTCGCGTTCGGTTAGCTATACGGTGATGACCAATGGACGCTATCCCATATGAGCTGGTTGCAGGGTTGCATTGGGTAAGCAAGGTGAAATCAGCCTCGCGGTGGTGTGATGCACGACTCTAATGAGCAATCCTCTCTGCTCGACGGACGCCTAATTCTCGAAACCTTTTTCTTCTTTCCAACAACCTTTACATCAGATCAGTCTTTTCAAAAATCAAAAGTCTTACGCCAAACGAGATTTCTCATGGAGACTCGCAGCTTCAGCGCCGGCGATAACAAGAAGGAACATCCTTACTATGAGTCGCGTACAGATGGGCAGTCTACAGAGTACACAACTACCTTCACTTCTGGGGCAACCTCTTCCAGATCCTTCACCATGGGTGTCGGAGTAGGCACACCTCCACTCAGCTCCTTACAGCAGCGACATCAGCATGATATTGGCTTCCGCAATCAACTAGGAACTGCTTTGGAGGACACTGCACGTACATCAAGGCGTACAGAGTCAACAACCACAACCTACAACGAGTCGCCTTCTGAATTCAGGGAAAGGCATCGCACGGCCCACGCAGAGGCTGAAAAGAGATTCAAGAAGCATATGGATCGAGATTTTGCCATTTTCTGCTGTTTTGCCCTTTTGGTTCTTGTTGTAGTTCTTGGTAGCTATGTCTGGGGCAACTTTAGCGGAGGCGAGGCAGCCAGTAATCAGGGAAGCCCGGCTGTTACACATAAAAGCAGCAGCTGGGCGATCTGGATTCCTCTGGGCCCCCTTTGGGTGGGATACGGATCTGAAGGTTTTTTGTGGAGTTTCTCTTTGTCATTCTCGTTTTGATTCTATGTATGCATCGATGGTGCTTTAAGAATAACACCATGGCTTTCTGGGGTATGAGTTTCGCTCGCAGCAATGCCTCACTAGCAATGCCTCGTTTTTTCTTATGCAGACTCGAGCAGCACTCCTGTATCATGTGGCAACGAAGTGAAGAATAGCAATCATCGCCCTATATCTACCACTGTTGGGTGGTCCATCAATGTTTTCCATTCCGCTTCCTGCATAGTTTGCTCCAATCTAGTATCTCCCTGCCCTAGACGGCCATTGACATCAACGGACATCAAAGAACAATCCCAGCTTCCAGACTATCCAGACGAACCCTGAACTTTTCTGCTTCGTCGCGTGGCTCTTCCGACTTCTTAAAAACCGGCAAGACACGGGTTAGAATTCCCGATTTGATTGCAAAAGCAATAAAGAAATATCTTTCGGAAACACGGTGCGTTCAGGAAGCATCTCCATCTAGCGAGACGAGTTTCTTATGAGAGCGGTCCATGTCCGGAATCCAATCCTTGTTTAACCTTCATCAGCCTTAGTATTTAGAGCCAAATTAGAAGCATCGACTAGATATAACTTCGAAAATACCACTACTTAAATTGCCTTCTGTCTACTGATTGTCGTTATTCAAGAGTAAGGTTCTGATTCGATCACTCTCGTTCATGACGACACGAGGCGTTCTATGCCTCCTGAACAGCTCGGCTGTGAGCTTTAGTCTATTTGGTCTTTTTCTTCGTGACTCATTGGCTTCCCTCTCCCAAATTCGTTCCACCTTCCATACCCAGATAATATTGACTACAGGAGGCCTAAATATAGGGCTGGCCCGGGAATAACTGACCCCCATGTAAGGCGCCCAGACTGAAAACTACTGAACAGCGTTGCATCCTTCGTATCCTCATTAGCCAGATCCCTGTCTAGGTGCGGCCAGAGTCTCGATGGTAAGATTTATCGGCATGACTCATGAGCACCAGACAATCCTTTGAACATAAAATCCCGTCGCGAATCTACGTTTATGCTCGGTTTTTCTGCGCACCTGCTCGCTCACTTATTTTGGCCATCCAATTCTCCTTTCTATCGCCCGAAGTCACTTAGTTTAGTAGCTCACCAGTTCGTCATTGACGATACTATGGGTTGCACCAACTCGACCCCTGGCGGCGGCCCTGGAGCCCGGCCGGTCCAGAACCCTGCTCATGAGCAAACACAGCAGATCGAGCTTCCAGATGTTCAATGGGAGATCAACAAAGAGTGGTCGGAAATCATGGAGGCCGAATGGAAGAACGCTTTCGAAAGCGGGAATGCCAAAAAGTTTCGTGCCTCGTTTCAGCCTTTTCTCGACTTCACTGTGCGCAAGTGGCTTAACAACGCGGAGCCCGCCTGCGCAAAGGCCGGCACAATTGAGGACATGGGGGAAACAACGCTTTGTGTAGGTGGTCGAAAAAGCAAGTATCCTGCCAAAACTGTCCTCACACTGGATGACGACTTTACGGGTGTGATATATTCAGCAACTATGATCATTGCCCCGCCGCTGAAAGGCAAGGGGGCGGACGAACCCTGGATGAAGGCGGGCGCAGCACTGCAGACCGAAGAGTTGAGGGAGGCCAAAAGACACATGCTGACGTTGTTTACTCTGATGCTTGAGGAAAACGCCAATATCAAGCATGCCCTGATCCATGTGTTCATGGGCGCGGATTTGGTCAGCTGCAAATTCAACACCACAGCCAATGAGCCTACGATAACCATGCTCGAGCATCAGGACAAGCCCAACGAACAGTTCGTGGCTGGGAACGAAGACCTGCGACAGGCCGCTATTTCTGATCCAGAAAATATGCCCGTGCAGCTTCCATCATTGATGTTCACTGCGGCATATCAACGAGCCGAGCGCGAATATCCGGGTTGCACCACCTGGGACGAAGGGGAATTCCCATTCACTGTTGATGGCATGCCTTACCCGTATCCAACACGGCTATTGGTGGCGAGGGACTTCAACAAAATGTCCGAGAGAGTTGACTCAAGCTTCTTCAAAGTCGTGACTTCCAAGGACTCAAATGACAGCTCCGAAGCTTTCCTCGTCAGGAATTTGGACCCAGATAAAGACCCAGGAGGCATAGTCTGTATGACCCTGATTCTAGGGATCGATCCCAAGGTGATCTGGCCGAAGTGTGGAGATTACACTGACAGCCCAGCTATCGCCGCAGCTGAGAAAGAGTTGCATGAGCACGTCAAGACACTCCACAAGAATGGCAAAGTTCGAGCTTGCGCGATGAGAGTCTGCATCGGAACTGAGAGGAAGAACTCCAAATTTGTCGGTGATGTGGGCATTATTGCACCGGAGGCTACGGGCCCAGAATTCCAAACTGTTCCCGAATCACACAGGCGACAATACACTGATCTCAGCGGATTCCTGCTCAGTTTAAACGAGCAGCCAAAGCATGAGCTCTTTGAGTCAGAGAGCCATTTTCAGGCCATCAAGGAGCACATGCACACTCGTGCACAGGAGGATCCCAAGTTCTTCAACGCTATAGTGCCGCAGGTAGCGGTCATGTCGGCAAAACATTTTCTCTCTACAAATTTCCCAGGGTGTGAGGTGGTGGATGAAGGAGAGTTTCCTGGGACTCTCCCCGATGGAACAGAAATGAAGATCGCAGACACGAGATTAATGCTGGCCAAAGATCCCAAGCAGGAGCCTAAGAGCATTGTTGCTGCATTGCACATAGTTCCTAACCCTACTGGTGGTGAAGATACGTTTATGGTCAAGGGCAAGAAAAACTGGCTTGAGTCCAAGGAAATGAAGGGGGCAGAGTACGCCTTGCTAGAGTTGCTGAAGAAACTTCATGGGGAGGGCAAGGTCTCTGAGGTGGACTGCATGGCTCAGGTCATGATGGAAACGGATGCTACTATCTATCAGTTTGTGGAAGGGGGTAAGTTTATTGATTATAGCGATGAGCGCATGGCCCAATTCAAGTGGTATTAGGATCCGACACCGGCGGATAGTTTTGGTAACAACATACTATTGGAACTCTTAATATGAATTAATGATCTTCTTTACCTTCATTAGTGTTCTTTACGCCATGTCCCTCAATGTTCTTCTTTTACCTACATGCTCCATCACTATTATTCTTTGAGATCACCGTCCTTGAGCTACCATTTCCACTTGACCAATTTGTTATACTTGACGAGTTCGAAGCTGATCGTTTTTTGTGAATAACATTATGGTCTTGCGATCAAGCGTGTCTAATTCCTTTTTTTTTTTTTTTTTTTGGTTCTCAATCCATCTCCCTGTCTCTTGGATATCCTAGAATCCTATATATGATTGGAATATTTGACGGATGATATCAAGCCAATCTACCTTCGTCTGCTGCGGCTACCACTGGAGAATATTCAAAGCAAGCTCCGGCAAAGTTCTCGAGCTGGTTAAATTATCAATCAGTGTGAAGAAACATATCGGGCTTGAACTACTACTTACTTGGCAGCTACGACTAGCTCGGTGGTGTGACGGTCGTTATTAAACTCCCGACGTGCGAATTCGGACAACTCAACCGATTTCGGCTCAGTATCCTTCAAAAGTCCAAACTCGTGACCAACTACACCAATTGCTTGAGCTACTTCCAGCCAGCTGTGACTGCCCGTGTTGGAGAAGTAGATTCCTCGCCTTCCGTATCGTAGGCTTTCGCCAGCTAAAAGTCGCGACAGCAAGAGTTCGAAGACATTAGCTAGGTCCTGAATATCGACATGGCCTATTGTGTAAGATCCGTCACCCACGAACTCGCTTTGGCCTTGTCGTATCGCGTTACGAACGAGCATTGGAACTTGGTGAGACTGTTGGCGATACGGTCCTGTACCACGACCAATGATGCAAGGTGGCATCATGATATACGTTTTAATACCAGTCTCTTTTCCTGCTTGAATGACGGAGATATCGGCAGTTCTCTGCGGGTAGGCCGCAGTGTTTTCTCGACGCTCCTCATACTCGAAGATGTCGTCTTGTTTGTCAATGCTCGAGTTTCGACGTATCGTTTCGTGATCCCATAGTCGCCTAGACTTGATGTTCCTGAAGTCTGACAGTGATAAGGTTAATTACGCCATCACGATTATTTCCAGAAACACTGACATGGATGTAAAATGGTTCGCCACCCAGTGACCTTTTTCTTTGGGCCAGCCCACGGATGAAAGCTCGTGGAGAGTCCACGTGGTGACCATTGGCGCAATGGATAACAATGTCGAAGTTACTGGCGATGCTTTCCAATGAATCTGTGTCGTCTAGGTCTCGGAATGTTACAAGAGACACTTTGCCCTCAAGAGCTGCGAGACGTTCCGGGTCTCGGGCAAGAACTGAGATCGAAATTGGTTCTAATCGTGGAGACGCCAGGAGGCAAGTTAAGACTGAGCCTCCACTGCATAGGAAGACCATTAGCGATTCATAAACTTAGCAACATGTGCTGCATGAAAAGCTTACACGTAACCGGTCGCACCGGTAAGTAGTACTCTCTTGTGCATTTTATCGCCAGGGGGCTGCAATAGCAAGATTTAGGTGAAAATGAGTAGGTAAGGTAGTGCCCAAATGTAGCCTACAAGCCCCAATAGCTTGAGACGAGAAGAGGTTATAATTTCCAAAGTCCGTTATGCGAATTTTTTTTTCGAAAGAAGAACAAGGAAAGTCCATCCTGTTATATGTGATTAAAAAGCAGTAGTGTTGCATAGGTATTTATGTCGATTTGTCATTACTGTCGTAGTCGCGTTACATCATCACTGCGGGGGGTCACGACACTGTATGTTTCATATTACTATGTACGCGGGCTGAGTTCTTCCCTCACTTAGATAATTATACGCCGGACGCTATCATAGGTAGTGATATTGCCTAGACAACCAGTCATCTTCTTGTTTGAATGAACTATCATCGAGCTTTATGGGAAGCTTCCAAAATCGGGTTCAACCATAGTCGTTGCGACTGCGTTATTTTCGCCTCGCCTGATGGATTAGTAGGAATCGAGGGCGGAATACATTTTCCGCTCTAGCTTTAGCGTCATTTATATTTTAATTTACTATTAGGTTATTTTTATTTTATTTTTGTCACTAAGCTTGATATATTCTGGTTTGTCTTTGGGCGTCTATAATTGAAGGGCGGTTGATGATCATTCCAATAGAAGCGCTTTTTCGGTGTTACTCAGTTTTATATTTCACTATTGTGTAGATAGATGTTAGCTTCGCGTCGGTAGCCGGTTCGTTTCCCGAAACCGGTGAGAAAGTAGTTCTAGGTACGTAAAAGACTGATTCAGAACTCTCCTTGCTGGGTTCGTTTTCTCGACCATCGCAATGACAGACAAATTCAAATCACTTCTACCACTTCCATCTGCAACTTGCATTATGATTCCATATTGACTCGTACTATTATTTCTGTCGTCATAACTTGCTTGTTTGGCTGAAATATGCTCTCATATCTAAGGCACTCAGCAATATCGTGCGCAGGCTCGTATCATCGCCACCCGTTGTAGCCAGCATCGAACCTTCGTTAAGGTATCAACCCCTCATCAAGATAAGAGCGTGCATGTGCATATTAGTTGCATCGACTTGGTCGAGCTCACCGACCGCTCATCTTCTCTCCTTTCCTTTATCCATTTGACTCTTCGCCAATGCAATATAGAGCGAGCAGAGTACGAGGAAATGGCGCTCAACGTAACCTTGAAAGTCGCGATTGTAACAGGTGCTGGATCTGGAATTAACTACTCCTTCGCGAAGCTACTTCTTGAGAACAAATGCAATGCCATACTCGCAGATTTGGCCTTCCGGCCCGAAGCAGCGGAGCTTGTTTCCTCCTATAGTGACGGAAACACAACGCCTAGAACTATTTTTATGCTGGTAGACGTCACCAACTGGAAGCAATTGGAAGAAATGTTTGAATTGGCTGAAAACGAATTCGGACATGCGGACATCATATGTCCTGGGGCCGGTGTTTTTGAGCCGGTGCGTACAATAAGGAACAAGATCGTGTATAAAATAACAACGTGCTAACGTTTGATGCCAGACAACTTCAAACTTCTGGATTCCGCCCGGCACTGGTTCTAGCTCCGATTTGCCACAGAAGAACCGTATCCGTCATTCGATATCAATCTGTCGCACCCTATTCGATGTACGCAGTTGGCAATTAGTCATTTCATCAAGCACAAGACCCCGGGATCAATCGTCCTCACATCGAGCATTGCATCACAATTTCCATATATAGGATGTCCATTGTATACTGCTTCGAAGCATGCGATCTCTGGCTTTGTTCGGTCTCTCGCTGCGCTTGAGCAACCACCAAACTCGAACGTGCCTCCTATCCGTGTGGCTGCTGTCGCACCTGGTATTGTCAAGACACACCCATATGGCTTGAGAGCGAAAAAGATCCAATGGCTGAACTCGGAAAAAGATCAATGGGTTACTCCCGAGGAGGTCGCCGACGTCATGCTGAGCCTCATTTGGACAGACAATTATAAGGGTGGTATGACTTGGAAGTAGGGAAAAACAAAGCGAGAAAGGTGGAGGAGCTGAACGACCCTGGTCCTCAAGGCGATGGGTTAATACTCTCTGCAGGGGCGAAGGGTATTGAGGAAATCTGGGCACGGCTATCAGACCCCTCATGGGGGCAGTATATATGAATTATCCAGTCACAGTCTCACTGAGAGAAGAAAGTGGTGGGCTTGTGTGTTTGGTAATTCCATCGTCGTCTGACTTTTGATTTCACTTTTGGCAACAAGGAAAAAATGAGCCTTTATAAACGTTCCGGGCGTCTCTGGGAGCTGAAGACTCACATTAGAGGAGGTGGTCCGGAACAACATCGTGTTAAGGCTTGCTTGGATTTTACTCCTCCCCTCCCCTAATGCAATTGGCCAGACCGGGCCAATCCCCCTTCAATTTGCTCTGTTACCTTAAACCACTTCCAACAAGACCAACGAAGACGAAGTAAGCTTTTAGGCACTCGGTTTCTTTGCCCAAACCACCTTTATCCGGAAGTAAGAGTGTATCTTGTTGTCCTTCATCTCCCGGTAGAACTTCTCATAATAGGCGGCAAGCTCTTCCTTGGACCAGCCCTGCAAGTTGGCCACATATAGCACATAGCCTTCAATGTCTTTCTCCAAGGCCGCCTGTGCAAATCGGCCGATTTCCTTCAGCTTGGGGTCTCTCGCCCACGTTCCCAGGGGCAACTGCTCAGCAGGTGTTAGCCAGTCATCCAACAACACTTGAAGAGAACAAGGTAGAGGAAAACAAAACCTTTCTGGTGAACTCTTGAATGTCGACAAAGCCCACGGCCTCCATGCCCTTTCTCTGGAGCTGCTCGTCTACAACGGTGAAGGTTCGCCCGAGCTTCTCCCCGCCCTTGACAAAGAGTTTACCCCATGTTGCCAGGGCACTCGATTCCAAAACAGTGCCGTCGTCGCTCTCCAGCCACGGCGCTCCTTCAAAACTCTCCACGTAGCCTCCTGGTTTGCAGCACGTAAAAGCTGACTTGAACAAGGCATTCCAGTCCGGCAAGCTGCCTGTCAGGTATCGTATGTGGACGAAGTCAATCGAATTTGGTGGAAAGGTCCACTCTTGCGTACAGTCATCAATTATGCTGATGAGCTTTGTTAGTTAAAGGATCGGCATGGGGGACCAGCTATGATATTTTACAATTCCAAGTTAGGCGGCACCCAGTCAGGCTGGATCCTGGAAATATCTGTGCCGATGACTTTACAAGCAGGGTGTTCATCCGCAAAGTCTCTGTGTATCGGTTACTTCAGTTGCACATCTAACAGGGAAGAGATGAATATGCGTACATTGCCCAGATTCCGGTTCCAGTTCCGATATCAACGGCTTTCTATAGGACGGCTTTTATCAGAGGGGAGTGAATCAAGTCCACAGTCAACTATACAAACCTCGATGTCTTTATCGACTGGTGCCATGTGGAGTTTTCCATCGATAGCGAGCGTGAGAAGATGGTGGCTGCGAAAGTCAATATCAATAGCTTTTTAGGAGCTAGTGCCAACGTACTTGATATCCATGGACTCATTTTGCAGCGCATCATTTGAACCCCTGTGGGTGTACGCGTGTTAATTGGCTTGCTCAGATGCAGCTTGTGATATGGCAAAAAGAGCGCCTGCAAGAGTAAACAGAGATTGAGAGATATATTACCAGTAGTGAGCGTTGCCCCGCTCGCTGTGATATGTCCTGCCCTGGATTGTTCGGTAGGCAAGAACACTAGAACTGAGAGACTCCGTCGCATTGGTAGACAAGTCGTCATCCGTAACATCCTGCGGAATGTTAGACTGTGCTAGGAAGATGAGAAGGGGCAGGGAGCTGGCGTGGCGCGGAAGCAGTCGTACCGGGTCATCGTCTGGCAAGATCTCGGCGGTCAAAGGCTGTTCCGGTGCAGACTCGGCCGCTGGCGGATTGAGCTTGGTGTCAGACATGGCTTTGCTTCTCTTAGATGTGGCAAGCTGAGACCAGAGGATGCTGAGCGTGCGTGCCGTCGAAGATCAAAGAGGACAGGAAGTCAAAGCACCACGTCACAATTCCAGAGTGGCACGAAATCCATGCTGATATTCATGAGGCGAGCCCCACTTTTACTCCTCTTTTTGAGGCGTCAGACGAGAGATGTTTCGACTTTCCAAGACCTACTGTAATGGGAAGTACAGTGCGCCTGAGTCTCCCACAAGGGTATGGCCGTTGGTCGATCAAAGACATGGTACAGCCCATTATAGCCCAGCTGCCCAGAAAACAATTGGTGACCTGACCCAGCCCGATGGCTTGCAGTAGTGGGTGGAAACTATCTAAATGCACTCTTAGCTCGTTGCTCAGTCCACAGTTGGCTATTCATCACAGACTACTTGGCCTATAGCTAAGACCGTAGCATCGCTGACTATACATTAGTCTGACTCTCCCAACATTCAACAATAACACTATTTATGCACTAATCAATCACATACAATTCACAATAGCCGGAGGGCCACGACGCTGCAGATCCTAACCTCATGGGTTGGGGTGTAAACGCATGCTATAAAATAGGGTAAGCGAAATGGATTTGTGGATGTGCAAGTTTCTACAAGCAAGTTCACCTGCAAAGAAAGATGTAGGAGAACTTAGGAAGTCTCTTGATGTAAGCAGCTCTGGAACAAATTTGATATTTAATCAAAGTTCATCTTGAAAGGGACATAGCTTATTCAGCCTACCAAGAGAGTGTGCCTTTCTTAAATTAATCACATATGATTTTCTTATCCTATCTGGTAGCATTGACAATGAGTGTTCATTCAAGAGATGTTGGTTGTAGTAGTAGATCAGTTATTGAGCAGTAGCAAGTAGCCAGACAGTAACCGAAGACCCAAACTCTACTGCATCAACACTCAATCAACCCGTCTTAGTATACACCATCGATAAAGTCAACAATGATAGATTTGTCAATGAGATTTTTGACATCCGCCTTGAACTTCTGATGCGCAGGATCCTGGAAGACGTAGTAATCACGAGCTTCGGGTGAGGGCAACTCTACTACGAACCCGTGTGTAGCGCCGTCCTGTCGATCGTCATCGCGTTAGATTAAATCGATCCGCTGAAGAACTTGTAAGCCACGATGGGAGTCAGCTTACCTCTGACATCTCGGGAGAGTTGTCTTGACCACCCTTCAAAGAGATAATATATGGTTTGCCGGTTTCGGGATTCACACAAGCTTCCTTAAGACTCAAAAATTGTGCGACAGACTGACATGTATTAGCAAGGCTTATCTAACTTGATGGAAATGGTTTCCTGAAATATTAAATTCACTTGAGGGAAAGTAACATACTGCCTTCACAATCTGAGGATCTAGGCTAGCCTTATACCCAAAGAGGACGGTGTGGGTAACCGTGCAGTCGCTTGGTGATGGTAGAGAGTTGGCAACAGTGGCGAGCAGGAGCAACAAAGCCGCAGTCGGCTTTGTTCGGAAACCAAACATCATCGTGAAGAGATACTGGATATGAGTACGAAAGACGTGGTCAAGAACAGAAACAAGTTGATCCGATTGCTAGTTATAATGGTCTCTTCCTGAGAGGATAAACATGTTCTATTTATATTTAGGTCAGAACAAACGCAATGGATGGACTCTTCGTCATCGACAGGTAGCCGATCGGAATGTTCTGCGCTCGCACTCCAACCAGCCTCCAGATTTTTTTTCCTGGTCCTCAGGCCGCATATGCTTTGACCAGTGAGAAGATATTGGCTTATAATTAGGCTTCAACGAGTAATGTGAAAGTTACACTAGGTACTTCAATTTAGTATCGCTTTATAAAATGGATATGGCATAAAGTTCCGACCTCTTTTTTTCTCTTTCCTTGTGTATCCGTGACGCAATCTTTTATGTTCATAGTGTCTATACCAATCAATGAAAGGGGAGGAAAGAGCCAACCCCGCGTGTCTGACCCTTAAGCCTTTAGTTGCAAGCCGGATGGCAAGCTAGACAAGACCGTAATACAGATAGAGACACTGGAAGAGGCTGTCATAAACCTAATCTACCTAACCTAAGATCTTTAGCTTCCTTTACCAGCCTCAAATATGCGGTATCTATAAGCGCAAATGAACTTCCCTTAAACCTTTTCAAGGTAGACGACTCGTTAGTGAATGCGTGCTCCGACCATTTACTACTACAGATCTCCAGCCAACGCGTGAGGTTTATCAACATGAATTGTGGAACAAACTTGTGCAAAATATAGAAATACGCAAGAGTTCTACCAGAAAAGCTCTAGGTGCGCTCTGATCACCATCAGCGAGGAAGTGCTGTGATAGTCGCTGATCACTACGTCATAGGGGTATATTCCAAAGTCAAACCGCTAAAGACACAACAGACGCAATTGATATTCTTTGCTTACCTTCCCCATAATCAGCTTCGAGAAGGGGGGACTCAACGAGAATATATAGCGGGCGATTGAGCAGGGGTGTCATCGCTGGAGATCCTATAGTCCATTTTCAACTCGGAGCATGATGGATATGTATTGCCTCCTGTCTAGAGAAAACTATAACTACCCTAAGTCGGATTATGTACATATTCATAGTTAAAATCATATTAGAACTTATAGAGCGGTCAAGTGTATAAGTATACAAAACCGTGGCAGCGGTGGAAGGGATCGCGCAAGTCCAATACCCCCCACTTGCAGTCACAAATTCCGCTAAACAGTATATGAAGGATAATTCACCGATGTTCATTCAATAGGGTAAAAAATTAGAAAAAGAAACACATAACAGTCATGATTCGCTCTACTGGAGGGACTCCTGACCATCGGGGACGCTCAAGGTGGAGGACAGCTCCTACCGAAGAAAATCCTCGAGGAGGAGCCAGAAGAATACGGAAAGACAATTACCGACCTCGTCTCAAGTGGTGCCAGCTTGATCCTCAGTGTCGGCAATTTCAGCAAGCCCATTCAAGGCTTATACAATTCTGTCCTACCTGCATGGCGTGATGCGATTGCGCAAGTCAATTTATTGGCCATGTTGATCCTAAACGGCCGTGGCAAAAGGTCCAAGAAGCACAGTCCCTCATCAAAAATGACTCCATGCCCAGGCTCAGTGCAGCTGCTCCCAACAGCTATGCGTACATGAATGAGGCCAACATTGGAGAGAAGAACTGGAAGAAACTCTGTTACGTCCCGAACTACCTGGAGCTATTGCGTCTCAAGAGAAAATGGGATCCAGAGCACCGCCTGTATGCTGTGACGGGTGTTGGGAGCGATGAATGGGGACTCCGGGCGGACGGCCGTCTCTGCAAGGCTACGTTTTCATTCATCGTGTTCATCGGAAATGTTGCCATTATTTTCAGGCTTGGGGGATTTTTGTACGCTTGGCATCGTCATGCGAATATTTTGGAAGGGGGGGTTGGAAGAGGAAAAACTGTCTTACCAACGGACGAGCTATGCATGACCAACATGGCCCCGGCGACAACTCGTATATGTACGTACTTCATGTGAGACCAACAAATATGCAGGATATAGAAATCGTAGCAGGGGAAAGAGACAGGAAGGGGAAGGTTGGTCTTAGTCCGAGCGACCTATCAAGAACTTATGTTGGCTCGCCGTATGTTGGCCTACCAGGGTTTCCATTGTAAGGTTGTGCAGCATTGTACTGAATCCCTTTTATCCGTGTTAATGTATATTATGATTATTATATATCCCTAAGATGAAATTCGGCCATGTTACCCCCATCCACTCCCCTGACCATGCGGTAATGGTGTTTTATTCGGCTGGCTGTTTTCTTGTCATTCTAGTTTTTTTTTCTCAATCACCACTGCATATTTCATCCAGACCAGATCAGCTATGCTCTCACTCAACGTACCTTGCTTCAATAACATACATAGCCTTATTATGGTAATCATGTCGGCACTTCAAAGATCCCTACCACCCATGCTGGTCCCGAATTCAGTTCTTCTGACGGCCGCATTCGCACAAAAAACAACGCAAGGCCTTCTTTCTGCCCTTGAAAAGCACATTCCCAGTCTGTAAGGACTACAAAACTTCTTCTTGGACAACAATGGCAAGATCCGAACAGCACTGGGCATCGCGGTCGCACTCAACCTTATTCGCTGGGCAAATAGATTCCTAAATGACATAGCGCGCAATTCCTGGCGTGCAAGCCCCCCCAGCAACTTGATCTGGTTCAATGAGATAGCCGTCGTCACCGGTGGCTCTGGCGGCATCGGGATGACTGTTGTTGACAAGCTTATCAAGAAGGGTCTTGGCGTCGCAGTGCTTGACTTGAAAGATCCACCCGAGGCCTTCAAAGACCAGCCTCGTATCTTGTTCTATAAGTGCGATATAACGAAGCCAGACGATGTGGCAGCTGCTGCGAAGGAAATACGCACCAGCATCAGCCATCCCACTATCCTCATTAACAACGCTGGTATCTGTCGTCCTTGCCGTATCCTAGATGCTTCCGCAGAGGGACTGTTACAGACATTTTCTGTCAACACTCTCGCGCACTGGTTTACTGTGCAACAATTCCTCCCCGATATGATCAAGAACAACAAGGGCCATATTGTCACCGTGGCGAGCGCAGCCTCCTTCCTCGCCTTGCCCCGGTGTAGTGATTACTCCAGCAGCAAGTCAGCCGCCGGCGCGTTTCATGATGTGTTAGCAAGCGAGCTTAAGTACTTTTATCATGCGCCAAATGTAATCACTAGCGCAGTCCACACCCAGTTCGTCAGAGCACCCATCATTCAGGACATCCAGAAGCGTTTTGACGAGGAGGGGCAGAACATTCTCGAAGCCGATTTCGTAGGCGAGAAAACTGTTGAGAGGCTGGAGAGCAAGAGGGGTGGCGTTTTGGTTCTTCCCGAGAGTCGGTCGTTTCTTTCTGCAGTTTCTGCTTGGCCGGCATGGATGCAAGGAATAGTGCGAGACAAATACGGACGTGCATCGGCCAAGCGCAACGAATGATCTCGTGGATTCAGGTTCATCGATGTCTCTTGTCTAATCCCAAGGGTGAGCTCATAGCGGCAACGCTCACTTAGCTCACCATATTTACTTAGCTCAACCTATTCGGTTACCTATGAAGAAGCCGAGGGAAGCTCCGGTCGTACATTCAATGAAACGGCTCCCAAGTTGCTCTTGTCCCTAGCAGATCGCCTGAAGCCTGGTAGTACATGGGCCACTGGCATTCCAGCTACTAGAATAATTAATTATTACAAGTGTGAGAGTTTGAATGGCTTGACTTAGTGATAATGAGACTCTAAACCCTCAATATTTCCGACATTGTGAATAGTTAGTCGTGGTGCAGCAGCTTTAAAGATACAGATAAGGTCCGTAGGGAATGCTATATATGTGACTGGGCTCAGGCTAAGGTATAACCTTTTAGATATTAATACTCCTAGAATACGAGGATAGGACAGGATCCAGTTTTCTCTGATAGGTATAGTCGTATATAAAAGGAAGTCGGCCTGTTCCCGCTTACTACCATCGTCAGAATGTTACCGCTTCGAGCCAGGAGCCTTATCCTTGTCCCCTGTGTTAGTGTGGAACAGCTAAACTTTACGTAGCAACAAGAGTTCGTATTAAAAGTTGAGATGTCGGTGAAGCTAAGTGACTAGGGGGCGAATTCTCTCTCATGATGCTAAAATAAGTGTCAGCTTATGCCCCTTTATACTACTAGAACTTTTCCTCTATAGAAGGATCAACGCTGAATACGTAACGTGATTGGATCCGGACGTATCTCTTACGCCAGACAGGAACCTGACTAGTATAGAGATGCCTTGGCAACTCAAACATCTCGTATTTAAGCATGACTCGACTACTATCCCACTCTTGGCGCTTACTGAAAATGTCCGAATAGGTAGGTAAAACTCAGCAACAAAGCTGAATGTCCTGTTCCTGGATTAGCAAAACTCGGATTCCTCGGGGACTAGGCGTATATGATCGAGTATCGTTACCCGATGCAAGAAATATAGACCCCTTTTTTCTTATATATATGCGTACGTCAAGCGTCTATTCAACTCATTCCTTCACAAGCTTCAATTTAGCATATGTTCGAATCCAAGACAATCCCTGAGAAACTTGATTTAGGTGATCAACGACGGCCATGATGCGCTCTATTAGTATCTTTTCAGCGCTGATGTCGTGCGCGGCTGCTGAGTTATTCACATCCATACCCAGTGTGAATGATCCTCGATGCGGCACCCCAGCGCCATCTGAGTCTCTTCGCGCTATGGCGCGCGAAATGAGAGCCAAGGAGCAACTTCAAGTCCATCAAGTCCGAGATATCGACACAACTATTATTCCTACCGTCGTCCATGTCGTATATGCCAACCAGACTGAGCAAGGAGGCTATATTCCGGTATGTATTGAGTATGTACTGAAAATTATTGATGTTTACACTCGGCACGGTATATGATTGCTGACTTCCAGATCTCTATGTAGAAGAGTCAAATTGATGCCCAAATTGACGTGCTCAACAAAGCATGGACCCCGCATGGCTTTTCATTTGATCTCATCAACACAACCTATACGGAAAATGCAACTTGGACAAGGGTCAACTTTGACCGCTGGCCTGATATGAAATTTGCCCTGCGACAAGGTGGATACGGTACCTTGAACTTATATACCGTGTTATTGACCGACGGGTTTGGTCTTCTAGGCGTAAGTCTCTTCCTTACCTAAGAAATATTGCTCCAAGTTGAGGATAGAGAATACACTCGGCCTTGGTCGATATTGAAGGCTAGCCAAGTACTAACATCGGATTCACAGATTGGAACCCCACCTAGTGATTATGAGGAAGGATCTGACAGCTTCAAGCTGGATGGCGTTGTTATTCAAGCGAACACGCTTCCTGGTGGCATCGGCCCATCATTTGTGCCATTCCCGGACAGATACACTGAGGGCGATCTTGCCAACCATGAAGTGGGACATTGGATGGGCCTCATGCACACGTGAGACTGTATAACTCTTTCCATCGGTGACTATCGCTGATTAGTGCTAGGTACATTGAAAGTGGCGATTATCCCCTTTCGTGCGCCAACGGCGACAACGACTTTGTGAGTTACTAGATCTTGGAAAGAACACATCGAACTACTGACTTATGGGTTAATAGGTTGATGACACACCTGTCCACATGCTGTTCATAACTGAGAACGGGCCGGATTTGAACTGTCCGCCTGGCCGAGATACATGCCCTGACCTCCCTGGACTCGACCCAACGGACAACTTTATGAGCAGTGCGTGGCAATCTTGCTGGAACAAATTCACTCCGGGACAGGGCTTAAGAACGAGGAACATGTGGGCGACATATCGTGGAGGACGGTAAATGACATTTCCTGCGAAGAGTTTGTCTTAAGCATGGCAGTCCCTTCTTGTTGGGCGCTTATGCAGTGGACATACAACGCTGTGCACTTCGCCTTAGTAAAGTGTTCGGAAACAAGGGAAATCAAACATTAGCACCTATTTGGATCACCTGGAGTTGAGGTGCAACTATCTAGGCCCAAGGAGATTTAAGAATAGAGCGTTGATTTCCAAATTGAGTATACAGAGATGAGTTTCTCATTCAAAGATACACAAGTGCCTGACCTCCATTGTGCGGTTTATGGGGAAAAAACCCCGGCATAACACAAACAGCCAGCAGGGGGACATTCTTGGGATTACATACGACTGGGCCACTCAACGCAGTTGTGATTAGCTCCACTAGAAAGAATTTGGTAGGCCAGAATGGATAACCAGGAGTTCATGAAAAAAAATCCAAAGGCATATTAGACAAGAGAGACATATATGATTATAGGTGAAAGAACGACAGATCGTTTCAGCTTCCTAGTCGAATATCGATTCGCACGCCAGGCAGCGGTTGTCTAAACTCCCTTTCAGAGCATAAATCCATCACCCGTCTGTTACGCAGAAGTCTCGGAACATGTTGCAGCTCCAAGCGTAGCTGGTGGCAGCGACAAAAAGCCAACATACAACAGCCGGTATTCGCTGGTCATCACCGACCTAACTACTAATCAGCCCCTTACAAGCTTAATTTACGGAGAGCAGACGGGATCCCTCGTATTCTAATAGTAATACTGTTTCCCGGATAATCTATGGGGGGGTAACTGCTTTCCTACTATTAAGCTAAATAGTAGCATTATTCGTAACATATCATTCCATATTAGAAAAGGGTATAAGGCTGCCTTTATTGGAAGGTCCGGTGCAGGCAAGTCGACTATCTTCAATCTCCTTATATGAGATTATGGAGTGAGTGGCGGGGCAATTACGATCCCAAGGCTTCACCCCCCTGTTTATCGCGACCTCTAGCCGCGTCCCTTGCCATGTTTTTAAGACGCTATTTCATATAGGAGGAGACCGGAGCGGCTAACGTCAGCTGCTCCTCAAGGAACCTTTTTTCACATTGCTTCAATGTATTATCATAGGCCTGCCCAGCTTAATAAACAGAGGTGATGGCAAATGGTCTTAGAAGCTAAGAAATGAGAGAACGAATAGGCTGCCATCGCTTAGACGTAGAGAGTATATATTTATTCACGAACAGAGACAAGCTAAGTTTGATATCTAGGTTCAGAAAGAGCTCGACCATGGCTTAAAGGGCCCTTACTCGAGTTTCTATATAGGAGATAAGAAGCATATCCTGATATAGGCCATTGAGAAGTTTAATAGCTTCCACCTGATAGATTCGGTTTCAGGCTATTACCACTACACTCTAGAACAAATCGGGAGAAGAATAAGCAATACCTATTGCTACTTCTGTTTAGTGAGGAAGAACGACGAGGATACCTCAGTATTGGTACCCTTGAACAAAAAGTTGCTGTTGTCAAGAGCATTGTCAACTCTATGAATACCGACGACGGACAGACTCAGGATACGGTTGAGCATTCGGAATGCCTCCAGCTCGGCTGGACTAACGAGAATGGTCAGACTATTCTCCACCTGGTCTGCCAACTACATGTAAGCGTCCCAACCGCTGAAGAGTTCAACTTAATAGGTATCTTCTGATAGGTGTGTCCACTTTGGCCATGACTTTTTGCTGTATGCTAGGCTTGAACGTGACTGTTTCGGCTCCGTTGGGTCTAAAGAAGTAGTGATTTCCAGTGCAGGTATTAGTTATCCAAAAATCCAAGAACATGCTGAAAAATATCTTAAGATCAGGGCATAAAGTATTTCCGATATACTCAAGTACTTACTTGCGCATTAGACACAGGATACACTCTGGGTCCCTGATAAGAACGGGATAATGGCCTACAAGCATGCCGAGGATAATGGTCTTTTGGACTTGATCGATCTCGAGTATAGGAATCGCTAAATGTACTGTTTGTGGAGCTTCGCTAGTGGGGGCTATGTAGTTTGTTGAAGGATGATATATTTACTAGAAGAAAGAACATTTAGGGGAGTTGGCTTTTGAAACTTCGATTGCGGTTGAATGGTTATTATGATTACCCGGCGCACTCTTTATGTTGGTTTGTTTATATATTCTCTGGCTAGAAGGAACCATTGAATGGACCTATAATCAATACATATATACAATTTACTAATACGAATCTCTCTGAAAGCTGCGTTGATTTAATATATATTGATCGAGCGTATCTGGCGCATCTTTATATCTCCTAGTGTAATATCGTTCCTTCGGAGAGTCGGGAGTTAGCTTGTAGTTGCTATAAATAATGCGATGGACACATTCTATATATGGGGGCGTATAGGTTATTAACAAAGGTCTTATGTATTTTCCGCCATGACTAAAGCTGAGCTAGCTGATAGTATCGACAAGTTGTCTTCTTACGAACACTTGTAGTTGTAATATAAATACTCTATAAAATATTTCTCTTATGGACCCCTACTGGCGTTGAGAAAGTTTAGTTGTAAGTTGTAACCCTGGTTAACTGAACACCCCCCTCAACTGAATACCCAGATAAAAATCACAATAGATTTAAAAATTAATATAATAATATTAATTTAATAAATTTTTATATAAGAAGCTATTTAATTTACTACTAGAAGTATAGCTCTTTAAAAATATAATTTTCTAATTCCTCTAATATCTCTATCTTATCCGGGATTATATTATATTATACTACTTATTTAGCTAGCTATTTAATTATTAAGAACTTACTATTTAGATTAGAAAGTAATTAAATCTGTTTTTTTAGTCTAAATATCTTATTTTATCTTTCTAATTATATAATCTTTACTATATTAAGTAATATCTTTACTTATTATTTATTAAGATCCTTATAAATCTTCTAAAATAATAGTTTTATTAGTAGATTAATAATCTTATTATTAATAAAATTATAAATAATCTTCTAGATCTAGTAACTGTTCTTAGATATTAAAATATCTAGTTTATAATAATCTTTATACTTTATTCTAGCTCTTAAAAAAGTTAAAAGAGGAGTTAAAGATAGTTAGAAGAGTTTAAATATTAGCTTTATTATATATAAGCTTATTAAGGGTTTAGTTATATTAATAAGCTATAAACTAGATCCCTTCTAGCCTGAGTAAATATTTATATCTATAAAACTAATTAATTAAATCTTTATATAATACTAAAGAAAGATTATCTTACTAATTAGTAATAAATTAATTAGAATATTCTTCTTTATAAGCTTTTTATAATAGACTCTTTTAATTAGTAAAAAAACTAATATATTAAGTAGTTATAATATATATAATAAATATAAAAATAGGAAAAAAAGAAATATATTATTCTAAAAGTATCTAATTATAAATTTATTAGTTATATAACTTCTATAGCTATTAAGAATAAATAATCTAGATCTCTTAATCTTAGGCTTTATTAATAGGATAAAGATAGATCTAACTATATAAAAGTAATTTTATTATTTATCTAGTCTATTATAGAAGCTATAAAAAACTACTTCTTATATAGCTTAAATTTAGAAGAAAACTATTACTATTAAACCTACTTTTCTTAGAAAATAATAAGAAGAGAAAGAGCTATATCTAGAGTATTAATAGATTTAATAGTAAGTATTAAATTATAAGATCCTAACTATTTTAGAAAGATATATTACTTTCTTAATAATTCTAGTATTAATCTATTATCTCTAACTCCCTTTATAATACTAGTTTTATCTATATTCTAATAGTCTCTCAGAGAGATAAGTTTAATAGTTAGATAGTTTATTATTATAAAGAAATCTTTAACCTAGTTAGCTATAGCTCTATTAATATAAAGAAGATTAATATGACGGTCGGGCGACTTATACTGGACGGGGTCTAGGGTAGGTCGGGGTTGAACCAATCAGAATATTGTTCTGAGTAGCACGATCAGGTTATCTTCGGCTGTATAATACGAGTTACTATCAATATGCGAGTATTGTGGAGCTAGTAACAATAGATATATAGATGATTGTATTAATAACTGTCTGAAGGAGTATTCTATCTAGTAAAATGAATGTATATATATAATGATCATGGAGCGCAAGGAGCGCACCGCTCCTGGTGATCTATTCTTATCCCGCGATGGGAGCGTAATACTCCTGTTGCTCCTGTTCTTCAGACAGTGGGGTGTATGTGACCGTGTGGCCCACTATGGAGGCCTTTGTTCATAATAATTAATTTACTTACTTTATAATATCTTAATTTATAGATTCTATTTTAAAAAACTCTTTATCTAGTACTTTTCTAGATATATTAGAGGATCTAATAGAGGGAGTAAAATTAAGACTATTATAATAATCTAACTATATAATAGAGTATTACTAATAGTATTTTAAATTTATATCTATCTAGCTAATTCAGTCTCCTACTTTCTTAAGAGATATTAATAGGCTTCTATAATAACCTTATATAACTTACTACTCTTAATATAGTTATATAAGGTAGTTAATAGAATTCCCTAAAGCTTTATAGTCTTTTATAAACCTATACCCTCTTTATTAGCTAAAATTACTTATTAAAGTATATCTTCTATATAGTTTTATATTATAATTCTAATAATATATAAATTAATTAAACTAGATAAGAATTAGTAAAATTATTATATAAATTAAATAAAGATAGTAGAAATATAGATAGTAAAAAAAGTATTTAGTTATAGGGGGTATTCGGTTAACCAGGGTTATAACTTAATACCAGTTATGTTCACTGATCTCGGGATTTCCTTTATTACGGCAAACCAAAAAATAAAATAAAAATAAGGATAAAAAAAAGATATATCAATATCTAGTATATAGAAAAAGCCCTCCGAATGTGTTTCTTAATTTATGAATCGATCATTGTAGACTGATACCCTCTTTCCCTTTTTACCAGCCTTAACAGCCGCTGCTTTCTTTGGTGCAGTGGCCTTCTTGGGAGTAGCTTTCTTAGGAGTAGCTTTCTTTGGCATGGCTTTATTGGGAGATGCCTTATTGGGAGATACCTTCTTCGGTGCAGCTTTCTTCGGAGCAGATTTCTTTAGCGCAGTAGCTTTTTTAAACGCTGTTCTCTTTGGGGAATTTGGATTTAGGGGGAGTCTTTCTGCTCGTAGCTTTTCTATTGCTAGCCTTAGCAGCAGGCTTCTTGTTGCTGGTAGCTTTCTTGTTGCCGGTGGCTTTCTTGTTGCCGGTAGCTTTCTTGCTGCTGGCAGCTTTCTTATTCTTGACGGCTTTTTTGTTGCTAACGGCTTTCTTGTTGCCAACGGCCTTCTTGTTATTGGCCGCCTTCTTAGTTCCAGCTTTGAGAGGCTTCTTGTTTCTGGTGGGTATCTTATTGCCAGAAACTTTCTTGTTGCTGGCAACCTTCTTGTTTTTAGTAGACTTTATGTTAATGGCAGTCTTCTTGGTCCGAGTCTTGGTAGCAGGCTTCTTGTTACCAGTAGTCTTCTTGGGCCCAGTCTTAGCTTTGGCTTTGGTGGGAGACTTCCTTCTGCTTGAACCTTTCTTGCTACTGGCGGCCTTCTTGGTTCCAATGGGTTTCCTGTTGCCAGCCTTAGCAACAGACTTCTTCAATCCAACAGTGCCAGAAGACTTTGTTTTTTGACCGGATTTCTTAGCGCCAGCCTTCGTTCTGGCCTTCGCCTTATTATGACCAGAACTCTTCTTTGCACCACTGGGGTGTTTGGCACCCTTTTGAGTAGAAAGCTTTTTTCCGGGTGTTTTATTTGCTCCAGTCTTGTGAGGGTTGCCCTTGCTGATCGTGGCTGTAGGTCCTTTTCTGTTGTTGGCTTTTTTCACTCCGCCCTTATTTCTACCATTGGTTTTCTTCTGGCTATTCTTATTGCCGCCGACTTTGTTGTTGCTATTGGCCTTGGTGGTGCCATGGGGCTTCCTCATGTTGGCTTTATTCTTCCCGTTAAGGTTATTCTTGCCATTGGTATTCTTGCCTCCTTGGATATTTGAATTGTTGCTCGCCGCTGGGGTTTTGTGGCCAAGGTTGAGTTTCCAAGCCGCCCTATCTCTTCTGGACATGCAGCCTGGACTGCCGCCCCGGTCCTTTGGTCCTTGGTCTGGTTGTACTGGGCCAATAAATGGTTGCTTGCTCGCCTCGCTTCCCTGATCCTTTGATCACTGATCCGGCCGTACCGGGCCGATAAACGGTTGCTTGCCCTCCCCGCCTTGGCCAGCCGAGCTTTGAGCTTGCACTGCAGAACCAGGGGTTGGTTGCTTGGACAATCCACCTTTCTTGAGCGGTTTGATTACTCGAGGTCGGAACTGTAGGCCACTGTTGACTCTCTGGTTACTCAGATTAACCTTTTGCTTCTTCTCCTTATCCCCTGTTTATTCGACATCGGCAAGGGGTCGCTTGCTGAATTTATTCTTTTCTGCTTCTTGTTATTGTTTTTTCATCTTATCTTTTTGAATTATAGCCTGCTGTACCCCTGTCCTCACTGGTACTAACGAGTAGTCAGGGGTTGCTCAGGAACCTGATCTTTGTACTTCCAAACACCAAGATTTTTCGGGGGGTTTGTCTGATAACCAAGGCGATGCTGGGGAGCAGTATCTCCATCTATCCTTTTGGGCATAGGTTAGATTAGAATGATTGATAGGCGGATTGGGGGTTATGGAATACTTTTGAAAACTTCTCCATCCTTGTCCAAAAGTGGATGTAAAAATGCTTTCTTCGACTGATCAATGCCTGCGTGGCCATGAAGAGCTGGGTTGGTTATTTTCTCGGGATTAGGCTTTCCTCTCCGATTACTGCGGTATACCCGTTCTCCCTGCTTTAAGTTACCTGTGACGGGATCATGCTTCCTTATTGCGTCTTGGTAGGTATTATCGACATGCGCTTTGCTCATACCCGCGACACCATCCTCGTGGATATAATCAGGCGGTTCTTCGCTCCCTGCAGCAGCCCCTGCTACACAGAGGAAGAGCAAAAGTGTTGTTCTCAACAGTATGGTGGCTAATTGATCTGAAATTCATTCAAGAGTATTTCCGATATATGATGGGGTTAAAATGATGCCTATTATTCTGTGGAAATCCATGTGTCTTCTTATACTTGATCGAGTTCTATTTAGTTCTCTGACATCTTCCGCTTCTTGCTTTAGGTCGACTGATTATTTTTAGACAGAGATAGCCTATGATTATTATGTATATAAATTACAGCTGTATAAAAAGCAAGCCCCTCTATTTTTGGGAGGCGATGGCTACACGATCCTGAATATTCGGATCCTTCAAGTGGTACAATATCTGCGCCTAGTAATATTGCAACTTGGTCTAGTCCGCCTATGGTGGTATGCCGGGACCTTACGGGTCTGACATGCCTTAGAGCCAACAGCCCTATGCACTCCAATTTCGAAAGTTATTCCTTGGAGTAGGACTAGACGGTGTTTCGATTGGCTAAGTTACCTTGGCGGACCATGGCTGCTATTTTCGGAAGTTATGTTGGTCCAATGTTATGATTCCAAAGTTCTAACTGCTGATTACTTGTGCTAAGACACTGTGGGTACGAAGTAAATAAGCGCATTATGTAATTTTCAACCCCTCCTTTCCATGCCTTATCAGCCCAAATACACAGACTATTCTCCGCTTTTATTTATGGTCTACTAGCTTGCTGTTGCTAGCGAGTGGGATGTCAAGCCCTTGCATCTGACGCGTGAAATCGCACCATCTTTGGCCACCTTTCCCTCGGAGAATCGTCATGAGAAGTCGTCAAAGACCCCTACCCTACCATGGACCAACAGGCAAGAATCATTCACATCCAAGCTAGGAAAGAAAGAAGAAGAAGAAAAATACTAACAAGATGTTTCATGATTTGTATAGCCTGAGGATATCGAGTTCGAAATTATCCGGAGGATGATGGATCAAGATGACTTCTCCGTGAATGAGGCTATCAACCAGGTCACAACTCGAGCGACGGTTCTATCTCAAGACGCCCGAGAGTTAGGGATCCACGCGAATGTCATTGCAGATTCCATGTTTAATTATGCCCTAAAAACCCATCATAACCAACAGTCCAAGCTTGTAGATTTCATCACCATCCTCCAAAAGACAAGTATACCTCATCCCGATGGGGGAGTAGCGACCCATCCATGGAGCGGTGCCTTCTGGACAGACCTCCCTCTGGTAGGCATGACTTGGGCTGATTATAGCGCTAGTTATGGTAGGCATCGCCTGATCATCCATATTGACGGCAAAGGCTAACGTAAATCTGCCTCTCTTTAGCGCCGGAGGATTCAACCAACGACTCCCGAGATAACGAGGAGTATGAGAATTTCATGGCTTTTGTTGCCCAGTTATCTGAGATAGGAGTCGATCAGCTCAATGTGACAACTCAGTGGAGTTACAAGTCTTTATGTGAGATTTTCGAAGGAGACAACGGTGGCCCGACAAGAGTGCAAATCCGAGTGGCGTGCATCTGGTTCATTTACGCACCCCAAAAGGTGTGGAATGATGCTTTACTCGGTAGGACATATCGGGAAAATAGCTTTCAGGTAGACAGCTGGGTAAGATGGAGGAAATTTTTGGAAGAGTCACAAACGGCGGCATGGCTTGATGAGGATACCCAGGAGTTGCTTAGGTGTGCCTTGCTCAACATGTACTGGAGGGAGGAGGAATACCAACAAGAGATGAGCTATACTTTAGACGAAGAAGGATATGAGCTCATGGATCCCTCGTAATTCGAGCCTCGAATGAGAGTATGCCTGGAAATGAGTCATGCTAAGAATCGCGGGGTGTTGGACTTGAATGAACATTTAGTGAGGTCGGCTTTTGAATCATCTATTGTGGCCAGTGGTTTTGATGATCATCGCGATTCTGTTCACCTTAGCTATAAGGAACCAATAAATTGATACAAGATTATTACAATTTTGTATTTCGTCAAATCAATGTCAATAACTGTTCACGACTTTTATGTGGTGTATGAAACACATAAAAGCTATGAATAGTTATGCAACGGTCTGACATGAATTGATTGACATGTTTCGCATACCCTCGGATTTCTTACTAAAGTCTCACTTCTTTCGAGAGTTAGAATTCAGCTTTTGGGCGCTATGACGAACAATATGACCATACTTTTTTGTGGCGCATATATTATTGACGTAGGTCTCAGGTGTTTCCGCTACGGCTGAGGCTAAGGTAGCTAGGAGCACTGGCAAGTTATCTTTTAACTGAGACTTGTAGTTGTAAGTGTATTGATCTTCACTTCAGCCACCGCAGTTGACTACTTGAGTTGTGTTTTTATTGAATTACTGTGTTTTAGGTTATGTGTATACGTCGGGAGCCGAGATGATTGCTAGGGATTAGGGGGTCGACGCCTTTATAACGAGGGGGTGGTATATTTTTTCTTGGATAAAACTCAACGGTTTCTTTGCCTGATAAATCCCACTCAGTTTCACTTAGTAAAATATCTGGTATACCTTTATCCAGGCGAAGCCCAGGTTAAAAATATAGTCTCCGGCTCTTTTTACGCTTGCTGTTGCGGCCTTTGCTCTATGTGACCCAGCCCCTCAGGTATATGGAACATTGCGATGCCCAAGCTGGCAAAACTTTAGCATACTGTCTTTCTAATCATATACCACCCTCATAGGTACCCTTATACCTATCTTCGGGATTTGAAGGTAAACCCATGATTATCTATAACCTTGGCGGTTGTATAAATATCCCTTAGCAGGATAACGCGTAAGTGGTTCCAAGGCCTCGTATCTGCTTGCTCTCTAATGGGATATAACTAGTTAGTATAATATCTATTCCTATAAGATCAAGGAAAATATTAAATGTAAGTTCTTCAAGTATATACTCTTACTCCCTTTATCCTTAATATTCTTATAACTAAGAAACCTGGTATAGATCTGAGGACTATAAGAGATCCGCTAGTAAATTCAAAGAGGAAAGCAATAGATTTATTACAAGCAATATCCAATTTATACCTCAAGGCTGCAGAGGATAAAGTCTAGTATAGGTATAAGGGAGAGAGCCTTGATATTTACTTTAGATAAGGCTTATAATAGTACTGTATAATAAAGTCTTTTATTTATTAGAAGCTGGGTCCTCCTCTATCTATATAATTTCTATAGATAAATATATAGATTTCTGATTTAGTTCTAATATACTATTCCCAGAATTGATTTTTATATTATAGGAAGATAAATTTTACTGCTTAATAAAGTTACTAAGCCTCTAAGTATTCAGAAGATCTCCTTTAACTAACTAGCTCTTCTTAGATATCTTACTATATATAAGCTTAAATCAAGCCAGAATCAGAATATTACAGATATTCTACTTAGTAAAGAATATATTCTTCGAGTCTCTCTATCTATACAGGATATTAATAACCTATAATATAATTTTAAAAGGCTTATCTACTTAGGGATCTGGCTGACTTTAGTAATAACTAGGTCTAGTATACTATTACTAGTAAAGGCCTTGCGGATATAGGGTAGAGTAGTACAGATATCAGGGTACTAGGGCGTACTGGTTCTAGGGTCTTTAGAGGAGATAAAGGTAATAAATAAGGTTGAGTTTAAGTTACTAGAGAGCTCGAGCTTAGCTGCTAAGGCTGGGAGCTTACAGTCCTCAAGAATAGGTATTCTAAAGGGAGATTATTAGTTATAATTAAGTAGTAATAAGGTTTAGAAGAATATAGATAGTAGTTTACTACTATATTTTTAGCGTTTTTACTTTCCTCTACTAAATCTATAATATACCCTAAAAGCTATAAGTCTATTAATAAGATAGGGTCTTAAGAGTAATATATAGGAATTTTATTTATACTGGATTTAATAATTTATTTTTTAAAGCTAGTAAAGTTTTTTTAATAAATAACTATAGATAATTCTCTTATTAAAGAGGGAAGTATAGTTATCAGGTTAATATAAAATAAGGAAACTCAGCTGAATAATAAAATAGTTTAAGAGATAGATAGTAACGGGCGAGGTACCAGCGCCTTGCGCAGGAAGTGGAAGTATATTTTTTGCCACCCCTTTTTGATGAATACTCCTGGGTAAGATCCGGTCTCTTAGGGCGCCGTATATCTAAGACTGGCTCCTCTGGTTCCTGCTGCAGCGCTGGGATTGGTTGCCGCGTTCTCGCTTGGCGACTTTCGAAAGCCGTACCACTGATTGCTTTGAAGTGGTTGTTAATGCCAGACTCAATAGTCAACCGCCACGCTTCTAACTTACTAAGCTTATATACAATACACCCAACCTCCTCTACACAATTTTGCAGAAAAGTCCCGAGCATTTTCTTGCCCATGATAGAAGCTGTCGATACTTTATAGCCAAGGGTTCTGTCTCTCGTAGATGCTGTAGTAACTTTCCGGTGTTCGTCGGAGCACTTATAGCATCGTCAGAGAGAGTAGGAATCGAAGATTAGGTCGGTCCTAGAGAAGCAAAGTTAGTTTAGTATCGATATAGCTTAATATCAAGAATGACGGGGCAACGGATTACTTAATGTTGCAATATCGCGTTGCCTGTGTTAACATGTCGTGACTCGGCCATTAGAGTCGCTGCTCTAGCGACTGTAGATTCAGGTGGGCACTACTTAAATCCATAGGGTCCTGGTGTTATAGAGCCTGATGATCTATTTGAAGAAGTTTGGAGGGTACACAGCGAGTGCTCATAATTGGTTTGTTGCGATGTGACTAGAGGGGAAGAGGGCGGGGGTTTCGTTGGCACTCGCTACACACTTCGCATACCCATGGTTATCCATTTTTAGCTACTTTTAGTAAAGTTTCCATGACAGATGCTAGAGTTATGCTTAAAACTAAATGAATGGATCTATCTAGTCATGCTGAATTAAAATCCCGATAACATGCGACGCAAATCGTTCTATTTATTATCACGTCTTTTCCAGGAGATATATACGATATGTCGATTGGTCGAAGAGCAATAAGAAGACCGTTCCGCAAGGTATACATGGCCGACTAATCAATTGTCATCAGAAGTGGCCTTACTACCTCTGTCGAATACCCTATATTAGGCTGTGGTCGATACTTTAGAGGGTTTTAACATAATTTAGGGTACTGATATTAATCAAGTTACCCTTGAGTTAAAATGCTAGTGGCAGGCTCCTTGGGATACGTTGGAAATGGGAGATGGTCTACTATAGCACCTTCAGCGTTCGTATGTGATGTTTTGACTGCCGTTTCTGGTATATATTGATTGGATGAGCTCTTCAGAGGGCTCTGGCGGATGTGTATATGACAAGTGCGTACTCGGGGCTGGCCCTACAACTATTGCTCAAGCTAGAACTGACCAGCTTCCCGTATGAACTTCGTTGAAATTGTAGCAAGCCATTCCCAAGGCTACTTGATGGACTTTCTCTCCCAGACACCCCGATTCTAACCAGCCAACCAGGTTTGTGCCTCCGGGATGAGCCACCAAGATTGATTTACCAGCGGGAGCGTCCGCGCATTCACCAGGAAATATTGTCCTATGCGAAAAGCTGCCCACACAGTTTTGCCGTTCGAAAATTTTCACATAATGTCCAATTTCAGCGGTCGGTGCTCCTACGGCGGTGGTAGAGAGAATCATCGCGGCAAGGAAGATTGAAGACATCTTGTTATGCATGTCATTTGGTTCTGTTTTGAGTCGTTGGGTGTAACGGGTGGTTCCCCTCGGCCGTACCCATTTGCTATGATTACCCAACTCGCACAGGGGAAGAATGTATTTTATATCATGCGTGGTTGATCCTTCTTTTCCTACGGACACGGACACGGACGCGGACACGGACTTTGAGGGGTGGGCCGACTCCTGATCCTTTTTCGCGCAGAGATGGCTCGGAGACGGCGATGTATGAAAGAATTTTAAGACCGTTTCAGATTCGTAGTCGCTTTAGGCTTTTATCCCATCCGAGGAACTGGGTATAACGGTATTGCTATTGCGTGATGCGTGTGTTACGAATGGTTATATGACACAATTCTAGCTATTGCTCTGTTAATTTCCCGGCTGAGATGAATCTTGCACAGCTGTGGCCTATACAAGCCCCTCGGTAGACTATTGAAGAGGGCTCGCTCAGAAAGAGCCAATCACAAGGAGCATTTTGAGTCTCAGAATAAAGAGGATAGCGATGAAAGCACAAACGTATCGACATACCATCCGCTCTCTAGGTCGGCTCCGGGTGACGATGGTCTTGGAGTTTCAAACTGGGAGTCTATTGATCTCGACTATTTAACCAACCCGACCGTTTCTGCCATGGCGTGGCCCGACTGCAATCCAGAAACGTACTATAACTGGGTCTTGGGGGAGCCTCCACACTCTGTGTCTGATGAAGGGTTATGGGCTGACTGCTCAATGTATCTAAGGACGGACGATACCAGCTAGCATACCTTGCCTTTAATGGTGCCGAAGACATCTTACAATTCAGATAGGAAAAGACTCCCAAATAGCTAGTTAGAGTGTGATAAAAAGCAACGTGATGTCTACGTATAGGGGGTGAGAGAGTGACTATGGTAGCCAACTAATAATTCCGACAGTACATAAACTACCTAAGCAGAAATGTAACTAAAGTCGGAACTGGTGCTTGGATGGCAATGGGTGTAATCGCCTTACTAATAGAAAGCAAACGTTTAAAATCGCTTAACTAAAAGACTTGGTAATTATAAGATCTTACTTATACTTATAATCACTCGTAAGCTTTGACGATGCTTATTAATGACCCACAACCGAGGGATGTGCCGGTAAATGGGCCTTGATGAAGCGGCTGAACAAAAACGGGTAGCTCCGGCGATTTTCAGAAGCCGAGCAAAGGCTAAGTGAGTTACAAAGACATGATTTGGTACCTACAGGGTGCCAATCGTGGCGGTGTGTGCCGAAGCTCCGTCACTCCCGCCTCTGAAGTACTAATTGCAGCCCTTTGCCCTTTGGCTGGGAAACTCTATTTCCATTTATTTTGGAAAGCATGATCTTATACAGACGTCTTTCATTTGTCACCAGCAATCTTCCAACCTAAACACCAAAGGCGGTGATGGTACAGTATACTATCCTCCTCATCATTGGACACAAGGCACGACGAATAAATTCGGGCAACATCTTATCTACGGGACTTCAACATGGCTGGGAATCAAAGGCACCGAGTGCCCCAAATCAACGGACCCGATCCGGAAGGCCTGGCAGCATCAGCAGGAACCGGAATGGAAGGGGGTCCAAATTTTGAGATCAATATACCCCCGTTCATTGGCAGACTTGGAGGAAATGGAGTCGCCTTGTCCCGCGAGCCCTCCAATGAGGCTTTCCTGGAGAAGGTTCCTGATGCGGCACCTTTGATGAGTCTGAGGGACATTCTTAACCCTAAGCCTTTTCTGACGGTCAGCCTATGGAAGTCAGCATTGATGGAGGGCGTCGGTAAGACGAATGATATCACTCTTTGACAGTCTTAGGCTAACTTGCATTGTAGGATCCTTGATGCTTGTCTGGTTAACTATCTACGCCAATGTATCCCCCGCCATCATCCCGGCGGCACCGACACAGCGTTGGGGTAATTTCGACAACGCATCATTCATTGGACCTCTTGTTGGCGGCATACTCAACTTCTTCTACATCAGCATGTTCACCTTCTGCTTTGGTGCTGTGTCAGGGGCCCATCTGAACCCAACAATCACGATTGCAACACTCTTCGCACGTCTATGTTCTCTTCCTCGGGCGGTGCTATATGTTTCTTTTCAGGTTGGCGGCGCGGCGCTCGGGGGCTTGCTCGCTCGCGCAAGCTATGGTACCAGAGACTTCAAGGTTGGAGGGTGCTGGCTCTACACTGATATCGTGCCGGTCTGGGACGCATTTACGATAGAGTTGATGGCTTGCACTATCTTGCTTTTTTTCGCTTTTGGCGTCGGTCTTGATCCCCGGCAGAGGAACATCATAGGACCTACCCTTGGCCCATTCCTAGTCGGCATAGCACTTGGTAGCCTTTCGTTTGGAACAGGGTTCACGCGATATGGCTACGGAGGGGCCAGTATGAATCCGGCTCGGTGCTTCGGCTCATATATTGGAAGCTCTTTCCCTGGATTTCATTGGATACACTGGTAAGTGTTGTAGGGTTAAATTGATTTGCCTCAATCGAACTCTAAGCTTTGAAAAGAAATAAGCTGATATTTTATTTAGGGCCGCAGACTTTATAGCCTGCATCGTGCACGCTGTTTTCTACCATGTCTGTCCGCCTTGGGCAGTCCAACAAAGCAGATAGGCATCTTGGCAATTTGCCTTGTCCCATCCAAAGGGTTCACCAATCAACATTTGATTGCAGCTCCAGACCGTCAACGCATCAAAACGGCAATTAACCCTTTGTTAAACACCACTTGAGCACTCTTACTCACATTTAGTTGGGTGATACTACTCCTTGTTCTTTCGTATCCAGGCATCAAACATTCAAAGAGTGGTATAACTAAGCTTTATTCTTTGTGAAGATCAAAATTCATAGAATCCATGGTAGCAACTTCAGTTCTCAATCTTCGCGTTCAGGCAGCACGGCCGCAGCGGTATTCTCCATAGACGCGTTGGCATGCTCCTTTTGCCGGAGTGCTTCACGTACCGCAGGACGGTCGATTGCGTTCTTGTGCCACCTGTAGAACTCGGGAAACTCTTCAGGATCGAAGTCGCCTTCGGGAAATAAGCTTGAAAGCAGCAGCATATCCCAAGGCACGAACGACAGGTCCGCGTAGGTGCATTTGTCTCCTACAAGCCAGACAGGCTCCGCGTCGGGAATTTTGCGTGCTTGCCTCTGCTTGCTAAGGTGTGAATCAATGACCCCAACAATTCTTTTCGCCTCGTTGGCGTAGCGATCAATGGCTGTCGTGACATTTCTCTTCTGGTGGAAGTGAGTGAACCACATCTTCTGGCCGAGCATAGGACCTTGGCCGCTCATCTGGAACATGAGCCAGCTGTTGAGCAGCCATTTCTCCTCAACTTTGTCGTCACCGTAGCTGATGGTGTGTTTCGTATCATAAAGTGAAATTAAATATTGAATAATCGCACCAGATTCGAAAAGTGTGACCCCGGTGCTGGGATCAATCATTACTGGCAGACGGCCATTGGGGTTGAGGTCCGTGTACGGGGCCTGCTTGATCTCTTTGTATGGGATCCAGATAGTTTCCCAGGGGAGGCTAAGCTCGATGAGGATGATTATGACTTTCCAAGGATTTGGCCCTGTGCCAGGTGGCCCGTTGTAGATTTGGATTGGCTTCATGTTCAGGTAGGTAGACATGTGAGGAACTTTTCGAGAACGATCAGCTAAACGGACGGTTCCAACTTCTTTTTATTTGCCGCCTTTCCTGACCAGATTCTCAGGGGTTAAGTCATAATTCCGCAATCACCGTGGATCTCTTCGGGGATAACTTTGATTTAGTCTATGTCTCATGCAGCAGGGCGAATCTCGATGTATAGGAGTGTCAACTGACAACACACTGGGTCCGTCAATGCCGAGCCAGTAGGTGGGTAGTGGGGCCAAGCCTGGGTTGGAAGCGAGCGTCATTCTGATTTAGAGTCCGTAGAAAGTGAAAGATAAATAACCTCGGGCAAATAAAAGACTGTAATTGGGAGATCTCAGTAGTACCCTGCTTTTGAACCCGGGAAATGTAGCAGCTAAACCAGGGAGGGGCCGAAGGCTAACCGTTGCTCCGCCGAGTCTCGGTCTGACGAGGGGCTTCGAGAGGCGAGCTCGGCGGAGCAGCAGCCGGGCTTGAGCAAAAAGAAAAAAAAATGAAAAATGAAGTACATCAACCTCACAGAGTAAGCTTTCATATGCAAAATATACTTTCTATCGCCAGGGCGGTTCTCGAAGTTGTCGTGGGGAATGGGTGTATGTCATTGTGATTGCCTACCACAACTCCAATCAACTATTCGCAGTATCCACGGCCTGGGGCCATGTTATACTGTGGCAGTTTCTGATAATGGCAAATACATTAGCAGCTATATGCTCCGGCAACACAAAACCATCCTTGTGTTTCAAATTTCCTCTCTACCGTGTTCCTGTCTTTGGCATCATCCACCAATACAAGATGGTATCTCCTTCCCATCTGCTCCATTTCATCCCCAAGCACACCGGGGCAAGCCTAGAGAACACCTGAACCCCCTCCGGCTTTTGGCTTGCGTGAGGAATGGAGCTTACGAAAGCAGAATAGTGCTTTCTTGCGTGTTACCGCCAATGAAGCCTAGACACCGTACTTGATGAATTCTAGCCCCAGCCTCGCAATCTTCTGACAGAGTGGTCTCATAGTTGTCATTCATCGACACCCAGAACTACCTGGGTAGACAAAGAGATCCTTAACAAAGCCGTCGACAGCATCTGGAGATTGTAGCCTTCCGTATCAGGATCTCGCGTTTGAATATTGAGCATCAAGAGTGAGCCTTTCACGCGGCTTCTAAAAAGGCTACCTGGCAGGTCCTGAGGAGCTGGACGCCCAAATATCTCAAGGACTCTGCGTCAGCAGGCAAGTCTTATGCCGGGATTACATAGCGGGTAACCCCAACACAGTGGTTGGATAATTTGCCACCATAGTGTTTACTGTGACAACTACTCCAAAGTTAAGTTCGCAAGAGGAGGTGAACTTGGTCCACACTCGACTAGTTGGTTTCGGGTCCTGGAAGGACGTGTTCGTGTATCCCATTCCGCATACTCGGCACTCAGTGTTCCATCCGATGCCTTCTTCATTTTTCGTAACCAGCGCTTGAACATGTCCTCCCTCTTACCATGTTTCTCCCATTCTATTGCCGTCTTGATGAGGGTCTTCACCACACCAGCATGTGAAGCGAACGATTTCTTCTCCAATTCGCTCATCCGTTTCCATAGGCTCAGCGTAGCTCCCTCCCACTCCAAACTTGATGCGAGACACTGTTCGTGTGCCTCGGAGGGCGGTGCGAATATCACGAGATCCCAGATGGTCGCCACCGTCACCATGGTACCACATTTGACGTCCGAGGGGTCGTCTTTCGAGAGGTGTTCTGAAAACCGGCGGAAAATAAGTGCGATGCGGGCTGCAACATCCATAGCATCATCCAACGCTTTTTCATAGCTCCAAGACCGAGGCTTTTCTCCATACAGGTCCCGCTCCACCCGCTTAAGAATATCGTCGAAATTCAATGCCTGAATCCTCTCCTCGCTTTTTTGTCTAGTCTTGGCCATCCTGCGGTTCTCGTTTTCGACCGCTAGCCTCACCCGCATGTCTTTCCTTGCAAGAGACATCAGGAGCTCAACAGCCTCCTCTTGGGTCCATTCAGAGAGCGCCCGCCGAAGGTGACTATCACCCAGGTCTTCCGCTCTCTCACAAGTAGAGTTCCAAGCAGCCGGCTGCGAGGGTGATGAGCCGGGAGTGGGAGGCATGATGATGGAAGCAGTCTGGGGAGATGAGGGTTGAGACATTGCGAGCTGATTGACGGCGACATGAGACTCGAGGACTCGCATTTTCGGGGGGAGCCTGCGCGGCTCATCCCACGCAGCCCGGCGTTTTACTCCGGCGGTAGTTGTAGAAGACATCATGCTGAAGGGGTGGTGTTGAGTTTGCAGTGTTGAGTTTGCAAACTCAAGGGTTAGTTGTTCTTTTGTTCATAGGCTAGCCCGAAATTGAGAATCACTCGAACAGTTTCATAATGTAAACATTCGCAACGCGTCTTTTGACCAGGGGCGCGTTTAGCGTCTGAGCGTGATGCTTGGTTTAATTAAATGCCAGTGGGTGATGCTAAATAGGATACCCTATACCCAAAGCTGATATTTCTCTTCACCCTCTATATTCAACATAATTAATTAACTTATCATCAATTCATATAACTTGTTACACTGCCTTTATAGTTTGCCAACATGGCAAGCCTCTGTTTCGCGTTTTAGTGTTAGCTGCACGTTTGTTATCTTGGCTTTCTATCCGTCCTCTCGGATAAAAGTCACAAAATACATCATGTCACACAGGGACAGATTCACACTGTGCGCCACGAACTACTAAATTATCTCACACGATCACTCTACCTCATTCCTGCTTTTCTTTTTTCTGCAAATTCCATCAAGTAGACATGTGTCGGTGAAAGTGAATCGGGTCAATTACATCGACTTGAGGATGATCACAAGATCAAACCATCGAGACATTTGCGTACTACTAGCCTTGAATAGATAGACAGAAAGCACCCGAATGCCACGTTGCTTTATATGTTATCTGATTTTCATGCTATGCCTTGAATTGAGAGCCCCTCGCCATAGCCCGATAATACTGAAAAACTATATAAACGCGGACATAAACACGGCTATACCCATAAACCCAGCAACCTGGCCAAGTGGTCAGCAAGTGTCAATACTAGGTCCGGCAGACTACCTACCATTCTGTCAGAAAAGGTTTGATCTTGCTGGCCGATCTTCGTCAACTGCCACAAGAACACCACAAAGCCCCCGAACCATAGGCCAAGGCTCCACTCCAGGAGCCCAACAGCGAGAAGCCATATGAAAGCTTGGTCCTGGCGCGGTTTCATCTGCCCCATCGGAGTTTCGAAGCAAAGAATGTCGATCATTACAGCGTGGAACTCAGGGACGTTGACCATTCTTGCTAGAAAAACGCTTTGGTGCAGAGCCACTCCTACAGCGGTCATGGAGAGAATCAAGCTTGAGTACCACAGAATCCGGATTATAGTTATGGCAGTAGGAAGCATTTGGTCGAAGATGGTCCATGTGAAGCTACCAACAATCACCCCGGACAAGATGGTGCCCTGGAACTCGTGAGCATTGTTTCCAGAAATAGACCTCGCGAGTCAATCCGCCTTACAGTGACCATGACATTCGAAAGCTGATGACTCATTGTCTTCACCCATGCCTCGATCAAGCCGTTACGCTTCTGCTCGCTGTCCGCATTTCCAATCGCCTTGAACGGCACGACGCTGACCTCCCAGCTGATCCAATGGATGGGCATCAGCGCGCGGAAAAGCACACCTGGTGCTCGCTTCAAGGTATCGAGCATTTTGTCGTCTGCCTGCAAATTGACTCTCAAAGATGCGTAAGTTGAAGAAATCTAGTGGAAATGAACATAGAGCTCACACCGCATGCTCCGCGCGTGCTTCTCCTCTGCTGCTCGGATCCCGCGTCTCACCAGAATTAGGCCCGAAATCAATCCCTCCAAAGTCCCTCAGCTGCGCCATGCTACATGTACCCGAAGCCGCCGAGCCTGGACGACATGCAATGGAACCATACGAGCCACTCAATGTTGCAGGGGAGGACCAGCAGGCCAACGAAAAGCCAGAGTCCGACCGAGCTAGTAATACATCACATTTGTGAAATACTTCGCTTGGGCGCACTCATGAGCGGGCCCTGCTGCGGAAAAAGCTAAAGCTGCAGGAGTCAGTCACGTTATCACCGACATGGCAGAGGTATCGTATGACTGTCGGTCAAATATGTCCACCGGCAGAAGCTACCTACCTAGGCTATGACAGTGACACTGGCCGGCCGGTAAGACCTAGCTAGGAGCAATGCCTCAGCTGGCAAGCAACATGTCTGACAGATCAATACCCAATTCGGACTGCCATCTGTCCCTATTTTTTAGGCAGAGCGTATAGCCTGCAGGCGGGTCGGCACGCTGGCACACTTATTGGCGGAGGAGCAATGAATACGAGCCAAGAATGTCTGACCTATAGGATACCCAACAATATCTGACCTATAGGATCAGTAGGAATAGAGGAGGGGTGGCTGAGGGAGGTTTTGGTCCGTCACTATAGTGTGAACTGCCACAGGTTTTCAGCACTCACAAGATTGGGGGAGGATATATTTGGAAAATGCACATTGTGGTTTCATCCCATGGTGGCGATGAAAACAGAGTGTCGTTTGAATATAGACTCCATCGTTCCTCCTCTAGTGTTTCAGTGGCAAAACTACTTACATCTTTTTTACTCGGCGGCACCTAATCCTAATAGAAACTATTCTTATCACTTTGGATACGTGGAAGCGATGGGGGAAAGTCGTCTGGGGGAGCCGGACCCTCCACGGGACTCTGTCCACACTGAGGCGATATATAGTTGGTTACATCAAACATATCCTCCAGATGAAGTGGAAGACGATGAGAGGCCCAGCCTCAAATACCGTCATACTGTTCCTTACCCATATCACTCGCCAAATCACCCCAAAGTACGATCAGACCAGGCCTTGACTCTTCACGAGTCCTCGTCTAGGTTCAGCTCACGAATTGTATTGGGCCAAGATGATTCAACATCCCAATTCTGCCCTACAGACAGGGATGACAACCTGAGATACCCCGATTGGAGTATGAGAATCCCAGGAGATTCCGAGTACAGTGAAGAGAGCGTACACCAGATGAACCACTGGCCTGTGTGCGTGTCACGCCCAGGCTCTGAATCCTCGATAGCTCTCGGCGAACACTCGCATCCTGATCGGTGGCGAGATCTCACCGGCCGCGGCCAGAATAGGCGATTTGATGCATATTCAAAAAGCCGTTCAGGAGCGACTAGAGATCGCGCTAGAGAGTTGACAAGCATCACTATTACCAACAGCCTCGCAGGGCCTGGTTGGCGTGATGTGGATCGTGATCCCGATTTCCATATCAGCCCGAGCAGGTCAGGAGGTAAAAGGATCGTGTCTAAGGACGGCATCCAAGTTAGTTCGCCTCAGCAGCGCAAAGCATGGAAGGTCGGCATTGCATACAAGCCGTTCAGGCCAATGAAATACGTGGCAGAGAAAGACGATCCCTTAAATGAGCTGTGTGCACATTGGGGCGTCTATCTATGCGAGCTGGATGCACCTGAGGTACGAAAACCAAGTCATGCTCTCTTCCATATGGTGGATTAACAAGATGAGTTATGTAGCCCAACTATCGAGTATGTAGCATGGATTTTAAAGATGAGACCATGAAAGAGCTGGCGGTACAGACCGTGTGGTGCACTCCGACAAGACGCTGGCGCCGCAAAATGTACGAGGATGAGATTCTCAAGGTCAAGCGTTACAAAGAGTATACGCTCTATTTCAGCCTCGAGGAGTTTCTTTCCACCGGTCAGTAAAACTCAGCCTAATACAATACCTATTCCTCATCTTCTCACAACTCCACAGCTCAGATAGTGTTGGAGGAGTTCTTGGACCATCATTACTCTCGAGAATGGCACAAAGCCTTGGCCAAAAGCAAGCGGGCTTTCAATAAACATATCGATAAATTCGGCAAAGGAGACAGTGGCGGCCTGTATAGTGTTCTGTCGAGAAATTGTCAAGACTGGGCCGTTTATCTGCTCGACAACATAGTTGACCAAGGATGGGGTGATCCCCAGCGTCAGAGGGAAGCTTGGGATCCAAAGAGATGGCTTAAGGCACCTCCCAAGCTGCTGAGGGTCCCGCCTTCCAAGAAATGGTCACGGATATCTTTGTTACTTGATAAGGTGGCTCAGGTGTTGATTGATAACGTCCCAATCGCATTGGCGACGGTTGCAGCAGTAGCGCTGTTTGACGACATGAAGAAGGACAAGGCCAACGACAGGAGGCGGAGCAGGAGTAGGGAGAGCTCAGATTATTACCACGACTAGGTCAATCAGTATATAATACAATGTTGTATTTAGCTTATAGAGATGTCATAGCTTCCTATTCTAATCAAACTAGCAAGGTTGATGCTTAGTGTTGAGGAAATAAGTTCCAATTACTCCGACAATAGAAGCCAGACTGCAGTAACAAGAAGACCCGCTATAAGAGAAGATACTGCAGGAATAGAACGCGTCTTGCTGTTGCCCATCGAAGATGCTCCCTTGGCACTTAGAGCGCGAATGCAAGATATTCCGCTTGTGAGGTTCACCTCGGAGGTTTCTGCTAACTTCCCACCTAGAGTGGCTTCTCCAAAGCCCGTCATCACAATCCAGACGGTTTTTAACGCGTCTCGGAAGTCTTCCGTATCTCCTTTCTTATGCCCATCCCGGTTGCTTGGGAATGCGACAAATGAGTTTGGAGTCTCGGTGATATTGACGCGGCCGTACACTGGGCGCAAAGTTAGGCCTGCATTCTTGAGGATTTCTGAAAGGACCCGGCCTCCAGTGTCAAGCCAGGAATTCACTTACTATGCAACTGCGAGTTATCCTTAGAATGATCCATACATGAATTGGGCCAATCCAGGATCGCGCACCAGGACTGGGTGGTGGTCATCTTCTGGAGATCTTGAAGGCATGCGTCTGAAACCACACCATTGCATCTAGGGTCTACCTCGCCACTATCCTTGACCTCGGGTTCGTCATACTTCAATGGGCTGATGCAATAATAGAACTGTGAATCTGCATCCACACTCCCGCCGCTCCCTCTAGGAACGCTACTGGGAGGGTCCCAGAAAAACCGGGTTGCGGAAATGTATCTATCATCCTCGCCGTCAACCTGGCCAGGCACGTCAGAATAAAGGCGAATTGAGAGCTCCCAATCAAGTTGACTCCCGGGAAATTCCTCGGTAACGTTGTAGCCAGGCGTATTGATGACGCGCGTGAAATTTGGCGTCAGCTTGTCGAGCTCATCGTAGATAGTCGCGTCTGCCAGGGCTATTGGCGCGATTGCGAGTAGAAATGTGCCGCTGAGCCTCAGCATGCACCGACCGCTCGCCATCATTTCAATCCAAGTATCGCGGCATGTCTTGGGGTGATCGTCAACGCGTCTCGAATTAGGGGCGATGCTGAAGTAAGGGGAAGATTGAGGTTGGGCGTGTCAGCACTCAGACCACAGTCTTGGCAATCTAATTATACATCAGCAAAATGCAACATGAAATTAAGGTGGCAAGCGTTGGCTTTTTTACCCGTTTCTTTCGTCTCTTTATACCTGCGAACTAGAGCTTTCAATTCACTCTAACAAGCCGATTTACGAAGCTACTGACTCCTCCTAATCATCGAACAGCATCTCGTTGGCTGATATGTCACATATCAAGCAATGCATCCAGTTCCGCAGCAGCTAGTGCCTTGATTCTTTCTAAGCGATTGGGTTGCTCTTCGTTTCCAAACACAACTACTCCCTCTTTTTTTATCAACCCGTTGCATACAGTGCCTGGTGATCGTAACTTGGTGTCGTTATAATTTCCGGATACTTGCTGCAAGATACTCGTTTCACGGCCCCTATCCCAGATGGGCACATGTCTGTTGTTCACCATGCAGTTCGCCCACTGGAGGCATCCTGTTTTCCAAATGAGGCCTTCGCCAAGCCTACACTTTCCTTGTGCAACATGGTCGAACCCGCTACCTGATTTCTGGGCGAGTTGGTCTAAACACCATATGTGCGCTGCCAAATAGAATTTGTCTTCTGGGAGGACATAGCAGCCGCAGGTGCTGGCTTGGGATTGCGCTGGTTGTATGGCAAGACCTAAATCAGCACATACGCCAACACAATCGACTTTCTCGACGAGGGGCAGCCATGCTCTTGTCGCTTTAGGGGCCAAAACCTTCTTTAAAGGGCTACCTCTGCTTGGTTCCATGATAATATCAAGAAGCTCTGAGGCGAAAATGCGCCCATGCTTTGAAGGCGTTCTAGTCTGTTGTGTTTGTAGTAGGTTCGTGTTAATACGTAGAAATAGAGACCTGAGAGTTTCCCCATCTTCCTTTGTGCCGGAGACGATCAGGTCTCCCTTGTTATGGAGAGCGGAGAAGGCTGCCTCAGCTCCATCGCTTTGGAGGTTAGCAAATGGTATCGGGGACGATTTCATATTTCCAATCTCTTGCCAATAGCGCTGGCATAGGTGGAGCGCCAAGCTCAAGAAAGGGACAAGCCAAGCTTGTTTTGTTTTCGAATCTAGTACAAGTGCAACTTTCCCTCGGCTTAGATTAATAGCTTGCATATAGCTCGAAGATGCACCGAAATGCTGAACTGTGGAGTGTGAAAACCCACGAACGTGTTGCCTTCGGCGCCAGGCTGAGGATTGGGCCAAGAGTGAAGCCAGCCTCGACCCCAGCCTCGAAGCTCTCTACGCGAGCTACTCGGCGAAGCTCTAAAGTATTGCAGCTAGCTCTGAACTTGTTTTGTTCACAGAAAGCCCGCGTACCAAGTGCAATATTCGCAAATTCTGACCAACCGAGGAAGCATTTGGACCCCCGCAATAATGACGTGTCGTTTGTTTTAAACCATTCTCCTTTTATCGAAGCTAGGTTTGAGACCTGCAAGCAATCGTCCGCGCCATTCACGAACTCAAGATGCCATTGTATGCTCCGGCCGCCGTGTTTTTGCTCTATAGGCACCAGCGCAGTGAAATAGCCGAGAAGGATGATTCCAGCATCCAAACAAAAATAATTCTCAACTGCCGCTAGATGGATCATCATGTCAAACGACATTTCTAAACCGCGCCCCCATGATCTGTTTATGGGATATTCGACAACAATCGCGGTGTTGAAGAGACTCGCCCAACACGCTGCGTTTAGAGACGTCGGATCGACTCGAAAGTCTTCTAGTGGCTCAAGGGTGAATGAAATCACAGCAAGCTCTGAAGACTCTACACCAATCCAAATGCCTTTTGGAGCCTTTGATAGTTGCAAACTCCTGTTGTCAGGCCGTGCGACGCAATTTAGATTTGACCGAGTGGCAGCGCATATCCAGCATATCGCCTTGCAGATGTCGGATTTTTTCCGACAGGTAGTGGGAAGCAACAAGATGAGGTTGTCTTTTGTCGCCAGCCACACATCTATTTCTTCCAACTCAACCGATAAGGTAAGGTTTTCTCGTACACCTTCCGGACTCAGCATGCGTTTTATCAAAAGCCTGAATAGCGATGTCCCAAACTCAGGCCAAGTTTTGGAAAGGTATTCTCCGCAAGTGCAACAGTCATAGTTTTGGCCTGATCCGATAATTGTAACGAGATTGAGCATTGATTCCATGAAGTCCCTGTCCGGATCCTCGTTCCACAAGTCTTCCAATAAGCGAGGGAGCTCCCACCGAACTTCAACCACTAGCTTCTTCCCTGGATGGAAAACCGTTTGGTTGCTGAACTCCAGTTCATGCGAAGGATCTCGGGTTTTCGAATGCACCAAAATCTCTCTTATACACTCTTCGTCGCCCCTATGAACAGCATAAGAAAGTGGGCTATGGCCGTCAACCTCGTGGGTGTTGACGCCATGACTAAGTAGACTTGCGATCTTTTCCGGGGAGTTGTGATGTATGGCATAATGGAGCGGCGAGCGCCCAAATTCGTCCACATCGTTCATTTCGTTAGGCTGCATCACCCCTAAGATTGAGCGTGCCACGGTATCTGAACCGACAGGAGGGTCTTGGGAAATTATAGGGGGGATTTGAGAAGCTGATCCTAAATTCGAAGTTTTCACTTCATTGCCAGTGATGTGATGGCCGTCAGAGTCATTCGGTTGTCGTGATTGCGAATGGCGTTTCGAGTTTTTGGCCTTAGATGTACCTCGGTGCTTCGGCCTTGCTATGAAGTCTGCTACTAATGGTTTGTTGTTATATGTATATAATTGGCAACCAGAACAACGAGCATGGCCACATATTGAACACCCTGAGTCCACTGCTATGCTGAGCCCGCTCGCCCGACACTGACACTGTATCGTACACAAGTCAATACATTTATTAGACACTCAACTTGGCATTTAAATGTACTTACGCATGACCAGTTCATTTTCAAAGATCTTTGTAATGTCACCTGGTACTGAAGTTTTAAAATGTTTCATGATTGTCGGAAGAGTATAGAAGAAAAAAAGGATATTTTCAAGTATTTGAACTGGCAATCCAAAATATTCCTGCCGCGGGAGGGGGCCAATACTGGTTTACCTACATGGAATGTTCTCATTCGCCAGATGCTGATCCAATTTGTGCACTTTTCAAGTTTTGAAGGCGCGGTGTTTATTGGTATGACCGAACGAGTGAGTTCACTGGCTGTTTAAAAATGCGGGTAGTACATACCTAAGTAACAGCTCCCTTGGGTGGTCAGACGATAAGCATGCATGATTCTACCCAATTAGAGGCGTACTGAGAAGCCTTTACTAATTGAGGTCCGCTCCCAAGCACCAGGGTGGCTTATCTTGATCCGTAAGGCTGATACCGTACTTGCAGGGCTAGGGCCTGTGTAGCTGTCGAGCATAGTAAGACAGTTTGGGATTTGATTATGTTATAGTAAGGAGGTATCTAGGTCATCAATATAAGGCCCTGGTCTTGTACTGACGATCTGCATAGTACTGGTATCGTGAGGCAGTACGCCCTCGAAACCCCTTCCCAAACCGAATGAAGACTCCAAACCCCGACAAGATCAGACATGCGATTAGTAGGATCGTAATAAGAACATATTTAATCCCAATCCGGTCGATCCATGGCTCGAGCGAAAAGATAAAGGCAGTACTAAACGTGTTGCGTACCAGTGTGACGCCCACCAACGCATCGCCAATAATCTACTCCAGCGTTAGGATTCATAACCGAGATTAGTGTAAACACCCGAAAGGTAGACTTACATCTGTGTACGAGTCGGTCAAGTATGTGATTGACAAGCTGTTAATTGGCGTAACTCCAATATTATAGAAAACCAACCCAACCGCGACAACGGGCCATGGCATATGGTTGTTGAGACCAAATCCAAAGAGGAGCGCACCAACAGGAACAAAAAGGATGAACGGAGCGACGCACCAGAGGCGAGATTCTGGATCGTAAATACCATCACGCCGACGCGAGTAATAAACAATCCACCAGTCACTCAACGGACCGACGATCACGGCACCAATGGTGACGCCGATTACTCTGGGAAGACTCATGAGCCCAACTTGGTCTGATGTAAAGTTATAAGGCGGCAATGTCAGGTAGCTTGAGAGGAGAGCAGACATGACATCTCCCAGTCCAACCAAGACACCATATACAAGTGCCGTGTATGCGATGGCAGGTATCGTTGCCAAAAGAATGAGGGGTTGATACATGTGGCGAAGGAAGGAATCATCTGACTGGCCTGACGTTGACGTGGTAGTTGTAAGTGCCAGCTTCTGTAAGTATGTCTTTTTGGGGATATTAGGGTTGATCGTGATTGATGTAACACCCTGAACTGGCGCAATTTCAGCTGCTGGAATTGATACAATATCAGCATCTCCTGATGCAGAGTGGCCTCGTTTGAGTTTGTTTTCCGCAATGCCCTCGGCATCGCCCGTCTTATGCTCAAGAGCAACAGGTAGCCGTCCTGGCACAGTAGCCTCGGGCGGTGGGCAATACTTGGTCTCCTCGTAGGCGAAGGCGACAAGGAAAATAGTAATACCAAAGATGATAACGTTCAGCCACCAGACCCATCGCCAACCCAATCCTTTAGCGACGAAGCCTGCGATAAGCATGCCCATGTAGCTAGAGAGAAGCCACACCCATACGTAAAGCGAGTTCATTCTGCCACGCTCGTGGATAAAGAAGACATCTGCGATAGTCATCTGCACAATTGACTCTGCCAGACTGCTGAAAAGACACTGGATGACGTTGATGAGCATCAGATCGGCAACTGTCTGCATCTTAGCCGACCAGATGCTTAAGCCAAACTGAATTATCGTGCTGAAGAGATAGATAGGCCGGCGGCCGAATTTGAGGGCGAAGGGGATCAGAAGCAACGATCCAACACCCAGAGCCGCACAGCCAGCAGCATAACTATCATTCAGTATCTCGAAACTATAGCCAAGCTCCTTATTCATGGGGCCCCATGTGGGAGTTGGGGCGTTGATGAACTCGGCAACCATGGCGACATAGAAGCATACGAGGCCCATGTTCAAGTATTTACGCCATTGCGGCCAGTTTAGTGGGTCATTTGGGTCATCAGTCGGTTGAGGCTGTAAGATGAGGGTTTTGCTGTCTTTGTTGGCCTCGAGGCGAACTGTCCCAGGAGGCCACAGCTCATTGCTACCACTTTCGACCTGCGGCGGGGACATGGTGATCAAGATAGATAGAAAAATAAAAGAGCTTTCAATGAATCTGTTAAGGACTATCAATATCGAAGAAGACTTGGAAGCTGGGGGGGAAAGTCTGTTTATATCCATGTGCATCTCTGACTCGAGCCTGAGCTTCCCAAAGCGTAAGAGAGAGGCTGGTCCCACTTGATCCGAAGCCAGTTCTGATTGGCGGAAGGTTCCGGTAAGTCATTACCGCAGCCAATCATAACCCCAAACCAAGCCCCAGACTTTGGCCGTTATCTTTGTGTTGTGCATGTGTCATTCGGCTTGAGGATCACTTTCACACTCTGGACTTGAATTCTACTCAGGCAAGCAATGACGAGGGAAGATAACCTGAAAGCTGGAAATAGTGGCAGTTTCCGCCAATCGGAAGTCTTGGAGTAGCCGAGGTCGGATGCTTTCCCATTCTCTCGCATTGCCTGATCTTAAAACTGCGCGTCGTTCCTAAAACCACGCTAAAATTCCCAGGCATTGATAACGCAAGCGTTTAGCACCCTGATCACAACTATCTCATACTCTCCTTAGCTATGACACCGGGATTCTACAGCTTTCCAAAGGACAGTCGCCCTCTGTCAACATGGCTTCAAGACATGCAGGGCCACCATCTGATGAACCACCGCACCACTCCCGGACTACCCACAACAGCGGACATAGTAATCATTGGCTCTGGTGTATGTCTTCCATACTTGGTTACAAACAAAACATATTAGCCACTGACATAAAGGCAATAGTTGACAGGAACGACAGTAGCAAAGCATTGCGTGGAGACATGGCCCGAAAAGAAGGTTGTTGTTCTTGAGGCCCGTGAGTTCTGCTCTGGCGCCACTGGCAGGAATGCAGGGCATTGTAAACCTGATCAGTGGCGCGGTTTCAAGGAGTACGAGGATGACTTTGGAACAGAGCAGGCGTTGAAGGTTGGTTTGCAACAGTTTTTGCTTACTGTCGTCATCACAAGAATGTCTAACCAGATGATCCAGATCCTTCAAAATGAGCAGGAGACATGGTCAAGTGTAGTTGATTATGTTCGTTCCAACAACTTTGACTGCGAGCTGTGGGTCGGCGATACTCTAGATGTGCCAGTCACCTGGGAGTCGGCAGATGATGCTAAAGAGATCTTTGAGCGTTACAAAGCAGTAGGGGGCAATGTCGATCACATCAAAGTCACAAATGACCCGGTGAAGGCAAGAGAGGTAAATTATTACTTATTGTTACGACTTAACTTTGAATTGCTTACAACGGTGCAGGTATCACGGATCAACGATGCAAAAGCATGTTATGCTTGGCCTGCATCGACAGTACATCCTTGGAAGTTGGCTGCCCATGTTATGGGAGAGAATCTAAGGAGAGGTGTGAATCTCCAGACACGCACCACAGTCACACAAGTTGTCGAGTCCCACAAACAATTGGGAAAATGGACAGTCAAAACTGGGCGCGGCGATATCGAGTGCGCCCAGGTTGTCCACGCGACCAACGCTTACAGTCCTGCCCTTGAGCCGTCCTTGCGTGGTCTTATCAAACCCACACCTCACATGTGTAACTTGATCGCTGCACCTGTGAGCTTCATGGGGTCCAAGGCCCTTGAAAACTCGTATGGTATCCTGTTGCCTGGGGGAGGTCTGATTACAATGAACCCGAGAATACCTACCCACGGCCCTGTTCTTTTTGGTGGCTCCAATCCCGGCCAGGCTGAATTCTACAAGTGGCTCCAGAATAACCCGGAGAGGGCCACCGACGACGACATTGCCGGCTTCCCGTCCGTGACCGAGGCTGTGAAAGACTTTACAGACGCTCAACTTACAGGATGGCCCGGGGTTGTGACAGAGAATTACAGGAGGGAATGGAGCGGAATCATTGCAATGGCAAGTATTTCTCATGTAGGGTGATTGGGGTCAGACTAATAAGGAGAATCAGAGCTCTGACGGCCTACCATTCGTGGGACAACTCCCTGGACTTCCAGGTCAATGGGTCTGTGCCGGCCATAACGGACAGTATGTTCTATCAAATATCCTTCGCTCTTGGCTAGGCTAGAAATGCACTAGAAAGCAAACTAACATGCTATCACTGTAGCGGAATGGCACGAATATTCACGGCGGCGCCTGGACTGGTCAAGCTGATGGCCGGGCTATCCTGGGCGGACACAAAACTGCCCGAGGCCTTCGAGATTACTCTGGCAAGAGTGGAAAAGCTGAAGGGCTTGGAGAAAGAAGGAGTAGTACGATCACGCCTGTAGGTAGTTCGCAGCCTGTAGTGTAGACGTTGCTCAACTTTAAGCCAATGAATGCCTAAAAGCAAATGAGGAACAAAACGTTCCACGTAATCATGAAAACAAAAAAATCGTTCCTGGGTTTCTAAAATGTAGCAGAGATATGATACAGCCTTGTGAAATACCCGTACTTTCTTCCAGATGATAAAGATACTTGTGGTTGTTACGCACTCGACTTTACATCATCATTCAGTGTACCGGCGCCCTAAAAGTCAGATCTGGCGCCCTAAAATCACATCTAGTGCACTGACGCCTCCGCTGATAAGGATAGTACATAAACGGACTGGTCGCACCTCATTGAACTTGTCAACTTCACTCCCTCCTCCATCCGCACCATGTTTCCGAGTGCAAGAGAAGCAAATCTCCGGGCGTATCGAAGCCCCAAACGAGTTCGATCGGCAAACAGGACGCTGGTGGCCTGCGTCAATTGTAAAGAGAAGAAACTGAAAGTGAGACATGGACCCTAGCTTCACACTACAATACATTTACTGACAGAGCGCGCATCTAGTGCGACAACAACATATCTGGCTGTGAAAATTGTCGTCGCGCAGAGATCTGTTAGTACAGTCTAAACCTCCCTATTCAATTGGCCCATAGTCTCTTCTGGCATCTCTTACTGACGACGCCGGACAGCCTGCCTGGTAGAGGACCCAGCAACGCGAAAGCATCGGCCACGGAATTATCTCGAGCTCCTGGAGCAGCGAGTTGCATTCCTCGAAGAGGCTCTCAAACACCATCGCCCGGATCTTGCGAATGATCATCTTTTCCATAGCGCGCCTTCTGAATCGGATTCTCAGTTTAATGGCACCGCCACGTCCCTGCCCACCGAAGATTCCCACTCTACTCACTCACGCAGATACAAGGACGAGGAGCAGCGTGGGGAGATTGGACTTGATGAGCTATCATCCAAAGTAGGTCTTTTAAGTCTCAGCGCCGCTGGTGCCGAGCCTCATTACCTGGGCTCATCATCCACATTTGCCTTCTCCCGGCTTCTCAACTCATCGCTGCGCGGCCTTGTCGCGGAGAGACATTCAGGTTCCGGGTTGGATCAACATTCGAATAATTCACCTACACACCCTGTTCCATGCCTCCTCCCCGACTACGACACGGCGGTAACACTGAGCGACGCCTATTTCCATAACATCCATCCCCAATACCCGTTCCTTCACGAGCCAACGTTCAGAGAATGGGAGCTCTCTATCGTCAGTGGGCTAGTCGAATTTGACGATGTCACCTCTGACCCCGTCGCACTCTTCTTCCTCTATATGGTAATAATCCCGCTTATGCTCTTGTTGGGAGCGAAGTGACTGATTATCGTTGGCAGGTGTATGCAGTTGGGGCTTTGATCTTGCCAACCTATGGCTACTCAGCTGAGGTATGCTCCTAATATCTATTCGAGCCGAAGCAAGAATCACAGTATGACCAACCTTGCAACAGGGGCTGTATGTCTCTGCACAGGCATATAGCGATCAAGTTCTGGCACTAGATAATCTGGATTCGATCCAGGCCATCTTGTGCTGCGCTGTATATTCTCTACGCTCCTCTATTGGTACATCCCATTGGTAATACATAATTATCCGAGCCTGTTGGGATAGAGTAATGCTCACATAGGCCAGGAAATTGGCTGGGCTGGCGCTTCGTCAGTGTATCGACCGAGGTTATCACCGCAACTCCAAAACCTTGGGATCGACTGATGATCCGTTGCAACTAGAATTACACAGAAGAGTGTTCTGGTGCACGTATGCAATGGAGTCTCAGGCAGCAATCATGCTTGGGCGACCACAGGGGATACCTTATCACGAGGTTGACGCTGAAGTAAGATTTGTCAATGCTTTCATTTACTGTTCCTTACTTTGGAGGATTGTCTTGAGTTAGATCTAACAGGAAAAGCCAGTATCCAACTGACATTGACGACGCCGACATCCCAAGCACTGGACCGTGTTGCTCGTCACGGCGGTCGCCAAGTGATCTGCCAACAAGCATGACGCGGGCGATTCACACATTCCGGATCCGACACATTTTAGCCCACCTACACACCACTCTGTACTCCAATTCCAAGTCGTGTTGCCCACCAAAACATTCTCATCTTGAGCAGGTCCAGAAATTCCGAGCCGAGATTGAGAATTGGCGCGCCGCAATCCCGCCTCTGCCAGCCTGCACCGAAGCCCTTGCCCTATTCCAGACATCGGATTGGTTTGAGATGGAGTACAGCTATACCATACTTCAACTGTACAGGTCTCAAATAATATACCACTCTGGGACCGTCGAGAGCGTGTTCCTGGATTGCATGCGCGCCGCAGAGTCCATATGCCACAGCTACCGGTCTCAGTACCTCGGGAAGCCAACCAGTTACACCTGGACTGGACTTCATGAACTGTTTCTCGCCGGGCTGACCTTTCTGCACTGCTTGTGGACTTCACCTCCTGTCCGAGATACTTATCGGCAAGGGCAGGTGAGCAGCGTTTGCACAGACTGTACGATTATGTTGGTACTCATGGCGGAGCGGTGGAAGGCCGCCGCTCCCTACCGTGACACGTTTGAAACGCTGGCCAAACGTACCATTACGATGATGGATGATAAGCCTAGCGGACAGAGTACTCTCTCTGACTCTACACCGGAGCCTCAACCTTCCTCGGAGGATGGGCTCACGCAGTGGATGGCTCTTATATCTGATGCTGGCATATCGGAAGGATACATCAACGGGCTTTTAAACAGTGTGGTTGGAGATTTCCCATCCTGAATCTTGGACATTCCAAATGAGGTGTTTGCAATTTCGTTGGCCCGGGATGCTTAATGTACGAATCATACAATGGACTCACAGTTGCCAGAATTCTGTTGGGGGAATGGCATATAAGTGGCAGAGACGGTATCAGCCACTTATGAAAACAGCCCCGAAAGTGGTGTATACAGTTCTAATACTTGAAAATCTAGCTTAAGTGGTAATCGAGTATTCTTGAATCATTTCAATGAGGTTTACTGTGTTGAAAGTAGAAAGAAGCGTGTTACGTTGCAGCAAAGATTTCGCAAGAACGGTAAGGCTTCAAACATTATCTCATGCGAAGTTTGATCTTCCTGGTCACAACAGTTACCTGCTTAACTCATATTCATGCGAAATACGCTCATTTTGTTAGACTCTGATCGAATTTCTGCACAATTCAAGTTTTTGCAGGCGTGGTTTTCATTGGTATAGAGAGTGCGAGTTCATTAGGTAGCTGCCTGATCACAGATGCAGGTATAGGGTAACCGCGCTCTCTAAGATGTATGAGCACAACTCCACCCAATTCCTGACCGACAGGCCTTACCGAGAGGCCTTGACTAACTGTCCCAATGGTAGATATTTGCTAGTTGATGGCATTATTGCCTAGTGCCCATCTTGACTCGCGCCTATACACGACGCTTCCTGGTACATGTCGCTGCTCATGTGTGTTCGCAATATTCCATTTACTTTTGACAAGTGGCTTTGAGCGGATCCGTGACCCTGGTACAATGGTGGCAACACGATCAGGACATTGTTATCAAGCGCTGAGCAAAACCCGCAACGGGCCGATAAAGGCTCCATCTGCGGGATCTGTGCAGCGAAAACTCGCTTTGTCAGTCGTGGAGTAACCTCCTTGATAACGCCTCGATTGTCAACGGCCTTTGCAAATGTGTGCCTAATCTCTCTCAAAAGAGACCCGAGCTGCTAGATGAGAAATGTCTATCGACTTAAATCAGGGTTCCTGATCTCTGTCATAGGATATCCAGAGGATGATGAAGTTTACCTTCTCATTTGGGCCGAGGGAGCTATTGTTGGACGGGGCTAATGACATCCCTGCTCCACGCGGCTCGGAAATGAGAGATCAATCCGGTTCGTCGTTGGGTCCAGCCGCGTGTCTGAATTTTCTGATGTCCAAGAAGACTTTGCCACTCTAGACAAGCTTGCAGAGCAAAGGGTGAAAGGGTGGATGGTCTGGTCCTTCTGGATTGGAACAAACATGCAACAGATCTTGGCACAGAGATGAAGGAATTAAGGACTGGAATTAAGATATCACTCTGGCGGCAGATCTAAGGTTGTGATATGTATTTCTAAAAAAGTCAAGGTTCTATCCCAGTCCTGTTGAACAGAGGACCGTGCCACAACGTAGATCAACCCCCGCAGAGGTCGAGGCCATTGGCGAGGATGCTGCAGGAATGATGGCACCATCCTTGCCTGCCATGGCGATGGCGCTATCTCATCCATCCTGGTCTTGATTTCTCGAGGTCAGCACGCGACACCGACCCTTAAAGTCCTCCCGAACCAACTGAGCCTCACCCTGAACGGCATTTCCTCCCTCACAGGACTCGACGACCATCCGAGGGAAGCCATGGCTGCCAACCACTCGCCCTGGCTGCATCAGTCGTACCCCACCAAAGACGAAGAGGTGACAGAGACTGCCGAAGTCCACAACAACGGGCACAATGCCACCATCGCCACCACCAACGAGGAGCGCGACCTGAAGCGCGGTCTCTCTGAGCGCCATGTCGCCATGCTGGGTATCGCCGGAGCCATCGGCACTGGTCTCTTCCTCGGTCTTGGGTCCTCAGTGCAAAAGGCCGGCCCAGCTGGTGCGCTGCTCGCGTATGCGACTGTCGGCCTGGTCGTGTGCGCGGTGCAATTTGCGCTGGGAGAGGTCGCTGCCCTCATGCCCGTGACCGGCGCGTTCGTCCGCCACGCCGAGTTTCTCGTCGACCCTGCGCTTGGATTTGCAGTGGGTTGGAATCTGGTTTACGGGACGACTTTGTCCATCCCGGCGGAGATCACGGCCATCTGCGTGCTGTTTCAGTACTGGACGGACCTCAGCCCTGCCGTGTTCATTGTCATCTTCATGGTCCTCACAGTAGCCGTTGGATTTTCTCTTGTTAGGGTTTTTGGTGAGGTCGAATACATCTTTGGCTGGCTTAAGATTCTCCTCGTCATCTTTCTCATCATTCTCGGTCTCGTTATCAACCTGGGCGGCGTGCCAGGAACACCGCGAATCGGTTTCAAGTACTGGTATTCGCCCGGCCCATGGGCGGAATATATTGGAACTGGCCACTGGGGCGAGTTTCTGGGATACTGGTCTGTCATGACGGGCGCGGTGTTTTCCTTTGCTGGAACGGAGTCGATTGCTATGGCAGCCGCGGAGACACGCAACCCGCGCAAGGCTATCCCGAGAGCCTGCAAAAACGTGTTCATCCGAGTTCTTGTATTTTACCTGCTGGCAATCTTGATTGTCGGTATGTTGGTCCCGAGCGATGACGAGCGTCTCAACAACGATGGCAGTGATGCAACTGCTTCGCCCTTCGTTATTGCAGCTTCGGCAGCTGGATTACCCGCCATTCCAAGTGTTGTAAACGCCATTGTGATTACCTCCGCCTGGTCTGCGTCGAACCAGAGTCTGCTGTCTGGAACCCGTGTGCTTTACGGCCTCGCTCTCAAAGGTCATGCGCCTCGCATCTTCTTGCGGACCACGAGCTGGGGTGTCCCGTATGTCTGTGTCTCTCTATACACCGCCGTCATGTTCCTGAGCTTTATGAGTCTCTCGAATGGCGCCATCACTGTCTTCTGGTGGTTGGTCAGCCTAACCTCAGCTGGAACGCTCGTGTCTTGGTCAACAATTCTATTCAACCACATCCGTCTGCGACTAGCTCTGAAGAAGCAAAACATCCCTTATACGCGGCTCCCATGGGCAAATCGTTTCACTTGTAAGTGAGAGTAGAGGCTTGAATAGCTCATGATAAAAACAACCTTAACTGACTGGTCATTTTAGTGCACAGCTCGATCGCCGCCTTGGGAATGTGTTTCATTATCATTCTCACGAGCGGATTCACAGTTTTCACCAAAGGAAACTGGGACCCCAGTTCCTTTGTATCATCTTACTTGTGAGCAATGAAAGCAAGCCATATAGTTGAAATTGCATACTGACTTAAGTAGGGATTTCCCGCTGGTACTCGCGGCGTTCCTCTTTTGGAAATTCTACAAGAAAACCAGGTTCTTGTCTCTCGATGATATAGACATAGAGCGTGCTTTGCGGGAGGCTGATGAGGACAAACGATATTGATCTAATGTAATTCCGTCTTTCCCTCCGTGGGCTAATACCGCTATAGCCAGGCTTGAGAGGTTGACAGTCTCAAGATGAAACATTATCATTCTCAGCGGCCGAGTGTGATCTTCAATAGACTCTGTCCAGCCACGTGCTGGCCCACAACGGCCTTGAAAATTATCAGTCTCGACCCATGAGTGCTTTGATATTTTGTTCTTTCTCAACTGGTATACCGTACTGGTAAATGATGCGACTCTTGCATCGACAAACCAAATTTTTCTAAGAGCTATTGGGTCCCAGCTAAAGCCTTTGAAATACCCTCTACGATCGCGAGTATACTCATGGCTCCGGGATCTGGGACCTGCTCCCAACCCTGTTCATTGACATAGACAGCCCTTCCAAACGCCGGTTTCATCCCCTTGGTTGAGTCCGATCCCTTTCTTGCGGCTTCTACTCCCTGATTGATCCCGGATTTGAGTGATTCGACAAAAGGTTCTAGCGCGTCCATCAAAGTCCGGTCCCCAGCCCGAGCAGGCGTCACCTGTTGGATAGTCTCGAGTCCTCCGAGCGCAACTACAGCCCACTCCTGCGGCCCCATTGTCGCTGAGCTATCTAAATCTCTCAGCTTAGCAGCAAGTCCACTGAAGAACAAAGCGTAGATAGCTCCAGAGGTGCCATCCATATTTTCTTCAACTTCGTGAGCGATCTTGATCATAAGATCAAGGATGTTGTCCTCGGAGGCTGAAGGGTCTTCTACTAGTTTCAACACGGCCTCGCTGCCACGCTTGAGTGTCAGGCCACAATCGCCATCGCCAACGATAGTGTCAGCCTCGGTGATGGACGGTTCGGCAGCAATTGCAGCCCGGCAGGCGCTGCTGATAACTGAACGCACCAATTTTCCATCAACTTGATCCAGGGCATTGTTAGCAAACACGTTGCAAGTGCCTTTACATTTAAGAGGTTACTTACCTTTCGCGCTTGACGTGCTCTTGGCTACGATTTCCGCCTTGCTCTCAGTTGACTGAGTCGCAATGACCCTACCGGTCGCGTTTCGCTCTTCTGGGGAAATATAAGGGACGGACCAGCCGACCGCTGATGTAGGAGCGTCAAGATACTGTAGAAGTTCTGCATCTGCTTTGAGCAAGGTGATGCTAAAGCCAGGCCCATTCAAGCTGGTCATGAAGGTTCCGCTGTACGTTCTTACGGGTTTGATACCGCGGTTCCCTGAGAACTGTTAATACTCTCAACCACGAGCTTCAAGCCATGTTTGACGAGTCATACCTAGTCGTCGTGTGACATTGATCGTAATAGCGCCAAGCTCCAGAACGGATAGCGATCCCAGATTATTGACCATCAAAACCACATCATCAGATGGTGCAACATTAACATACGCCCGCTCTGAGTCACTGGTATCCAGGAGATAGCCGAGCATTTTGTCAAGCAAGTCGTTGAGTCCCGGTTTCGGCTTCAGCAGCTCAGCTCCAGGCTCGTTATGAATTCCCATGCCCAGCTCAAGCTCATCTGCAGCAAGGTGAATCTGAGCATCTGTGCTTTGGCCAGGTATATCAACATGGTCAAGCGAGGCACCGACCGTGGCCAAACCAGCGTTCACATTCTTCGATAACTCGACCACGGCCTCAAGAGACTTGCCAGCCGCCGAGGCAGCGCCCAAGACCTTGTGCATCAGCACGGTACCGGCCAGCCCTCTCCTCCCGACCTTTCCAGCCTTACTCCTCTGAAGAGAGACATCGTCCCCAACGACAACAACTTCGACTTTTATCCCCAGCTCGGCACGGAGTTTCTGCGCCGCCTGGTGGAAGTGGAAGATGTCCCCCGTATAGTTCTTCACGATGATGACGGTCCCGGCATCCCCGTTGGCGTTGCGGATGCAGCTGTAGATCTGGTTCACGCTTGGCGAGGCAAAGATGTTGCCAGAGACGGCAGCGCTCAGCATGCCTGGGCCGACGTACATGGCGTGGGCAGGCTCATGGCCTGCGCCGCCGCCGGAGACGAGTGCTACATGCTTGGAGGGGTCATGGAGCGTTGAGTAGACGACTGCAATTCAATTGTCAATAATTGAGAACTCCTTTTTACCATAAGTAGGTTAAGACTGATCCATACTTTTGTGCTGCTTATCAAATTGGATTCCTGGTCGCAGCTGAGCAAGACTTTCTAGCGCATCTACCACCAATTCGGCCGGGCTGCCACCAACAAAGTGTTTGGCTGTCATCTTCATATGTGGTTATCTGCCGTTGAATCCCCAAATGCCGTGGGACTGGCTATATCTGGGGTATTTCATGGATCCTCGCCTCCGCATCTTGAAGCCATCACCGGATCCGGCGTGTTGGTGGGCCTGACGCTTTTCCATCGGATAAGAGTTATCCGCCGATGACCGAGAGTTGCTGCATAATTGAATTGGAGCCAGTTCCAGCCTGGTGCTTGGCTACCTGCTAGATCGGAATAAGTAAGATGATGGTGCCGGAATTCTGTCGGCGGAACTCCTCGTAAGAGTCGGAAATGGTGTCTCTCGCCTGTTGGTGGAGCCGGCCAAGCAAATGCAAGTCGGCTTCTTCTCTGGCCTCAAGCTAGAGTTATCATATCCGAATTTGTTATCCGGGGCCATCTTAGGATGGCATCTAATAGCCGGCATGTGATTGAAAAGGTCAGGGTAGGAGACACTTTGCCGGTGATAGCACCGGCACACCCTAGATCTCCAAAATGACTACGTATTCCGAGGGTGGCAGATTATCCACAACGCCCGGAAGGGTGGGTATGCTGTTGGCGGGTTCTGTGTGTAAGTCTAGCCCAAGCATCTGCTACGTGCTCATATATGTGCCCATTGTCCGAATTATGCAACGTGAAGGACAGTAGACTGATTTTAAAGAGTGACAGATACAATGCGGAAGGCGTTCTTGCAGTGATCAAGGCGGCGGAGCGATGCCGTTCCCCGGCAATGATTCAATTCTTCCCATGAACCTTGCACTTCCACGGCCCTGCGTTTATCAAGTATGCAGCCGAGGTTGCCCATGCGGCTTCAGTGCCTATATCCGTTCATCTAGACCACTGTTTGAAGCCTAGTGATGCAGATCTGGCTTTGGAGTGCGCCTTCGGCTCCATCATGGTTGACGGATCCATGTATGATGAGGAGGGCAATATCAAGTACGTCAAATCCGTCGTGGATAGAGCTAAGGACAAGGGCATCACTGTTGAGGCTGAGCTTGGGAGAATGGAGGGAGGGGAGGACGGACTGCCGACGATTGACCTGGAGAGCGTCTTCACCGACCCAGACTTGGCCGCCAACTTTGTCAAGAAGACCGGCGTTCATTTCCTAGCCCCTAGCTTTGGAAATGTCCATGGCCCATATCCTCCTGGAGGCGCAGAGAAGCACTGGAGATTAGACAGGTTAGAGAAGATCCATACAGCTTTGGGTGATGCGACACCACTCGTGTTACATGGCACTCACCCGCTGTCAGATGCGATGGTCTGAGTGGGAATGGCACGAGGAATAGTCGAGGTTAATCAGAACCGAAATGTGAGGAATGAGTATCACGAGTACATTGCAGGAAATTGCACCAAGGTCGAATTGACCACCCTGCAGGTGGAAGCCGTCGAGGCATATTCAAAAGGGGTTGAGAGGCTCATGGTAGACGTGTTTGATTCGGCAGGGAAAGCTTAGAAGCCTATAAAATACAAATAAGCCAACGCCATTGAATCTGCTCCGCTTCGTAACTGACTCGCCACTGACGTGTGCTACCCACTGAGGAGGATAAGGGGGAGGAAGGGTGGCTCGGTGGAGTGCGAAGATGAAAGCCCCATTCCCCCACAGACGATACCCAAGCCGAGACCTTTTGGATTGGGTGGATGACTCGACAGGCTTTTGTAGCCCCTCACAGAAAACACGAACCGCCTCCACAGCCGACGACTTGTCCTAATCATCAAATTCAGGCAGGTGTGTATCCTCACGACGGATGCAAGCTCGGGCTTCCTGTCCGGTATTATCTGATCTACATTCCTCCTGATTGTCAGGGCGTACTGCTATCTGACTCAATGGCATCAATCCCAAGCCCCGTGTCGAAGAAGAAATACGTCACAAGGTTCGTTGCCACCTCGCTACGGCCTCAAGTTGACATAACCAGTCAATCCCACCCCAGCTTGAACTGACGGGTAGAACAGGGCCTGCGACGGATGCAAAAAAAGAAAATCCAAATGCGATGGCCGTGAGCCCTGCTAGCGTTGCCTCGGTTCCGGGCTTCGTACGTGCTCTTATGCCCTCGCAAGGCGAGTAGCATACTGACATCTTGAACATAGGCTGTGCTTATAATTCAGACTACAAACGTGGAAGCAGGCGTAGGACTGTAAGCGCATTCCGCCTCGAAGTGATTTTGATGAAAGCGCATTGCAAAAGCTGACCGACTCTAGACGCGGAGTTTGGCTCAGAACCAAACTCCCTTGAGTGTCACGGGCGAGGATGCGTCAGTTGCAACGGGATCGCCTTCTCATGTGGCTGCACTCTCAAATGCCAATAGCGACGGCATTAACCCTGTCAGAATCGAACATGGTTCGGGTATGCTTGCTTCAGCCAGCCTAGCATTGTTTCACGCTGTCCAGTCTTCCCTAAATATAGACTTATCTGAGCAATAGGTGATGCGAGCGTCCACGCCTTTCTGCAGAAGGTCTCAGGGCATCTGGCGCAGGTCGGTCGCGGTCTTCCTCGGAATCTGTTCAGCAAGGAACAAGGCGGTTTAAACCCCGATAATCAGTCCATCACCTTCGTTCTACCCAGCATTGAGACCGCCAAAGGTTACTTTGACCGCTTCTTTGACCATGCACACACGACCTACCGGTATGTGCCCAAAGCAGAGATGTTTGAGCTCCTAAGTCAAGTCTATGCGGAGAATGATGCTGTACTGAGTAACCATACGGACATGGCTATCGTGCTTCTGATTATGGGCATTGGGTATGTCGGCCGTCTATCTGTGTCAGGTATGAGAAGTTAACTTGATAGATGTATATGGACGGCATCGTGGAGAAACGAGCCGTTGCCACCTTGGAAAAGAAAATCGTAAGAAGCGCCCATATCAGGCAAGACCTTTGACCCATGATTAACACAATTCCAGAGAACGCTTTCTACAAGCTGCTGAACTCAGGCTCGAAAAATCTCGAAACATATTTCCTCCTACCCTTGCCATTTTACAAGCTCAACTACTAAAGGTACTGAAACGAGGGAATTCGTCAGCTTCTTCGTTTTTGTTTATACACCAGACTTACCTTCTGTATACAGTGCCAATTTGAGATCGTCTCTAGCCAATACAACAGTGCCTGGATGACATTAGGATTGACAATCCGCTTGGGTCAGATGATCGATATTCAAAGAGAGCCAACCGCATGCACAGCTCAAGAAGCCCATTTCAGGAAGGCCACTTTATGTGCTATGTTCATGGTTGATCGGTAAACTATACTCTTCCTCGATAATTTTTTGGTGCGTTTTTCAATGCTCATCCTCTTAGATATCTGGCCATTGCCTTGGGTAGACCCATATCGATTCAGGAGCATGATATGACCATCACGCTCTCCATGGAGCTTGATCCCGCCATCATATCTCGACTTGGTAGTCTTGAGGAGAAACTATGGGTAGGCGTTGTAGCTCACTTTAGGTCTGTCTATGAACCAGTTCCGCGCTCTGTCGTTCTGAAACTGATGCCCAACGAGATAGGCTTACCAGGATTATGGGCCATATAGTCACGCAGCTATATCCAGCCGCCAGAGATAACACCGCGCCTACAAAAGCTACCGTGGCCGGCTTGAAGAAGGAACTCGCCGACTGGCTTAGCGACGTCCCAGAGTTCTTTCAGCCTGATCAAAACGAGCTCAATTCCCGTGAACAGGGATTTTACGACGTTCCTTGGATCTTTCGGCGCCAGCAAAGAACCATACGAGCCGCGTTTTTCTTTGCCAATATGCTTATTTATCGTCATTTTCTGCTCAAAGAGTTTCTTCAGCAGGCTCCCAACACCCCGCGTTCAGGCCAGTGCCCTGTCCGTGTCAGGAAATGCGTTGAAAATGCCATGGCTATGGTTGTTCTTGCTGCGGATTTTGGAGCGGATGAGTTCAGGTATAATTCGACCTTTTGGGTATGTGCACTAAAGATATGATGACGGCATAAAACATAGCTGATGATGAATGTCCAGACGAGCTCTCACTTCCTATTTTGTGCGATTTCCATTCTCGTGGTCTATTTGGCGTTGTACCAGGAGTCGGACGACTGGCATAGCATCGAGTCTGCGGTTGAGAAGGCGATGAAGGTTCATCGCAAACTTGATAACACTGTTAACATCTACGCCCAGAAACTACTTGATGTAAGAGTCCCTTCATTCTAAATGCTTCCCCAGATTGAAATACTTGGAATTGACATAGATGACCTCCACGTCTGATTGCTGACCATGCTGGAATGCAGGAATCCTGCGCAAGGGTCGAAGTTCTTCGGACCCTCAACTCGCCCAGTATTACCGTAGCAGCACATGGCCCAACACCGGATTGGCCAGAACTTCCGGGTCAACAAGGTTTGCCCGTTGTTTCATCCCCTCGTAGGCCAGTATTGGGAAATGATGATACGGACCTGCCAGCCCTCCAATTGGCTCCTCACGAGGAAATGGAGAGAGCGGCTCCCGGGCCATATTCCACGTTTGTAAGTCAAATCGCCCTGCCTCTAACCCATGATGCGTTCTGATTATGCTGAAGGAGCAGCACGCAATGGAAACATTCGGGCTGAACAATGGTCTTGACATGATTATGGATATTGGATTTGACAGCGCTGCCTTGCCTGAAAACTTTGGGATAGAGGGTATCGATCAATATAAACAATACAATTGATAGAGGAATATTGAAATAGTATGATTTCTATCTTGGTCTTTAACTTTTTTATTGTATTAAGAAGCAAGCTGTCTAGTCTGTTACATGACATTCCATAGCCTATTAGCCAGTCGATGAAGTGATACCGCCATCAACCTCAATCTTCTGTCCGGTGATATATCTAGCCTGTTGAGAAGCCAAGAAGACAGCCGTCATGGCCACATCGAACGAGTCACCCATCCTTCCCATGGGCACAGCCTTGCTTCGCTTAGCAATGAACTCTTGTAGGTCCCCTCCGGCATACTTGTCCGCGAGCATGCGGATCAGTGGTGTATGCATCAGACCAGGTACTACAACATTTATTCGGATGTTCTTAGGGGCGTAGATGACGGCCGTGGCCTTGGTGAACTGGATCACAGCAGCCTTGGTAGCAGCATATGCAACCTGGGGCTTGCCAATGTAGCGGAGACCAGCGATGGAGGCAACGTTGACCACGGCGCCTCCACCCCGCGCCTCCATCAATGGCAATATGTGATGGCAGCAGAGGTAGACGGACTTGAGGTTGACATTGGTCTGGGCGTCCCAGACCTTCTCCGTCATCTCAACGGGGCCCCCAGGCTCAAAGCGACCAACATTGCTTCAAAGTGGGAGAAGTATTAGCAAAAGCCAAATGCAGTTACTGTTGAGTTGGTTATCTCCTAAGACTTACTTGACGAGGATATCGATGCGGCCATACTTCTCGATGCAGGCATCAACAGCCTTCTTCACACTCTCGTCGTTGGTCACATCGGCAGATACGACAGTAATGTCACCACCCTCGGCGGCAATACGCTTTCGAGTGTGGTCAGCAGCTTCAAGGTAAAGATCACATCCGAAAACCTTAGCCCCTTGCTTGGCCAAAATACGGGCGGTGGCAGCACCATTTCCCCACACATGCTGGTCGCCGGTCTGGCCAATACCAGTTACTATGCAATATAGTGGTTAGTGGGTGATCTATCGTATCCTCCGTGTTCCCCTTCCACTATGAGAGGGAAAGAGAGTTTCTGTAGTAAATACGGAATACAACCTTGCCATTGAGATCTGGGTAGGTCGCGAAGCTCGGCTCCTCAAGGGTGGCATGGTTGCCATTGGGGTTGCCGTTGGCACTACAATTCGTGCTGCCAACCATTTTGGATGTTGTTGGGAAGGGAATATGAATATACTACTTGACCAATAGTGGGTTTTACCTCTCTTATGGATCAAGCATAAAGCTTTACTTCAGCTGAGGCTATTAATATGCAATATGTATCCTTGTGTGTTCCTTTTAAGCAGGCAGCTGTGGCCGGCAGTATTCTCACTTGCGGCGGGTATATTCTACGACTGTTTGCTACTAGAAGATCGATGCTCTCCACTTCCTAGTGAATCCGAGTAGCATCCAGATACTGGCTCATGCCTAGAGAGCCGCTCCCTGTCAGCTTGGTCTGTCTGAGATGTCCGCCTTACTATGTAGATTGATATACATACCCACATGGTCGGAATTAGATCTTATTCTGGGGACAGAGTAAGCATAGTTTAATGTCGGCTTTTATGTCGGAATTTTATGTGCTTAACTTGTCTTGTCTGTAGGTTGTGTTATGTCGGAATCTCTGAAATGCCGACACTCCACTGTCGGAATTACTTCACCAGCTTGACCCTGCCGGGAATTCCGACACCAGGCAAATGCTACATACAACACACTCTCTCCCAGCAGCACACTTGCCCACGGGGAAAATCATGGGGCAAAAATTTTGCCGCGCCAAACTGTAGGTTTACTAGCTCCATCAATGGTGGCAGGCAATGAATCTGGCGAGACTCAGGGGTTGCCCCTTCGCAGCAACTTCCCTGAGCATTGCTGTATCGTACATGGACTTGCAGATAACTCGGACGATCTGGACTGTCGGTGACCTCTTTCGACAACGTATAAGGTTGCAATACAATCCACATTTCGACACCCTCTCGAGGACCCGGTTCAAGTCATCAACAGAAGATCCAAAAGCAGTTCTTCGGATAACCTCATCAACTACAACCTCCAGTCTACCTAAACTCTGTCAGTAAAGAGTCTCTGGCTCCAGCGAGATAGCCATGGCTCTGAATACCGAGACTACGAGCAACCGTGTCTCGATCGTCTCTCAGAATGAGAAACAGCCCGAGAAGTTCAGTCATACTGAGCGTCTTGGTGAACTCTCTGAAGAGGATCGCGCATATGTTGAAGGCTTTTCCGAGGATGCTAAGAAAAAGGCTCTGAGGAAGGTGAGATGCTACCCGGAACGGAAGACGATAAGGAAAAAAACGGTATGCTAACAAGTGAGCAAACCAGGTGGATATTCGCCTCATCCCTATGCTCACTTTTCTGTACTTGATCTCCTTTCTCGACCGAGCCAATATTGGTATGTAACGTGAAAAGCATTTCAACGTCCATCAAACTGCAACAGCGAAAGTATCTGACATCGTTTCGATTCTGGGGAATGCGAAGATCGAAGGATTGATGGAAGACCCCAAACTCGACGGAACAAAGTACAATATCGCTCTGTCTATTTTCTTTGTCCCATATGTTCTGCTAGGTATGGATAATTATCAGTGCATGTTTGGGAAGATAAATCTAACCATACGGGTTCGATTAGAGGTTCCCAGCAACACGCTCCTGCTCAAGTTCAAACGTCCTTCCACCTATCTCGCGATATTAGTTACCACTTGGGGTGTTATGATCACCTTAACCGGGATCGTTCAGAATTTCGCTGGCCTCGTGGTTTGTCGATTCCTCTTGGGAGTCTTTGAGTAAGCAGCCAAGAATAAGAGTCCATTCATCACATACACGGAGTTAAGTGTTAACGAATTTTCGCTTCTCAACAGGTCTGGTTTTTTCCCCGGTGCCGTGTACCTCATCTCAAGATGGTATCTCCCCCACGAGTCGCAAGCCCGCATCGCACTCTTCTACACAGCAAGTGCCCTCGCTGGTGCTTTCTCTGGCCTTCTGGCATTCGGAATTGCCAAGTTAGACGGCCTAGGAGGCTTGGAAGGATGGCGATGGATCTTCATTTTGGAGGGAATCGCTTCCGTTATCGCCGGCATCATGACCTTCTTCTTCCTCATCGATACGCCCACCCTATCGCCATGGCTCACACCGGATGAGAAGAAATACCTTGATCTCCGACAGCTAGCCGTGCAGGGCAATAGCATGCGGGTCAGAGAGGCAGAGAAGAGTCGAAAGTGGGAGATCCTCCGCTCCGTCTTGACCGACTGGCAGATCTACCTTCAAGCTCTTTTATACTGGTCAAACACGGTGCCAAATTACGGCATGAAGTTCACGATACCCCAGAAATGCGCTGCTTCTCAAGATCCCATCATACGTCCTAGGCGCCATCTCAGCATATGTCTCTGCCGTATTCTCCGACAAATTCAAGTGGAGGATGCCCTTCACCGTCGGAGCCCAGTTGCTGGTTGTGATCTCGTTTTCTATCCTGTTTTCTCTTTCGGCCAAAGTCAAGGACAACACAAAAGTGTGCTACTTCGCCATCTTTCTCTGCTCCGTCGGTTTCTACCCCATCAACCCCGGTGGCAGCGCATGGACCATTGGAAACCTCGCTGGGCCGACCAAGCGCGCACAGGGTATTGCGTTCATGATTTGTCTCGGGAATATCGGCGGTATCATTGGAAGCTATATTTATATCGAAGACGAGAAACCAACCTATCCCACTGGCTTTGGAGCATCTCTTGCCTTCGCTGGGCTTGGTATTGATTCTTGTCTTATTCTCGAGTTTGTCTATCGGAATATTAACCGAAAAGAGGTCACAGATGACCGAGGAGAAAATCAGGGCCAAGCATACTGATGAAGAGCTCGAGAAGATGGGAGACCGCTCGCCTCTTTTCAAGTACACCCTTTAAGTTGGTTGAAGGGGAGCTTGGTATGCCACAAGACAGCTGGAATGCTCCAAGGCAGGAGATGTACCCGCGACATCCGTAAGGATACTATGTTGTCGGGATGATTAACTCTATCAACTGGGAAATTATATTGGTGTGAATTAATCAAGAGAGGCAAGAAGGGAAGTGGTGTTGCTATTCCATCGTGCTAGGGTTTGTTTGCCATATCCAATTAATGCGCCAGTTGCGCAATATTTTTTCCGGTGCCTAAGCTTCCATTCGTGATAAACCTCAACTGATGGTAAGTTGATTACATATATCTTGCATTAGATAGGATTGCACCATTTTGTCTCTCATCCGCGCCGTGAAATGTCACATGACCTGTGGGGGTATAAACGGGAGAGCGCTTCTTATATTTCCACTGTCTCGCAGTAGAACCCGTCTTATATACCAACCAAGACCTCCACCAATAGAAGCCATAGGTCCTCTGGAGAGGGTTGAGGAATTGGTTGAGAAGAAACTGTACATGTGCAGTTAATGTATTTGGACTCGGGCGTCGGGAGAGGCAAACCCCAAGCCTGTAATGGTTGCTCAAATTATCTGAATTAGGGTAAATGAAAGTTAATTTCACCGAAGCTGAAAACCTATTATTTCAGCTTCCAAGCTGACTTCGTGTTACATGAGTGGTGGCGCGTTCTTTGAGACCCAAAGTTCAATGGCGGCACAGCCACATATCCACGCCTGTTAGCTCTACCAATCCTGCCACTCATTTTGGAGGGTGATATCGTCATAATTAGTGGGGTGGTGGACGATAGCGAAGTGCTAGAATTGTTTTCCAAGCCTCTGGAATCCTGGCACACGCCACCCCCATACGCGTCCTATATTTGAACTCAATCCATTTGTTAGCAGCAGCGAATATCAAGTGACATTTGTTGGATTGTGATTTTGTTTGGTGATATCCATGAAACCATTCCTTTTGCCCCCAAGGCTCCTATTCTATTCAGCCTTGTAAGCCTATCCAGTTATATACTTACGGAGGGAGGTCAGAAGACAGATGGACGGGGGGGGCTCGCACGATCTCGTTTTAAATGCTTGGCCAATGCTACTTAAATGCCATCATAGAAAGGATCTTTTGTTTCCAGGCTTGCCAACCAGAAGTGATGATTAGATACCACCAAGATGGAGGATAGCAATACAAGGAAAATACCGAGTTCGTTGCCCACAGCGTGGCTGTACTGGCCAACATGGTCCGCCCGAAGACTAGGGTCCAGGCCCGAAAGGCGTCTGGCTCGATGCTAGTGTTAACTCAATTCGCAGGTGCTCTTGAAATAGTTAGTTCCCTTCAATGTCTGTGTGGTCACGAGTGATCCAGGGGCCAAATCAAGGTTCCAGTCTCGGCAAGATCATGCCAGATCTAAGGCGCCACACTAGACGCCTTAGTCCTAAATGGCACTTAGTCGTTTAGGTATTGGTCCATAGACACGTAGACCCAACTGTTACAAGGCTGGATGGTTACAGTGGCAGAAGTCCCTGCTGCGGAATTGGCAAGGCACAACGTAGTGCGGCGCCTTCCGTGGCCCAAGTTAGCTGGTCTGCTCATTGGGATCTCCTATTTGCCCATTGGTAAGGGGGCTTGGAGTATTAATATCAGTAATACATATCCTGTCCGCCGTTTTTCTGGCTGGTCTCAGCGTTCTATCTTCTTTGCCCCTGGAGGTATTTCATCGAGCATGTATCAACAACAGCCAACCTCAGAACAGCCCATATCTGCTGGGCTTAATAACCACCCTCCGCCAGCCATGGCCACCCAAGACCAAGTCTTGCCAGTTCCGCCGCCGACATATGAAACTCAATCCACTAAAGGAGGCGCTAATGTACCAGTTCACGTTGAGTATGTTTCTGAATCTCCTTACGTTTCCATATCTACGAGCAATCAGCTCGGGTAGACATTTGGAGCATATTAACAGTGATATATTTGTAGCACATCCAATGGTCATCCCGTTGGGGCTCCGCAAATGGTCACTCCCTTGACCTCACTCGGAGATCATCCGCAATTCATCGACTGCCCCTTTTGCAACCGCCGGGCCCAAACAAGACTGAGCAAGAAAGGCGGTTCTATGCAAATGTACGACGCCAAATTACTTATACCGAAATGCCGTCAAGCCTATACAAGGTACTCTGCTAACTGTTTCTCAGTGTTGTCGGTGCTGTCCTCTGTCTGTTCTGCGTCTGCCTCACATGCCTGCCCTGCATCCTGCATTGGTGCGAGAATACCGAATACTATTGCACTAATTGCAACCAAAAACTCGCCCTTCGAACATACGACGGGGGCATGCAGGTGTTCAGCCCGCCTCAGCCGAGCAGAGCGGCCCAGCCTTCCCAGCCAGAAATGCAACAAGCAACGCATTACAATTGATTGAATATATTTTGCAATCAACTCTTCGATGATCTTGTATTATGTTTTCCTTTCTTTGTAGATTTCCTTTTCAGGGTTACTTTTTAGCTACAGGTTCCGTGTTTTTGGGTGGCCCAGCAACTGGAGTCTGATTGGAGTCGGGTTGTGTCACGAGATGAAAGAGCCATGTTGAAGTTATGTCAAATGTATTAAATTTTAAGATATACATTATTATTCAAAAAATCCCTTTACTCATACCAGAACGTAGCATTGCTAGTGAAATATCCAAGCTTTCACTATTATAGAGAGTTATTCTGGACTGTCATAGGCTGGAGGCTTCGCTATGCAAAATTCTACCTCAGAAATGAATTTATGCCTCCCGGCTCAGTCATGACCAAATATTAGTTCTTTATTCTACAGACTGATCAGTTTTTGTCGTATCAAGATGTTCCGGGCAAGAGAGTTTGGGTACAAAGTAAAAACCAGCAATGGAAGATGCCAGACCCGACGTCGACACAATGGATAGAAAAAGCAAAAACAAACTCTGCTAGCCCAAGGCCACAGCCACGCAGAAGGAAAATTACCTGGAAAACAACCAATCCTAAATGAACAATAAGTGTAGACCGTCAATCCCGAGCAACCTTGAGTAAAGCCCGACTCACCCAAATCCAGCTGCCAGTTTAAAGATAGGCCTACATCGGATCTTGCGATCTCTCCGGATCGTGTATGCAGAGTATTGATCGCCCGATCAGCAACAAGCCAATGAGCGTTGGGGCTATGCAGCGAGCTGTTGCCTAAATGCTCGCGATGTGTTGCCCAACATGGCGAAATTCTATGCATATCAATCCCACTTGACATGCGACCTATCGACATATAAATTTTCGGTTTCGCTTCAGCTCTCTCCATCCTACTCATCACTAATCTTTGGTAGTATCTCTTTCTCGCTTCGGCCGCAGAAATGGATCAAACAAACTCAACATTCTCAGGAGCCCGGCGTTCGACCCCATTCCAGCATGTCTCGGCTCTCGAAGTCTTCCTTCCCGGCATTTCTCGGATGCTCGGCGGATTATCTACAGTTCTTGCAGGCGATTTGAATATGTTTGCTTATATCGCATGTGCTCTGGGCATGATCGGATTTGTGCAAACCTACATTAATCGTCTTCTTAGGATGTTGAAGTCACATTTTGGTTTGTCATTCCCTTCCTAATTATGTTCCTATCAATAAGCTAACCATAATATTTCAAGCTATGACTATACATATCAGTCAGCAGGACGAGGCATCCGAGATGCTGTTCGCTTGGATGAAACGGCGTGGGTTGGAGGGCTCGGCCGGAGCGTGTTCTGTCAGCGTCGTGAAGAAGGGTCACCCTGGCGATGTCTCCAGAAACTGCGGCAAGAAGGCTCTCGAATATAAACCCTGGCGGACATCTTTTACGTTTTGGTACAACGGTTCCATGATATCGTACAAGACCCAATACGTCGACAAGGGAGGCGATCGCGGGACCGAGGAACAGACAACGCTCAGCTGCCTGGGCTGGTCCAACAAGACCCTCAAGCAATTGATGCAGGAGTGTCGCAGCGAGTATCTCGAGAGAATCAGGGGCAAGACATCAATATTTGAAAATTCAAGTTCAAGCTGGAGGAAGCTCAAGGATAAGGACGCACGCCCGTTGTCAACCGTCATCCTCGACCATGAGCGGAAGCAGCAATTTCTCGGCGACATGCAAGGTTTTCTAAGCGAGGAGACACGTCTTTGGTATACTCAACGTGCACTCCCATACCGCCGTGGGTATCTTCTCTACGGACCGCCCGGCACCGGCAAATCCAGTCTCAGCTTCGCTATAGCAGGCGAGCTTGACCTGGACGTCTATGTGATCAACGTCCCAGACATTAGCAACAGCACTCTCAAGAACCTGTTTGAAAGTCTACCCGATACATGCATCGTGCTTCTAGAAGACATTGACGCCGTTGGTGTGTCGAGAACCTCGGATCCTGAGAACATTGAGGATGGGGCGCCGGCAAGAGTTTCCCGCAGAAGTCGGGGCACAGTGACACTGTCAGGACTCTTGAACACTTTGGACGGCGTTACATCCCAAGACGGCCGGATCGTTGTCATGACCACGAATCACCGCGAGAACTTGGACGAGGCGCTGATCCGCCCCGGTCGCGTCGACATGCAGATGGAGCTACCTGTTGCCGACTGCAAGGTCATTGCTGGCCCTTTCAAATTTCTTCTTGGTCCAGCCAGTCGGGATAGTGGAGTTGAAGACGGCGGCGTGATAAGCAAAGAACAGGATGAATTGGGAGCAAAAGCTGTCAAATTTGCATCAATGGTTCCACCAGCAACATTCAGCCAGGCGGAGATTATCTCCTTCCTTTTAATGCACAAGAATGACACGGATGCTGCTCTGGCTCAATGTGAAGAGTGGGTAGAGCGAAGAAAAGAAGAGAAGAGAGTTGCGACCGAGAGGAAGGAGCTAAAGGGGAAACTACTACAGTCTTAGATATCAGCCATACTACAGGTTATCAAAAGCCGAGGGCTCTAGACTCGGAATCAAGATTTCCTCCTGGCATATGGGCATCCATTGATGTGGGCTCTCCTTAGGGAGCCAGCACAACAGTTTGGCCGTGGTACGTAAGCCTTTTCGGTTAGTAAAACCGAGGCCATCTATAGCATGGTGTATTATATGGTGCATTCCTCGAATTTTAGGTCAACGTAGTCACAGCCAGCAACATCTCTCCGCATTATGGTCAAAGACTGAACGAAGAAAAATGAAGGAAACAGCAAAGAATTAATCCTTGACAGGAAAACAACAATTGAAAGACAAATTTTGTTTGATTTGTTTGCCTTTACCTTCATCGTGATTTGAAAAATGGTCCCGGTTCCTTGAGGATGGGATTACGTTGTCAAGGAGGCGTAGCTTGTATAAGCCGCTGCCAAGTTTATGCGCGTCGTGTCTCCGGCCCACATCAAAACCCCAGAAACAAGTATGCCCATTGACTTTACATATTATAAAACACTCATAGAAGTCTGAAATGTGGAAATACATATTTTAATCCTCAATTTCTTTGATGAAAACTTTATCCAGCGATATGAACGACTCCAGAAAATTCATCCTTCAACTATTACTCCTTGTGGCAGCGTTTCCCCTGGCACTATCCGCCGCCCTGCCACACATCTCAACAATTCAAAATAAGCCTTCACTATCGTTCCGAGAAGATGACGATGATGACGATGATGGAAAAGGAAACAAATTATCAGGAGGAGCAATCGCTGGAATTGTCATTGGCGTCCTAGCATTTGTTGCCCTTCTATCAGCCGCCACATGTTATCTTCGTCCAAAACTGAAGAGGAAGAAAAGAAGAAATTCCAAGGATGAAAAAGATGGACAAAGAGACGGAGTGCGATCAACTACCACATAGCCTAGGAGTTTTGGTGGCTCATCTACTTTGTTTTTGGTTGTCTTCGACCGGAATCGATAATACAACCATGCTTTGGGTGAAGGAATTTCGTGTTGAAGATTAACTACTATTTATCACGTTGAGGTGGATGTTTATCGTACGCAAAGGACCAGTCCGTAGTTTTGCGAAGCTACCTAGTTTATTAAGGGCATTTCCTAGACCCGTCGCTACAAGAACCTCGTGAGAAATCAGACAAAATCCAAAGCATAATAGCTATAAGTCCCTTCCTCGAGTATTAATTCTGCACAAGCTTCGCCAGCCCATCCAATAACTGCCGCTCCTTCAGGCATTCCAACTCCTTGGCTTTCAGTAACTGTCTTATTTGCTCGCATTCTTGCTCCTTTGCCTTGAGAGCTTTCATCCCGACCTCATATTCCTTCTTCCACTTATGAACTAAGTCATCACTCGTGCATTCTTCACTTTGTTCCGTAGTTTTCGAACGATCTACCTGGGGTGGGCGAGAGCACCTTTCCCTACTCTCATTTGAGATGATGGGCCTCAGATTGGAGGTCAAGCTTGGACTGATTGCAACATTTGTTAAAACCTTCCTAGCTGGAGATTGATGCTTCCGGGATTCGAGATGTCTTTTCAAATGAGCTTCTCGCTTAAAAGCATGCCCGGCCTGGGATCTTTTGCAAGGTGGATGAGGACAAGGAAATCTATTCGGGCCACCAGCATGTTGCTCCGCCTGGTGTCGCTGGAGTGTGAAAACGTTCGAAAAAGACTCTTTGCATTGCTCGCAGATCAATGAGGGATCCCCTTCACTACTTTTAATCAAGTCAGTTACAAATTTCCCTCGCATCACGAAGGTACGAGCCTCGATGGGCTTTAAACCTACCTTGAGGGATGGCTTGGTGTCCTATCGTATGTTTCAGAAGTCGAGGGTCCGTTGCTCTCTCCTTCACCACTAGAATAATTTTCGGACGATGTGTTCTCTTGACTGGAGCCTTGAGCGTGGTTCGGCGAGGAATCTTGAAGTAAACCGGCATCAGAGACAGCAACATGGTCGAAAATCTCCATCCCTAAGTTACCCATATCACTACTATGTGGCACAGAGTTATCAATCCTCTGAGGTTCATATCCATATCCCAGGCTATCACTTTCAAGCCAGGAAGGATTGGAGTCGAAATCTAGCAGGTACGAATCCTGAGAATCAAAAAGACTTGCGGGCTTCACTTGAGGGACTTGCATTAGCGAATGCTCAGATAGTCGGGGAACATCAAAGCACTTACCTTGCGAGGTGTCAAAATCCAGCTCTAGATTTGGAAGGGGCGTAGCACACTGAAGAATAGAGAGCATGGGTTCTGTCACGGATGGCTTAAACATCCAACAGACACCCCATAGTACTACCAGAGCTGGCCAAATCGTCCACGGCATGGTTGTACATAAATGCCGTACGGCGTGGGGAAACTCGAGACACAGTTCATCCAGAATAGTAGGGTAACTAGGCTCATCAGGTGCTTTGTCGAAGTAATTATTGAGTCTCTCCCAGACTTCAAATATCATCTTGAGTATCTCATCCAATTCAGGACATGGTTCATGAAGTGGCTCCTTCCGTACCTCTAGTAGAACGACAATGAGAGTTTGAAGTCAGTAGCATGTCCATGTAAATTCACTGGAAATTGGAACGACTCACCAAGCTCAGTTATCTCTAGCGCATTGTTCCGATCATATCTTTTGGCCTGTCTTCTGATTCGCGTCATGTCATACTTCGCCGCCAATTTCTTTGCCGCAGAACGGGCCGCCGGGTGAGGGTTATCAACAAGCTGGTCATGAATCTTGACTAGTAGACGATCACGTTCGGAGCCGATAGCCCTCAGTCGGGGCTTAGTCACCCCATTATCAGGCCCAGCGAATTTGCCTGAAGTCTGTGTGATCAAGATGCACTCTCTTTCCAGTTGTACGAGAGCAGACAAGATGTCCTTAGCTGCGGTCATCAATTCATATTGGCTCATGGGCATGCGGACAGACTGGCCATCGATATCGGCGAGTGTTTTGGAGGAAGACTCTCCTTGAGAACTATGAGTCTTGCGAGGTATCGAAATGTTATAGTAATTTTCTTTGTCGTACTCTCGACTTACGAGTTGACTGCCAGAGGCCTTTTGGCTGCCAGCCCAGGCGTTGACAACAGCAAGAACTTGACTTTCTTCGAGTATCGTTCCTCTAAGAACCAAGTCTGTGGAGGATGTTGACTCAGCCAGGGCTAAGGTAGCTTGAGACCTCATTCTGGATAACATGTCGCGCTAGTACAGGGCGTGAGAACTTAAGGAATAGTCCGAGGTGCTCTGACAGTGGGAATGGTCTTCCCTTTATTTTTCACTGTGGCTCAGCCGCACAAGGCACACTTGTGGTAAGCAAGCCGCAGGATTCAGGGTGTAGCCAATGAATGGCCGAGGATTCCAGGGTGCAACTGGGTGTGGACTGTCACATGAACCATTTCACCCCAAAATCTGGCTGAGGAAGCTCAGCGCGCACCTCACTTGGGGTTGGGCTATTGACAGTATGTTCACAGCTTCATTAGCTGAAGGTATCAAAGTCATGCATATGTTATGACTAACCACCCGACGCAGCCCGGAGTGTGGAGGAGTGACTTTCATGATGCACTGAACCCAGTAGAGATCCTTTACAATGATCTGAGTGATTATTATCAGAAGGTCCTGGGCAGGCAGTAACAGGAATCGTAAATAGGAGGTTAGCCTGTTTTGCCTGCACAGCCCCCAGTGATCAGCTCATATTAAACTACGTCTTGTCTTGATTTCAAAACAAGAGGAAGCAAAATTATAATAAAAAAGACTATTCAAACACCCAGGGAATCAAACAAAATGATTCCAGATTTAAGAAAAAAAAGAAACCAGCTAAGGCTGGTGGCGGACTCTCCCGCCGGGAATTGAACCCGGGTCTCAAGCGTGACAAGCTTGCATACTGACCACTATACTACGGAAGATGATCAACTGTGTTCAGTTGCTGTAGTGGATTGGTGACTTCGGATGAGTTAATTAATTATATATACCCATAGCTATGCCTTGATCAATATCGCACCACCTCTCACCTTCTACACATTCGCGAGTGTTCTACAGGGGTTGGATAAAGAATTATAATACTAGCTGAGCAATTCCACAAGTTGCGATCCCCATCATCAACGCGGCCATAGATAGATGCTTCATGGGCGATGCTCTAGAGTTCTTCAGACACCGCTCGGAACAGTCGTCAGCTGCCTTCTCGCTGGATTTCTCTCCCGTGTAGTAGCGGTCATTGCATTGCCGCACACACCCCAAGAGAAAACAAGGCAGCCTGTTCGCGTTGGTCATGGTCCGTCCGTTGAGCTCCCGCTGGCTCCAGGTGCCGTTACCACCAAGAAACGTGACGGTGCTGCTGTACGAGTAGCCGCTTTCTTTTTCGCTCCCCTTCTTGATGAAGCTATCCGCGATGCGAACCTCGGTGTTGTTTGGCGCCACGTCTGTGGGAATGACGATGTTCACGGATTGCGGGCCAAGATCCAGATTGTTCGCGAGCCAGCACTCCGGCCCCGTGCCCCAACCTGGCGGCGTCAGTGCCAGATACAGGCGATAGCCATCGTATTTACTCCGAAGCTCCGAGTCTTCGTCTATCGTCTCTGTGATTGAGATGGTGGCGTTCTGGCCGGCTGTGATGGTTCTGGGTGCGCTGACGCCGATGGCCTGAGCTCTTGGTGAAAACACGATGAGGAGGACGACAGAATGTGCCGCCAGGACGGTCAACATACGAAGAAGAGGCGGAACGAGCGCCATGACGTTTCGCAAGATGTTACCGTATTGTTGTAAGAAAGAAAATGTAGGTTGAAGATAGCTTATGAGTGTTTTGGTCGTGAAAGAATTCACGAATTGACAGACACAGAGAATTTTTAGGCTTGGCCAGCTCGGGCAGGCGAAATTAGCAGTAAGATTGGGGAGCTCATCCCCTGGAAGATGTTAGCAGGGTTAGCTGATGACTTCGTACCATCACTCAGAAGCACGTTAATAAAACATAAATGGCAAAGTCGTCATCATTTGTTGCGATAATTGGCATGGCATCACAATACATCATCGTAAGGCCCAACCTAACAAGCAAATGCCAGCAGTCTGGCTCTTCCTACTCTTTAACTCCTTTCCCTCATTATCCATCTCACCTTAGGGCGTTGACTGACCCTGATTTCAGCCATGGGATTATTTAAAGATGGCGAGATGATTACCAGAGGAGAGAGAAAAAATAGTGGTGTTTGTGTTGTGTTCCCTTCTGTTTTTGCCTTTGTATTCTCTGTCTCTTTGATTTATTTTATCGAAGCTCTTAGTTTGCAATCTCAGATAGACCCTTGCACGGAGGCAGATCAGATCTCAATCAGCTGTATGTTGGATGCTGTCTACGCCTTTCTGAGTAATCTGACTCCTTGAACTCCTCATCTAATTAATGAGTATTTCCAGTAGTGATAAAACAATCCGAAGTGTAGTATTTAGAACATAAATGGACTTACACCGTATACTTGAGGTATCGTATGTCTCTTGGCAACTGCATGTCTAATGGTTGATTACAAGCACCGGTGGCAAGTAGGTGTCAGAATGACAGGGACTGCAAAGGTGTTCTTACCCAACTTTCTTGTGCAATGTTAACAATGATAGATCATAGTGCAGTATAATAATAGATTATTGAACAATTATTGGATAGTATTATCTATTTATACACAAAAGGATCAGTTGTTTATGACACAATAGGAAGTGTTTTTATGTCTACCACAATGATTTTGGCGACGCGACTCTGCGGTCCCTGTTTTTATGACGGCCACTTGCCATGGGATGATAAGCGATGAGATAGGTTCACAGGACTCCCTATTGGGAATTGAGCACATTAACGATTCTTTCCAAGAAGTTTAGTTCTTACACATACTATATAGTTGAAAGCTACAAACATATAGATCCATCCATCTCAAGATCTTCCACTACGCCGAACCTTGAACCGCATCGCCTTATTCGGTTTCGCCTCCATCCCCACGACCTGGAACGCCAGATCGCCAATCCTCTCATCCAGATCCATAAACCCAACACGCGGCTTCTTGTTCTGGATCTCGTTGACAAGCTCAAAGTCAAACCATCGTACCACCAGGAGCAGCATCACCCTCAGCTCGTCCATGGCCAGATCCTGCGCGATGCACGCCCTGGGACCCCGCTCAAAGGGGCGCCAGGCAAACCGGTGCTGGCTCGCCCCCTCCTCCCCGAGGAACCGGTCCGGCCTGAAGCAGTTGGGATCTTTCCATAAGGAGGTGTCCATTTGGGTGCTGTGAGCCGAGGGGATCACCATCGCGCCGTGCGCCACGGGCCATTTGTTCCCATTGTGCTCAATGAACTTGACGCCGGTTGGGGCGGAGCGGATGGTGAATCCGATTGGGTAAAAGCGAAGGGTTTCTTTGATCACTGCGTTTGTCAGGTCCAACTTGTTTGTTCTAGAGGGATCTGAGTTGATGATTTCGATGGTCGTTTCGAAGTCTGGGTCGAAGATCTCGTCGTGCTCTTGGCGCAACCGAGCCAAGATGTCGGGGTGGAGGCTCAAAAACATGATGGCAAATGTGAACGTGCTGGTAGTGGTGCCGTGGCCGCCGAGTAGAAGAGCCTTGAGACTACACGCATGTCAGCTATTTAACCCCTGTGGCTGAGTCGCGGAAGAAGTTCATACTTTGTGATGACATCGTCAAGAAACGCTTGATTCAAGGGCGCGTTGGGCTCATCCTGCATACGATCAAGAATAATCCGGTCCATGATACTCTTCGCCTTGCGTCGGGACGGGAGCTCCTTCTCGTCCTTCATGATAGCGCCGCGCTTCCTGATCTCGGCGCTGAGGGAGTCGTGAACGCGCCTTCTAATATCGCGCAGCTTGCGCCAGCTCTTGTATCTAGCTATGGGGTTGAAACTTGACAAGACAGCCGTGGCAGGATCGATCGTCGCCCTGAGATCCTCGAGAAGAGGGGACCCTGTCTTTTGGGCCTCGAGCGAAAATCCGAACACGATCTTCCCAACGACATCAAAGATAGCCTTTGAAGTCTCTTCCTCGAGGGCAATGGGATCCCCGCGCTCGGCCATCTCCTTGAAGCGATTGTGGAAGGTGAAGCCTTCCTCCGAGATCATCGTTATCATGGACTTGATGTGGCTCGCAGTGAAACCGCCACCGACCATGCGGTGGTTATACTTCCAGCGGTCCCCATTCGATGCTGCTATGCTTCCTTTCCCAGTGAATGGTTGGAGAAATACCTCGATCTGCGGGTGCTTTGGGAATGGGTTCACGGTGAGCACCTGCATAGCGATATCAGGATCGGTGATGACGATCTGCGGCACGGCCAGCGGCCAGAGGTCAATGTAGAAGATTCCAGGCAGCTTGTACTTGTGCGCCAAGTAAGTATAGAAGTACTGTGGATGTGTTCCAGGCGGGAAAGCCTGCGAGGCTTCAGTCATGGCCGCTAGATGGCCAGAGAGGAAATTGTGGCCAGGCGGTTGAGGCTGCCGTTGGTGAGTCCTTGTTCCAGTAATTTTCATTGAATATCAGTACTCACCAGATTCTTGAACCATCGTCGCACAATGATGAGTTTAATCACCTTCTGTGCCACCCATGCTGCGCCCACGGAGGCCACAAGGACCAAGGGCCAGCGCGCGAACATGGTAGGGTGGCTGCTCACTCACGTGCGCCAGATAGAAAAGGAGTGTATCACTTGAAATCAACATGGGGGCGTAAGCGAGGTCAAGTAGCCTCTTTATGTAAAAATCGAGTAAGACTCTTGCGGGGAAGCACCCAGTAACTGGTGGCAAGCTACGGATCGATGAGCATATTGACTGTGGCAGGTCTAGGTGCTTCGCTTCGGCACTAAGCTTCCGGCAATGCATGTTTTCCTTGCTTGGCAACCACACGAGACGCTTCCCTTGTCAACAAGTATGGACAGCTAACCAATTGAGTAAGGGCCAGCTCGCGTGAAGCAACCCCCCTTCACCGGATATCGCAGAGTTGGAAAGATGGCCGGTGCAGCGTGGTAGATCCCACCCCTACATGGCTCTCTAATGCTAAAGCAGCATCAAGACATGTGATAATCAGAATTGAGTGATTTCTTGTTGGCAGGGAACAAATGAAGAAATGTGTGGGTGGATGGATGAAGGATGGTGCGAGCTTGATGCGGGACCGGCCACCGTGGAGAAGCAGAATTATCTGATGATCAGATAAAAAACTTTGATCTGATCTGATAGCAGATTTCAGCTCCCCACTTTGCCCTACAGCTAAGAGGTTTGAGACGTTTTCAAACCCCTGTGCCATTCAGTCTAGAGCGTATAGTCTCATGTGCGTCTTTCTTATTTCGTGCCTAATTTTGTTCAGCCCCGGCCCTCTTCGGCACTTGCGGTATTAATTCATCACGGGCGAAGAGGGGCAGTCGCGTTGACAGTCGGCTGTTCTGATTCAATCAATTGTCTAGTGCTCCTGGATGGATCGGCAGAATGATGATCATCTGCGGTAAGCTCTATATGGGGGAAAGGCTGGTGAGACCGTCGTGTTCAGTCGTCCCGGTTCTTGAGTGAATGACGCGAGGGCTAGCTAAGAATTGGATGATCTTTCAGCTGGGGCGGCATCGTATGTAGGATTGACTTGGGACTCCCCGCCTACAGGGACATTGTACCATCGTGGAGACTCACGGAACATGCCGGATTCGGGTGTCGTCTTCGGCTGATTATTTGGACAAAGGCTCAACGATGACTCGATGTACGAACGTGAAGGCCAATCTATTTCTAGGGATTTATCACTTCTGATATGATGTGAAGTGGTCCGGCTCGCATATCTGCTGGCTTGCTTACATTCACCATGACATCCAACAGGGGGATATTCAAAATCACTTTGTAGAGGTGGCCTCGGAGTGTATCTTCTCGACTAAGGATGTGCCACTGCCAGGTTTCCTTTTTATGCTGTGGATGCACACGAATGGAGAGTTGGCGGGCGTGAATACGCATCCAAACGCTCCACTAGGATTCTGAGCAGCCGCGGAGTGACGAGAGCGCAGTAGCTCGCAGGTTGGCGAATCCTTGTCACGGGGAAGATCATATATAGGCACCTATACATTTCGGGCTGGGGCATCGCGGACTGCAGCCTTTTTTCCATGTCGCGTAGTTGTTCACGGCGGTCTCGGCATGCACCAGGCACGGCATAACTTCAGCAGATATCGCGTCTCTGACGGGTGTATTGATCGTTGTCAAAACTCGATCCCTTACCAGACACTGAAGATTTCTTAAGGCGTCTTCCAGCGTCAGGCAAGCGATGCTTCAAGTTGGTGAGAGTAATGATGTCATCGCGGGAGAGCGTCGTTCGCAAGGAAGAGGTTGCATATCGAGGAGATGGTGGGTGTCGACTACGGATTCGGCTTATCGGGGTTTCAAGGTGGAACTGGACATCTTGTGAAGCGCTGCCACAGCTGAGTACTTGAATCGAGACCATCAGGACATTGAGTCTCGGTCACGGTATCGTGCATGGGAGGAGGTGATCGCGGTGTCGTGTTTCGTCTTTCCTTACCACACCACCATGGTTAGCGAATTACACCCAAGGGGGAGGACAGGATCAAGGGGTAGTCATGTACCTTACAGTCTCGGAATGATCTCAAGAAATGAGCCGGCCTAGTCACTGCCTGGGTTGTAGGCGGAGCCGCAACTTCATCTTCTCCGGTGCTGGTGCAGTTGCGCAGACGCGACGCGATCCCAAAATGTTAGGGCACGGTGATGATTAGTCATCCGCCTCGCACTGAAATTGACCCTCAAAATCGCCTACCCTATAGCCACTTGCTTTCCAAACATGAAGTTACGGATACTTCTCATCGAGGTTGGCATTGCTCCAATATGTCTCGATGGACTTTCCGAGAGCGGGATCTCTTACTGATTCTATATTTAATGGCACCATCAATTCGCCTTTAAACGAACCTCACGCGGTCATTTAACAACGTCTTTCTCATGGCGTCTCCCACACATCTCATCATGAAACTTCAGTTAATAACTAGAGTGACTCGTCTGCCCGATAGCAGTCGTATCCTGTCCAATGGGAGTGACATACAACGACGCCAGATAAGGCTTGGAATTCTAATTTATGAAATTAATCCATGTTGGCCGTCTTGGCGTCTAGGCGCGTTCACAACACGTGATTGAGCTTCGGCAACTGCCTAATCACGAAATTCACGACGATTCACGCACATAAATTGAATGCTTCCCTCTTCAGTTGGAACGCGCAATTGTTTTTTCGCTTGACTTACTATAAAATAAAAGATGGGCTCCTGGGACTGTTACTGCATGGTTTGTTGCGGACCCATGACCTATGTCCGTATCCGTGGTCATGAGAACTACGTAAAAGACCCCAACGCTGGCCCCCGGACCGTGAGAGAAGAAGACGACGAGGCCGAAGAAAATCATGATCTACGAGAAGAGGAAGAGGAAGAGGAAGATGATTGTTGGCTGTATGACCCCAAAGTTATCCAGCCGGTCGATATTGATTGGACTGAAAATTGTCGCGTGCTTGGGATTAACGCCCACTGCACTCGTTTGAGCAAGTATGCTGTCACCTCCAGATACACTTCAAATAATCTCTTCAATATGCAATCAGACTCACTCTTAATCATCCAGGGCCTTCATATCCGGGCAGGGATGCTATGATGACCTTGGAGTCATGACTTGTGACCAGGGTGATGATCCCAATTGTGAAGACGTCGAGGTCGAGGCAATGCCCTGCTATTTTGACTACAACGACAATGAAGACCCCGTTTTCCCTTTCCACATGGACTGTTTTAAGCTCCTGTCCCGATACCTGACAGGCTCAGACGACATTGGTCTCATCAACAAGGACGTGATGTATGCCGTCGTGTGCTCTCTCGCCGATTCGACTTGCTTGAACCTCGATTACGCCTTACCTGGCACAGATTTCAGACCTACACCTGAACAGGCTTGGTACAGCATTGCTGGGGAAGAATTATTTGTTGTATCCCCGTTACGGATGGCACCACTCTCTACAACAGAGATTGAAAAGCTGCAGCGTGGCACGGGCATTGCGTCCCTTGATCAAGCCCTGGGCAATAAAGTGAAATCGGACCCATTCTCTAAACTCCCACGCGAAATCACAGATCAGATTTTCTCAGCTCTTGATGACACCTCGCTCATAGATCTCTTTAAGGCATCGTGGGCGCTCCACTCTGCGCATCACAACAATCATGACTTCTGGATGAGGAGAATTAAGGACGAAATGGAATGGTTCTTCGAGCTCCATGAAGTTCTCCAATCACCCGGATTCTTAGACGGGACTTCGAGCACGAAAGCTGTCTACCTGTGGGCAAATTTGAAGAGCAAACCACGACTCGGGTTCAAAGGTAAATATATGGGAGTAGCGAACCGCCGTCGGATATGGTTCGCCTGTGGGCAGATCGCCGAGTCTTATCGAGCGAAGATTGCTGTTTCAGCAGGCGACGTTGATGAATCTATCGAAGACAATGCGACATCCCCCTATACTTCTATAGTGTCGTGGCCCACCGCCTCTTCCGACCAACTTTTCGCCCACTCGTTTTGGATATCCTCATGGGACGCCCTCTATTCCTCCAAGACGTTGGACACGTTCTGGGATAGTGAAGGCTACCTAACCGGTATTGCAGTCACCATTAGTGGCCAGAAACGGCTTTTCGGGTTTGACAACAAAGAACATGATTTGCAACAGCGGACACTTGAGTTCCAGAAACATGAATGGATCGCTGAGATGATCCTCCATATTCCACCGATAGACCCCTTGGCCCCAAGCGCATCACACACATATCCGAAGGCACCGGGCACCTTCACAGCACCAAAGGGCATTTCGGTAAGTGCTTTCCCTTGAACTACAAGCTGGTGCTTACGCCAAAAGATTCGGACATCAACCGGGGCCACCCTTTCAGTGGGCGAAACTGCTGTCGGCTACTGCCAACGACCGCTCCTGGCTCCTCCGGGCCAGACCGTGGTGGGAATGGCAGGTAACGTTGGCGTGAGTGTATCACACACAAAATGGGTTCACTGCCCTTCATATTAACCTCCGCCTTAGATCGTCCAAGGGAAGCCACGCGTCATTCGGGCGGGACTTCTTCTCTGCCCTAGGTCACTGTCTACAGACTCGCTACTGTCGGAACCTGAAATCCCAAACCCGCCCCTATCAGAGACGTTTCTCTGGATAAAAACCGCCTTTAAGGTCCAAGGGCGCCCTTTGTGGGAGAATGACCAGCTCCGTTTCCGAATTTTCGAAGGGGGGCTAGCAATGCAGCCAGGCGGCTACTTTCATGACGACATTGTTCCACATGACGCATTTCTCTGGGCTCAGGACCGTTCTCAGCTACAAGCTTTGAAGAAGATTACCGTTTACAGCGTGCAGACTGGAACGAGGCAGACTGGTGGTTTGATCAAGAAGACGGAGATCACAAAGGCTGTAGGCAACATGCGCGCGGACTTTGACGATGCCAGTGGCCTTGATCCGGTGTTTGCTAGATCTTCCGAGGTGAATGGAACGCCGATCCCTGACGACATGGTGGAAACTTTTGAAATTGATGGACCAGGCGGAGAGCGTATCATTGAGCTCGCGGGTCGAATGGGTATATATCTTGATGCTTTCAAGGCAAGTGACCCCATAATTGGACATTTTATTGCAAATGAGACGCAAGTACTAATTTTGGAGGAAAAGCTACGTACGAATCGAGGACGCGAGTTCCTATGGAAGTCTCAGAGTGACGTCGGCGATGGCTGGAGATTCCTCACCGTTCCCAATGGTCACGAGGCAATTGCCGGGCTGATCCTTGCTTGGAGTGACCCATTCGGGTACGATCCAGCAGGGAAGACTTTTGATCTGAGGGTATTCTCCTTTCCGCCTCATCAATTTCGGGGATGCAAATAACCGCTGACATTGCGTAGACGCACACCCGATTGGATTATTTGGGGATTGTAACCATCGAGTGCGAGGAGTAAGCCAAGGCACGATAACAGAAGGAAATTGTTGTGTGACAGCTCATGAAGGAGGTCACATTTAAGGACTATCATGCAAAAGAGAAGTCAAATCTCGCCAAGGAGGGTGGTCATACTGTCACGTCAAAGATAGCTTTACCTGTAACATCGCAGCGCCCCCCACCATCTTCACTGAGAAGCCTATAAGTAGCATTGACGATATTTTTACAAAGCCAATCAGCCACACCGTGCTCGTAAGCAGCTATTTCTCCGGGACGGGAATTTATATGTGGTGACAAACTAATATGTTCTTCGGCTAAGATACTCATCTCGGCTGCCGTAGCATTGGAAATTAAGAGCGAACAAACCTGTATCACATGGCTGAATACCCACCGCAATCACTGGATTGGGTAGTATTTGCACGCTGGCATGTGGTATCACAATGCAGTAAGACACCTTTCAAGCCTGGATCGGCAATTGTAGGACCTTTGGTCGCCTAGCCTTTATGCTGTTGCGTCGGTTGTATCTGGCCTGGGCACCGATGCATAATAGTTGAGAGTTTTCTTATCAGTAGTCTCTTCATAAAAGCTTTTTTTCACCCCTATCGAGTACCATGAGATAGTGGTTCTAGAAAACATTTTCGTCTACGTATTGCTTTGAGCCCACCTTCCCCTAACTAGTAAAACCAAACTACTACCATGAAAGCTACAAGCAAACTTCTGTTGGTTGGGATTGCCTTGACCTTGGGATCGTTGATCGTTTTCCAACAGCAGAGGCGCAAGAGGCCAGCGGTTCCTCTTCCTCCTGGGCCTCGCCCACTACCTCTGCTTGGGAACATCTATGATCTGCCGACTGAGGAAATCCCAGAATATAAGCATTGGTCGAAGCACCAAGAGAAGTATGGTCCGGTCACTTCTGTGACTGTCTTGGGGCAATCTATTGTCACCCTCAATGACAAACAGGTTGCTGTCGACATATTGGATAAGAAGTCTCTCAAAACGTCTTCCAGACCCTGGCTTGAGTTCGGATTCGGATTGTAAGACATACTACATCCATTGTGCTTTGATTATTCACTCAAGCCTCATTTATAGATGCGGTTTCGAAAATTACACAGCTGCACTCGCATACAATGAAACCTTTCGACTTCATCGAAAGCTTATGCACCAACATATGGGCACAAAGACCATAGTTGAGGGATTCCAAGAGGCCCAACAATTTGAAGTCCTACGAATGCTTCGGCTTATATTGGATGAACCCAGCAAGTTACTTAATCACCTCGAGCTGTGGGTTCCCTACCTATCTTTTCCCATTCGAAGAACGCAGAAGTTTTACTGATAGAGTTTGCAGTGCAACTGGCTCATCGATCATTAAGGTGACGTACGGATATTCTATCGACACGACTCGTCGTGACCCGATTCTGGACCTTGTTACTCGCATGATGGCCATCTTCAATAAGGCAGCATCGCCTGGGACCTGGCTAGTTGATGTCGTGCCTGCTCTGAAATACCTGCCTGGCTGGTTTCCCGGGACAGGGTTTAAGCAAGCAGCTCGCGATTGGAAAGCGGAGGTTCTAGCAGCAGCGGAGAAGCCGTTCCAGTTCGTACAACGGCAGATGAAAGGAAACCGGCACAGGAAATCGTACGTTTCAAGCGCATTAGAACACGCCAAAGACCTGGATGATTCTGCGTATCAATCTGCACTCAAGTTCTCGGCTGCGGCACTATATGGAGGTGGTTCAGATACCACAGTCTCGACTCTGAGCTTCTTTTACCTTGCTATGATCCTCTATCCGGAGGTACTGCGAAAGGCGCATGAAGAGATTGAAAAAGTTGTCGGCTCCGACAGGCTTCCGAACTTTGATGACCGCCCCAATTTGCCTTACGTGGAGGGTATCGTCAAAGAGATGTACCGGTGGCAGCCAGTCGTTCCGTTAAGCCTGCCGCACCGAAGCGATGAAGATTTGGTATATATGGGATACCTGATCCCAAGAGGAGCTATTATACAGACTAACCTTCATTTGTTTGCCCAGGATTCGACTGTTTATCACGGCCCTAAAGACTTCAAGCCGGAGAGGTATGACGCCCCGTACAACGAGCCTGACCCAAAAAATTTCGTTTTTGGTTTTGGGCGCAGGATTTGCCCTGGTAGGAACTTTGCCGATTCTTTTCTTTACCTTGTCATTGTACAGAGCCTAGCTGCGTTCCAGATTAGCAAGCAAGTCGATTCAGAAGGGCATGAGGTTGAACCGTCGCTCAACATTCTCCCAGGCGTCATCTCCCGCCCGGCTGAGTTTCCATTTCGCATCAGCCCGAGGACTGAGAAGTGCAGGGAGCTAATCATGGCTGGTGCAAGGGCGGAGGCTCTTGATGGGAGCGACGCTGAGCTTTTCGAACACTATGGGTTGGTTTCCGAGGGCTCTGTGGGGAAATAGTTTCAGGTCTATTTGGCTAGTGGGATTGAGTTGACTGGGGGCAGGATCCTAAGTCAAGGGCTGATTGCTTTGGGAGCTACAGACTGTGTAGTTTATGATGATGGCTATGATCATTCTATGGCTTCCCCGTGGCTCGTAGAAGCCGTTAGAAATACCGCATTTTATTTGGCTTGTAAGAATCAAGGTATTAACGCGAGAATACCGTATATTTCCGTGATGGTGCCACTGGCCGTTATGCGGAGGCTTGGCATAGTGGATTCAATTAAGATTAGAAATCTGGATGGTTGCATTCAAAGAGGCGGTCATAAAGGGACAAAGACTTGATTCTACACCGACTAGCTGCCGTTCAACAAAGGAAAATTGAAAGAGCATGGCTTCGAAAAGGGAGAAAGCAGTAATCGATGAGACAGTGTCGGAGGCGGAAGACATGCTCAAAGGGATTGAAAATATCAGAAGCAACAAAGACGCAGCAGCTACCAACAGTCAATTACCCGGCCTCCTGCAACGCCTCTACCTGGCTATTTGCACACTCCAGCAGTACAAACGGCAAAAAGATCCCCCCCGGAATGCGGTCGTCGAGGCAGACAAAGCCCTCCTTGAAGCATGGAAGGCTTTGTTGAAGACCATTGAGGCGTTGTCCGCAGGAGCTCCGAATGGCCACTTCCTGGCGGCTCGTATGATGCTCTTCCTCATGCATGGCTTTATATATCAGGAAGGCTTCCCATATGACCTGCAGGATTCGCCTCTCAACCGAGACAGAGTAAAAAATCAAATGGCTTTCCCGAATGCCGTGGATGAAGCGTTGCGATCTCAGCTAAGCCTTATCTGGGAGGAGAGTGGGAAAAAGGAGGACTTCAAGTGGGCTCTTACACATCTCGAATCTAAGGATGATATCATCCGTACGGACTACAATAAAGCCGCCATGACAGCTCTTTCGGCGGAAGAGCTGTGGAAAGTTCCCGGCATGACAGGACAACAAGTGTGGAAGCCGAAGCCGGGTGATGAACCAATTTTTGAGCCTTTTGAGAATGCTACGAGTTATGAGTTTGCGGAAGACGAATGGGATGATATTGAAGACGAGACAGACCAGCACGATGATCATGGCAAAGAGGATGAAGAGGATGACGAGAACGAGAGTGTTCAAGATGATAATGTTGGTGATGTGGAACAGCCAATTATCAGTCAGACACTATTCTCAAATGGACCTCTTGAGGCGGAAATGGAGTACTGCCTGGTCAAAAGGAATGCGGAGTCATGGTTGGAAGGCCCGTGCTTGAAACTTTCCCGGCAGTTTGTGAAGGAGGCAACAAATAAAGCTTGAGGCCTTTCATCTGGCATGAACAGATGATAGTAACCTTCTAATTTGAGATGCGATAAAATATCTTCACAGAGTGGTGCAACGCTAAGACTCGGAGTAGAAGACTAGAAATCGTAGGATAGGAACTTAATAAGTTAGGTGTCTTGTGACCTTGTTGAATAAACTGGCTACACCCTAAGGCATCTCTACTCAAGAAGCTTAGATAATTCCTATAGATAGTATAGACATGCTCCGCAAGTATTAGTGTATCAGTAGTCATCTATACTAACTTTGATAGTCCTGGCGTTTTGTATATTCATTACTATGAGATCTGTCGACAGCTCTTGACTCACTGTAGTCTAATTCTTGACATAAGTAATGGGGAAAGGGTAACCTACTTCTACTTTGTAATGGCATTTAGTTGAGTACTCTCTTACCAGGGTGCCTGGGGATCTGCCAGGCAGTCTCCCGGGAGGGTATTGTCGGTTTCTTCCCCAGAGCCGAGGACATGGCGGTGCATGTCTGATTGCAATTCCGTCCAGGGAGAGTCGCCAAAGTTGTCTTCCTTCATGAACCCCATAGACCGGGGATCCCACGGCATGTCTTGGGCACCCGAAAAACCCAGGGCCATGGGAGGCGGTGGGAACGGCATGCTAGACAAGGGGCCAGTACTGACGCCCCTTAAGGGCATTGATTTCTCCAGTCTTTGCACATAAGCTGGCGCTTCCACCCCGTGCCCGAATTTGGCTTCGAGTATTCCTTTCCTCTTGCCCCAGGCCTTCAAAACAAACGAAGTCAAAACGACATTCAATTCAATTGACAAATCAAACAGATCTTGGTGGTAATGGTATATGACCGGTATGAGTCCCCAGGCTCGCTCCACCAATACGCCCGAGGTGCGGCTGTGAAGCTCTCCAACTAGATAGGTAAAGAGCTCACTCTCAAAGAGGGTAGAAACAAACCACAGCAAGTTCTTGGTTGCCATGGCCTGATACAAGCCAGTGACATGCTCAATAGCGTCAATAGAAAGGCGAAATAAATGATCATTCCCCACGGTGGGTTGTGAGCCTGTTTCAAGCTGCTTCCAAGGCTGCTGGCACATCTTGCGGACCTTGGTGGTCATAGCGAATTTGATCTGGCTTGCGTCTTGATGCAGAGGTCCTGCAGTAGGATCAGAGTATTGCTGTATAAGTCTGTCAAGATGGCCCTCTACTCCTGCTGCCAACTTGTCGAGCTTGGCACCCCAGCCTCGACTCCCTGTTCCGCTGGAAACAGCATTTTGCTCCATGGAGGTTATGATATCCTCTATACCGGGCTGCGTTAATAGGGGGTCATCCCGCAAAGTAATAGAAAGACAATCATGTCGGTTGGGCCATCTCGGCCTTGAAAAATTTCAGTCGCATTGGGGTAGAAGTCGCTGTCGTTCATATTGGTCGGCATCTTGCAGTCGCAGGCTTGGGACATCGGCGAAGGCGTGAAGCCAGATGATATAGCAGATCGAAAGTCGAGAAGTACAATGTTCCACCATACACGTCTCCTAATCTCTGTGTCAAAAGGAGGCAGACCCAGCAACTGTCCGTCCCTGTGAAGTCCCATTTTCTGGGCGATGCGGATGCACACACCGCTTAACACCCAGGTCGCATGCGTGTCGTGCCGTCCTTGAAGCGATAACTGCAGCATACATTAGCCCACAAAGTGGAATAATCGGCTGTAGCGATACTGTTCCGAACCAAGTGAAGTGTCAGTGCTTGAAGGATCACAATATCGGTAGTCTTAAGGAACCGAGCCCGGTGCAAGGCGCTCCTCAACGTCGAGGTATAGCGCTGAAACAAAGTATTTTTAGGAGATCCTAGCATGGAGATGCATTCGTTGTCGTCCAAAGCAACGACGGCGACGGCGTAAATCGCAAAGAGTAAAACCTCGATGTTCTCTGGCAGCCAGGGCCACGGCGCTGTCGCTTGAGCCAAGTAAGGCTGGACTGAAGGTACGTGGATAAGCTTGGTCACAGGGTTGACTCGGTCCAAAAATACTTGCCACAAGCAGAGCACATGGCTCGGAGGAGGATGCTCTGGCTGGCTGTCAGTGGTAGCTTCGCCCCCAACGAGAAGCTTCTCAGTGCTCCAGAACGATGTTGTAGAGAACGTTCCGTCGTGAACTCCATCAACACTCGCATCGCTCTCCATTATGGCCTTCATCTCCCGAAGCTGGTCATCAAAATGGTCAGATAATGGCAAGTTCTCTCTAGGTAGGTCATCTTGAGGCTTACCTCGTCGGATAGCGTAGCCCAGAGCACACTACTCGTGAAACGGACAGATCCGTCTTCTGGCACGAACCTTCCCACTGCCGCACGGGGAGGTGACGAAGAGCTGGAAGCAGTTATTTGAGACTGGGACGGTGGTTCTTTGGCTTCAGGGTCCCCCGGCCGTCGGCAAAATGTTGTAGCAGCTCCTCACACCGTGCAAGCCTTGATTGCAATTCGGCATTTGGTCGTCGTTTCCTTCGGGTCGTGGAGTTGATATGCAACTGCAATGCCGACAGTATGGCGCCTTCCAATGAATTGGGACTTGGCCAAGGCTCGATGAACAAGATGTCTCATGCGATTCTTGTCCTCAGCTTTTTGTGACCAACTTTATGATACATCGCTAGAAGGGCCATGGCTGACGCAAGATGAGATTTTGTGTAAGCTAAATGTATCTGTGAGTCTCCAGTCCCTTCACCTTTTTCGTATGCAGACGCTGATGATACGTTTTCACAACCTCAATTCCTCGCTTGGCTATTACTTAATGGTAGTTCGCTCCCGCTACCAAGTTCGACGAGTTGGCATTCTCCATGATTTTGTCCGTACTCGGAACCGCCTCACCCTTCATTGCTGATATCCCCACTTACTGCTTGGCAAAGTAATACGATAAATGACTAGTGAGATGAACGCCAATCAGGCGATTGTGATGCTCAATATACTTCCCAATTGATAATCCCCAAGACTGGGAAGGTTGTCGTCACGAGCCGTGCAGCTAACACTTGATAACACAAACAACTAACCAATCAATTCTTTGCATATTCAGAGCCTCAGACGAACCAATACCTGAGTTGTTTTAGCTCGGTATTCAGTAAGGTACGTACGCAGTGTCCACATTCCGTTTCCCAGAGCAAGGGTCGTTGAAGAATTCAATTTCGGTTAGCTGAAATAGGAAAGTGATCGTGTGTTAGACGAACCCGATGACATTCATTACATCATATTACATGACAGTTTGTTCTTTATCCGTTTATCTGCACCTTTATCAACGTAGTTTACACCATACGGCTGCGCCTTTTTGCTCAAGGTACATGGGTGTCTCACCAAAAAGCCAAGATCGTTGTGGGAAGCGCAAAGTTCTGAAACCTGCTAAAAGCCTCACCAGCCCCCAGGTTTTCGCTCATGATTGATTCGCAGCCCCGTTTTCAAATTGGGATCTTAAGGGTGCGCACCGCCACTTGCAACTCTCTGAAGATTGTCTTCCGACCTTCAGTGATCTAAGGGAAAGCCCATCGCTTCAGAATGAGAATCCACGCTGATGCCTTCGCGGCGGCTCTATCGCTCCTGGCCCCTTCGGCCCTTGCTGCACCCAAGAACGATGTCGCTGGCCCTGAACTCAAACATTGGCCCGCGGCTGCAGCCCGGTCGCTCAACGAGATGATTGCTAAGAACGCTCATGCAGGACGTTACGCCGCATTCGACATGGACAACACAAGCTATCAGTTTGATCTGGAGGAGTCGCTTCTGCCGTTTCTTGAAAACAAAGGCATCCTCACTCGAGACACTATGGACCCATCGCTGAAGCTGATCCCGTTCAAGGACAGCAGCAACCACACTGAGTCGCTGTACAGCTACTATAACCGCCTTTGCGAACTCGATGACGCGGTCTGCTATCCCTGGGTTGCGCAAATCTTCAGCGGTATCTCGCTGCGGAATCTCAAAGGCTATGTTGATGAGCTCATGTCGCTCAACAGCACTGTCCCCGCAAAATACTATGACGGTGATGAAGTGATATCCACACAGATTTCGCCGCCAAAAGTCTTCGCCGGTCAGGTGGAGTTGTACAATAAGCTGATGGCGAACGGGATCGAGGTCTACGTAGTCAGCGCTGCCTCGGAAGAGCTTGTCCGCATGGTGGCATCAGACCCCAAGTACGGCTACAATGTCAAGCCCGAAAATGTCATCGGGGTGACTTTGCTCATGAAGAATGCCACGGGCGACCTCACCACTGCCCGCAAGCAGATTACAGAAGGCGACTATGATGAAAGTTTGAATCTGGATTCGGTGATGACTCCATTTCTGTGGACGCCAGCGACCTGGAAGGCGGGCAAGTGGGCTGCCATCCTAACGTATATCGACGAATGGAAGAAGCCTATTCTTGTCGGAGGTGATACCCCGGATAGCGATGGACCAATGCTATTTCATGGTGTTGATGTCGCTCGAGGGGGCATCCATTTGTGGGTGAACCGCAAAGAAAGTGCGATGGAGGAATTAAATGAGATGATACAAGAACATTCAGAGGCCCAGAGAAAGGAGGGATTGAAAGTCACAGCAGATAAAAATTGGGTAATTGTGAAGCCTGAGGACTTACATTGAAATCTTGTTCATAGGTAGATAACAATATTAGTCAACAGTATCATCTCACACAATCTTAGTTGGTGCATAGCCATTTCTGCGCTGATTTTATACAACAGATACCTAGAACATTAAAAGTTGATAACATTTAGACTAGACTGTCTGGGCAAAGGAACAACTTCGTTTGACCAGGCCTCAATGCTACATTAGATATGCACTCTAAATGTTGAAAATACATCGAACATGCCCTGTCTTATACTTCATCTAGTTCTCTTTTCAATTCGAGTTATTAGGTTTACGTTGTTTTCCTTTGCTCCTCATCTTTCGATAGTTTCTCTCATGTTAGTCTCGAAGAAAAGCAAGGTTGCCAGCATATTCACAAAAGTCATGGTCAGAGAATCAAAGATATGTATGTGTATATTTGACAAAGTTTTACGGAAACTTAAAGGTGTTTTTCTTGTATGAATTGCGAGACACTTATTGTCCAAATGGCATGATAGGATTATCAATAGCACTTCTGGGGAGAGGCGCAAATGGCGAAGAGCACCAGTCCACAACATGAACTTCAAGGGAATATGACGGTATTTGCAATAATATCCAAACTGATTTACTAATAAAGAAGAATTAAATTTCTAAATTGTATGATAGTTTATGACCTACAACCTAATCAAAGAAATGTGCAGGAACGGGTATCGCACGGAATATACAGAATGGCGAAAGCCATTCATCTCTCGCGACGTCATTTGTGGGATATATCTTGACATTCTCAACTCATTGGAGGATATTTATTCACATGTGCCATAGAAGAAGAGTCTCAAATACAAGGGGCGATTTATTAGAACATAAGACGGATGTAGTATTCACACTCTGACCTTTGTACCCTATATATGTGAGTTGAGTAATTCGACACTGAAGCATAGTAACTAGGCACACTGAACCGAGTTTAGGATAATTTAGTCTCGGGAGAGCCTATACGTCTTTAATCACCCAGGGGATCATTTGTTTTCTTCGCTGCATTACGCAGTATATGTATCCAAGTCAGCTTCTTTCTCATACAGCCAGATCCTAACCCTTGTCATTAGATGGGGCTGAACGCGCAAGACTAACCGTATCCGATCAAGTCTGATGCCACTCGGGAGCATCTTCGGAGATCCAGCCTCTTCGTCCTGATGGCATTTCCACTCATCCCGTTGACACTCCGCCCCTACATCATCAGCCCATCTCATCCGTACTGTTTTCCACACAGAGCGTCGTGGGTTTCTCAACCTGCCTTTGCCACAAGATACGGTCCACTGGCCCTTGGCGGCGTAACCCTTCGTGTCGCATAGCAACCTCCGAAACAACCCACATCAGCAAGGTTGATAAGCACGGGTTCTGCATTCCAATGGTATACCACGGCCCTTCCAAAGGATGCAACTCGTGCCGGGTGCGGCGGAAAAAGGTTTGTACGATCTAACACACGAAGTTGTCCTGTGTTCCAAGTTCCAACTGCTTGACCGTAGAAGTGCTAATGCTTGTGAATTCAGTGCGATGAAGGACGTCCAGTATGTAGCACTTGGCTCTGGAGGTTCCATGTCGCTGGAGGCTGAGATTCTATCATGCACGAGTCGGGGGTTCTAGATCCGCGCAACGCTAACCTCTATTTTCAGTCATGCATGCGGTGTATCAAGGCGAACCGCCCTTGCGGTGGGTATGAGCACGGGAACAAGATGATCTATCGACAGTATGAGGCGCAGGGCCCAACTCCACAACCCACAATCATGTCCTGGGCCCGGCAGTGTTCATTACCCAAACGGGTTCCCCTGCCTGGAACCAACATCCTCCCGGATGACCTAATCCCCTTGGAGACATCCCAAGCAGAAAGCGAGATGCTTGGATTCCGGTGTTTCCTGTTCGACTACGGCATGGTGTCGACGAATCAGAATCTCTCTCGCAGCTACCTCCCTGATCTGGACGCCCTGTTCCGGCAGGTTGGATTTAATTCTGACCTTGTCAAGGCTTGTCGGGCTGTTTCATTTGCTAGCCGTGGGAAGGGGCTGAACAGACCAGCCTTTATTGCCCAGGGTGAAAGGGCGCACCAGGAAATCTTAACGTCTTTAGCCAAGATAATTGCATACTCCAACGCTAACAACGCAGCCGAGCTCAAACGAGTAGTCATGTTACTTGGGCTGTATCAGGTATTCCATACCTCTTGCATCTGGCACAGTGCATGCCCTAGAAATGGAAGTCTAACTGGAGACTCTAGATGATAATGGCAGATGAGACGAACTATTCATCAATAGACGCCCATGCCGACGGATTTCTGGCCTTGGTGAGCCTTGGAAAGTCAGCCGGTTCGCTAACGTTTAATCCAGATAACAAGGTAGGGCTCCATGTATACACCTGTCGTCAAAGGCTTCTCTTTAACGTTCCTTGTCTTTTCGCCACTGTACTTGAGCTAACGGTTTAGTTTCTTGGTGTTTTCTCGCCCCCAGCTTTAAACATTGGGGGTGCGTTTGACAGCCTGTTAGTTGACTTCCACATCCTATCTGAGAGGGTCAATGCCTGCCAGTCCCTAGACCAACTGAGATTGCTTATCGAGGAAGCAATCGAGTTAGAACACCGCTTCAAGGATTGGGAGTCTTCGCGGAGCCCTGAGTTCCGACCTTCTACGGCTGGGCATGTTACCCCTGCTGCAAATTCTGGCGAGCCTGCAGTGGGGAGGTGGCCGGGAAAGGTCGATTCCTATTTTGATCTCTACGTGTCTGGAGTGTGGAACACCTTTCGAGGGGCGAGGCTGCTACTCATTTCTATGATTATAGACCTCTCGTCCAACTTGGGAGATGGAAAACATTGCGTGCAGCAATACATCACTCAGGGGACCCAGATAGCTGAAGACATGGCTGGCTCTGTCCTGTTCCATCTTGCGGATAACCCACAGACAAGTTTGATGGAGAAAAATACCGCTTCAGATATAAAACATCCCGGGCGCTTTCTTGGCGGGTTTCTACTCATGTATCCTATGTACACGGCGTGCCAGACGAGCTATCTTCCCTCGGCAATTCGTAGCTACTTCCGCAGGTGCCTACGGTGGATTGGGTCTGATATGGGCATCGGAATGGCGACAGTGCTTGCAACTGTAGGTATTGATGGCCAGTCTTGATTGACTCCTTGCTAACTTCTACTGATAGGTCGACAACATTGATAGACATCATTTGACGTGCGCCTGTGTAATCATCTGGTCGGGCTTTATTGAATAGATAGGAACAATAATAGATTCGGGTTCATAGCACTGAATAATCCTCTGATGATCCTTGCGGAAATGTGTAATTGATACGTGTACAAATCCAACTACGGCTTTGCGATATCAAGCTTCTGTGAGGATGAGAATCGCAATCGTCATCGTCAAGCGCTCAAGACTAACTTGTTCTGGAAATCCCGAAGTCCGGCTTACAAGACAGAATGGCGTAGTTATCTCTATTCACGGGGATAAAGACAGCTCGGAAATCGAATACCCCGTTTGTCCACCCTCTAACAGAAACGGAGGCGTCAATGGTCCTTGGAAATTCTGCGATGCCACATGGATCAGACGCTATCCTGTCCCTTTGGGTTAGTGTACCGCGGTGCTCCACTTCCTTTGAGCTGATATATGTGTGCTTCAAAACTTACAAGATGTTCCAAGAGTATAAAATCTGGACTTGATCCCCTTGGTTGAAGGCAGAATCGAACTATTACAAGCCATCTCCTGCATCCAAATCTTCAGCAGCACCGACCTAAATTCAATTTTTATCATTCTCAAAATGGCTACCAACACAGCAGCTTGGCTTGACTCCGCGAAGGCGTACCCTTTCAGTGTCAAGGAATCGACGTTGGGTGCTCCAGGGGAGAACCAAGTCCTCATCAAGAACCGCGCCCTCGCCATGAACCCAATCGACGCCAAGCTCCAGAAAGTTGCACTCTATCCTCTTTCCTACCCAACCATCCTTGGAGAAGACATCGCCGGTGAGGTGGTTGAGGTCGGGCCCAATGTGACTCGTTTCAAGAAGGGTGATCGCGTTCTTGCCACGGCATCGGCCTTTTCCACTGGAAAGTTAGAGGAGGCTGGCTTCCAGGCTTACACCGTCGTGAGTGTCGACACCACCACCGAGATCCCGGAGGATATGTCCTTCGAAACCGCTGCTGTTCTCCCTCTCTGCATTTCAACCGCCTCCTCTGCCCTCTTTCTCCCTGACTGGCTAGGTCTTCAACTCCCTTCGCTTCCAGCACAAGATTCTACTGGCAAAGTTGTTTTAGTCTGGGGAGGCGCCAGCAGCGTCGGTTGCAATGCGATCCAGCTTCTGCGCCATGCTGGCTACGAGACCATTGCCACTGCATCTCCGGGCAATTTTGATCTTGTCAAAAAGCTTGGAGCAACCCACGTCTTTGACTACAAGAGTCCCACAGTCATTGCCGACATTATGGGTGCCGTCGCTGGTCGGGAAGTCGCTGGTGTGCTCGATGCCGTAGGAAAAGATGCCTACCAGCACTGCTTTGAGCTCGCAGATAAGTCACAGGGTGCGAAAAGAGTTGCCACTGTGTTCCCAGGTGAACTCAACCCACCCGAGGGCGTGTATTCCAAGAAGATTTATGCCCCTGCTCTAAACAGCACGCCCAACGCCAAGGCTGTTTTTGAAGGGTTCCTGCCGCAGGCACTCAAGAGCGGTGCCTATACTCCCGCTCCAACGCCGTTTGTCTTTGGAAAGGGTCTCGAGAGTATCCAAGGAGCTATCGACCATCTCTTCAAGGGTGTTTCTGCGCAGAAGATTGTGGTTAGCCTCTGAGCTGCTTGAAATTCACTGGTCGGGGAACATCATGATCACTGAGCGCCAGCCAGAGATGGGACTCATCGAAGATGGACTTCCCATGTCATGCCATGGGGCCAATGTAAGCCTCCATTGATGCCTGTTTACACATGGGAGCTTGATTTCGTTAGATAAATAGACCCACAACGCAATAGATCAACCAAGAAGATATCATTGTTATAAAATGATATGCACCTTAGTTATGACGGTATAAGTGCTTGAATGCCTACCAACTGAATCCTTGTCTATTGAATGTGTCTTGCCACAACATGGAATCAAGGGGACAAGGTGGATCAACCGTAGCTAGATTATTTTATGATCTTATCACGCGGCGAACGAAAGATGCAGTTGTCGTCAAGCATTATTTCATGTGAAATACTATGTGTTTATCATGTCGCTTATCCGATTCTTTCGGTTTGATAATGGATGAATTCTTCTACAACGCTGGAAAGAAGATTGCCCAATCGAGAGGTTTTGAGAAGTGAAATTATTCTAAGAAAATAATAGTCTACTCTATGACTCAAACTAAAATAATCGAACTGCCAGCAAATATTACTACACTTTTAATGATCAAGCAAGGAAAGCCTAAACAGCAAGCCAGTATCCGGCCTGGTTGGGATCCAGAGCCTGCCAGACGAAAGGCATTCCCTGTGAAAGACCATCCTTGTCGAAGGTGCGCGAGGAAACCTTTCCGCTGAAAGCAGTCATCTCGCTGGCAAACTTGGTGGCAGCGCCCTGTACCTTGGTGTCCATCTTGCTCAGAACGTCAGAGTCGGCAAACATGTGGATGATATTCTCGTCCGAGTTGACCCAGGTAGGTCGGTTGAATGAAACCTCGAGCAAGAGCTGTCCGACTGATGCCTCCACGCCTGGGAGGAAGGGCACCACGTTGGTCACTCCCTTCTCCGTGGGGAGAGGAGCCCACAGGGCGAATGGGTGGAACGGCAGGGACAAGGTGGCGACAACGCTGTTGGTATTTGAGACGCCGTGCTTGACGGAGACCAAGTAGGCGATGTGAGTCAAAAGCTTGACGAGATCCTTCTTGGTACCGAGTGGTGAGGCAGGGAAATCAATGATTTCGGCCTCGGTAGCCTCCGAGATCCATGCTTGGAGCTCAATGTCATGTTGAATTGCCTTGTCATCAGAGTAGTATGAATCAACGAGGGTGCTCATGAAGCCCTGGATGCTCGACACGATAACGGAGGCATCCTCATAGTAAGGGAAGGTCTTAAACTTGGGAACGCCGTCTTTTCCGAGGAGGCCACGCTTCTCAAGGTCAGTTTCGAAGTAGCCTCCAGTGAAAGAGCCAGAGACTCCAGAGAGGTAGAGATCAGTAGCATATTTAAGGGCCAAACCACCGGTCCAAGGATATAGTCGTTCAACGGGACCACCGGCGAAAAGGAGTCTCTCGGCGGCGGCAGGACGCATCGCCCACGCCAGCTTCATTACTTCTCGAGGTTAGCTTACAACAATCTTCTGTTAAGCGGAATGCATGCAAATACTCACACCTGTGTACAATGGGCATAATAGGGTGTTCCTCGCTAAGAGTTCGGATAGCGGCCAGGTAAGCGATCTCAGCAACCCAATGGGATGCTGCGAAATGCTCAAACTCCTGGTTGAAACCATCGTTGATGTTGAAGAGCATCTTTGCCAGAAGCCAGTCGTTCTCGCTGTCCTCGGGCGTGTAGGTCAAGTCGGAGCCCACGTTGGTCTTGATAGCCAGAGGGAGGAAGTCGCCACTCTGAGGGTGGATGTAGAAGTAAGCCTGGCAAGCGGCTGCGTACTTGCCCGCAGACAGAGGCAGGTCCTTGAAGCTAGAGTAGTCAACGAGGAATAGGCGATTGCCTGACTGCAAGGCCTCCAGAGACTGTCCACTGATGCTTGCAGCGTTATCAACTGTGAAGGGGAGGCTGTCGGTAGGCTGCAGTCTCTTAACGCTGTAGGGGCTGGTGGAGAGACGCTCCATGCCGAAGAGCAAGTCGCTCGTGTAGTTTTGCAACATGCCCTTCCAAGGTCCGTTAGGTGCGGAGTTAGTCCACGAATTGTCGTACAGCTTATTGTAATCTTCCAGTGTCGTGAGACCGCCCGTCTATTTTCGATGAGTAAACGCCTAGCATGGACGGTAGAGAAGATGCACGGCTTACCGAGACAATGGAAACCATATTGGCCTGGGCATCAGCCGAGGACTTTGCACTTTGAGGGTCCTGCTGAGTGGTATTCCAGCTAGTTACACAAGTCAGTCCGTGGCCATCTGGTAGTTATTTCCAATAGTTTTCTCAAACTTACTCATGCCTCACTTGGTAAGTGACTGCATCACCCAACTCTCCCTTGGGGTAAAACGGCGCAGCTGTATCCAAGAACGGACCATACTCCCAACCAGCCCGCTTAACGCTGAGTGCTGCTGCTCGCGCGGTTGAGTTGGCACTCGAGCTCGGCAGTGAGTAGGCCCCTGCAGCTTGACGTTTGCCGATGGACAACGCCATCACGGCTGGCGCAGCTGCGCAAAGCAGAAGAGTGCTGGAGAGGACCATGGCTACTGTAGTGTTTTGGCGGCTGAGACTGTTGATTCCTGGAGCAATGGGGAGAACAAGATTCACGATATTCAATGACTATCCACGATCTATATATCCCAAGGCAAAACAAGCATAAGACAGCTAAAATCTGACTCAGAATTCCTTCGCGCGTTGGCCCTTTTCCTGGTAAAAGGTAAAATTAAGAATCCTTGCCCCATGTGCCCAGGGCCCGTTCGCAGACATATCTGATACTCGGTAGGCCCGTTTTGAACGCTAGTTGACCTGAAAACCACGGCATATGGTGGCAAACAGGCAAAACGGTCTCATTCATGCTACATTATTCTCGACAGGGCGTTTTGCAGCTTTCACAAGAGCCAGGATGTCCGCTCCATCACGCACGGCCACCACCTGTCAAATGCTGTCGGTGCCGAGATGTTCCTGGCAAGATCTTGGTCAACTAACTTGTTCAGGAACGGCAATCCATTTCAGGAACGGAAGAGACGTAATTAGCGAAGTGCTTGCATTTCAGAGATTGTGGCAACGTGCACCGTGCTCGGGAACCGGACAGGGGTAGACACTGAATACGCACATAGATCGATATTGCCAGTTATTTTTGCCGCATTATTTACAACATTAATATACGCATGCCGAGCATAAGTTATTGACCATCCACCAGACACCTGGCAGACTGGCCGTTCTCCCTGTTCGGTCTGAAGACGCGCGTGTTGGGTCAAATATTCTAGGTTGGTCTCTGACAGGTCCATTACCGAAACTCCCGGCAATTGTGCTACAGCACCTGCTTATTTGGGGACAGCATCCATGCATGTCACGGATTTCGCCGCTGATTTCTAATTAAAACAGCGCCATTGGGCGACCCTGGCAGCCGGTAATTTTCAAAACCTGCAGGCTGCAGCCTTCCCCTATTGCCAGCTTTGGTCGGTCAACTGTTGGCCATGCAGGCCCGGCCTTGAGAAGGGAGAGCTGAGAAGCATAATCCACTCAAAATTGGGTCTTGATGGTTTAATGCACGATGCAACATGTGGCATCTTTAACCTATCTCGCGTGATCTCCTCGATCCCGATGCAGGGACCACTCAAATGCCGAAAGCACCCGATCGAGCCGTTGCCTGTTCTATATACCCACAGCTTCGGCCTGAATCGTGTTGTATCAATACATGAAAGCGTGGGGACTGATGAGAGTGTATGGTGTCTCGTTTACTATGGACAGGTGCAAAGATTGCATGAACAACTGCGAACAACGCTTTTCATGCAAGGATTTGGGGGGTTGGGACAGTCATTTAATGGCTGACTAGCTTCCAACGGGAAAAATAAGCACGGGGGAGTGGAGTGTCCAGCAAGATGAAAATGAATGGGGCAATACCATTATCATGCTTTCTTCTACCTCGTCCAAACTCCAACTACAAAACTCTGTCGGTGCCGGTCTGGCTGTAGGTAGCAAACCTTCCTTCTCTTGACAATTGCCAGCTCGAGCTTGCGCCCCCTTGCGTGAGTATTATGAGAATGGTGCAATCTCACACCGTGCACCTACGATTACTATTGTGGTCGGTGAAGCTTGCTTGATGAAAGTGTGAGATTCCAAAGTCTAATCCAATGCAAAGAAGAGCTAGCATTTTAGATGCGGTGGCCAATTGAATAAACGGCTAGATGAAAAGGCAGACATCGCGCAAAGCAAGCCTCAGCTCTCAACTGCCACTTGGAGACTGGGCAACTTGTGTCAATTGGCTCACTAATGATGTGCTTCTGACAAGGGCGGGGTAGTTTGAGTCAAATGGCGAGAGCCGGTGAGACACGGTCATCCTGATATTGGTGATGAGCGGTCCAGGACGGTCAACCCCTTTCTCCTCTTCGTCATGAAGCCTTCTGCATTGACACCAGACTCCTCGATCACAATATCAGACTGATGACCGGCTCTCAGGAGCAGCATTCACCTGGTTTCCCATCGCGTTCAGCCATCGGACACAGCCTGCTCGCCGGGTGGGACCACTAACATGACACAGCATCAGATTGGCGATGGTGTCATTCGCACGCACAAGCATGCCATCATTGCCCAAAAAGTGGAGAGATCGCACCGCCCATCCTTAAATACACAGAGTCGAGGGAGCCGCCCACATCGCTTGCTAACATGACACGTTTGACATCCTTTGCCTGACCTCTTGATGGCTCTCAGGAGCTCAGAGGACACTCAGCGCGGACGAACACTTTTAATTGACACCAATTGCCCGTCGGCTTCTCAGATGGAGAGGCGATCGTCAGACAGCAGCTCAGCCATGAGCAGCGTCAACGCCGCCCGCCGCATCTCGAACCTAACTGCCGAGCAGGCCGAGAAGAAGCGCGCCATTGACCGCGACAACCAGCGGCATCACCGGGCGAAGAACAAGGCCTACATTCGGTCCCTGGAGCAGAAGATTCTGGAGCTCACTGGCCGACTCCGCGAGGCTGAGCAGCTCATCGATCATTACGAAAGTGAGAAGGCGAGCAATGGCAAGGGGGTACCAGGGCCGTACTGGGCAACGACGCTCTCGCCGCCACCATCCTTGGACCTCGAGCACAGCGAGCCCTCTGCAAGCATGCACGCACCGCGAGCAGCTCCCACCGGCCAAAGGGCTCTTTACAGCCTACCTCTTGAGTTTGGCACGGGTATTACGATCAACACAATCAGCCCCAGTCAGGACATCAGGCTTCTGGACTTGGGTCTCGGCGATGGCTTTGGAGATTTCAGCTCCAGGAAGCTGAGCGACAGTACCACCGTATCCCAAAGCCCTACGAGTCCAAATCTAGCGACAGACGAGAAATCCCTGACGCCCAATTTCGTTCCCGACTGGCAAAGAGTGCCTCCTCATCTGGCTCCCACGACGAAACTCGATGAAGTGATCAAGAATATCACCGAAGCGTGGAACTCTCGCTATCAGAAGTCTGGCAAGCAGGCCGAGTTCAGTGCATCCGTCTTTCCTAGTATCAGCTCCCTGCTGAACCGCCCCGATGACCTGGAACGCGACTGGGCTCGGTCGTTCTCCAACGCTGTTGCAGCTCAAGTTTTCCGTTCAACCGTCAAGACCTTGGCTGAGCGGATTGGGTTCATGTATACGCTCTCACACTTGATCCGCTGGCTGGTCTGTCGCTCCAAGGAGACATACGAGAAGATGCCCGTGATGCTACGACCGACGGAGCTGCAGCTGAAGGTACCCCATCCAGCTTGGATAGATGTCATTGTGTGGCCTGAAGCGCGAAATGCTATCATCAAAGATATGGACTGGGGCCGGTTCGAGGAGTTGAGAGAGCTGTCTGGGGCTTCGCTGACTGTGAGTTGGCCTTACGAAGACTCAACCGCCTTTATCGAGTCTCCCGACAAACAGACCATGCTGCTGCATCCAGTCTTCGAGGCGCATCTTCAGAACCCCAACAATTGGCGATGGGGGGAGAAGGTTGGGAAGGCATTCCCTTTCCTTCAGCCATTTTGCTCTGGCTGATTGCCTGACGGGGGGGTTTTGACTGCCAAGCTAGAAGACCTTCACGGAGATCAGATCACATCACGTTACTCTTCACTACGACGTCAGGCTTGCAATTACAGTCCCAGTCACCAGCAATCTTCAGCAATGCCAATCGACTACACATTCACGGAGCGAGGATTGCCTCCAGAATTTGAACATCCCCTTCGACAAGAAGTATGTGCGTTGATATATCAAAATCCGCATTTAATCTTCCATGATGTCGCGGAGATGCCTGCTCTACTCTCGGGGGTACGCCAGTACAACCGAATTTCCAGATTGCTGTCTTGTGGTCAAACGCACGCACCCTGGGATTAATGATCGCTTTAACCTAAGCAAAGATCCCTCTGGCCGGATCATGCAAAGGGATTGACAGAGGGTATTTGCACAAACGCTGGTGGCTAATAATACTTTCAAGCCCAGACGCTTTTGGCCGTAATTCCCTACCAGCTCAAGAGTCTGGACTGAACTGGATTCTCACCGTTAACAAAATCAGGGTACAGAACTGGGGCACTGCATTGGGGATTGCTCCCTGTCAACAGCGTCCGGGATCGCGACTCCGCGACCACGATGAGATCACTCCCTGCCCCGTCGACAGGCGAGGAAAGGAGCGACAGCCAAGCCAAGCCAAAGGATGTGGCATGACTCAGTTCGAGATCGAGAACTTCGTGATTGGATCAGGGGGGGCTTATTCAGCGGCATCCACGACGGAAACCAGTTAGCCCAAGTCCTTGGGTGAGGTATTGGATTGGCTGCTTGATTAGACCACTTGCAGGGAGGATGGTGAAATGACAAACGCAATTTAATGGACAGTGTAATATGTTATTTATACTATGATACCCAATACAATTTAGACGGAGATGCACAGTGTAACAGCACTACGCTGCATACGGCACTTACTCAGGGGTGAACACTTGTGCAAACAACAATGGATTATGCCACCTTGGCAATTGCTGATGCAATCTAAGCATACTCTCGAGCCGGTTTCAATTCACGACCAGTGGAATGTGATCTCAGGCTCTCAGTACGCATTAGATCATTACCGGGCAGCCCTCCGTCATGCTCTTGAACCTGCTCAATGCAGCGTAGTAGAGATTCGCCCGCCTGTTAGAGAGTTAATGACCTTCCATTTCTGGACAGACTTTATCAGTAGCATTCTCCGATCCGCCTATTTGAGATGTCAGTTGTTGTCACCACCACATCCCGATACGCACCCTGGCTTAGATGATTTGAATTCCACGTATCAAAGCATACTAATACGAAATTTTATCTCATCTGAATACGAAGTCTTGGAAAGATGGTATGGGAAAGCATAAATGTCTCAAGTATTGCGAAATATCGCGCCTGAAAGTGATTGAGATTGTCGCGTCCGGCGGGGGTTCTGTGTCTAGGGTAGGTCAGTAAGCATGTCAACAAAGGGAGACTTTTTGACGAGCGCGTATAAAATGCCCGAAGTTACATCGTGATGAGCGTTTCAATCAAATCACGCTATCAATAGAGAGTTATAGACTATTTAGATAACCACCAGTGATGATCCTACTGATCGGGATCGTCTGCCGGTGCCAATCGGGCTCACCGCCGGCTCTAGGACTATTCTGAAAGCGGTGCATTGTCAACGTGATCCGCGGTAGCATGCTCCGGCACTCCTCCAATGTATCAGAGTCATGGAAAGAGCAGGCCTCCCTAGGGTCTTGGCTAGATCTGATTCGAGCGATTATTCGGATGGGAACAACTAAATGCTCATTTGGTATCATGGGACTGGCGCATGTGTTGGCAGGATCCGGAAGTCTTTAACGGGAAGTTTTTAGCGGTTATCGACGATCCTTGGATGCATACATGAAGACATATAAATGTCCTCACGAGGGGCTTGGGAACGGGGCTAGCAAGATATTTTCACTCAGCCTTCACCGGTTGTTGAAACCTCTCCCTACTGAATAGCTGACCTGGTTATCCGTCACTATGTTTCCCTCTCTTTCAGTCACACTTGTCATCCTCTCTCAGGCCGCTTCAAGGACCTGGGCGGCTCCTACTCCGGATGTTGCTGTCGCAGCTGAGCCGGCGACCTTCACAGCGAATGCAAACATTGGCCCAGGCGGAAGTGTCTACAAAGACTCGGCGCACTTCCGCATCTACGGCAACAATGGCAGCCCTGCCGACCAAGCGATTGCTATGCTTGAAGGCGCATACGACTGTTTTGTAACGACATTGGGCTTTAGGTCCACTGGCTTGTCCTACAATGATGCGTCCAATGCTGGGCCATGGACCAAGGTGAATGTATACTCGGTCGCCTCCCTCCCAGGGGCAGCGGGCGTGATGCATTCTGATGCTGGCACCGGCATGGCGTGGCTCGAGGTGCAGCAGAACTACATTACCGTATCTGGTGTTGTCGTTCACGAGTTCGGCCACGGAGTGCATTATCACCAAAAGACATGGGTTGACCAGGGACGGACCGGCGCCTGGTGGGAGACCTTTGCCAACTGGTTTGCCGATACCTACAAGACCTCCAATCTATGTAGCGCGTCGAGGAGCAAGTACAACCAGCCAACTGGAACAACGGAGATTGAGCTCGGGAAGGTCCTTGGAGACTCCTTCCAGGTTCTCGTTGATGGTTCTGTTAATACTGGCAACTATTACCAAGCCTGGCCGTTCTTTACCTACATCACCAACAACCCAGATGGCTACAGCGGCCTGGGTACCGACACTCTCCGGCAAATGATGATCCGATACTCTCCCAACAGTAATGAAACACCATTCCACACCCTTCAGCGTGTTGCTGGCAGTACGAGCATAGCCACCATCGTTGGAAGGTACTGGGCACGAATGGCCTACGCAGACATCGGGCACCCGCAGGCCCAGCAAGTCTTCTTCAACCAGCGTGGCTCAATCAACTTCAAGAATGTTGACCAGACGGGAACCGGCACGTACAAGGTGAAGAGCGCTCGCCAGCCGCTCTACATGGGTGCCAGCATCATCCCTCTCCGTGCCTCGGGAAGCACCATCTCCGTCAGCATCACGGCCAACCGGGCATACACTGCCACCCTCGCCGTGTACAAGAGCTCAGGGACGCGGTATGTGGCTGTTCAGGGATCTGGATCAGTCACTCTGGCTAGCGGCGAAGAGGCCACATTGGTCGTAGCTAACACTCCCTCCTCACTGTATTTGTATGACCCATTCAGCTTGTCGAGCGAGGTGAAGCAAGGACTGGACTTTTCATTTACTCTATCTGGGGCTACTGTTGCCTGAGGTCTTCCTCTGCTTTCGGGGCAGTGGTGGTGACTTGGATCAACAGTATTTGGCCGAAACTATGAAGCAAATATCCTACAGTAGGTACAATAAACAGCGCAATCTCAAGGTTCATTAGTGTTGCGCAACGGAGCGCTTGTGCTCGCGGCAAAGCGACACTGTGATAGATAACAGCAGGACCATGATGTCCCCAATAGTATCCTCAGTGATGCGAATAGGCTCGAACTGCCTCATCGTCAGGAAACCCGGCGTACGTTTCTTGGGGTCGTAAGACCCAGGGACATCATTCTCTCCTTGGTCTTTGGCAGTGGCCTCGCCGGTGGTTTCAGAGCTTTCAAGTCCATTGCTCCCGTTATCTTCAAGGGTATTGTCACTAATAGGCGCCCGCTGAATAGCACCCACGTTATTGTGTTGTGCGTATTCATTCGTTCCCTCATCGGTCGCCTCGCTATCCTCGTGATGTTCACCGCTGTAATCTTCATCGCCGTGATTGTCGTCATCGTCGTGACTGTCGTGACTTTCGTGACTGTCATCGCGGGTATCGCCATGTTCGGTCTCATCGTCATTCTGATTGTCACGAACCCGGCTCTAGGGGTCGCGCTCATCATTCAGACTTTCCACCTCATCCTCCTCCAGCTTCTGCTGCTTCTCCCGCTCCTGGTCACTCTCCTCGTCTTCCTCTCCTTGTCCCCGCGTCTCCCGCATCTCCCATTGGCCCCTCTGCCTTTTCTGGCCCCGCTGATTGTCGTGCCTCGTTCTGGCCGAGCTTTCTGAGTGTGACTTATTCGCGATGTAACGAATGTATTCGTCGTCATATTCTGCAACAGTGATGCAGATTTCGTCTAAATACTGCGAGATAAGGAACCTCCTGCAGATAGAAAGGTCAGTCTACAACCGAAACAATATCAAGAGCCATGTTGAGTAATATTAGGAGCGACAATAATATCGTGAGTTGGGATCGAATATACTTACCGTTTTACTTTGCCCGGGGCGTCCGATTGGAAGCTTGGTAGCAAACCAAGCTCATGTTCGGTTGAAATCCAAGCTGCCATCTTGCCAGCCTCCTGCATTGCAACAGCAATGGGCTGCGCGCTCCGGCGGGCGGGCTTCGTCTCGAGGATACACAAGGCATCGCAATGCTCTTCGAGTTTGTCGGGTTCGGTGACATGGAGAAAGCCATCCACCTTTGCCGTCATGATCTTTTTGCGTTCCTCCTTGTTACCGTTGTGTCGGAGCTGGGAAACTTCAAACTTTCGGTGAATGATTGTCCAGTCGAATTTGCCATCAACATCGGGGTGAGAGTCGGTGATTCCCTGTAACAGGGACACAAGCGCTGCGTTTACCATGGTCTCATCTGGTGAGCGGCGGCTCGGGACGCGACTGTCGTTACGAATCCTCAATTCACCACTCGAGCTCTCGGCGGGCTCGATGTAGACCTTGGTGGGATCGATGTCGATTTCGTCAAAAGCGTCGTCCAGGTCATTTGTTGAAGGCTCGTTGAGCCGAATATCCGCCCGTTGCTGAATGTCAAGCTGGAGCTTCTTCCATGGACTCATCAAATCCCAGGCAGCAGAGTGTTTGCTCTTGGACTCAAGTGCTGGCCACCAAGGTTCACTTTGCAGATGCAAACGGCATTCCTTTTCAAGGAGGGCCCCGATTTCCTCGCCAAAAAGGTTGGTTGGGGTTGGATTTTGGTATTCTTTGATGGTCAGGACTTTCAGCAACAGCCAGTCCGGGAATGTGACCTTTGAGGCCAACTTCAGATGTTGCTCAAGGTTGTTGAGGGACAATGTGGAGGGGTTCGTCCCATGAAGTGAACGGCGGTGCTGTCTGATACTTCTATGCCATGACCTCTCGTTTTGGGGAAGAATAATGAATGGCTTTAGGGGAGCCATCCTCGTGATTGATGAGCCGAGAAGAGGTTCAAGAAGGAGGAGTCTTGCTAGCAACGGCAGAAAGTCCGTCGACAGACGAAGAGAATGAAAGAGATCGATGAGAACAGATGAAGGTGTCCGAGTGAAGAAAATGGGTGAGTTTGGGAGAAGTGGGAGGAAGGTAAAAGATCGTGGTTTTGGAAAAGGTGATGACGCGTAAGTTGTTGCACAGGGGAGAGGGAAAACAGAGGCGAAACTGTGAAGACTCCAGTGTGGGTCTACACGCTGGGTGTTGGTTTTTGATTGCCTTAGAAAAAGGAGTTACTCGTTCGTTGTGCCGGCCGTGCAGCGTGAATTACGTACCTTTTGCTTAGCAGAGGTGTGGGCAAAGTGAGCATGTTTTCACCGGAAATCACAAGCCTCTTCAGTCTGGGCGATCTGAGCTTTTCTTCATACTGGTTAAAGGTCTAAACTGGCAAGTGGTCGAAATAAAACATAGCATATTTTAGCTCTTTTCATCTAAGGTAGGATATTATCTTCTTGGACGACTAATAAGAAAGAAATAGATTATTCTACGACATTGTGCTTAATATTGTGTTTGTTACTGAGTTGATTGGATTGATATTGTGTTAAAATTCATCACTGAGCGTTTCAAGTGAGTGAATGTTTTATGTCAGTCGCTTGCCTGGGCAAAAACATGGGATATCAACATTTGATTCTGTTTGTTGAGCTCGTTATTATGGTATTTATTGTGTCTTGGGTATTCGTCTGTCTTGGGCTCACATGCCTCGTGATCGTTCTGATTTACTACATTAGATAACAAAGCATTCTAAAAAACCTTCCAAGAACTAATCTCATCCTCTCCAATAGAATGAGTTCATTCTAGTTAGCCTTCTCGTCCAGTGTATCAAGCATAGGACCTAGAGCAATACGCTTGCCAGTCGTGCGACTGTCTTCCTCACAAAGCCAAAGAGTGATAGAGAGCAGGAGAACCATGATGTCACCAATGATGTCATTGGTGATCTGAATGGGAGCAAACTCCCTCATGGCACGGAAACCAGTTGACTTATTATCATCCCGTTCGTCTTCGAGATCGATGAGAGACCGCTGCTACTGGTCATCATCATCATCGTCGCTCCCTCCACCGCTGCTCTCGCCATCATCATGGTCGCTCTCTCCACCACTGCTCTCGTCATCATCATTCTCGTCACCATCGTCACCCTCACCGTGACCCTTGTGTCTTTTTGCCCTGCCCTGCTGTGGCTGTAGCTGTGGCCTCTTCTGCCGCGATTGTACAAAAGCTGTTGGTGAGCCTTGGGTAGAGTTCATTTCTGCGCTTTTAAATCCGTTGGTGATGTAATCGACGTATTCTTTGTCGTACTCGGCCACTGTGATACAAATTTCGTCGAAATCTTGGGAGATGAGAACTCTTCTACAGGAGAAAAAGAAACAGATTAGTAACAAACCGATAAGATACCTGTGATGTCTGCAGAACGGGCTTACCTCATGATTCCGTTTGGGTCTGACCCTGGCAGTAGTCCACGAAGGGACTCCGTTGAGATCCAGGCAGCCATCTCTGCACCCTCTTGCATCGAAATAGGAACTTGCTTGATCTTCCGGCGTATGGGCTTGGCTTCGATGATGGCAAGGGTAGGGCAAGCTTCTAGAAGCTCGCCTTGTCTTAAAACTTGGAGACAGCCGTCTGTTCGGCTGGTCATGATTTTTTCCTTCCTCTCCCGTTGCTGGAACACGTGAAATGTCTGATGAATGATTGACCAGTCGTACTTATCCCTGATGAGTGGGTGCTTCATGCTGATCCCCTGTAGAAGATCAATCACCGCCTTGTTGACAAGTGCCTCGTCCGGTGGACGGTTCGCTAGACGGTGACTGATACTGGAAACGGATACCTTTCCAGGCGAGTACTGTGAGCCCGCGACGGGACTGGCGAGAGGTAATTCGAACCCGTGCTCCTCCGCAATCTGGGCGCTTGCCACATCGCTATCCCGTCTTGTACTCTGACCTGCGATCGCAGCTGGCCTGGGGCGACACACTGGTTCTGGAGTGAGACAAGGTGACGATCCCGACGCAGGCTCAACGGAAACCTTGTACGCGAAAAGGTTTTCCAAGTCATATTCTGGACGCTCGTATTGGATCACTTTGCCTCGAGCGGTGATGTCAAGATACGCCTTCTTCCATGCTTCCATCGCACCCCAATCATCCAGGTCATTGCTGCGTGACAGTACAGCTTGCCACCATGTTTGCCTCTCCAGGTACTCTCGAGCTGCCTTTTCTAGCCTCGGACCAACCTTTGAGCCAAGGACAATGGTAGGAGTTGGTTTCTCTTGGTCAAGGATTGATAGAATCTTCAGGAGGAGCCAGTCATCGAATTCGAGCACGGATGCAGAGGCCAGTCTCTTGACACCATCAAGAGAAAGTTTGTGCGGACTAACGTTCGGAAGCAAATGCCGGGCCGTTCTGATGCCCGTAGCCCACTCGGAGGGGGTTTCAGGCAGTTTCTCGCCTCCCATTGTTGCCTGCGGAGTGGAAAGAACCAACTGACTGAGTTGAGCGGATATCTCTAGAAAGGGTGGCCGAAGTAAAGCTAGAAGTGAAGTAATGATTGAGGTGTGGGAATCGAGAGGGGGAAAGGGAGCGAGACGAGATAAGGAGGTTGGATGAGATGAGAGGAAAAGAGGAAAAGAGGAATGCAGAAAAGAAGAATTGCGAGGAGGAGTTTCTCGTGTGCATGTGGGTCACTATTGTTGTTCGGCCAGGAGACTCACGGTAACCTCCTCCACCCACAGCAACCAACGAAAGCAAGTTACTTGTACTTTGTACTCTATGTCAGCAGAAGTTACAGTGAAGTGGTCAGTGGGCGTCAGTAACAGGGGCTGTAAGGGTGTTTTGATTCTAACCTAAACTTTCCAACACCGGCCACGATTAGACAGCCACTCGGGGAGTCAACAAACCGGAAGCTAACGAGACTGATTACGCAAAAACGTGTACATGCATCAGATAGGACGGGAGGAGTAACATGGTCTTTGAGTGACTAAATCCAAAATGTACACAGAATCAGCTAGCTCAAGGAGAACTGCCGTTCTACGCAGGTTTAAGGATGCCCAGGTCACTGATCAAGACTGGGTTGCTGCGACGGATTGCTGGCTTTTGGGCGAACTATGCTATTTTACCTTGGTCTATTGATTTGATTAATCCCATTCTACAGAAGAAGAAAAACACAGATTCACCCTTGTACCCGGAGTAGCTAACCATTGAGTGTGCGTGCCATAGCTTCAAGTCGAACCATTGTCCATCCCTAGTCTTTGTCTCGATGGCAACAGTAGTGGAATTTCTTGATGCTTTCTGATAGTTCGCAAGAAGAAGAGAGAAAAATCGAGGCCAACAACATGGAGAGCACGAAGACTCATCTTCAGACAACTGAGCTGTCCCCCCTTCAACTTACAATAGCTACGCTTTGTGCAGGACCGGCCTTGTCCTCGACAAATTCCTCGTCTCCATCGTCATGATGAATAATCGGAGGCGGCCCCATTCTAGTATCACCCATTGGCCGACATCCCAGCCATTTTATGATGATTTTTCCATCGACCGGGCGCTTGGCGGTATGCAGATTCAAAAGTCGTGAAAGGCGTAACACAACCTGGCCGTTTTCGAGATGGGCCTGAACGATCCGAGCAGTAAAGCGTGAGTGGAAGCTGATTGCAAGAGCCTGTAGTTTTATTGGTCAGCGAGTTTTGGAACGATCAATGGGAACATGGCGGGCGTACCGGGATGATTCGATGCCGAGGCCAGATGCTGGCCTGCTTCAATTGACCTCTGATGAGCATTAGAAGGAGGTAGAGTTCGCTCTTCTGGACCTGCTGTTCCTTTGCTGGAATATTGTCGTAAATAGCTCCAAGAGCATGTGGAATAGTTGAGACAGGATTGCTGTAATCATCTTCAGAGTACATCCACTTTTGCCATCCATATTCATGAGAAACAGGTTCTCCAGAGCTGTTGAACCAAGCTTTTTGCATGTATACTGGGTTTCCTTTCCTGCAGGGTTGCCTAGAAATGGCCTAATTAGCTAACTGGCTTCTCATCATCGGCGGTTGGAAGGAGAGAGGAAAGAGGAACATACGAATTGTGAGTCCAATGCCAGGCCTTGGGCTCAGCCATCATTGCTGCCTGTATAAAGTAGTGCAAGTTTCTCTGCGCTTCGGTGGAACGATCACCGTAAAACCACAGCATGTTGCTCTCAAACTTATCCTTTGCATCCGGCCCATGAAACGTTGCTCTGTGTGGGATTTTCATGGGCTCGCGAGATGCCCAGCGTCTTTTTGCATAGCCACGAAGCGCCTGTCTAGCCTGTCGACGGGTAGGAGGAACAAAAAATCTGGAATCAAGGTCGAGCGGCTTGGGGTCGTCGACATCGAGGGGTGCACCGAGCTTGTAGCCCAGAGCAAGAAGGTCTGCCTCAGTATACCTGACCATCTTGTAGCGCTCTTCCACTTCGGACTGCAGGCGGCACACAAGAGCGTACTGGTTGCATCGCCAAACGTACTCGGGGTCGTTCTTTTTCAGCTCGTGGTACTTTCGTTGATGTTGTCGCTGGCTCGTTCGCGATCGCGAGGACCGCGAAGGCCGTGATCGGGAAGGCATGGGAAGTTGCACTCGATTCGGACGTTTAGAAGAGCGGATGCAGTAAGCGGATGAGGAGAAAAAGGATGAAGGAGAATGAAGTCGGGGAGTTGAAGAAATGCAGTTGTTGAAGAGAGGATAAAGGTGAAGCAAATCGCTGTTGCACGTCACTTTCACTGAGGAAGGAGCAATCCACAGTGACGCGTGCAGCGATAAGATAAGCCTTGTGATTTCAGTTACACACGCAACTACCTACCTAAGTAAACAAAACAAACCGCGACTTGATTAAACTCCAGGACACCAAAATTCTCACTCGCGTTCGATGCCTGCTTGTAACTTGTCATTTCTTGCGTTGATTCGGCCAGGTTCAAAACAAGCGTGCCTGAGATGCACTCCAACCTGGACGGCGATTTATGTAGAATGGCTTCCAGCCAGCTTTCTTCACACGCCGCAGGCCGGTGAATGTAACTAATATGAAACTGTTATGTGAATAGGAATTGAGGGCGACGTTTGCATGTAGCTTCATGATAGCATCAAGCCTGCATTGATGGGACCTCGATGCAATTATTCCCCCTTCACTTCACGGAACCCGACCACCACTCTAACTCACATCTCGCATTGCAGAAGAAATAGTTGATTCGAGACGCAGGAGGTGCTAATTCGTACTCTAGGTTCATCTCTTTCTTGCACATGACCCCCGCATGTATTTGAGCTTGAGGCCTTTGTTGATCTCCAAATCGGCTAATTGGAAAACCTGTTCCTTTCTTCTACAAAAAATCATGTTAAAGGTAGGTCAATTCTTGAATTATTTTGATGATGACAAGCCACTGTTGATCACCTCAGTTATGCAAAGATATTTGAACCAAGGTCGTTTATTTTTTGATGAACTGTTTCATTGACCATATCTGCGCGGACGATGTAACTTTGGTTTATTATTATATAACATTAACAGAAGAGAATGAAGTAGTTTTATACGAAATGGTTCTCTCTCTATTAAAGAAAGCTAATACAGACCAGGGTGGCCTTTCTTTAGCCAGCGCGTAAGATGCTGGTTGCGGCGTACAAGGCAGAATCAACCAGCGTGGAAATAAACGGCATACAGCTATAGGCCACGCCCAAGAGTCCCAATACTCGTCTAATAAAGCAGGAAATGGTGTATTGTACGGAAAATATCCCCTCTTCTATTTGTGCTCCCCTTGGCGATACCCTTCGCAGCTAAAGTTCGTAGAAAACAACACAAACGCATCGCGACATGACTCCACGCGAACTCATCCCTACACGCCTCACCGGCAAATGTTCCTTCCCCATGCCACTTTCCCGAGCTCGTTCAAGGGATCTCTCGTAACTGCAAATACCGTCATCCAAGTATACGCGTTGACTTGCGCCTCGTCTTGCGCCTCGACCGATTTCCCGGAACAGACCATCACACACATCTCGGGATCATCATGGGCCGGAAACCACGTTATTTCAGGGTCGAGAACGTCCTGGGACTGCAACTTGGCGGAGAAGCGATGTGCTATGACTACGGTCAAGGCTAAAGAGTCCAACGCCGAACTGCCCACACAATCGGAGAGCGGGACCACCTGCTACATGCAGTCTCATTCCGTCATGGTCGTTATCACGGCCGGTACGGACAAGCCATACTCATACTCCACCGACTTCTACGATGACGGAGGGGACGCTGATGACTGGCCATCGATTCAAAGCTCGGCGTTCTCTTCCATGCATTGTCCGTCTTCGCCCGCAGCGGCCAGTGCAACCACTTCAGTTGAATCAACTCAAACAGCTCGTAACGAGCAGCGAAACTCTGCGACAACAGCTTCTGAGACAGCCTCTGCTAGTATTGAGGAGACATCTTCGACCAGCAGCCCCAGCTCGACGGGCTCCGATGCACCGAAGGGACATGGACACTTTACTGGAGTGCCAAAGTCACTCGTGTTGGTGGGACTCACTGTGACACTCGGATTTTTTGCAACTCTGTAGCCGTCAGGGGGTGGGGATTCTTTTGGTGCAGTTGGAAAGAAGTCAATTGAGATGTTCGATTGAAGATACGTCTATGTAGTGAACAAATCATGACGATGAGCTAATGGTAATGTGAAGAATGTTGGTACTAATACAAAATCTAGGAACTTATTAGTGTAAACTGGGCGCGTGAATAAATGAAGTGGTCCGATCACCGGAAAGCTTTGTTGCATTTGACCAACTCCTCCGTGACCGATGTTCCTTCATCCTTAACCTGGAGTGAAACACCTGCTGTTGAGCGAGACCATATTTAGGCATCTTGTCGAATAAGAAGAAACTGGAGGTTGAAAAGCGATCATCAAACCACCGAAGAGACAAGTGTGATTGATTTCAACGGAGAGGTAGCTGGAGTTCTCGCAATGAGTTTCGCGCCTTGATGGTCCTACCAGAAAATTCACCAGGCCAGGAACGATTTCGCATCCACGATCATCTCCGTACCCTCAAACATGTGTACGAAGCTTCATTAAATGTATGTGGCATATCGATAAACTAGGCTCACTTTTGTTCCAAACCTGGTAGCGGCTAGAGATGATCCTTAGTGACGGCCATTGCGTTCATTGTGCTACAAGCAGCCAGATGGTAACTCAAGCGAGTCTGGGAACAGTAGTTGAATGGAAACTTGAGTTTTCTTGCTCCTCCATTATTGGTTCAAGCCCTATGGCCGTTACTTGTGATCTGGGTGGCTAAACTGATCGGCGTGGGACAACCTGTAGACAGTATCCCCGACCCTGATACCGAACTTGGGTTCATAAGCGCGACGATCAGACGATTGTGCTACTGTTTACATTGTCTTGTGGTGCCCCCTCGCATTCGGAATTAAAGTTGCTTCTACATGCAATGCGTGAACTTTGCGTGCATAAACACTGGCTTTAGCGACACCCACACCGCCCTCGTCGAATTTGATCACTTCAGCTGATGAACAGGCTGGTGACTGGTGCCACTGAAATTGATGCCCCCAAGCAAAATGGTGCTGGTTTTTTGGCTTTATGACTGGTGATTGTCCATGGTACTGAGAGTTACTGATAGATATCCAGCAGACAATTTGACATGAATTGTCAGTTTATTTCGTTCAACCTTGGTATATGGTTCTCCGTATTCAAGAAAGTGCTCTGCTCAAGACGACTATTTCGACGTCTCACCCCAGTTATCGCCCAGCCAGTCCACCAGCTCTTTGGGGCTGTGGCTGCATCTCGCAACCCACACAGAGATCTACCCCACGGAGTTGGTACCTGAAACGACAGTCTCGTCCGAAGGATGATGAAGATGACTGCCTTATTGGCTCCTCCACATCTCATGACGACATCTTATGGGGGCTCGTGAACAGGGACCCAAAGCGAAAACGGCAGACCAGATGATATCTGCTTCACATGCTGGCGGATTCCCAAAAACCTCGGCAACGGGATGCAATGGGACGGCGGATGCTTGGGCGATTATCATGTCAGATCGACTACGACCAGACGGGCGAAAGTCCCTCAGCCCAGCGCGAGCAGTGTAACCCCGCCAGAAATCCCATCTTCATCTCCCACACACCGCTACGGCATTTTGACATGGTCCAGGGGACTCCAGGCTGCAGGTGACCTGCGTGGGTCGCGAGTTAAGGTAATTATCGGCATTACTACGTAGATTTCTTTACCCCAGCCCCCCTTCAGAACCCCAACCCTTCAGTCACGTTCCCCCTACCCAGATGAGATGACATTCCCTCATAACCCATTAGTACCGCAGGGAGTTGATGTTCTTCACCAGCCAGTTGTACCCGGCGCTGCGGAAATTGTCATCCAGCTGCTCGAACTTGTTTGCGAAGAAGTGGAGGAGCTTGTTCGTCTCCGACCAGCGGGGCCACTCCGGGTACGACCCCCTCCCCTCGTTGGGATCGAGCGAGTACACGAAGTTGATGTAGTACGCGCGGATCCCCTTGGCGGCGTAGTTGTCCTTGATGCCGAAGAAGACCTGGATCAGGTCGGAGCCGTGGAGGGTGCCGAGGATGGGCGTGCCCTGGTCGTAGGAGGCCAGGTAGGACCAGGATGGCACATTGGGATTTGCGCTGTTGGCCGTCGCGAGGAAGACGCGGCGGGCGAGCGTGAACACGAGGTCGCCCATGATGGCGGCACGGCGCTTGAAGCCGATGAAGATTTCGTTGAGCAGCCCCGAGTTGAATGGGCTGCCCTCGATGACGGCGGTCAGGCCATTGCCGTAGGCGTTGACAAGGTCGTTCAGCTGGGCCGTAGTGGCGCCGTCGAAGAAGTAGCTCTTGAGGTAGTTCACGAGGCGGTCATTGGTGGTGAGGTTCGACTGGAAGAGCGCGAACAGCGTGCCCTCGTCCTCCTGGTCACCAATGATCATGGGGACGGCCGCATACTTGCCAGCAGCGACCAGCGCGTCAGGGGAGTCCGTGAGACTGTCTCCATCTGGCCGTGGAAGGTAAGACAGCGCAAGAGAGTTGTAAGACAAGATGCCAGGCACCGAAGTCACAGCATTCAGGAAGGCCGTATAACTGAGACCTCGCAGGCAGTTCAGTGTGTCCGCCTTGCCTGAGCATCCTCCCGCCTTGACCACCTGATCATACACAGCCTGTCCCTTCCTCCCGTCGATGGGTTCCACCGGGACAACGCTGCCCGAGTTCATTATGGCACCCCTGAAGAGCGGCTTGCCCTTGTAGGTGTGATCTCCATCGTACAGCGCCATTTGGGCATAGACGGAGATGGCGCCGGCCGATTCGCCCCAGATGGTGACCTTTTCTGGGTCGCCGCCAAATGCCGCAATATTGTCAGCTACCCACTCGAGGCCCATGCGCTGGTCGAGCAGACCGAGATTGCCCACGCCGGCAGCCTTGACCTCCTTGCCTGCCAGGAAGCCGTAGCCAGCGACTCGGTAGTTGACTGCCACAAAGACGATGGGTTTACCGATGCTCTTGGCGTAGTTGACTAGACCTTCGCCGTCGTACATGGAAGACCATCCCAGCTGGAAACATAGATGTGTTAGCCTCGTACTCTACTCCATTTTGGATCGAGAGATGGGAAGGAAGCCACCCTGGTCACTCACCTGAAAGCCTCCGCCAAAGATCCAGAATAGGACCGGGAGATTATCACCCGCCTTCGTCCCCTCAGGGCGGGCCACCGTAATAGAGAGGCAGTCCTCACTCTGTCCGGTAGCATCTTGGACAAATGGGAGGTTAGCAATGCTGCCAAGAAGGTTTTGGAGAAAGTCCTTGTCATCCGTAGTCGCAATCATCTGTGGGCACGCCCCTGCAGGGCCCGTAGCGTCGACTGTGCCAAGCGGCGACGTCAATCTCTTGGGCCGCTGCAATCTCTGATTCCCCTCTGCAAAAGGGACCCCGCCAAACTGCTCAACACCATTGTTGACGTTGCCCAGGAGCGTGGCCGATGGGGCGCTGATGGTCGCGGTGGCGACTTTGGCCCGCCCTTCAAGGACAGCAGTAGGGACGGCAGACACCTGGACTGCTACCAGGACAAACAGATGCAGAAGGTGGGAGACAATCATGGTGGGCAGGAATCTCAGGCTGTAGCTGGGGGTAGAGATAGGATTCTGGATCTACTCTGGGCTTCTCCTCAGCCTGGCTGGTTGAGCTGGCTCACAACCATGGATTTCCATGCGGTATTTGTTCTAATTTATATCTTTCCTGTGATCAAAGAGCCACTCGTTAATTTCCTTTGATTATTTCGTGCTCCCGCTCCGCAAAGCCACCGCACTACGAGCCCCATCCTTAATGGCACAACATCTCATGGCAGCCAGGGTGTTACCCCGCGCCAAGATGCAGCCCCGTGGGGATAGATGGCCCCCAAGATACGACGGAAGTGTCGGTGTCGTGTCAGTGCCAAGGGCTTATTCGTCGTGTGAACAGAATGACAAGCGCCGCTAGCGGCACTTTCGAAATCCCATCATCTATGCCTCGGTTTTTGTAAAATTTTGCTCGTGAATAGGATCGGGCTTACACAGATGAATAGCCAAGATGAGCTGATCTGGGTTGATAACTCACCTCCAATTCGGATATGTGCCCCCTTTCTGGATATACCAAGCACCTTTCGACATCTTCCACACCACTAAATAGACCATCTGACGATTGTTCTCATCGCTGATTTGCTGACAGGAAGCAGAACGTTCCTGAGCGGCCAACACGACCCCTGAACTAGCCCATATTAGCACTTTACGGGTAGTCTCTACCGTTGCCGTTGCCTTTAGCACATGTCTTAGATCGATCTCTCCCCGTTGTGAGCCTCGGCGATGGCCACTAGCTCTGCTTGGCAGTGTGACTGATCGATTTTATTTGGTGGAACATCTGGGGATCTTTGGCGTCTGCCGAAAAGGAGGGGACGCTTACATGCTCGGCGTGTCCCGTAGACCCATGAACTGTTCCCTGTCTGCTCGTTAAGGTACCGAAGACCAGGTTCAAGAATACGAATCCGAAGTCACGATCTTGCTCGGATTTTGTAGGATATTATCTTTGAACTATGTCCTCCGTTGGTCCGAGACGAACTTGTGTTGTACGATATGACCCAAACCTTAGTATTCATGATCATTCTTCATGTTCGGCGTAAGAGATATTTTCTCTCCCTAAGCAATGATTATCATCCAGAACTCAAGAAAAAAAAATAGGTACAGATCTAGAAATGCTAAATACTAGGGGGCACAAGAGCAACACAACATACCTTACTCTAAATGTTGCGCAGCGAAACTCAACTGACAACGGTTCCCCTGTTCCAGCATAAGCCGCCGATCACATATTTCCATTTCTCCGGTGATTTCGAACTCAAGCACATGCTTTGAAGGGAATTTAAACCAGAACCGCGGTATAGGGATGGGTCTGTAGTTAAAAGGCCTTAACTAAAATACGCAACACACCCCGGAAATAGATGACCAGAAACGAAAACAGATGCATAAATACGACGTGTTTGATGTGATAAGTCACGATTTTCTGATCTATTCGTGGATATCTGATATATAGCGACCGGAACGTGCTTGTGAACGACAAGGTTATTTCGGTCAGACTCAACAAGGCCTGGTGATGTGGATGGTCGCTTAACCCCCGCATTGAAGTACAAATATAAGTTCGGAAGCACTGAGAACAATTTTCATGATCCTAAATAATGATTGAATACGTTCCCCATACGTAAATACATTCGCTCAACATGTATTCAACATGTATTACTGTAACCAAATAGTTAGCCACAAGGGAAACCGACATTTAGTTTGTGACATACTCAGCTCATTGAAAATCACAACCCCGAAAACTAGTTACTCTCCTTCTTTCCCTTTCCCTTCTCCTTCTCCTCCTCATTTCCTTTATTCAACAGCTTGCCAAGTGCCCACTTTCCACCAAAGTAAATGGACTGCACGGGCCCAATGCCGTTATTGGTACTCCCACAGCCATGACACCTACCGCAGCGTCCACACACACTGGAGCCGTAGCCATACTTGTCCTGATTGTCACACCAGCCGCAGCCTTTGCCGTTGACTGGCGCAGCGTATGGCCCGTTCCCGACTGGGTCGTTGCAAGCGCGCCGGGAGGTTTGTGGCTCTTTGTCGCTAGACATTATGAAACGGAAGTAAACGACAGAAGTGAAGACGACAAGCTAAACTAGCTTAAATAGCGTTGAATTCAAGATAGATACCGGCTTTGATCAATCACGTCGTGAGGGGGTCAGCCGGAATTTGAAGATTGTTTTGGCAAGAAATATTTCGACCCCACTGTCGTCATGACTGATGATAGGCCAGCGCGTATTTTTGAAACGAAAAGATGACTCCGTCTGACGATGGGATGAGCTACGTCATGGTAACTATGTCATCTCACCTCACAAGTTGAATTGTGCCACAGTCTGTGCAGCGCTAGAAGAGCTGACGTGTAAATGTCCTCTTTGTTAGAAGGTATTTTCTGCACAAAGTCTTAGTTAAAACGTCAAGTAGTATGCATAAGTTTATGATTACAGACGAGAAAGACGTGTTCTTTTAATAGCTAGTCTATCTTTGTGCTTTCCTGAGATCCTCCTCATGGTGGTTAGGACACTCTGCTTGTTTTATACAGCACCAAGATCTTCATTTAACTGAAAATGATTTCATGTATTGACTTAATCAATTCAGCACGCCAAATTCCCCCTTCAGAAATTGGGAGAAGATTATGGGGCTACGACTTTGTGCAATTCGCACACACTCTCTACGCTGCTATTTATTGTAAGGAGCCCTGATAGGTTACGAGAAACGCCTGCGTTCGTTACCAACAATCTTCGGCAATTTGCATAGCTGACCGTAACTAGCACTTTGACCATGGTCTAAGCCGAGGTATTGCGATTAATTTATTACCTTGGCGCTTTCTTTAAAGTGGCCTTTTTGTTAAGTCTTATCAATTGCGTGAGAAAGGAGGGGAGGCCATAGAGCAAGTCACAATTGATATGAGAGGATCAAATATTTCGAGAATTGAAACTGTATTTCTTGCCGCGGAAAAAAGAGAGTTACCCGTACAGAGGCATAAAGCCTAGACTACGGCATCTCATGAGAAGGATGAAAAACGAGAACAATCCGCCGCATTGGCCCGTTTATCTTCAACATAGCTATGAAGTTGAAAGGAATGTTTACAGCAAAATCATAAAGAGGAGCAAGTTTAAGTGAATGGATGATTTCAGGCGACAGCTTACACAAGGGCTCTTGATAGGTATTTATTTATTCATACAATCTCAGAACTATCTAAGCAAGGGTGCTCATTCCCTAGCGTTCTAGTTATACGGAATGTCTATCTTAAGAATGCTTCTGGGCCGTCTCTTCAACTTTGGGCTCCTTCTCCCCAGAAGCCATAGAGGCGTTGTCCGCAGCGTCGGCCTCTCTTTCAGCTTCCAACTGTTGAAGGAACTCTTCTCGCTTGGGGGAAAGGTACTTGACATCAATGAAACGCAAAGTGCATGTCATGATAATCAACAGAACCAGCAAAGCCAGGGCTGACTGCCATCCATACTTGTAATGCGGGGCCTGGGAGGCTGGCCAGGTCAGAACCTGGGACCAGGACGAAATGGCATAGTAGGCCGCAACAGCCACACCGACAGTAAGAGTTCGAGCTTCCGGATCCTGAGGGATGAGGTCAGAGAGCCACGAGAAGATGAGGGGCGCGGTACCCAAGCAAGTGAAGGCGAGGAAATACGAAGCGTACGCCGCAGCCAGACCCGTGGATTCGGGATGGGCGGTCCAGACGCTCATGATGATGCATGTAATGATGCCAATACAAGCCTGTGCGATGATGAGTGTCCACCGGGATCGGATGAAATCTGACAGGAGTGCCCAAATCCACACAAAAACCACATTGATACCATATGCGCCAATGGGGATGGCGTTGACCTGGGAGGTAGTCCATCTTGCCGTCCCATCTGCATTCTTGAGCGACTTGAGGAATAGGGAGAAGTAGACGTTTCCGTAGGTTCCCAATACACTGGCGACGTACAAGATGGCAATGAAGTACACGACCCAGCCAGAAAATGTGCGCTTGATTCCTGCCCAGGTGACCCTCTTGGACTCGGCACGACCATGGCGAGCGAGACGCAGCATGGCCAGCTCGCCATCACCCTTTCTGAACCAGAATGCGAGCGGGTTGGGTTTGTTGGGAACGTCGGGCATCATGAAGATACCCAAGATACCCCAGATGATGGTGATGATTGCGTTGATGATAAACAACCACCGCCAACCTGCGATTCCGTGTCGACCATCCATCGTCTCGGTAATAGCTGCTTGCATGGCGCCTGACATCATGGAGCCCAGGGCCTGGCACGAATGGTAGAATCCTATACGCTTGGCCAACTCAGTAGGTGTATACCAATACACTACCCATCCAGATGAGTCAGTTATCCTTGTTCATCAAAACACCAGTTTATGGCTAGAATATCAACTTACTCAGCAAGGTGACCATTCCGGGCCAGGCACTGCTCTCAAAGAGACCGAGCAAGACGCGCAGGGCATAGACATGGTTTGCGTGCTTGGTAACCGCCATGAGCCCAGTTATGATGCCCCAAGCAATCTCCAGTCCAGGAAGCCAGAAGCTTGGTCGCACATATGTAAGGATGATCTGTGAGGGAATGAGCATCACGCAGTACGCGATGTTGAAGTAAGTCGAGAAGCTGTATGTTGATTATTTCCCGTCAGCCTGGGAATTTAGATTGCTATTTCTTCACGCGGTACTCACAAATTGAGTTCATTTCCATAGAGTTGAAGATCCTCCTTCATACCCGACACATAGGCGTTGTTGATGTTGGTCTGATCCAAATATTTGATAACTGCGACGGCTCGTCAATTTCAGGTCCGCAGATTGTGTTGTTACAATGTAGTTAAGCCAGAATGGTATAGCGGACCTTGAGAAATGCACCCAAATGTCATGAAGAAAATATCCAGGCGACGGATCAACGACTTTTCCTCGGGGGTACGCTCATGCTTCACCTGAAGAGCACTGCGGCTCCGGAATCCGAAAGACACCATCACGATACGACGAATGAACGTAGATCAATGTGCCCAAGAGCGGGAATCGAAGCAGATGAGCTAGCAGAGCCAGGCTACCGGCACACGGCCCAGGCGACCTGGGGACTATTTTATATCAGGGTCTCCCGAGCGAGCGGTTAGTGTCAAGAACTTCTGCACGCTAAGGCAAGCAAAACATTTGCCTCCCTCGTGTATTCGCGATAAGGACCCTCATATATGACTGGGGGTAGTATTCATGACACCACAATTGCATTTGCATCCTCCGAATGCGGCATCTCCAGCCTCTTGTGGCCCGTCACGGGGATAAGATGAAAAGCGGGACTGATTGTCGCTCTGGAGTCTGAAGATGGTAAGAAAAGTTTGCGTGAACCCTCTCCACAATGTAGACTAGGATGACTCCGGGTCGGAGAAACCCTGTCTTTTTCCGTCACTGAAACCCAATTGTTGGAGTTAGAGTTTGTCATTGCGGAAGGCATTATTCATGCCCATTATGTTATAGCTGTAGATTTGGATCTTGGTCGGTGTACCCCTCAATAACTGTGGTGGAAAGCCTAATATCACCTGCCAGATGGGAAACAAGACATGGGGTTGCCATAGGCACAAGCTCAACCGAAATGGGGCGGACACGCGGCAATTCTTTGAGCTGAAAATATGTGCAAGGTTGTACTGACTCAACACGGCCTACGACTGGCCGATAGCCGGGAGCACTGATAGTGATGGTCTGTTCTTCGTCAATCCCTGCTAGAATCTAAGGGAATTTTGTACCGCTGGTCTTACAATGTGTACCCTTCCGTGGTAAAATGACTGTGATGGAGCCTGGAGGGCAAACAGTGCTTCGTTCCATCACGATATCAAGAGGCCTAAGTGAAGCCGCTGGTTCGGAATTATTCGAAGTAACGTCATGATCATGTCTTAAACCAACAATTATGCGCCCTCTGATGAATTGGAATCTCGGCCCACCTTTCTAGGAGGGCCGTTTTAGTATAATAGCCACGAGCGTTGGATTTGGTCTATAAGTTCGAGACCAATGTGGCGTTCTGGGAGACCAAGTGTCAGAGGCAATCAGTGTTGGCGCAACGGAAGAGTTCTGATCTGGCAGAGAGTTGATTCTCAGGGACACGAGCAGAATCACATCAAGTGTTCGAAAGGTCATAGTCTTAGAAAAGAGTCTAAAAATTTCCACTGCCGAGAATCAAAGCAATTGCAGTACAACAAAAGAGTTATGGAAAATATGGTTAAAGAGGAAGCATGGTGCTGTTATCAAATGGCTTCTCACCGGACGTACTCTGGTTAGTTGTCAGTTCTGTTCCTGGCGGCTCAATTTTTGGACAAATACATAAGTTGTAGCTGTCCACAAGTAGGTGCAATTGGTCTTCGAAGATATCACGACGCTTGGCTAGACAGGTAGGCATACTAGTATGTCTTAGGCATATTGCCTCGAGGAAACAGTGGTCTACTGCATAATTTCGTCACGAAGACGCCCGCTCAGCATACCATATCATGTTATGAAATATGTGTGACTTGAATTCTCAAAATTCCAATTCAATTTGAAGCGCTGATACGTAATATGGGTGCTCTAGTACAAGGTGAAGCCTCGTAACCCATTTCTCATGCATTCATTCAACTGATTACCATATGTATCCGTACCCGCAACATAATTCAACGCCTCACGCTTCTTGCCGGGAATGTTCGCGCCCATATACCAAGTCGTTTCATTTAGATGCATGAGAGTTGCATCAATAGCCTTGCCAATGGTTTGAGACCATCCTTGCTCTGCCTTGATTGTAGGCTCAATAGACGAATATCCGTTTTCTCTCATCGACACCATCATGTTGACAATCCACTCGCCTTGTATCTCGGTGAGCACAGGGCCAATCGCAAAGGCTGTTGGACTTTGAGGACCATACATGAAAAACATGTTGGGGAATCCCGAGGTAGCAAGACCCAAGTGAGTCCTAGTTTTGGTGGCCCATTCAGCATTGAGCGACTTGTTCTTGAGCCCTCGAATGTCTATCCGTGAGAAGCCGCCCGTGATAGCATCAAAGCCTGTGGCAAGGAGTATGGCATCAAGCTCAATCTCTTTGCCGTCTGCCATGATCACTCCATTTTTTGTTACCCTATCAATAGGGTTCTTCTTCAATGAGTGCAATGTGGCATTATCTTGGTTGAAGACCTCATAGTAGGTGCGCTCCAAAGATGGGCGCTTGGTGCCAAATGGGAATGGAGGATTCTCAGGTGCCAAGTTCTCAATCAGCTCTGGGTCATTTTTGAGAATCCTGGCACGTGTTTTGTCACGCCAAAAGCGGTAGAAGACGGTGTTGCTCTCGAGATCGCTGCCGACATCGGGGTAGTTGGCTAGAGAGGGCGCGAAGCCTCCTCTTACCCAAAGCTTCTCCCAAAGAGCATCGCGCTCCTCTGGAGTAACTTCCTTCGACGTTTTAGTGAGAGCAGTGTAGTCGAATCCGCTCTTTGTCAAACGCATGTTTCGAAATTTCTCGGCGTATGTTGTCTTATCTTCGCTATCACCCATGGTCTCCTGGCGCATAGGTAATGCGCAGTTTGGTGAGCGTTGAAACGCGTGCAAGCTTCCAGCAATGGGACCGAGCTCTTGAACCAGCTGCACGCCGGTTGCTCCAGATCCGATGACTCCGACTCGCTTCCCTGTCAAGTCGACAGGTGTTTGGGGCCACCTAGCACTGTGGCAGGTGAATCCTTGAAAGGTGTGCAAGTCTTTAATATCTGGCGTGTATGGTTTTGATGAGAAACCCATGGCAGGTAGGAAGTAACGTGCTGACACAGTGGCACCCTTGTCTGTTTTGACGGTCCAAGTTCTAGTGACAGAATCAAATGATGCTTCAGTGACCTTGGTTCCAAAGACAATGTCTTTGCTCAACTGCCATTTCTTGTCCACGAAGTCAAAGTAGCGAACAATTTCTGGCTGGCCTGGGAAACGCTCTGACCAGGACCATTCTTGCCACAGTTCGGGGTCGGAGAACTCATAGAATGGTACATCGGTATCAACCCGAGCGCCAGGGTATGTGTTATGAGCCCATACGCCCCCAAGTCTCACCCCCTCATCAAATAACCTGACACGGAAACCCTGCTTTCGTAGGTTTCTTAGCAGGTAGCAACCACCGAAGCCTGCGCCAATGATGATGGCATCTAACGGGCAGTCGTCAATAGCGGAAGGCATTGCGAATTTCAAATGAGATAGAAGTTATGATGGTATTGAAATTGATTGTGTATTGGCTTACTGGAGGAATCATGAAGATGGCATCAGTTCATATATACCCAACTATCGAGTCATCACCGTGGGGGCCACACCTCGCTCAACACTATCTATCTATCTCCCCACTGTCGGCCAATAGTCATATCTCATCAAGAGAAGGACACCACTATCTACAGATTTGGTGATACTGCGACACACTATGCTTGTGCGCATGCTCAAGGTGGTGGACTACGGCAATTTTGAGGCTACGGCTACGATCTTGCCGAGCCGATGCCGTAGCGTTACAACTTATCAGCCCCAGATGCTCCACGCCGGATGGGACTGGGGAAGCACCAGGAAAATGCCCACATATCTGTCCCTCGATCAAGGAAGGCCTATCAAGGCCTTGAGTCTAGACTGTGGATTGATACGATAGGAAGATCCCTAAGAGAAGCTAATAATCGAGGCGTGCAAATGGAAGCGACATGTAGCTTGTTATGGTGTGGAATGTCGGCTGCATTGTTGCAGAGTGTCTTCAAAATCAAAATCACAGAGATATCATTTCATTAATGTACTCTTACGTACAATCAGCATCACAGCGTTTATGATCTATCACCCGGGGGGTATTGAACATTCGAACATGTGAACCCAATGCAGAACGTGTATTCATACTACCTAATCCGATCAAACTTGCATCGCCTACATACATACTGCATCTAGAGACGACTAATACGATTGGATGTCGTGCTCATTTCCTCACCACTGCCACGCCACAGCCCGCGAAGTCCGTTTGGCGAATTACCAAACACAGGATCCAGAAGTGGCTTTGGGGTTGCCCAAACTTGCTCGTAATCCCCGCCACTGACGACAAAGTCCCATTCACCACTGTTGTACGCACCCATCATTGTGAAGCCGTCGAGCTCGATCTCCGATAGGGCCTTTTTGGGATCGTCTACTTCGATCCCGTGGCCTGTCCCCGGAGACAGAAGAGTCTGCGCGGCTTTTGGCAACGTCTTGTGTGTCTTGTGCGCGACGCCGGCAGGGATGACGAAGACGTCGCCGGCCTCGGCTTGGAGCTCGATACCTCCCTTTTCCCAGGCATCGCCGTGTGTGTTGGCGTGGAGGTCATCTGATGTGTCTCCTACACCAAATCTGATGGTTGCCGTGCCTGATAGCACGGCCATGGTCTCGTGTGCTTGAGAGTGGAAATGAGACATCTGGGTATGGCCGTAGCGGACCAGCCAGTTCACGCGCCATCCGTTGTTCTCAAGCATCTGCCAAGCATCTCCTGGGCTGCACCGTCCAGTGGATTTGGCCCGTGGCAGGACATTCTTGTAATGAATAAGTGGGCGAGGTGAGTTGGGCACCAGGTCCGTTGGGGGTAGATGGTATGTTTGTACTTCAGTCATGATGGATGAAGGGAATTTGATATTTCCAGATAACAATAGGTGGTATATAACGAAGTGCTAGTATTAGATGCCTCTTAGAGTTTGATAGAATGAATGGATCAAGTCGTATATTTAATTGCGATTCCTGTAGAATCTTGACATGGTTTTGGGCACGACGGTGGCTTTCGGCAATGAAGCCGTCCCGATATCGGGAGGATCTCGTTCCCAAACGAGCCCACCAAGTTGCCGTAGCGCTTCACGATCCACCGATCATAACACAGATGACAGATTACGCTACGGCCAATCAAACGCGGGGTACCGTATAATGAGGTGCTATCAACCCAAAGTCTCAGTTGGAGCTGAAGGCCTTGCTTTGGATTGGCGACCTCACGCATCGGCTTCTCTATCAAAGTATTGATTGACGCGAGACATGCAAAGATCTCGGTCGGTAGTCACTTCCCAGAGTTTTGGTTGGATCACTATTCTAAAATCAGGCGGTTGTTGCCCCTGGGAGCGACAGCGACTCACATCTGGATGTATGAGTCGGAGTGGTGGTATTGGGCTAGTTCAGTCCCCTGCCATACTTTATGGCGCTTATCTTGAATGTGGCTCAGATAAGATATCTTGGAATAATCTAGCTACCCACTAGGTTGACGTGGCCAAGACCCTGTCGTTATCAAGGTAGATATTTGATGGTTTGGCGTAATGCATGAGCATATCTCTGGCTGCCGCTGATCTGTACCGGAAGCGAACGGCTAGTACCACCTATCCTCATCAGATGGCCCGTGGCTGAGACTCGCTATGCTACATATATATCGTCAATTCAATGAGATAGCACACACACGATACAGCTATCCCATCTCCACACAAGCGTGACGTGTCGGGGAAAGCTGCCCCTGTTGTCCACCACGCAGGCCTTGCCGAAACCCCGCATTCCAACCTGGCTTGGGAAAAGCTTGGCACCATCGGAACTCCCGGCTGCTGGCGTTAATAGCAGGGTGTAACCAACTCTGGCCTGATCATGTCTGGCCTTTCGTACTGGGCATATCTTAACCATTTAGGCCAGGCTACGGGCCATGTCGGCCAGCACAGCTCCTCAGTCGAGCGCCGGTGGGCGGAGAAGGACATCAAAGGCGTAGGTGTCTGCCCTCCCCAGGTTTGAAGAATGAATTCTGCCATCTGACACTCAATCCGTAGTTGTAAAAGATGTCACGAACAGAAAATTCGGTGCAATGGCATCTTCCCATGCCAACAATGCAGCAAGAGATCTCTGCCCTGCAATTTTATCAGCTCACCTCCAGCGAGGGTTGTCATGAAGAGAAGGCAAGTGGACGAAGAGAAATCCCCTTGCATCCTCGGCGACTGGCTAACCCTGCTCAAAATCCAGCTATCAAAATGAAAGACCGACTCCCAATCAACCCATGGGCAGAACTCCCATCTCCCCGATCACGATCCAGAGTCAGCTGGAAAGCCCAGAAACAGGTGCGAATATTAATAATAACGATGGCTGGAGACGCATGGCTCATAAATTCCGAGAATAGGTCACTTTAGCGGTTCGTCTCAAAGAAGTCTCTCCTTCTTGAGCCGCTCACTAGACACGGCGTCAGACATTTCTCCTCCAGCTATTCGATCACGCCCGTTGGAACAGATTCTAGCCAGCGGATCTGAGGAACCCCTGACAAACCCTCTGGCGTTTTATACCGCAAATTGGGTTCAGTCATCTTCGGGAAAGCTGCGTACGTCCTCCGGCGCCTTCGTCATTCTTCTCCCAATCACTGATATCCAAACTAGTGTTTATGGGAACATCCTCCAATTGGTCCTTTGGACGGCGAGTGCTGGCCATGACTCACGAGCGCCTCACTGGGGAAGAGCTACCCCCCGATAACCTGTTGTTCCATGACGATGTATATGACTTCGGATGGAACGGAGTCAGATCACAAGCCTCGTCGCCTGACAATTTTGACGACTCCATGCTCCCAACCCCGGACTTTGCTGTCTACCTGATAAATGCAGTCAAATTCCACTGTGGAGGATTATTCTACCTTTATGACGAAGACTCGTTTATGAATCGAATGAGTCGATTTCACGAAAACCCTTCTGAATTCTCACAGAGGTTTCCTTTGTGGTATGTCCAATATCTTCTACTCCTCGCTTTTGGCAAAGCCTTTGCAACCCCTGCCGTCAAGTCGCGCTGGCCTGCGGGGATTGAACTCTTCACACAAGCCATGAAAGAAATGCCGGACCTCACTTTTTTCGACGCCGACCCCTTGGAGCTCATACAGGTACTCTGCTGCAAGGCCCTGTATCTTCAATGCCTCAATCGTCGATCTCCAGCACATCGCACGGTATACATCTCGTCAACCCATTGAAAATCGATCTTACTGCTAAACAGTCAAACTAGATTGGCAATGCTCTCCGCCTTGCGCTCGAGAATGGCTTGCATACTGAAATGTACAGCCCGCTGCTTGATGCCGACTACGTCCGAAAGTGCCAGATCATGTGGTGGAATATATACATATTGGAGCGACAAATGTCTTCTCTCCAGGGCATTCCCGCCGGTATACCAGAGGAATGCATCAGCACCCCATTTCCACCGCTGGCTGGCAGCGCCCTAAAAATCCAAGTCAACTTATCTCAGATACTATCTAAAATCGATCAAAGTATGTGACGGTGTAAACGACTAGGAGGCATGTTCGCTGACAAAGATACTAGCTGTGTACGGTGCTGAAGGCAAAATTGGCAGTCGATATCTGGAAGCCACACGATCTGTACTCAGAGATATTGCTGGTGTGGCCGAGCAGGTCAACAGTGCGTTCAATATCCAAACCAAGAAAGCTTTCAAGGGGATTTCCCGCGTAGCGGCGCACATTCATCTTCTTCAACATCAGGTGCGTAAAACGGGCCAGCCAGATTGTCCAGTATCATTGAAGCTGATTTGAACAGTGTATCATAATGAGCACCAGGCCGTTGCTATACATTTTCCTACAAGCAAAACTTGATAGGGCTGATAATCAGCTGATGCGGTGGTTGCAATCTGAAAGCATTACTGGCCTTCTCAACATATGTGTTGAGTCTTCGCAGCAGATTATCCGGATTCTCTGGTGCCTACTTGACCAAGGGCTTCTAGGTTTGTGTTCTATTACCCCGGCGTACGTTTTGGGACGTCAATGGAGTCTAACAAGTGGTTTAGAGACATTTCTTCCCTTCGATTTGGATGCCGCGTTCAGCTCAACAATCGCCATACTAATGTCAAAAGCCACCCACTCATCGTTGGTACAAGACCACAGTCACTGGATAGATCGAGCTTACACCATCATTTCTGAGATGAGTAGCCGAGGGAGCGTAATAGCTGTGATGATCAAAGGGGAATTAAAACGTGTGGATTCTAACTTGCAACAACTGCTATCGAGCGGAGATGAATCCGCAGGCTTAACTGGTGATATCTTCCAAGAGAGCGGCTGCTCTGACGAGGCGCCCGTTGAGGATAGCCAGGGGGACTTTGCAAGTAGCATGTTCAACAGCTCAGATCTGCAGTATGAGCTTAGTGCCGAGCAACTCATTTCCGTTGCCGATGCTCTCGATATGGATAGCCTGGCTTGGATGGACTCACATGATGCAGGTTAGCGGTTCAGTGTGCCACATACACAACGGGTCGAGAAATTCAGCAGTATAAAACGAGATAAAGTAACAATATATGCCGTATTGTCTCTTAAGTACTCATTAATAGCACTTAATAATCAGACAATACCAGTGGCAGACTCTAAAATAAGAAGATTAATGCTTGAGTGTATTCATTGTGTTGAGATGTCGGGTCTGGCCTCTTTCATTGCTGTTCTTCGTGTTGTTCTTAACTTTATATTCGAATGCTCTCACCGTATTGGTTGAGTGTCTCAATCTTAATTTCGCCCTCTTGCTAAAATCACTGTCAATGCGTGAGTGAGTCACAAAAACGCTTCTTTGAGTTTTGATGCAGGCGCGTGACCACCGTGAGAGTTTGAGCTCAACCAGCCCGTGGCAAGTGGGCAAAAGACTAGTGCGGATGAGAGAGTTTGGCTTGAAGTAAAAAAAGCAAAAATAAAAGATGCCAGACCCGACATTTCAACGCAATGAATATTCAGATTCTTGCATAATGCATCTGCTTGACTGAAGCAGCCGCTACCACGCACAGACACAAATATTGCCGCCGAAACATCTGCACATTGTCTGCAAGTATGTCTCGTCCCATCCAGCTGTTCAACGCTGCCATGGCCACTGGTGGCTTCGCATCACTGCCTACAGAAGTCTTTTTTACGATCCTGGAGAATGATTGCCTCAGCCTCGAGGACATTGCCTCCCTGCGACTGACGTGCCGTTCATTCAGCGAGTCCAGGACCGATCTGCATTTGAGAACATCTGCCGCACTCCTCATCTTGCCCAACACGTTCGGGAGGTCGAATGGTCGGAACTCGCTTGGTTTCCCGGTTCTTTCAACCGTTTTGTCTGGGCCAGTCCCGAAACACGAGGCCCCGCCGCATTGGAATTACAAGGCATGCTTCACAAAACCGTGACCCTACTAGACGAAGTGTGTGCTGATGCATTCTGGCTTCCTGCCGTCGTAAGGGACAGGGCGGCAGGTGGTGTTTCACCCTTTGCCTCATCCTAAGGAAGTTTCCAATCATGAAGAGGCCTTGGAGGAGTTTACCCCCATTTTCTTCGAATTGCTTTGCCTGCTACCCCATCTTCATACCATGGCTTCACGACCAATGAGCTCTAAGCGCATGATTCGTTCCCCCGAGTACTCGGTCCGAGTTGGCCACATCCAAGCCCAGACGCCTGCGTGGCCGTTATCCGATCGGAATCAAAGCAACGATGGTCTCTTGTTCTTTATATTGCCCGCAATGGCAAATTTACCATTCCCAGTACGAAGGCTTGCTTGGCAAGACGAGCTACAAGGCAATGGCGCCTTCGGGGCTCTTTGGCCAGACGCTTTTACGCACCTTGACACTCTGAGCATATCTCTTTCAAAGGCTTTCTTCTTCCCTCTGCCAACCACGGACACATTGGCTGGTCTCACTGACTGCCTTGAAGCCTGCACCAATGTCCGACATCTCTCTCTAGGCATAGAGAGCGACTGTGGGCCGAGGCCAGAGGTCAAATTCTATAATATCACTACCCGTCTCTTGCGGTTCTCCCCCGAAACCAAGCGGTCAAATTGGAACAGACTGGTATCCCTGAATTTGACCTCTATGATCCTCGAGGACCACATCCTTTTTTCCGTCGTTAGAGAAAATGCGGAGACGCTGCTTTATCTCTATCTCCAAGAATGCAACATCACTCTCGGGAGGCTGAAGGAATTGTCCAAAATACCTGGCTTACACCTGCAATCAGCTCAAATACTCAGCGAGCACCCACAACATCAATGCCATAGAATACCTCAACAAAAGCTACTTGGATTTCTTAAACATCAAAGGATCCCTGAGGGGGAAGTTGTTCAGATGTGTATCTACCGGGACGGAACCCTCGAGATAGATGCTCCTGGTATCCCACAGTCCCCGTACTGCTACGAAACTTCTCCACATCGTATGTTTGACGACGATTGCCCTGAATTCTTCACGAATACATTAGTTATGACGCTTCCAGTAGACTTGCTCGGAGGTACATCTTTTGACGATGATGAGTTTGAGCCGGAAAGGCTCAACAACGCTGATATTGACGCCTCTGACCAAAGTGTAGCTGAGAGGATCCGAAACGGCCCCAAATGGCTCTTGAATCGGTGCTGTGATAATAATATCGCAGGGAAAATATATTTCACGCAAGTTCCGAACTCGCATCCTGGCGGATTTCCCACTGTCGTCTGGAGGTTCACAGACCGCAATGGTGTATCCTACTTTGGCAACGACCCCTGGGAAGGGTTCGAGGATTGGGATCCTAATCAAGGCGATGTGGAGGAGCCTCTGCCTTATAGCGCCGAAATGGACGAGGCCATACAGGCGGCCAGTCTTGGGGCCCGCCAAGGCGTTATATTGTATAATCGGAACGACGCATTTCAAGCGAAAGAATTTATTCATAATGATTTTGATTGTTGAATGCAGTCCTCTGATTGGCTGAGCGTTGCCCACACGTGATGACCGCTATCGTGATCACGGGGTAATCGGGCAGTGATTCAGAGAGAATCCTTCCAACACTGGTTGAAATATTGTTATTATTGTTAGATTCTAATGGGTATAGCTAATAAAAAGTGCTTATTTGGGTGAATGATGTGCAGTCTCATGTGGTTGTGTGTTGTGTTATTGTTACGCAATAACCTCTGTGTCAACATGCTTCCTTGGAGTAGGTGGTCTGACAGGCTATTTTGGTGATGGCCTCAGCGACACCACGCCATTTCACCTACCCTAAACCTCTGGCCCACTCCAGGCAAGACGCGTTGTGATTCCTAGCCCAGCTAAAAATTAAAAAAAAAAAAACATTCATCACCAGAAAAGAAAGATGGCAATATCATGTGCATTTTCTTTCATTAGTACTTAATAAAATCACATAATTTAGTATCATCGTTGTATTGAGAAAATGAGGTCGCCTTGACTTACCCAGACAATGTATATTCATGGGCAGTGAACGGCGGTCTAATGGATCACTTAATTTCATTTATCAAAACTCTCTGATAGTCAAATTCTGATTGAATATCTATGAGCCATGTCTCACACATTCATGGCTCTTCTTGCGTCTTCTTTTCTTAGAATATGCACCAGGCACAGATCACGTGATTAGAAATATCTCGGTTCTACATCCGGCTTCTGTCCGCATTCTTTTTTTTTTTTTGGAAGTCTCATCGTACGCTTTATGATATTCATCTTTGGTGTTATTTGAAGTATTCTGAACCAGAACGCTTCTATATACGCAAAAAATAATTTTCTCGTCATGAAAACCGAAAACCAAGCTCAACCAAATCGAGCAGCGTGTGATCAGTGCAGTATAGCATGACAGACCCGTAGACTCTACCAGCGGTTTGTCGGCCCAGGGGCTAATAACTTCTCAGGGAAACGCAAACTCAAATGCTCCGGAGAATCGACGTCGTGCTCACGTTGCAGAGATCGAAGCATCAGTTGCTCATACTCTACGCAAAAGCCACGCGGTAGGCCTCGGAAAATGTCAGGGGGTTTATTGGGCGTGGAGAACAGGGAGCTGGAAGAGCCCCGTCTATCCCACACGATATCCAATCTACGTCAAGTAGACTCCGGCACTGAACAGCCATTGGGATCATGGATGAGACAGGCTCCTGCCTTCCCGCGCTCGCGCGCTGAGGCAGATTTGCACTTCGGAGAATTACCAGCGGGGTACGTGATAAAATTCTCCGAGGATGAAGAAAAATTGGTATTTCTAACTGGGTGAACAGCATAGACTTGGCTGCTTTTCATAATCAAACACGAATCCAAGAGGATCTAGTAGGCAATAATGCATTCTTGCCCTTACCCTCTCTGCCTTCCACACTATCCACCCACCAGAGCCCCCCTCTCTGTGCGTGTCTACCCTGCCTCCATCAGAGTATAGACACGGTACGCCGACTAGACGGGCCTCAATTTCCATCGAGCCTAAGAGTGCTCCGGCAAGTGGTCGAAGGGGCTTTCCTCGTCGTTGAGTGTCAGATCTGCCCGCTTGACTCCATGACAGCTTCCCAAAATGCCTTACTGGTCTGCACACTGGTCATCTATATTGCCCAAGCCTACAACCAACTTGTAACTTCTATACAAGATGAGGAAGAGCGTTGCGTAAGAGGAGATATCATGAAAACTATGCAGTTGGGAGAATTCGCCTCAGACCTAGGCCTGTGTCCTGATACTCTGGCTTTCGAAACGACGCCGGGAGAGTGGAAGAGTATCGCTATGAAGGCTCTAAAAGCACAGATCCTGGGAGTTTCGGACCAAATGTCCGGCTGTTTTACGCAGTTGCTCAACAGGCTCAAAGAAAGGCAGCAGATTTGGCACAGTGGGCGCTGTTTTGCCTACCGAGAGCCGGATCATGAGAAGGTCGGCCGGCCACCTTGTCTCACACTGATCGGAGAAGCAGAGGACACGATGAAACGATTGAAGCTAGAATCGTGATGAGTGGCTATCGCACACGACTTGGTGCTGCCGTTGTCTCGGAGAAAGATCGAACGTTTGGTTGACTATCATGTTACAGTTATGATTCGATAAAGCTTCAGGAGAACGTGTTGAAGATATGGGAATTCAAGAGAGACATAATGCGACCGGAGCTACAGGTCTAACAATTTACAACTTTGAATGACTCACGATGTATTGTGTACATATTGCGGCTGCTACCTTTAGCATATTCACAAGGTGTATGTTTTTTTAGGAGTACAAACTTGTTGACCCTGAAAAAAGCTTACCATGATGGTAACTACCTGAAAGACGAAGGTTTTGGATCTGCTCCACCACGAGAAATCCTGTTGCCAGCTTGGACCCAGTGTTCAACAATCGCATGAAACATTGAAGCCTCATGAGGCTAGCTTTCATGCAGTGTGGAAATTAGATCGCCGACCATTCTCGGCATAATAAGGACAATTTAAACAACCGAAGAATTTGGCTACTGTCGGCTGACTGCTGGGATTCGGTTGAAGGAGCAAGCACTCGGGATTGAAAGTGAATATGCTTCTCCATGGGTACGGATATGGGCAAATTAACGGTGGCAACCGTATTCCAAGAACCCGTGCGAAAGCTTAGGAGATTGTCAGGGAAGGCGGCCGTGTTGGAGTTCCGGTAAGTTTGAGTCACCGCTCATCGGCGTTGCAATAGTTCCTTGCAAGTATTCCACTTCTAATGCACCATATCACGCGAAAAGGGAGCATCTATAGATTATTTCAGAAATGGCGTGTGGCAACGTTACGTCCTGCGCAAGTAAAGTCGGAAATTCTATATGGGAATTGGTGATGTTCGGAGCATATGGCCTAATCCATACTAACGCCTGGGTGGTACTGCAGGACGAGAGCCGTGCATTATATCCGCCTTTTATTTAACTGTATGCAAGGCCTGTCAGATTGGGGCCCTGTAAGCATCACCTAATGATTTGGCAGCGATCTTCATATTGCTAGACTTACTTGGCATTACGTTCTGAGTGAAACATCTCTGACCTTGTCGGTCGGCTTCCTGGCTAAATTCAATTCTGGTTCCGCTATAGTGGCGACTTGATATCTACCCCGAGATCCCCGACCCTAGTAAATGGGCCAAGGAAATATGCTTCCAAGTCTGTAGTATGTAAGCTTAATTCTTATTCGAAAGGAGTGAACAACTATGTGGTCTCGGTGCCTGAGATATACCAAATCCCAGACCCATTCATCTTGTACCTATTAGTAACTATGTACCTTAAATCTTCAGCGACCGCTCGAAGATAGAAAACTACATTAAATAGGCACATGATGCAATGATTTGGGTCAAAGTAACCTTCAGCTGGGGGACGAGTTATGCAGTAAGACTCTCTTTGATTGGCGACAGGCCACATGCCGAGGCAGGATGAATCCACCGTGAACAGACGAGGACCGCATCGTCGATTAAACCACGATCCGTGAATCTTGGTAATTGCTTACTATAGGCCGAAAGCTGTCTTTTAGCTGGCATCAAGGTGGGGCTTACCAATTCCCGCGCGCATAGTCGGGATCAGGAAGTGTTTTCTCCCAGCCTGATGATTCTGACCAGGTTGACGAGAATCTCATGAGGAATGATGGCGAAAACAATCCACAATATAGATGCTAGGGTAGAGTTCAGATAATTATAAAAGGCGCTGTGTCTCGCTGCTTCGAGTTGTTTGGACTCTCAAGCCAAAGCAACAAGCTCAACCGGACTTGCCATCAGATCCAAAGCTAGCACTTTGAACATTACTCTCTTCCTCGCCAATCTTTGTTCTCTAGATCACAAAAGTCCACCTTCAACATGAAGTTCCTCAGTTTTGCCTTCAACGCCCTGGTTGCGACAGCATTCGCCCAGGAGCAGAACAGTATGCTTCCCGATTCCTAGATATTCTGACCAAACGTTGACCGAGTCTTATAGAGTACACCTACGAGAGGCTGAACAGAAAGGACGCGGTATGTTTATCTCAAAATGTATGAAGCCACATAGGGACGGGGGAGCTAACAAGAGACAGCTCGTGCTTGTTGTTGATATCCAAGATGGCCTTTTCCAGTTGACCAGAGACACCGATCCTCATCTTTACAAGAGCTCTGCACTTGCACACGCAGAGCTTGGCAAGACGTTCGACATCCCTGTCATCCTGACAACTTCAACTGAGACTGGTATGTACTCATTAGCACCGATGCCGCACAGCGGCCTTGAACACATTATAACTTTATGTCTCGTCAAATTTCTTCGGTTCTAATTCATTTTGCTTAGGTCCCACCGGCCCTCTCTTCCAGGAGATCGCCGACCAGTACCCCGAGGCTCCTTTTATCAAGCGAGAGGGAGAGATTAATGCTTGGGATAATGCCGCTTTCCGCGAAGCAGTCACCGCCGCCAACAAGACTCAGATCATCATTGCAGGTATCGCCACCGACGTCTGCACAACGTTCTTGGCCCTCTCTCTCCGCGAAGCTGGCTACTCTGTTTGGGCAAACGGTGAGGCCTCAGGAACCTACTCTACCTTCGTCCGCGACATCTCCAACACTCGCATGGAGAAGGCAGGCATTCAGGTCGTCAGCTTCTTTGCCATTGTCGGTGAATTGATGCGTGACCACCGCGGCGACGAGAACGGCAACTACGGCGCCGAGAAGGTCAACCCCCTGTTCACCAAGTTTTTCCCCCTCCTTGGTATACTTACTCGCGGACACAACGCTGCCGTTAGAAACGGAACAATTTCCCCTGTCTAAGCCGCGCATGTGTAAATCTGGCTGATGGGCCGTTTCTTTTATCTGCGACAATCGAGTTCTTGCCAAGCATGCAGTGGAAGAAGGCGGTCAACAGCTATACACGCCTGGGTGCTGGGCCTTAGGGGATGATGGGGATGTCGAGGGAACAGAATTAGATCTGGAGGATTAGAGAGATGGGTATTAGTGGTGGAATCATTCGTTTAGATTCAGGTTGACAAAGTAGATAGTGCAGTTTAGATAGATATATATGCTCGGGGCGAGGAGAAACGCTGAAAAGATAAGTCCCTGCAAGTTTACATATCCCTCCTTGTCTTAGATGAGTGACGTGTTTATTCTTCTTAGAAATGCGGGACTGTTAAAAGGTTTCACGCCAAAATCATCAATTCGCCTACGAGGAAGTTGAAAACAGCTCTTAGTGAGACACACAAGACTTCGCAATTTCTTCTTTCTAAAGTACACCTTAAAAACATCATAGCGATATATACCTGATAAAGCTTTCCATGTTTCCGAGATTTTCAATTGATACTCTTCTTAGTCAAATGGTCGCTGATATCTAAGCCGGAGCGTACCTAATTCATCTACCGCAAGGCCTCGCGCAGCTCGTCAGGCAAACCCAAGCGGACCAGCGGCATATAGTGCTGGCTTCCGTGAACATCCCCATCACCTACTGCACCACTCACAGATCTCTTTCCTGCAGCCATCCGTGGAATAGTAGCCTTGAAAGCTCTGGCTTGGTCAAAGAAGCCGGCGTAAATGACGTCCTCCTCAGGAATAGAATATAGATCTGAGATGACCTTTTTACTCAGAATCTCGGATTTCTTTATGCTGAGGTATTCTTCCTCCGAGTCAAAAAGGAGATCAAAGGTTATTTCGTACGGGCCGGAGTTCTTGGATCTAACTACCTTGGCAACTTCACCTAGAGTTGTAGGCGATTGGACACGTTTGTCTGTGGTCTTGGTAGGCACTGATGTCTGCTTGCCGGTTGTAACACCCTCGCTAGGGATACCGTTTGAGAACTTGAGATCATTTCTGACCCTTGAAGGTAGCGGGGGCGGGCGAGAGTTGAGTCCCAATGTTATCTGATCCCTGCGGAAGAGCGCTGGGCCTTGGGAACTGCCATCCTGAAATGAGCCCTCTTCTCCTGACTCGAGTTCCATCAAGTGGTAGACGCAAAACTGCGGACATGGACCACACTCGATATCTGTCTTCCCGGCGATGCCGAAGGCCATGTTGCCGCTAGTTGCCTTCTGTCCTGGATAAGGAGCGTGGATGCATGCGACTCTGGCCGTTGACACGACCGTCGTCGCAACGTCCTGACTATCCGCAAGAGCCTCGCCAACTATACAAACCGACCCTGCGTTGGCAGGGTCAGTTGCTCCGATTTTGTGGAAAAAGAGTGACCAGTTCTCGGTAGTATGAGCATGCTGTTTTGTAACATAGGCACGAATATCGTCAAGAAGATGGTCTAGTTGACTTGTAAGAGCAGGATCATGGTACGCTCCGACAAACATTGATCTGTATCCAGCAACCTTTGCACCTTCCAGCTTTACATTATAATTGTTTCCAGTCAATTTGATAGGCTTGAATGTTGCACCGCGGCACCGAACCGTCTTCTGATCTGCCAGAGCTTCATAGCTGGTGTTGCTCAAATCCAAGCAGCCACCAGGACCGTAGAGGAGATCCGGACGTGATTTCTCATACAAGGTATGAGCTGCAACCGCCAGTGGAGTGCATCTGACACCTTTTTCCAACGGCGTTACATCGAAAGTGCCGTCATCGTATACTGTCGACCTCGCGGCCCGAGTCTTGGGGGTCGCGCACTGGGCACCGCACTCCATGATCTTTCCCATGTGGAAGAAGCCACCTAGAACACTTTCGGGTAGAGTTTCCAGTGGAACACTCCCTGAAGCTGTCTTCATGACCATATAGGAACAGTAGGCCACAAAGGGGCTGGGGTCATAGGCTCTGCCACCCACGATGACGTTGAAGTCGGGGTCTGCGAACATGGCATCGAGGAAAGGCTCGGCTCCGACTTGAGCAACAATTCTCACAGCATCTTCAACGTCGCGCTCTGTTAGCGTAGGGACCGCAGGACCACATCTATGATTGTTAGCTTAGTTTCATCAATGAAACTCGGGCTATCAAGGCTTACCCAGTTACTTTCCCACTAGCTAGACGCTCTTTGATTATCTCCTTGGGAACTTCGGTTTTGATAGTTATGATTTTGGTTTTGTATTTCCTGTGTCCAAATGTTAAAGACTTTCTTTTAATGCGGGGTTTCAAGTCTTACTCCTTGGACTGGTCAACCACTTCACTAATGACTTTTGTCATTTCATTTACATGGTCATCAGCCCCATCTCCCCCTGCTGAGCTGAAGAGAAGCGGGGTGTTATATTTATTGCAAAGCTTAAGAAGCTTTGTCAAGTCTCTCACGTAGTTAGATCTGGGAGCTGCCATCTGACCCAGGGCCAGTCTCGCAGGGCCAGAATCTGTAGACCCGGCATCCAAGATGATAGCGATAGGCGTATCGCTTTCTTGCCGGAGTTTGGCTAGCTCTGCGTCGCATACGTCCTCATCTAAACCGTAGCCGAGGCAACCGACAGGTGTCACGATATGGCACAGAGCAGAGGGCTCTTGGAGAGCTGAAGGATTCATGGTGATTGGGGCAATGAATGAGTCAGGATGGGATTATGGTAAATGGAGTGGGCTTTTTGATTGAATACAGGACGTAGGGCTAATGCCTTCCCCAGAATCGTAGATTGCAGGTGAGGTGGCTTTTATATAGCATTGTAGCGGGGAAATCTCGCCGTCGGGACAAGCTGATCTGTCCGTTACATGTGTTCTACCTCTGCAAGATATCCTTGTAAATTGGCCAAGAGTGTGAGTCCAAGCCTATCACATTGTTTGGTATCTCCAAGGGACCGTTTAACCTGTAGCCTAGCTTCATCAAACCTGTCAAGACAACCTCGACTGAAGAGTTCTTGAGAAAGCTATCCTTTCGGATCTTTGTGCAATGTCCGTTCTCCGTGTACGGGGTTCATGGCGGCATCCCGATACTGAACATCATCACAATCATGTGAGGTTTAGCGTGGGACTCGCCCGGACCGGAGTTTATGACAAAACTCCAGTTCTCCAACTGACTTTTGAAAAGACTCCCATAAATCCCTTTCCTTGCAATTGCACCCTTGCTATTAGAAGGTGGTATCGAAGTTGAGTAGATCTGCCGAGCTGATTAATATGTTGTATGTAGATACGTTGGTGTTGATCTTCGTCGTTAACGAGTTCCCCGTGGCTTAGCAGCAAAACTCTATGATTAGGAATTTGAGAAAGAAAAGTCAGTTGAGCCCACTCTATGCTGAATAGTAAGTTGACTAATAGTTCAGACTGACATAAAATTATCCAGAACTGGGTCCTTCTCTTCTTGGCCGAGGCTATTGGGGAGGGGAAAGATCCCGTGAACGCATCTAGTGGTGTGAACATCGGCAAGTGGGTTGAGTTAACGCAATGCCGAGGAAGGATGGGGCCAGATGGATACATGTTCCAGGTACTTCTTGAAAATGGTGAAAATTATTCGTTTCACAGCCTATGGCCTAAGTCAAAAGACTGGAAGCCAGCCGTAACCCTGAGCATGTGGAGTACCAGAGCAGTACAGCCACCTCCATGAAACCTCATTTTGGTTAGACGTCTCGCCCGGCTCTCGTACCCAGAAGTGAATTAATCCAACTGCCACGGGAACTTGTCGTTGTTAAGCATTGTGAACTCAAGCTTGACGGGAGCTAAGGGCTGATCCATGGAGCATTAACCCCCTCCACGCGTTTTCCTTCCACTCCAGGCTAGAGGAACCATGCAAGTGTCACATTCCCGCAAACACATGCCAGTCTCGTATTCGAAAGTCTGATCCAAGTTCCCTATTTATTGTCGATTGCCATCTCGATGTGTGTTGAAGCCACCCAAGGATAAACCTGCCTGGAATAGTATTTGCCTTCACCCTTATGCGCCTTATTCAAGTACCATATCCACTGTACTGAAGTTGATTCGTCCTCCTGGCTCCAATATCCACAACGGCACACTCGTGTTCAACCTATCAAGGACAAAAATGCGGCTACCTGGAAAGAAAAACGTTGCGGTCGAGCTCGAAGATATACATGTGACAAGTGGACGTCTGACCAAGATGTCTGCCGATAAAAAGCCCGACGAGGAAGTCGATGTTGCTTATGCAGATGCAGATGAAGAACTGCGTCTTTGGGCAGGCATCAAACGCTTCCCGAAGTTAGTGTCCTTCTGCCTCGGGCTTTCCGTCGCTGTGATCGCCCTAGGTTATGACTCTATGATCTTGGGCAACATCACGGGTGTCGATAGCTTTCAAGCCGACTATGGATCCCTATATGAGGGGCAAGTCATCATCCCGGCGATCTGGCTCTCGCTCTGGACCGGCCTTGGTAGGCTTGGCAACGCCCTGGGCAGCGTTGTTGGAGGATGGTCGCAAGACTTCATGGGCAGAAAGCGAAGTTTCATGCTGGGAAGCATCGTCTTGATTGTTTCCGTCATAATCAGCTTTCTATCATTCATCCCGCCAGATGTCAACACCAAACGCGGTGTTTTCCTGGCTGGCAAAGTCCTTCAGGGTGTCTCCGTGGGTCTTCTCAAGATCACGGCCATGACATACATTTCTGAAAACGCCCCAGTATCGCTGCGCGGACCAGGAATGGCTCTCTTTCCCACATTCAATCTCCTCGGCCAGCTACTTGGAACAGTAGTTGTATTCGCAATGAACAGTGTTCCGGGTAAAGCAGGATACATGGGAGCATTCGGGTCCCAAATCCCTCTTGCCCTTGTCCCCTTTGTGGTGTCTTTGATCATGCCGGACAGCCCCGTGTATCTACTTCGCCAAGGGAAGGAGGAGGCTAGTTTGCGTGCTGCGATTCGTCTCTACGAACCACGTGTCTCAGCTGCCACAATGATTGAAAGAGCGAAAGCCGGAATACTGAATGAGGTGAATCCCGAAGCTGGTGCCACTTATCTGGACACCTTTCGTCCCCAACATAGAAGGCGGACATGGATTGTCTTCTTCGCCAACCTGTTTCCGACCGCATTTGGCTTGGACCATCTCGGCAGCATCAGCTATTTCCTTCAGTTACTCGGCATGGAGTCTAATGTCAGTCTTATCTTCATGATCAGCGGTGTTGTTGTTGGAATCGTAGCCAATGGCATGGGCATCTGGATTCTCACCCGTGTCGGGCGCCGCACAGCAGTGCTCGTAAGCTTGTCTCTGGCCTCCATACTATGGGGCGCCATGGGCGTATCTGGCTCCTTCAACGGCGTGTTGATCGCGTATATCTCTGCTGCTGCCATGGCTCTCGTTATATTCGTCTCTGGTTTGGGAAGCTGGCCGGCAGGATATGCGATCATTGGAGAGACTTCGGCGCTCGAGGTTAGAGCCAAAACTCAGGCTGTGGGTGGAGTGTCTCAGCAAGCATCCTCTACGGCGATGAGCATGATATTACCGTACATATTCAACCCCGATGCTGGAAATTCAGGGGCCAAACTTGGTTGGCTATTTTGTGGGCTTTGCGCCATAACAGCTATAGCCGCGTGGTACATTATCCCGGAGATGAAAGGAAGAAGCCAGGAGGAGATTGACCGTATGTTTGGATTGGAGCTCCCTGCCCGCAAGTTCAAGTACTGGGATGGAGAGAGGATTCATCGGGATTAAAGACCACGCGTCGTGTACTGCCACAGTGAAGTAGTGGATGGGAACAAACGTTGACTTCAAGCAGTCGATGGACGCCAACGGCTAGGATATAGGCGGACTGTTGCCTCTTGTGAAAGGCTTGGACTAAGAACTTTGTTATTACTCTACCCCTGGGTGCGTTCACCAGAGTCTACGTAGGGAGATTTTTCATGAAATTTGATAATCCAATTCCACTTATGTAGAAAGGTTGTCGACAAGGTTCTTAATCCCAAAAAAAAATTCATAAGCCAAATCCCAACCGTTGAGCCGCTACTTTGACATTTATTGATGCATGCATTGATTCGTAACAAGATCTTACCTCAGTGATGGGTGCTAGTGGGCTGGCTCAAACACCGCAAACCACTCGTGTTCTATCATAAATATTTCATTCCTTATCTATTCCAATGTGATTAATACAAACAAAAGGATGCATTGACATAAGATCTTACATATTAAGGGGTTTATGTCGTCTCGCCCCGCTGTTCAGGGTCCAGCCTTGGTCAGTGTTTCAACCAAAGCTAAGCTCATGACAGGAATTACTTGACCAACATTTACCCGCAGTAGGACTACTACGTAAACCTTGTGGTTTATAGGCGCTTAGGTGATTTCGTTTTCCGGGTGCATTTGGATTGGTGGTTGAAGAAACTCCCTAGCATACACGTCATAACGAAGTCGCCACATCACGGCTTTACTTGGAATTGATTCAGCTAAGGCCGTTAGCCCCTCATGGAGATAGGGGAACTGGCAGGATAAGGAAGCTGAGAACCTTGTTATTTTCTAGGGACTGCCGTTGATTGAAGAACTTATTAAGCCCGAGACTTCAAATATGCCCAGGTCCCGGCTTACTACGTGGAATTACCAACAATCCCTGCTCATCTCACGTTTTGCCAGCAATAAATCTTACTCTACAGGGGAAAGATTTGCTCTGTCGGCGTCGGTCCCATAGGGCTATAGATTTCTCCGATACGGGCCGGCCCTCGGCACCGAATACTGATGAGAACATTGCCGACTTACTCCGCGCTCTTCCCGACGAGATATTCTCACCCACGATTGTAAGTGTGTTTGCGTCGTGGCCCCCCCTGTTTTGCATCAGCCTCACAGAAGGATCGTCGTAGAATAAACCTTGCAATCATGGCCTTGTTTCGTGCCTGTTCCCTTAACCCTTGCATAATGGTGTCTGTCCGAGTAAAACCATTGCGTTGCGTTCGGTTCCGTGCATGCCGGTGCTAGGGGTTAAAAAGAAAACATAAAGGACGACGGATCGCTAAATCTTGGTTGCAAAGGAATCTTTCAGAACAGTCTTAAGTTCTTGGATTGGTGCGTGTATTGCTTTGGTTCTAAATCGAATTCTGGTCTCTCTTTTCTCGCTTTCTTCTCGGCCACATCAAAATGCAGTTCAAGAACATTGCGGCCACGCTGGGCCTCCTTTGCTTCTCGGTGCCATCCGTGGCACTTCCTCAGACAAATGTCCGAGACTCTTCTCCAGAGACCCTGTTCAGCGACATGCAGAAGACTTACGAAACCAATATCGACAAAATTCTGAGTTCTAATGCATCCGCTGCATCATGCAGCAGACATTCCGTTAGTGTACGCCGTTCCTGGGATGTGCTGAGCAGAAGTGAGAGGCTGGAATATATCCGTGCCGTAAAGTGTCTGCACAAACTTCCATCCAAGGTCGACAAAACCCTCGCACCCAGTGCCAGAGTTAGGGCAGACGACTTCACCTACCAGCACATGAATCAGACAAACTTTGCGCATGCCTCGGGTATTTTCCTCCCATGGCATAGGCAATTCATGTATGTGTATGAGCAATCTCTACGGGAAGAGTGCGGCTACAAGGGCTCTGTTCCCTACTGGGACTGGATGAAGTACAGTGATGATCAGTCCAAGGCTTCTATTTTTGAGGATGGCCCAGCCGGGTTTGGAGGCAACGGAAAGGCCATTTCTCACCCAGACACCAATCAAAGTCTTCCAGATGTCCCTGGACCCTTCTATATCACCCGTAAGGCTGGTACTGGTGGTGGCTGTGTTACAACCGGCGCCTTCGCCAACCTATCCGTCAACCTCGGCCCTGTGGTTCCAGGAAACAATTCCGCCGATGATCCATATGGGGTCAAGAACCCACCGCACTGTCTATCCCGCGACTTTAATCAAGCATACAGTGAAACAGGCCTCACCTACACTGCAGCTCTCTCACTTCTCCAGTCTGCGGACTACAATGCCTTCTTTGGAAACATTGATCATCTCGTCCATGGTTTCGCTCACCAGTACCTCGGAGGTGATGGCTATGACTTCTACAGCTCCCCAAGCGACCCAATCTTCTTTCTTCTCCACAGCCAAATCGACCGTCTTTGGACTATTTGGCAAGGATTGGATCAGGATGTCCGAAAGAGCCAGGTAGGCGGAACAGAGACGTTTGCGAACCGGCCCCCTTCTGCGAACACAACTCTAGACACAACCCTCCGCATGTCTGAGATTCTGGGTGGGGATGTAAACTTTGGTCATACAGTCTCTACTGTCGAGAACGATTACTGCTACATCTATGCTTAAATTTGCACTCTTGTTGGTTTGCGGTTGGGTTAGACGGATCTTTACTTTGTAGCAATATGTCAAATATCTGTAGTATGGACGGAACCAACCTGGTCGCTTTTTTATCCATCGGCTTGATATAAATTGATTTCTACCATGTTCCCACCAGGAGGGCAATATTTACCACGTAGTCAGGAGTATAGAAGTACCATATATTTCTGTCCCCGATCGACAAAATACGGCGCCCTGACCTCATCCATGAAGTACAACCAAAGAAGGTGAGTGATCTAGAGTAAGACCTCAACGAGCATGGACTTTTTATCTGTCGAGAGCCTAGACACCGCCGACGTAAGTGCTTCCTTCAGCTGTCCCACCGTCTGGACTCTAACACCTTTCATCCAACCTTGTGTATCTTTTATCTCATTTGTCCAGCCGACCTCCGATCCCGCGGCAGCCTCTGCTAATGCGGCGTAGTTGGGACTTGGTCGGATCGCAGTGTTGATTTCGTCATCGGTAGCAGACGCGCCTAGACCGTCAGGATAGACAAGCTTCACAGAGTTCCGGGGTGCTTTCCAGCCTAGATGGTTCATTATTTGTCAGTATAGCTACATTTCTCGGTTCTTATTCAAGTTGATTGGCTTTTTCTCTCACCTCCATTGTTTAATACTACCGTCAAGAGCGGAATTTGATATTTGGAGCCCACCCACAGCGCGCTTGACGGCGCCGCACACATAAAGCTCCCGTCGCCGACGACCTGGCACACTAGACCTCCTTCCTGCCGGCTGTCTTGTGCATTCTGGGCCTCTGTATCTGTCAGAGCCATTCTGACACCGAGAGCTGCCCCGTTGCTCCATCCGATTCCCGTTGCGCCGCAGTTGATCCAGCTCCCTGGCCGTGTTGGCTGGAGTTGATCGTGGAGAGCATGGGAGGCTGTGACCGCTTCGATGACAAAGTTGGTGGATTCCGGAAGCACGGACTTGAGAAGTTGGCCAATGTTGTCGAAATCCAAGGGCTCATCATCGCCTAGGCGAGGTCGAGAAGCAATTTCATCCATTCGTGCTTGGTGTGCCTTGGCACGTGCATCTCGACGAGCAATGTAGACCGGATTCTGGAGCTTTTCTGCAAGCGCAGTGTCGGTCTTAATGTGATTGACTAATTGCGTGAGCGCTGTGAAGCTATCAGCCTTCCAGCGGCCATTGGCAGGGTAGAAAGACACCGGGAAATGCTGTTTAAGGGGGTCAATGTCAATGTGATAGATGCGGGCATCAGCAGACGGTGGATTTCGTGATGGGATCCAGGGAATGTCACAGTCCAGAAGCAGGATGACATCGGCGTCCTGAGTACACTCGTCTACACCGAGGCGGAAGCCCTCAGAAGCGATGTTGGAGAACGGAAAGTTGACGTCGCTACCGCCTGTGTCATGAACACGAATCCCAGGAATAGAGTCCGCGAGGGCTGTGAGAAGTTCGGGTGTTCGACGGTCGCGGCCTGAATAGCCTGTGATGATGAGAGGACGTTCGGCGTTTACCAATGCCTCCGCAACATTGCGAACAGCGTCGGGAGGTATAGCAGTCTCTCCGATCGGAACCCACCTGCTCTGGTCCAAGGAGTATGCTTTAATCTCCTGGGCTAGGACCTCTCTGGCGCAGACTAGATACGACGGACCCTTCGGCGAGCTGCTTGCAAACTGGAGTGCGCGAGCCATATTTTGCTTGACGTTAAGCCCCGTGTGGATCTCACCTGTATATCTACAGTATTGTCTAACGAGTCCTTTCTGGTCCGGTGCGTCCTGCAGCCAGTTGCTATACTCTGTCCGCGACCCAGGCAGCTCCCCAGACTCAGTATAAGGAACCAGGCCCGCAAGGATGAGAACGGGGACGCGGCCGACACTTGCATTGTGCAGACCGTGGGCGAGCGCCTGAGTGCCAACATCAACATGGACGAGGACGGCTTGAGGTTTGCCTGTGACTCGCGCATAGCCATCGGCCATGGAGATAGCGGTTACCTCAGAGGGGCAGGTAATAAGCTTAGGCCATGAGTCAGGTCGCTCTCGCTTGCCTTTGACAATTGCCTCGAGGATGGAAGGATGATCCGATCCGACATTGACAAAACATGTTGTGATACCGGCCTATTGATCGTTTAGTTTATTGATATGACCATTAAGCGGCAATGGGTGAGATGGTTGAAATAAAAATACCTCCCAGAGTGAGTCAAACAGGGCATATGCGGTGGTGTACCTGCTTTCTGTTGGTTTCTTCCTTCTTTTTCTTATGATTAAATAGCCCATCGGAAAGGAGTTTACCTACGTGTCGGGACTGCTAGAAGATGTTGGATTCGCCGTCGTGGGAGCATGCGAGGATTGTATGCTGCGGGTGGTAGAAAGGGGCACAGCCGGCGTCGGAGCAGAACCACGGGGGCTTCGGAGAAAAGAAGACAGAGCTAACACTTGCGGACGCAGATGACTTTGGACAGAGAAAGCTCGCCTTGCTATTGTGGCATGGCTTGCCCGCGACACCCAGCGTACCAGAGGCATAGTGAATGTGATCTATCGTATGTGTGTATGAGGAAGCACAGAGTAGCTGGCACGATTGTGAAGAAAAGAAAAGGAATGGCAGCACCCACTTGAGTACGCAACAATCGGCCAACTACCGGCCCTTCACCCATGTCGTCGTCGGGGTAATGGCACTCTGCTTACGGAGGATTCACACACGAACCGCAGTGGGGATAGACGCCGGCCTAACAACATCTTTCAATCATCAATCACACAAAGAGCAAGCAAGCAATATTTGAGAGGTATGTCTGAATTCAAGACCCAGATTTCGAGGTTAAGGTAGAATATGCTTGGCCCCCTTTGGTTGCCTTGCAAGGCTGTCTCAAGGAATACATAGCAGTCTTACGTCATGGGATTATTACGGTGTTTATAAATTTTTGTGATTAACTATTTATTAACGCTAACATCTTCTTTTGATTTAATTATCTACACTCGATCAAAAGCCTGAGGAGCAACGCCAAACTGTCACGTCAGCGTTTCGCCAGATGCGGAGTACCTTTTGTGTTTGCATGACGACTACCAAACAAACATACAAGATCCGTGTCCATCGATTGGTTAATATTGTGCGTTGGGCAGTGAGGCAATTGACCGTGCATCACCTGCGGGGTTGCCGCCTGAATGTACACAACAGAAGCACCAACCTTTCATTCTTCATCACGTATGAAGACTAGCGACGAGGCAGTCCACGCGCAACTTAATTTTCAACTTACCTTGGCCCACTTACTTGTATCTTACCATGGCTTTCAACTTCAGCGGTGCCACGCCAAGCACCTCGGCTGCCCCCTTGGGCGTTGGAGGAAATCTCAAAACAACCACGAATGAACCAGTCAGAGAACTCACGAGCTCTCTCCAAAGGTTGGAAGTATGGTTTGGATGCATTGTGTTCACATGGTTAACTGTCAAAATAGACTCTTTTCAAGCGGGTCTTACTCCGATCTTACCATCCTATGTGGTGAGAGCCAGTACAAGGTGCACAGAGCGCTCGTCTGTTCTCGCTCTAGCTTTTTCGAGGCAGCGTGCCGCAATAGTTTTAAGGTACTCTCTTCGTCATAGTCATCACTTCAGTCCGCTATAGCTCTTCGAAGTCTCTGATCATTGTTTCGATGAATAGGAAGCTGAGACCGGCGAAATCTCCCTTCCCGATGACGACCCGGTCGCAGTTAAGATGATGATCCGATACTTCTATTTTCTCGATTACTCACCTCCAGAAACAAAGCCCTCGAGCCATCAAACTCCCACATACTTCAACCTGGAGGGCCATGGCCAAGGGGCCATTTTTGGTGAAGCGATCTACCCTTCCACCGCACAGGGTACAAAGAAATTCAACAACAAGAATAAACCTAAGGCTGAGCCTACATTTTTCACGACCGCAACCACTTCTTCCCATCTTGTCTTGCATGCTCAAGTCTACGCCTTGGCAGAGAAATACGACATCTCCGGCTTGAAGGCACTAGCAGCGACAAAATTTAAGAGCGAAGTGGACTCACACTGGCATTCTGAGGATTTTATGCTGGCTTTGCAGGAGGTTTATAACTCCACGGTCGATCATGATCGCGTGCTTCGAGACATCGTCGTTCAGGCGGTCAGCGGACATTTACAGTTGTTGGAAAGTAAGCCTTTCCAACAGGCTATCAAGGGACTTGATTTCTCTTATGATCTCCTCCTCAGGCTTAAAATGGGCGGACGAATTTGAGCATTTCGCTCCGAAGGCGTCAGCATACTATGATAGATACATGCCTAAGTTGTTGTTTCATGCCATTGAGTTTGGTTATCCGCTCAATTCTGCCTGTCGCGAGTTGTTCCCGGCCACGTTTCTATTGCAGATCCGTCCGACTCCACGGAAGCTAGTGTTTCTGTTCAGGCATCCAGCGGACCGTGAAATTTGCCTTTTCTTTTGTAAATGCACAAATGTTCCTCCTATGCCAGAATCTGTATGTTCGATCCTACTTCATTCATGAAAGCCATTCCTTCCTTTCGATATGTATCGTCTTCCACATAACTTCCGTTGGCATCCAGAACAATATTCTGCGGCTTGGACAGATCGTACTTCGGCCACACCGGTAGCGTACTGTCGTTGCCACGGCTCGAGTTGGGGTCGTGATCGTAAACAAATGATATGTATGCCCTTCCGATATTCTCGCTCAATGCTTTGTAGCGCTCATAGGCCGGCATCGGGCCAAGTCCACCTGAGATATTTTGGAAGCTGAATGCCACGTTTTGAAAGTGGCCAACGCCCCTATCCCACCTTTCGCCATACTGTAAGCTCACACGGCATGTGTTAGTTAACGTCCAGAGAGACAGTTTTGCATGGTACTGACCCCTAAAGTATCAAATCGATAGCTGTAAACGGGAGCTCCAGCAGATGTCACTTGCTCTGCCACGCGACGTCGTCCAGCAATCATGACCATATCCCCCTCGATGGCGGCGGCACGGCGCCATAACAGTCCCTGATCAGGGAATACAACAGGGTCTGGGTTTAGATAATATGGAGGCTGAGATTTAGGATTGTCTGGATAAAGTTCCAACAATATTTTGGCCATCGGTGGGCGAATATTGTATCTCCGGTAGTCGAGCATGCTCTTTACAAGCTCCTCTTCGGTATTGATACCTCTCGTTGCAAACGTACAACCTTCGTCGCTGTTGGTACCTATGATTACGGGGATGCGTAGGAATTTGCCCTCCTTAGCAAGAACGCTTGGTAAATCGCTCCATAATTCTCCGTCCACCACTGAGCCACTCTATATCAGCTTCCGTGGTGTTACAGCAGTTGGCTGGGCTTTATACTCACTGGGGTTCCATATGAGACTAGTTGTTTTAGCCGCTTGCCATTTTTCGAATGGTACAGCTCTGAGACAACTTATCATGGAGCTAGAGCCAGTACATCCAACCTGTGCGGCGAGAGACTCCACGAAGCCAGCGTAAAATGAAAGATCGTGCATCGGAGCTCCAGATGGCCCACCAGATTCCATAATAGCAGCGTGGTAAAGCCCGTCATCTCGACCATCATACGTAAACATGTGCAGCCCAATAGCCTGTGCCCCAGCAGCTGCAAGAAGAAAGGTGAGCTTAACTCAGGACAGAGGGAGCGAGTACGCACATTCACCCCATATCGTAACTCGGTTTGGATCACCGCCAAACGAAGCGATGTTCTCTTGGATCCACATGAGTGCGAGCCTTTGATCGTGCATTCCAGCGTTGGTGCTTCCTTCTTTCAAAAGCTCTGGTGATTGCATGAAGCCGAGTTTGTTGATCCGATAGTTGAATGAAACTATTCTGTTAGTTATCAACTGCCAGCAATAAAGGTTACAGAAACCTACCTCCAACAATAGGCTTGCCAATCTCCTGGCTGAGTTGGACAATCCCGGACATGTTGTAACGAGGGTCGGAGGTTCCACCACCATCAAAGCCACCCCCATATATCCAAACTAAAACCGGAAGGTTGGTGTCTGATGAAATACCAGCGGGGCGTACAACTAAGCAGACCGTCAGCCATGAAGATTAAGTGCTCTTTTTACAATTTAGGACTAACCATTAATGCTCAAACAGTCCTCAGAAATATCGTTCCCAAATACATTCGGTGGGGAGTATTGCGGGCACTACTGCGAGGTCAGTCTCACAAAGTCTCTTCAAGGTGATAAGTTTACATTCTACTTACGGCAGGCCCGTAGTTAGTGGCATTTCGAGTTTCTGAAAAGGCTTGGTCGATATAATGAGGGCGCTGGAAACGTCTCTCCGCTGTTGGAGGTAATGCAAATGGCATTCCTAAGAACGCATCTTGATTGAAACTTTCGAGGTGCTTCCCCACATAGGTTCCGTTCACGGTAGAAACTGTTGGGTTTCTGGATAGACATGTCGCTCGAGAAGCAGGAAGTAGAAGTCCAAGGAGACCTGTGACAAAATGTGAATACTTCATCGTCACAGTTTTTTTCGACTCCTCTCAAACACTGCCACAGATCGGATATTCCCTTCTACTCTTCATGAATGTATTTATATCTACTAAGTCTTGTGCCTTTTTGATCCCTAGGATTTCCAATCGCATTTACCCGAATATTTTGAGTTAATGGACCAGCAGACAATCTAGGATAATAGCCTAGTTTCGAAATAATACCGTGATACTGACAGGCTGATCTTATCCACGCAATTATCCTCTTTACATTTTTCTCCACCAATCAAGTCAGTTCGTCAGCAACGCTTTGCATTCAAGCCGATGGAGAACTATGAATGCGCAATGTTATATAGGGTCGTCACTAAATTAAAATGATTCTTCAAAAGTTATGTTTGTCAAATCGTAATCCTCAATCAAGCGAATATGTCCCAACCGATCCCCATTCCTGTGAAGCTAAGATATATTCCCCTTCGAACACAATTCGATCCACACCATCCTGTTTCTGGCTACAGGTCAACTTCACCCTGTCCAAAGGCTCTCCGAGCAAGTCCATCCCAATTCCATGAATCCTGTAGCTTTCAGGTATAGTCGGAAACACTAAATCCTGTTCTTGCGGACATTGTAAGAGCGGAAAATTGTCTAGGTCGCCCAGTAACCCTTCGTAAAAATCTCTCTCCTCTAGCTCGATCACCTTGCGAACCACGCAAACGGACAGCTTAGAGTCCCAGATACCTTCCTGATGTTCCGAGGTTGAAAGAAGGCGCATCGCTTGGGTTCGGATCTGGTGTACGCGGCATTTGGTAGCGGTATAAAAGAGAGGAGCAATCCAACCCATGTCAATGATGGATAAGTGTCTGAGGACGAAGTTACCCATCGAGACCTGCTTTTCATTCAATTCCGGTGCTGTTTTCAACAAAGTTATGCCATTTTGTAAGAGAGTGAGGAACTTGGTTGTTTGCAGATCGTACGCTAACTCGTCGTAGGGAGATATGCAGGTAGCGGTCATGATTTCTGCCATGGCGTAGTATTGAAGGATGAGCAAATATAATTTGGTTCGCTGATCACCTCTTGGAGTTTCCGTTCGGATAATATCCAGCGAGAGATTGTACATCTTGAGCCATTGTGATAGGTCGGCGCGGTTGCGTTCCTGGCGCTCTTTCAAGGCATCAGTGCTGATCAAAAGCGCACTTCCGGCGTCGTGCTCCGCCCGGGCCTGATTCGAAATCTCAATGGCCCGATCGAGAAGCTGTCCCAGATATTGCCAGGCCTCGTTGATTGAGTGAAAGCGAGTGCTGGGTAGCGGCCCGCGTAGGCTCACCGGAAAATCAAAGCAGAGTCGTGGACGGCCTTGGTGGAATAGCCTGAACTGCAATCTCAGCCTCGTAAACATTTCGGCAATCCAACCATCCAGCATCTTGGCTCGAGGTTGATGTACGGCAGGCACTGCTGATAGCGACTCTTGAGCTTCGGCCAGGACCTTCAGTCCATTATCCATGTGGCGGTGTGCAGTCTCAAAATGACCACGAAGGAGCTCTAAACAGATGAAGATGACGCATCCTATCAGCGAAACATGAAGAGAGGCTCTCCCCGTGGCGTTAAGGTGGTACTGAAGGTGGCGGATGGCCTTGGTATAGTGCCGCAGAGTGATGACCTCTTGCGAGGATGCGGTGTTGTCGCTCAGGGTGGGTGTTCGGTGCACTGTGCCCAGTGCAAGGACAGCATGGAGAACAGAGGGCTCAGTCGAGGCCGCCTGGAAGACCAGTTTCGTCCAAAATCCGGTGACAAATGTGCCCGGCAACTTGGGGGCGGAGCGATGCCTGAACCACTCGAACCGAGCTTTATCACCTGCATCGAGGAGGACGGGATAATGGCATGCCGGTGAGTATAGGGGGCCAATGATAGATCCATAACCGGGCTTGCCGTTTCCTGGCAGAGGAGGTAGGCGTGAGCGAGGATTTATCGTGCTACATGCAAACCCGGGCTTCCCGCCAGCTCCTCCTCCACCCCAGATACCGTACCCCTCACATGTGCGTCCGGTTGACATGCATCGGTGGCAAACGGGAAAGCTTTCGTCGCATTTGACCTTTCGGATCCTGTGTGCCGGTTGATGAGTCTGAGGGGGCGCCCACTAAGGGATGAAGGGGATGGGGTGATAAGGGGTCGGAGATATTGGGTTTTCAACTCACCTACAAGTATGGCAGCCGGATTTCACTTTCCGTTTGCCCGTGTAGTGCTTACCCTTCGATCTGGTCAGTCGTGGTTCCTGTCCCATTGCTAGAATCCAGTCCTTCCATGGAACGGCGAGGGGATTAGTTTGTGATGGTGTTACAAAATTACTCCTGAAGTTTTGTTTATGCTCCAGCTGATATTCAAGTGGGGGCAAGAAAGGATCATTTGCATCCTCCACCACGGCCGAAAACGACCCCTGCTTTATTCGCCAGCTCGGACATGCCATGCCCTGATTGGCCTGGAACTTTATCGAGCAAGCAGGGATCATCCTCCACTTCGCTATTTAGATCGTGTGGATCCATCTCCAAGTATCCCAACTTGAATACCACTCCTCCATACGGACGATGTAGGCATGCGATATCTCCGAAGAAACCAATACAACTCGTTGACGGTGGCTTCGGAGGCTTCCTAATCCCTTTAAAACCGAGAAATCGGGTACATTATACGAATGACATGAGCCATGTCACAAACAGCCAAGTGCTGAGTAAAAATGTATATAAAGACAGCGATTCCTACTTCATCTATAAGGAGAATAACCCATCAACAGGCCTCCCGCTTGCTATTGTGCCACTACCACCAATAAAAAGATATATTCTCTTTTCAACACTCCAAAATTGCATATTCATCCCTATTTCATCTCCAGCCACGATGCCTGCCTTCTCGAAGCTCCGCCAACTTGGCAAGAACGGACCCTTTGTGTCTGCCATAGGTTTTGGCCAGATGGCACTTGGGACCGACTTCTACGGAGCCATTCCGTCTGATGAAGAGCGTTTCGCTGTCATGGATCGTGCCCATGAGCTGGGTATGACCATGTGGGACAGCGCTGAGTAAGTACCCCTTCTGATAAGGCCTCGGGCCTGCAAACGAAATCGTCGCCCAGACCTCCTCTATGTGGAAGATGAGTCTAACTTGTATCGCAGTCTTTATGGAGATAGTGAAGAATTGATGGGAAAGTGGTTCAAGCGGACCGGGAAGCGTGATGACATCTTCGTCGTGACCAAGTTTGGCTTTGTCAAAGGCCACGATCACACCAAGGGCCCCAAGTATGATACTTCCGCTGCCTATACCAGGAAAGCCTGCCTTGAGAGTCTGCGCATTCTCGGGATAGACTCTATTGACCTTTGTAAGGCAATATGTACACTTCTTCGTGTTGTCAGGGTGCTAACGTCCATTTGTCTGTTTCAGACTACGTGCACCATGCCAGTCCCGTAACACCAATCGAGGAGACAATGAGAGAATTGGTCAAATTACAATCGTAAGTTTTAGATCCAATATCTCTCCATCTCGCGAGTTTCCCTTGATATCTCTGACTGATTCCTTAAAGCGAGGGGAAAATCAAGCATATTGGTCTTTCAGGTATTTCCTCAACCACACTGCGGAGGGCCTACAAAATTGCGCCAGTGGCAGCCGTCCAGACAGAATACTCAGTTTTTGCCCGTGAAATCGAGAGCGACAAAGGTACTGATCTTCTTGCCACTGCTCGCGAGCTCGGTGCTGCCGTCGTCGTGCATTCCCCCCTCGGGCGAGGCATACTCACCTCGAACTTTGGCGCTAGTGAGCCGGCGAGTGACAGCAAGGACAGGCGTCACAAGTTCTTCCCCTGGTTTTCAGAAGAACATCGCGAGAACAATATAAAGGTTGTGGGCCAGTTCAAAGCCTTGGCTGAGAAGAAAGGCTGCACCACTTCTCAGCTGGCTCTTGCATGGCTCCTCAAGCAGGGTGATGATATCATCCCCATCCCGGGCACAAAGAAGATCAAGTACCTCGAGGAAAATTGGGCGACTCTCAACGTCGAACTTTCCGATGCTGAAGTGGCGGAGATTGGACACTTCGGCGAGACAGCTGGCATTGGAGGGGACAATAAGATTGCCGCACACAAAGATCATTATTTCGCAAACACTGTGGAAGAGTCCTAGGTACAGAGATTCAGGATTCTCCTCAGAGATTATGATTTGTGCTGGGAGCGAGCTAGATCATGGACAACTGGAGGTAGTTTCAGATTAACTCTACTATCTTACCCAAATCATTCAACAGTGTGCGTCAAGGACGTGGCCTTTCACCAGAGCAGCTGCAATCATGGCAGTTAATGGAGGTCATAGGGTGATACGGGATGTCACAGGGTACAAAGAACGAGCTGCATGTAAGCTAAATACGTTACGTGTACTAAAACTCCAGAAACTCCCGCGTGAAGCTTTGATTTCATTTTCGAGTATCTTAAATCCCCTACGACAATCAGACGTTGAACTCTTATGTACTAGAAAACATATCCGCTAACATAATCCTCGGCAATCGGCGATTTTGAGCATAAAGGTGAAGACACAATGATACTCACAGCTTCCCCAAGGCCGGCGCAGGTACTAGCTCCAGATCCTGGTGCGGGAGATCTAGAAAATCCCACATGTAGTGAAATCTGTCACTTCCAAAGAAGGGCTCAGCTTTCCCCTTGCCATCATGCACCCAGAACCAAGGACACCCATACGCGCCTAATGTCTCCGCAGTATGCTTTGTTACATCATTCAACTTCTTCTTGACATCCGGGCCTTGGGAGTCTTTCAGAATTTTGGGCGCTTGCTCGGCGCCGAAGACAGCCTGCAGGACTGCAAGCATGTTTTCCGGCTTGGAAAGATCCTTGTGGTCGAGCCACAGGGCCTGGAAACATGCTTTATGCAGGGCGTCGTACTGTTCCGTATATGCTTCTTTGACAAGGGTGAGGCATCTTTGCGGCTATTCACGTTGAGCAAGTGGAAAAGGCACACATAACATGGGATCACAAGGTATACGTACCAACAAAGACAGGAAGGGAAAAAACTCTGGAACTTTGAACCTCAATCCGAAGTACTTCTGCGCTCGCTTAATATCATACGGCGAGTAGGCGGACTTGGCGGCGAGAGCCATAGGCGGTTTGTTACCTTTCTCAATTGTCAGAGAGAGGACGATGGTCATACATCAATTGGAAGGGTCTTACCCGAACTCGCCATAATCCCACCTAAGAATACTGGGATAAATCTGGTGAGCCACGGTTAGAAGAAAAATATAAAATTGTCGCAAACAGAGAAAGCCTTACTCGATTTCGACATTCAGGTCTTCAAGTGCCTGTTTGCGTTGAGAGAGGTATGAAAACGCGAGGAAGCTATAAGGAGAGACTGCGTCATGGAAGTGTCAGAAGAGCGCGCTTGATGTTTTTTTGCAAGGGCACTCACCACAGTCGAGATACGCCTCGATCTTTTTCTTATGAGGAGCCATCTTGTCTGTTACTGAGTTCTGTCGTGATATGTCAAGGGGCTATTAACACGGAATGGCTGAGCACATCCAACTGATTGAAAGGGTGAGATGACAACATCACATGTATTTATCGCGCCTTCGGTTCCCCTAAGTTTTAGCCGAGGCGCGACCCCAGACTTGCCAGAACAGTGGTTTATGTAATACAAAACAGGGATCGTCTGAGCCAATCTCTGCCGCTTGTGCCAGTCTGCCGTGGCTCGCTTCATTCCAATTGCGGGGCTTCTTCCTTTATCTCACACCGGGTCGGCGGCTCGGGATGTCCTCCTACCGCGTCCATCTGTTCTGGCTTTGCTAGAGTCTGCGAGAAAATGGCGAAGCCATCGAGCCCGGTTGCTCTTGTAGTTGGGGCTTCCCGTGGGATCGGGCGTCAGATAGCCATAGACCTTGCGAGACATGGATATCGAGGTAAGCAATCCAATCCCTAATCATAGGCTAAAACCGGAGAACTGACAGTGGCATCTCAGTGGTTGTGGCAGCTAAGACTGTCAGTGATGCCACCAAACAAGCTACCCCTTTCCCGCCCGATCCCAACTCCAATGAATCGACCATCACTACCGTCGTTCGCGAAATCAAGGAGGCTGGCGGAGAAGCTGTAGCCTTTCAGGTTGATACAAGAGACCCCGAGTCTGTCAGGAACATGGTTGATTTCACATCGAAGCACTATGGTTCTTTGGATGTCATTATTTATAATTCCGGTGCAGTATGGTGGTCGTCCGTGGAGAAGACGTCGATGAAACGGTTCAAGTTACTTCAAGATGTGAATATCAATGGTCTCTACGCGACCATACAAGCTGCAATGCCTCACTGGCAACAGAACGAGTGGAAAGGGCGAATCATTGTGGTTAGCCCGCCCATCTATTCGCGCTTCTTCCGAGGCAAGACAGCATACGCCGCTGTCAAGGTCGGCATGTCTGTGCTCACGAAGGGGCTTGCAATGGACTGGAAGCGAGAGGGCAAATCGAATATGGCCATCTCGTCGATATGGCCTGCAGTGGTTAGTGCCCATGCCCCTTTTCGTTTGATCCAATTAAGAAACTCACAGTTTGCAGGGGATTCAATCAGCTGCGACGCCAGACGCCAGGCTTCTGCCTGACCTTAGAAAGGCTGTGAGTAAAGTATTCACCCAATATAATGAATTAACCTTTGAAGGCTGATCCAGTGACAGACAATATTCTCCGATGCCATTTTGGAGATGCTTCGAGCTCCAGCTGATGAGATCAACGGCCGTCTAGAAGTAGACGAGGATTTTCTGCGTACGAGAGGTGTCCAGGATTTTTCCAAATACAGCGTAGTCCCTGGATCGACGCCAAGAAGGATGCTACCTGTCCAGTTTCCAGATCTACGAGTGGCCGAGGAGGAGGATGAAGGAATGCTCATGGACAGCACGGATGCTCGACATCGGAAACACAAGCTCTAATTGTCTCGCTATTCTTCAACGGCTCTGCTTAGGTTCAAATTGAATAGAGCAACAGCTAAATCAAAACATCTCAAACCTGACACAACGTATATTGAGTCGACATGACAGTGAACGACCCATGCAGTCTTTCCTCCCATTTGCCAATTTGGGTGTATTTTCCTGCCATTAGACTTTTGAACAACTCGCAAGCAGGCTAAACATAAACTTCATGTTACAACAAGGGAATGTCTGCCCCCAAGCAACCAAGGAAACATCTGCGTGTGACATGTAGACTCTACTAGCCCTTCAATCAAACTTCAAAACGGAATAAATTGCACCTCACTTCAACCTTCGGCATGAAAGCATTCCCGTTCAGCCTTGCTGAGCTCGCTTCTCCTCTTTCCTACTTGTCATCTCATTGTAGGAAATCAAGTTGGATTCGTACGTTGTTAAGTTCAGAAACGAGCTTCGTCTTTCTCTTCTTCATCAAGACCTCTATCTCGATCATCCGGTTCAAATCATCTGAGAACTGCTGCTTGGCTTGTTGCGCTACGTCAGTATGACGGTCCATCTGGGTATACCGTGGCCAAAAGTCCTCATTCAACTGCTTTCTTCTCCGTACAGACTCCGCCATAGTGTTTTCTATGGTTCGGATCTCATCCGCTAAACGCTGCTCGGTATATTGAAGCTGGGTGATGCTTGCCATCTCTCCGATTTCAAACCTTCTTCACCGAGAATACCACTTTGGTTGAACTCTGATTGATTTTCCTTAGCCTGATAGTATAAAGGGTCACTTTATAGAGTTCGGGATGCAGGAGTTGGGTGTAGCTATCAGTAGTATATATAGATTTTTGGAAGCAATACTGCAAATCAACTGTGAATGTTTCTACATTATAGAAAGCAGCGCAACGTGGTTCTTAAATCAATGATCGGATCTGTATCTAAACTGTGATTCACAGAAGTGTCACCCTCTTATGTGAATCGGTACCTCAACTACCTGATATTCAACCTAAAATAGTGTCAACTAGTTTTTAAATTTTGTTCTCTCATCATGCCCTGGAAGCTATTTAGCTCTTAATCCATACGGCCAGTTGTTTAGCTAATCTATAATTTGGTAAAGAATTGGATCCTTTTACTACGAATGTTATCACCGTCATAGCTTTCAGAGACTATGGCTGTGGGTAGTGTAACGCCCGAGCACCAATGAGGCAGTTATTCAAGCTGCATTTTGAACGCAATCGTGAGACATTATTTGTGCAGCATGGCATCGCGGATATATTGGAGAATATGTGAATTCGTTGGCTCGATTCGTTTCTTCTTCATCATGAAATTCCAACAATAGCTTACAGTATAACATCCCTTCATCGCTGTCAGGGCAAATCGCCAACCGTATCCACATGTCTAAGAGCACACACCTACTCACTTCGTGACCACCATGATACAGAGGAACATTATAATTCACTAACATATCCCCTAACAAAGATGCTATGGTAGTAAGGACAACTTTCAATGACTCGTACAACTCCATGGGCCCTCTGGAATTCCAGAAAGAGCCAACTTGGACAAATGAGGTAAACAAAGAGACGCAAAAAATCAACGGTTATCTCTTCATTCTTAAAGAAAAGGCAGCAATACAACAACCTGTAGTTAGCTTTCTCATTTGGCAGCCTCAGATCTGAAGAGCGACAAGAGCCGACAATAGGATGAAATTTCTGGACGATGTCCAACGAACAACTTAGCCAACCTCAGACGTTAGCTAGGAAGAACCGGAAGCGCTTTGAGCTGCAGCACGCGCTCTTCTTAGGACTTCGAAAAGCGAAATAAATGTCATAATAACCATCACCCTGAAATCTGGTCCCAGGTCTTGGTTGATATGCAATTTTGCATGTTCAGTGAATGTGCCAGACGTGGTACACACAGCAACAACATTGCCACCACCTCCTGTCATATCAACAAGCTTGTAGCTGGTGCTGAAGATACCGCCACGCGCTCCGTCGGCACGATAGTTTGATGTTTTCTTCCATGCGAACGTTCTCCTACTGCCGTCGGTCAATGTCAGAGCCCAGACATGGCAGATCTTCATAGCGCTTTCAGCCTTCATCTCCTCCCAGCGCACTTGCCCAGGCGCATCGTCCGTATTTCCCAAACCAATTCTTATAGTGCGGCCGATTTTTTTGAAATGGGCGGCTGCCACCATCGAGCCGGAGTTCCTGCTTGAGCCTTGGATAAGAGTGAGGTCCGGCTTTCCAACTGAAAACACTGATATCTCTGCAGTGTATGCTTTGATGTTCCGCTCAGAGTCTTGAATATCATAATGCCGGCCAAGTGTGGGTTTATGGATGTCAAAATGAAGGCAAGGTTTGGTGGAGTCCATTGTGATGAGTGCATTTATGATTCCAGTTCAAAGTGTTGCTCACATCATGATTGTAACTTGCAAAACCCGCGCTATTGAGAGCCAACAGCCTGAATAAATACTCGCTAGCTGGGAAATGGCTGACGCCCAGTATCATACTCTTGGAATCGAAGTGCCCAGCTTCTATGCATGAGCGCGATTGTAGGATCGACGGCGCCCGGCAGGGCTGAGCAATTGTTTAGATTTAGGGTAGCATGTGGCGGCTCAATGCCCAAAGTCCCTTATTCCATGAATCTTAGTGGGATGAGGTCAGTCCGGCAAACACGGCATGACTGTGATCTACATTCCATGTCCTCCGGGCACTTTTAGCTATGACGATTGGTCTTGGGTAAGTTTCTTACAGACCACAGAGGGACTTTGGGTGTGGTAGTGCCCTGTCAACCTTTAACCGACCCCATACTGCTGCCTAATATCTCGCTGCCGACATCCCCATGCGGTAAATCCCAGCCGTACGCACAAAATGCTGTGCCAGCGCCGCATACTCGACTTCAGAGTAGAGAACTCTCGTTATTAACGGATCATCGGGCGGGGGCGAAGAAAAAACCATTCTGAGTCAGCATCTGAAGGAGACAGGCATTGTCCAGGAAACAGAGTTTAGTGGGTTGCGTCAGCTTTCATTTTCGACAACTTCATTCGCGGCAACTTGATTCCACGTCAACAACAACTCACCGCAACAATCCAACCGCCCAGAACCATGGGCACAACTGTTGAAAAAGTAGCTCTCGGCGGCCTCATCGGCATCACATACCTCGGCGGTTTCAGCCGCTTCACCCATGGGCAATACACTCCAGCCTTTCACCGATACCAGGTTGATCGAGCACCTGACGACGAGTCCACGAGGCTGATCCCGATTATGGACGTGACTCTCGCGACGATGCTCGTTTTTCGGAGAACACGAACCGTTGCCGCGCTGCTTGGCACCTTCTTCCAGTGTGTCGGGCTGGTTATGCGTGTTGCAAGTCGCAAGCCCATGATACCTGATATTCTGCTTGCTTCGATCACAGGATTTGTTGCATGGTCTTCCTACAAACTCAATCCGCATTTTTGGTAGTGAACTGGAGGATCTTATTCTTGGGCCACGGCCTTCTTTGTCATATAAAACATCATGTACTGAGCTTGAACTTTCCTCCTTCTCATCACGTCCAAGTTAATGTGCGGCGCTGGATTGATTCTCCACTTATTTCGCGTACTGCCGAATTGTCCGAACGCGTCAAATAATTGACCGGAAATTCCGAAACTCAACGCAGTTCCTCCACCCAAATTGATGTCTCCTCGTCCGCTGTTCTCCCACCCGCGATCCCGGTGACTCTCGATCGAGACTGTTTGCTCTCGGAACGGGCCTCGAAATGCCAGTACGGGGACCAAACGTGGGCCAACCTGGTCGCAGGCCCGACGTACCACTTTCAACACCTCCGCTCAAGAGACGACGCCGGCCCCCCCTGGCATGCTTCCAATGTAGAAGGAGAAAAGTGAAATGCGATCAGGAGAGACCCTGCAATAACTGTACCAAGGCAAAAATCCCCGACTGCAACTTCCCGCCTTCGGAAATCCCTGGCTCCCTGGACCACAGTGCCGATCTTCCGACACCGCAGACTCAAGCGAATTCAGTATCCTGTGATTCGCCGTCGTCACAACACACTTCCGCATTCCCGGGGCAGATACAAGTGGACGTATTTCCTGAAGTAGATTCGGCAATACATGTTCAGAGCACATCATCTTCTGCTTTGCTAGGGGAGCCGAACATTGGAACGCGATCCCGGCATGTTTCGCAGTCACCATATGGTGATCAGCTGCTTCAGAGGATAAAGGAATTGGAGGCAACCGTAAAACAACTATCCAATGATCGGACCTCGTCACATCACGCACCTCAAGCCCAGAGTCAGACTACAACTAGCGGCTGTGACGCCTCAGGAGTCAGGTTTGGTGCCCAGAGCGCTTGGATCAACGGCACCAGCTTGGTATGTTGAACTATTTCCATCTTTCAAGATATCGTTCTGACAAGAACAGTACTCAAACATACTCCGGCCGCTTGCGAAGGCTCAAACCGAAAAGTCCCAGCTACATCAAGCAACCACCAACTTCAAGTCGTTCCGTAGACAGATCGACCAATATTTCGCAGTCCCTGCCACACCCATAGGCACCGGGACGAGAATACCAGATAAAACGTTGGCTGATAGCTTCCTCGAAAACTATTTTGATCACTTTGAGGGGTGGCTACGGGTTCTTCACGTCCCTAGTTTCCGCTCTGAGTACGTAAAGTTTTGGCAGCAACGAGACACGGTCGATCAGATATTTGTCCTGCAGCTTCAGCTTTGCATGGCCTTGGGAACTGCTTCCCATCCAGAATGTCTCGTCTGGAAAAATGCCGCGAACCAATGGATACACGAAGGTCGCAGGTGGCTCCAGGATTCGTTTGAAAGGGCGAAGAAAAAGCCCTCCTTTGAGGAAGTCCAGCTGGCCTGTCTCGTCCTAATTGCTGAAGCCAACGCGTCCGAAAATGATCAAATGCACCAATGCTGGGTATCAGTTGGTCAACTTGTGAGACGGTCAATGTATCTGGGTCTTCACCGCGAGCCTCGACATATCCTGCCCACTCCTTCCATTATCCAGGCAGAGATGCGCCGGCGGCTATGGACGACTGTTCTCGAGTTGAATCTCATGTTATCCCTCCAAGCCGGCCAACCAACGATGATCTCTTCTTCGGATTACGACATTCGTCCCCCGTCCAATATGGCGGATGAGGAGCTCACGAATGAGCCTGATGAGACTAAAGTGATAGAATCCAGTGCCAAAAAGCAGACTCGAACAACCCCCCAATTAGCTCTCTTCGACTCATTCTTTCTTCGCTCTGAGCTCGTTAATAAACTGAATGGCATTGGCCAAACCATGTCATATGATGAGGTGTTTCGGTTCCACAAAGATCTGAGCAGAGCCAAAGGAAGAATGCAACAAGCCTTCAGAGCTGGCTACACAGCTACTGCCCCGACGAACTTCGCACATAGTTCAATCGCGAATATCATCCTCTCCCGGTACCTTTTAGCCCTTCATCTCCCTATATTAGGACATTCTATCAGAAACCCGACCTTTCATTTTTCTCGGAGGTTTTGCATCACCGCCTCGATCGAAATGGCCAAGGTCAGTGGAATTTTAGAGAGCAGTCGTGGAGGTGATCCGCGTGCGAATGTTGAGGTGCTACCCTCCCTCAAGAGACTCTTCGTCAACAGCCCAGGCCTCTTTCGCCATATCATGATCCAAGCTATATTCGCCATTTCACTGGAGCTTGTAACTTCGCAAGAGGAGGAAAAGGAGAATCTTGGGGCTTTCCCAGTCTGGGATACTGCCGATTTATTTCGATCTCTCCAGGCGGCTGAGGCTTGGTGTGCAGATCGATTGCAGGCTGGAATCTCCGACCACCTAGGCTACTGTTTCGTCGGTGCCTGTTTGGCATACGCGCATTCTCTTCAAACTGAAGGACCAGGGACTGATCTTAGTCAGGTCGTTGTCCAAGCTGCATTAAGGAACGTTGAAAACTGTTCGAGGATTATGCGAGATGTTGCTGAGAAACTTGGTGTGCCGGTCAACCAAGGCACTTCCATTACTTCTGGGGCTGGAAACATCTCTACCTCATTGCCGGACGTAATGGATATGTCTATAGATCTAACAAATGGCTTTTTTGGTGTTGGTATGGATGGTTTTGCGTTTGATTGGACCTATCCTTTGGACATTGGACTGGAGCCAACTTGGGGGCTAAACACTGTTTCGAACACTTTGTGAACAACATCATGCAAAGATAGAAAGACGATATTTTGTTCATTTTAATGTTTCATACACATTTCATGTATTTGAAGACATTCATTTACTTATATTTGATCATTCGTGACACTAGCTGACCCATGATATTCTAAGCCAAAAGCTCTACTCCACTCCCAAGATCACGGGTAGACAAATGCGGCACCATTTTTAGTACACATATCTCATTCTGAAGATGCTTGCATACTAGTTCCCTGCCATTTCGTCGGCCATAGCGTCAAAATCAACACCATACAGCCAGTGGAGATCAAAGGGTTCCGTCACGATGCTCTCTCCATCCTGAGCTGGCAACCTCCTCTTGTTAATAGCATCATTGAGCTGCAAAACGCCATCGATACGAGATTGACGCTTCTCCTGCCAGTTTCGTAGAACCTGTGGTGCTTCCTGGATCGCCTTCAATCCACCCTTGGCTACAACCTTCGCGAAGGTGTAGACATCCTCAAATGCCTGGTTGACACCCTGGCCGGCCGTTGGAGGAATCGCATGCGCGGCGTCGCCAAGAATTAGAACACGCCCGCCCTTTGATACCCATGAGTCCAGCTTGGGGATGATGTGGAACCGCCAGATGTTGATGGTGTTGGGGTCAATGTGAGAAACAATATTTTTTACGATAGGTGGGTAATCCTCATGCCCAGTGCGCAAGAACTCCACGCACCAGTTCTTGTCGCTGAGCAGCTGTTCCCATGCGTCTCTGTCGCGTTCTTCGGTATACCGGAACTGCTTGCCCACGAACAGCTCTGAGCCTTCCTTTCGCTGGGGAGCAGCAACGAAAGCGCCGTGGTCCTTGTTCATGATTGTAACAGGCAAGTTGGATTCACCGCTTGGGTCAGCCTGCTTTGTTGGGACTACAGCAGATATGCCGGCCATGTTGGTGAAGATGGGGGCGATTTGTGGGTAGATGTAAGAACGGACCCGGGAATGGATGCCATCCGCGCCGATGAGAAGGGGAGCCTGGCCTGTTGTCCCGTCCTCAAACTCCCATGAGACACCGTCCTCATCTTCCTTGATGATACGGGCGAACTTCTTGCCGTAGTGAGGCTTGATGCCGGCCTCTGATATCATGTCCAGCATGATTTGGATCAACTCATAGCGGTAGACTCGCATGCCGCTGTATCCGTACTTCTCTTTTGAACCAAATTCAAATGTGTCAAGAAGCTTGTTATCATTCTGGAAGTAGAGCTTCTCAAAGGCGTATCCGCGAGGCTCCAGGCGTTTGTAAATGCCTAGTTTGTCGAGAATCTGAAGTGCGTTGGGCGACAGCATGATAGCACCCCCGATGTCGAGTGGTGCTGGGCGAGACTCGTAAATATCACAAGGGATGTTTTGTTGGTTTAGTGCCAAAGCCAGGCAGAGGCCAGAAAGGCCGGCACCAATGATAGCTAGAGGCTGAGCGGTAGACATGTTGAGATAACTGGTGTGACTCGAGATGTGGGAAAGAATTGGAAAAGATGCTTGATCTGTCTGTCTATTTCTCATAAACGGGTTACCCCCAATATATATATATACTTACATTCTCAAGTGCGGTGAATATGCTGCTTCAGCGAGAACATGAATGAGGCTAAAATCTTACTACATGAATTGTCCGCAGATCAACTAAGGAAATTGTCCGAGATGCCAAAATGCCGAATTGTCCATGATGTGAGAATGCCGAATTGTCCGACACGCCCCCAGCCGACAACAGTCCGCAGAGCTGCGTCACATCTGAGCTATCAAGATTGGTCATCTAGTATAGGAGAATACTTAGTGCCTAATGGACCTATTTCTGTCTACGTTCAACTTGGGGTACAAATAGTCTTGCTGAATCCCATCCATCTGGAAGTCTTTTCAATCAGCCCCTCAGTACTAAAATCCGACCTTCCCAAGCTCAAATTACTCCATCTATCACTAGTACTTTGCCCTCCTACTCGGGTTTACTTCTCAAAGATACGCTATACAGACTCTACCTCAGACAACATGAGATTCTTCGTCATCGGTGGCAGTGGTCGCACCGGGCAGCTCGTCATTGACGAGGCCTTAAAGAAAGGTAAGCGCAGCCTACCACTGTAGATATTGTCTACGATGACAAACGACGAGTGCTAACGAGTTCATAGGACATCAAGTGACGGCTTTGGTCCGAAAGAGCGGTTCTCTCAGCGACCGGGAGGGTCTCAGCATCTCCCTAGGCTCTCCTGCCAATGAGGCCGACATCTCAAAGGCGATTGCCTCTAGCCCTTCTGCGATAGACGTTGTACTTGTCACTCTCAGTGCACGAAGACTTACCGACAGTCCCTTTTCAGCGCCCGATCCAAACTCGCCGCCAGATTTCATGACCAGCTGCGTCAAGAACACCCTGTCCGCGATGCGAGCTGCCGCACAGCCCATCCCGAAAATAGTCGTCATGTCCTCCGTCGGTACAGCAGAGTCTATGAAAGGCGTCAACTTTCTCATGCGTATGGTGTTCACTCACACCAATATGCGCTTTAGCAGAGCGGATCACGAGGGCGTGGACAGGGAACTTCGAGCCGCTCGGGACATCAAGATTGTTGAGGTCCGGCCTTGGATGCTGACGGAGACCGAGGCGGCAGAGGTCAAAGTATACCCTGATGATGGGACTGGATCTGGGTTCATGCCGAAGATTTCTCGTTCCAGTGTGGCTCAATTTATGATCGAGGCAGCCGAGGGATCACAATACGATGGGAGGGCACCGGTTATCAGTAACTAAATACTAGATAGTTAGCGCTCTTTGTCTTTTACTTGTTTCAATATTCTAATATAAGTTTCCCTAATGGCTATTTTTTAATGTTGCTATTTATTCGCGAGTACATTGTGAGCCACTCGATCGTGTGAGTGAGAAACATCAAGCTTCATTCTACTACTTCTAGCCATTTAGCCACTATATTCTTCTTCATCCGAGTAAAGGGGCAGCTCTTGAGTTCCACAGAAGAACCTCTTCCTCTGGAACCTCGCCAAAAACGAATCGGAGCCATCTATCGTAAACAATGTCTTTTTCTGAGAGAAGTTGCGACAAAACATCCTCAGGACGGTCTGCACCAAGCCTAATCAAAGTATTCACAAACGAGCGTTGCTGGTTATATTGTACCGTGGGCATATGGAGGCTTTCGTGGCGAATGTACCGGCGAGCTATCCAAAGCAGTATAGAACCGCCCTTGAACTCGCCCCATGTTGGCGTCCATTTAATGTCGGCTCCCTTGTTGATGAGTTTTTGAATTGTTATCACCTCACAGTCTTCAGTTGAGCAATCAGTATCCGACGAGACACTTCCCGATGTGATGTCGCTAAGCGCAATATCTCGTTTAACAAGCTGTTCCATGGTGTGTAATAAAAGGCGAAAGAGTAGATTATTCGCCTCGTCCTGGAATACAAGAAAGCAATTCCTCTCTATGAGCAGTAGATCCAAGAGGCTGCTCCAACGATCGGTGATGGTACTGTGTTGCTTGGTGCTCTTGACGAGCCGCGTGTTGTCACGCCCAGTTCGAATTGAAGACAGGAAACCGAGCAAGAGTCCGCAGGCGGCCTTCTTGCGCGCAAGGATTCGTAGTATGGCGTAGACCTCATTGTTGAGCAGACCGTCAAGGCGATCCCATTTATGCCAGAAGAGGCAAAGCAACGAGAGAGTCGGATAGCCACCAAGGTGGCCGGCGTGGGTGTTGAGAGCAAGACCCCCTTTGTGAAATAAATACTGTAGACCCTCTGAAGGAGACAGAATTCCGGCTTCCCGATCCCTATCACAGTCGACTCGGAGCACATATGCCATCACAGCATTCATTATGTACCACTGTCTTGGCCCAGGCAGTTCAAGTTGTGACACAACCGTCGCGTTGATGTTCTCATGCGCTTCCAAGGACAAATCAATCATTTCGGGTAGTCCAGAATCGGCAAGGTTATGTGCGGCAGCAAGGATGGATATACATGCCACCGATTCATGATACGAGGGAACGCATACACCCGAGTGGACAAACGAATAAAGATGAGCGAGCGAGAGATCAGCCGATGCCCGCGTTCTCATTAACCGTGCCAAAGGAACTGGACCTGTTACCATCGCCATTGCGAGAGCAGATCCGCTTCCCTCCGTACCGTGGCCTCCACCAACGGCGAGGGGGTTTGCCCCGAGATCTAGCCATGCTCGGCAGGTATTCTCGCCAACACGGTTGAATACTGACTTGCGGAGGGTTCTGTCGAGCTCATTCTGGAAATATGGAATGTCTCGTTTTGATCCAAATTTCAAATATAGGCGCAGCGGTTCCGGCCGCTGGAATTTGAACAGGCAACTGGCCAACAGTTCCCATCGCTTGCCTCTGTAATCGGCAGGGTCGATTCTTGCGCCAGCTCGTAGCAGAAACTCATAGGTGACCAAGTCATCTTGCCGCGCGGCAATCACAAGGGTAGATCTCGTGTCCGGCAGATTCAGACAAGTCAAACCAACCGGATTTTCTGCGATCTCGAAGTTTGACCACATCCCAACGGCACTCACATCGGCACCGTATGAGATAGCTTTCTGGATAGCCCATATTTGCCCGCGGCAGCAGCCCCAGTACATCAATTGGTCCCTAGCCACGGGCATAGATAGTAAATGGGATTCCCATCTGTTGTTGATAATCCTACTACATTGGTTCAGCCTCGCCAGTTCTCGGACCGTGAGCCAGCCTGAGATGTGCAGATAGATTTCGGTTGGGAGTTCGTTCATCGTTCTTCGTTCTTAGTAGGTAATTAGGAGGATGAATGGAAAGATGTCAGCCAAATTGAAAGACCTGTGTTATATTTACCTGCCCAGTACCCACCACGGAGATAGATCCCTGTCATGTCGCTGACTCACTGTGTTGCTGACAACGAGCCAGGCAGCTGTTGTGTACCATGAGTCACAGTTCGATATCTAACATGGGTCTAATGTTTAGAGATGCTACTTGAGACCATCTATAATGCAAGGAAGAAGATCACCAATAAGCCAAAGTGAATAAGGTCTTGACTCCTGCAAGTGGAAAGTATCCACGTATTGTTGGGGATAGTGTTCAAGGAAATAAACTATTTAAGCAGGGTATTAGCGTCTGGGTTTCCTAAACTAAGCCCTAATTCACCCGCTTCTGAAAGACATATGTGATTGTTACTGGCCCGATCAACCTAATCTCCTACGGATCCAAAGACCCAGAAATAACAGACCAAATCTCTATGAGCTTATTCCAAAGAGTTATCGCAACAGTAATCTCGAGTTCTAATAAGTTAACAAGTTCACTATGATAAATTGACTGAAATATTCTTACCATTTTTTCCATTTTTAATGTAGTGAGTCACATCCAAAGACTCACTTCCGAACCAATGAACTTCAGTCACCCGTTTTGCCATTGACCTCCAGTCCCCAAGTACCTTCCACATTACCCATATCCAGTAAAATCCGGGTTTCTGCGATATTCTTTTTATATCGAACGCAGTGTCCCAGTGCCATTAGCGGTCTTCAAACCATCAATCTCATTCTAAGGACGGAGGCCATTCAGCACAATGGATGAAAGGTTAGTCTTCGTCGTCTTGTAGGAATCCGCCCCAGTTACGTTGATAACAGCAGGTCTCCACAGACAGCGTCCAAGCGAATGAAGGGGTATTATGGGTTTAAAGGCTCTTGGCGGTCAACAATTGAACAGAGTAGAGCCGAGATGGGTTTCAAAGGGCGGTGCATCTGATCGATTCGAAGGGCGCTTTTGATCATTTTTGGCGGTACATCACTCGTGAAAGCTCACTAGTCTGTACATATGACTTCATTTAAGATTGAACAAGTACTGATTACTTATCGGCTTTTCTTTCATATTTCCAGGGAGGATTACCAAGTGAATAAATTACATTTCTTGATGCCATTACTCCCACTTCGCCTTATTAGCCTCTACAAACGCCTTCCAGGTAGTAGGCTTTGCATCCAGAAGCTGCAGACTCTCCGCGAGATCCGCGCCTTGGTAATATCCTGGTTCTTGCAGAAGCAGCATGTTGTCGTTCATCTCATCCGCTATTTGCAGGGGCAGGAACGACTTGAAAACGTTAACAGGAACCTGGGCGAAAGTCGCCTTATGGCCTGTAACCTCGGAGAATTCGGCGATGAGCTGCTTGGGGCTGATGTACTCGGCGGTAGCCAAAATCTGCTTTCCAGTCGGCTCACGAAGCTTCAATGCCGCTTTGACAAACAAGCCTTGCAAGGAAATGTTAGCATCATTAAATTCAAACTGGAGGATAGAAACTTACCAGTATCTCCAGAAGCGTCAAAGACAGGAACTTGAGCCTTGTCCCCATCGACAGGCAAAGCCCATGTAAAAGTGCCATCTTCATTCTTTCGGATCATTTCAAAAAGGTTGGACATGTAAAAACCGGGCATAATAAATGTTGCCGGGACTCCGATCTCGCGGATATACTTCTCGACGGTAGCCTTGGCATCGAAGTGTTTGACATGGGTCAGAGCCCCCTTGCTCGCCTCAGTCACATTGATGAGGGATGAGAAGATGAGGTGTTTGACCCCAGCGGCCTTACTGGCGTCAGCGACGGCCTTGCCTTGCGCTAACTCGACTTCCGCAGATCCTGATTCCCAGTAGTTGGTGACAATGAAGACGCTGTGGGCACCTTCGACCGCCCCCCTGATCGTTTCGGGAGAGGAGAGATCCGCCTAGGTGTAATGTTAGTTGGATATCTAGTCCAAATGAGTGAATCGGGAGTTATCATACAGAAACCAGCTCGACGCCCTTGCTGGCCAGTGCCTTGGCGGCTGGCTTAGACGCATCTCGAGTGACGCCGCGGATCTTGTATTCCTTGGAAAGAACAGGGTCGGCGAGGACCGCACTGATCACGGAACCGCCTTGGTTTCCGGTGGCGCCAAAAACGGTGAGAATCTTGGACATTTTGATTGGCAGGACTGTGATGTGAAGAGGTGGGTTGTTCTTGGTTATGGTGATAAGCTTGGAATTGGGAGTTGTTTACAGGTAAATTGATTTAATAGTGATGCTGGTAAAGCTTTTACTTCGACCATTGTGCGGACGGTAGTGGCATGTTATATACTCGAGGATCTCGATATACAGTTGACTGGTGTTTGTTCGCACCTTGATAATCAGCCTCTAATCCCTTGGTGGAGGTCCGATCTATGATTTGGTTGGAGTTGTCGCGGGTCGGATTGGACAAACTAACAGGTTAAATTGGGGCTCGCTGGCCGAAATTGACCGCCGCGAGCCGAAAAACGAGTTTGTCAGCAGCGAGCAACAAATTCATGTCTTGGGACTTGTCAATGACGCGGTTGATGTCGAGCAGTGCTCCCACAGCCGCTTCACAGAACACCTACATGTAGAGACTGGATCTCCAATGCATTTCTCTGTCGCGTGGACAGTCTCTGCTCAAAGCTGGGATCGGCATGTCTGTGTCTTGATCGCTGACTGGATCACGGCATTGTCGCGGTGGGTAACGATCGATTAGTGAGCAGACCGAATGTCTCGAATCTTCGAAGACGAGCCGAAGTTGGATAAGTCAACTCGCCCAACGTTCTGCTTACCCTATATCACAAGTTATACGCTTTCGATAAACGGCAACCTTCCTCGAGTATGACTATGGTTTGAACTAATTCATCCGATCTATCTTGGTTTCACTTAATTCAGAGTGTTGAGATTTTATTGTTGAAGTTGCCCCGTCGTGTGAAGAGTCTCAAAAGGTCTCTTGCAATAGAAAATGAACCTCTTGAACAGAGCAAAAGGAAAAGCTTTACAATGCCTCCACGCAAAGTTGAAAATACCTCCAAACAATAATACCCACCACGTTACCCATTTTCAACTGTTTTTTTTTTTTTTTTTTTTTTTTTTTCATATCTATCGTCTAATCTGTTGAACACCATTCCGAGCACTTCTCCAGCCCTTGCCCATAAACAAGCAACAAACGACTAAACTCGTCGAAATCAGACGGATTACCATCTTCCATTAGGTGCACAATGTCGGCACAACTGAGCCGAAACCTCATCTGCTTCGCTTCCTGCATCCCCATCCATGCCTTGGGTGAGGCTGCATCCCACAGGCCCTTGGTTCCGGTGAAAGATATGCTTCCCGGACAAGGCGAATGTCCCTGTTTCAGAATTGAAAAGGCCGCCTCCATCAGTCCTGCGATGATCCAAGTCCGGCGAATTGACTCGGAGAAGATCCATACCCGCCACAGAGAGGCGGGTGTACCGTCGCAATGAAGCTCGCTCGTGGTTGAGAATGGATGCAGTTGGTCCATTCTCCGACGAGTCCCAGCCTCCAAATCGGCCTTGGTCTTTTCCATGAGACTGTTAACCCACTGCATCAGAGTCGCTGTGGTTGACTCAGCCTCGGCCCGGGATCTGATGTCACCGTCGAAGAGCCGGATAAGCTGAAAGATTAAGAGAGCTTGCGTTCGGCTCAGATGGCTCCGGATGTCGCATGTCCCGCCGCTGAATCCTTCGCATAGGGTTTGGTCCTGGATAATCAGCCTCGTGTAGCTTCTCATGATTTGGAGAGCGATATGTTTATTGGAGTTGGTTGAGTGTTGATAAGCCTGGAAGGCGGCATATGCATGCTGAAGGCTCTCCGGCATGTCGCTGCCATAGAGTTGGGAGTGGATAAAGTTGGAATGCTGTCCCAGCGTCCATTGGCTCACCCATGCTCTCAATCTGTCGATAAAGTACCTCAGACCAGAGTCGGGGTAAGTAATAGACACTGAGAGATCTCCATGCTCTCGCTGAATGTCCCAAGACGATGGGGCAAGGAACCAAAGGTTCACGGGCGGATCAGGAGTTCCCAGACTTTGGGGCTGTATCGACAGAGGTGAATGCTCTTGTGAGAGGCTGCTTGTTGATGACGGCGTGTCTGTGTGCGGATTCCCACTGGAGGCGGACGCATCAGAGGCTGCTACAATGCGGACCAGGGGATATTCGCAGCGGAGCCCCTTTCCGTGACATCGGCGACAGGCAGGCAGCTGCTTACTGCATCTTCGCTTCGACTTGCTGCACGCCACACAAGCGTGCATTTCTTCACGGTTACCTCGCGGGTGGTTTGCGTCACGCCGAGAAGCGCACGCGGTCCTGCTCGAGGCAACGGCTAGAATATTAAGTACGATAATGGGGCGGCGGAGGCGGGTGTCGCGGGCTTTCTCCGCCGGCTTGATTTGAAATCACCCACCATGAGTCCATGCTACCATCTTTTCAGCTCACTTTGTGCACGCTATTGGCCAAGCCATCATCAGCCCCAGAGTAATCCCTCGCTTGCAGACAAGAAGGTTGCGGATGCTCCCGCAGCGCTCACGTGTTGGAACCGCGTGTTGGTTTCGAATATACTGCGGAAACTGCCCGCAAGACAAAGAATTTGCTAAGGTTGCTACAGATGTTATTACAAATTGGCAGTGTATATACATCGTAGCCGAGGATGGGGGAAATATAAATACGATGCGTGTTGGCTGATTTGCAGACCGATTTGATACACTCTCTACACAGAAAACACTTGACTTACACCTTCCGATTCAATTTTCAAACAGCCCAATACCGCAATCATGAGCTTGCCATTTCTCAAGAAGTACCACAAGGAGCCATATCCTGCCATTCATCCTACCCGGCCGGAGCTGAGCCAGAAGGGCAAGACCGTGCTGGTAGCTGGAGGTAGCACCGGCATTGGATACGCCATCGCCGAAGCTTTCATCACCGCCCAGGCGGATCGGGTCATTGTTACGGGCCGCCGGGCTGGAGTGCTTGACGAATCTGTTGCTCAGCTTAAAAAGGACACCCAGAAGTCCAGCCCAGCGACCATCATTGAAGCCAGGGCGGTCGACGTTGCGAATCTCGAGGATTCGAAACAGCTCTGGACCCAGCTGGAATCTGATGGCGTCTACGTAGACACACTGGTGCTAAACGCGGCCAGCTTTGGTCAAAAGAAGCCAATCCTCGAGACCGAGTTTGAGGATGTCTGGAACGACTTTGTGGTCAATGTGCGAGCACCTCTTGACTTCACCCAACGTTTCTACAAGCAGACAACTGGAAAGGGACAAAAGGTATGTTTGCGTGTTTTGACATCTCTCAAGTCTAATGAATAAACCTGAAATTATTTTGCTTACTCGCCTGATCCCGAACTCAGTACCTGGTTAATATTTCCACCATTGCTGCGTACATGTGGGCATTGGCCGCGGACCGCCCGACGTACGGCTTGACCAAGAGTGCCGGCACCCTCCTTGTCCAGCAGATCGCCAAGGACATCAGCGCAGACGAGATCCAGATAGTAAGCTTCCACCCAGGTGCCGTGCGAACCGAAGCCGCCAAGAGAGACGGCATGGCAGACCTCCCGATCAAATGGGACGACGGTATGTTACACTGACTTCACGATATGGCTTGCGGCTGGCTGACAACATCACCAAACAGCAAACCTCGCAGGCCATACGGCCGTCTGGGCGGCCACCCCCGAAGCCAAATTTCTGCACGGCCGCTTCTTCTGGGCCAATTGGGATGTGGAGGAGATCAAGCATGGGGAGGCAGGAAAGCAAATTGCGGAAGATAACAACTTCCTCAAGGTCGGCATGGAAGGTCTCGCGGAGAAGAACGGCGGAGCCATCTTCTAAGTCATCATTCTCCAGCTCTACCTCTAGCTATAGAATCGATAGAAGTCATATTTCCTACAACGGATACTTGACGCATGAAGTGTCTAAAATAGAAGGCGAGTGTCCTTGCATTTCATCTTATTATTTTTTTCTAAATTGATAAGCTTTATCCTTCCTAGGATCACCAATAGAACAAAAGAAACCTCACAATAATCATTTTCGGTTCAGAGTAATTTCAATCGTTAATTTTTGTTTTCCTATTGAGAAGGCATTGCTAATCAAAATCATATGCGCTGTAGTCATGAATAACATGTCATCAAAGCCTCCGATTTCCATTATGTGCTTGAGATAATCGTGCGAGCCTCGTGCTTGACAATTGACAAGTGTAAGGGCAAGGACATCCAGATGAGCTTCCCGAGAGATTCCATGTTTTCACACCATCTCATGATAGCAAATTGCTTGTCTTGCTCGTCATGAGAACTCTCCGGGGAGATCAACCACTCCCTCTCGCCAGTCGCCACTATTAAGTCTTGGATTTTGAGAAACGGGCATTTGCCCTCGTTGTTGATGAGAGAATCGTAGGAGTCCATCCAGGCTCTCGTACTGCGCGCTTCCCATAAATCACGACCACAAGGGAGCGTTGATTTCTGGAACGTCTCGCTTGCCCTGCAACTGCTTCCGCCCGGTCCCATCATGCCCTCAACCAAAAAGTCAACAACGCTTAGAACTAAGGCAGTCCTATAAATGACGAGTCAGTCGAGGAAATAGTGGCGAGCGAAGTGAGTATGTTCGTCAAGATGACTTGCCTTCGAATACTCTCTCTCCAAATCCAATCGGCTCTTCGCGGTCGCTCGTTTTCCGGTTCAGAGCGCCACGAGTGATACCGAACGAGTTGTCCGACAAGTCCCTGATCAAAGGTCAGCATTGCAACGTCCTTCTACAAGGTTTGCAGGTACTAACAGTCACTATTCTCACGAGATGTAAACCTCCAGTTTTCTCGACAGACGCTGGATCTTCGGCTTGTAGGAGTAAGAGGATCACTACGGACTGCAGACCCTCAAGCTGCTGCTGGCTAGTAAAAGACGCGTACTATCAAATAATCAGCTTCATTATCCATTCAAGGGCCCTAAACTAAAAAGAAACTGAAGTGAATGAGAGAACTCACCTGTTGTACAATCCGTTCCCCTTCGTCGTGTATTGTTTTCCACACAAATTCCGAATTCTTCGAACTCTTCGAGTAAAACATCTGCACCAAGCTCACACATATCGACAGCTCCGTGGAAAAGCACACGTGTCGCCCACTGACACGGCAGGCGGGGCCCAGCTCCTCGTCCAAATAACACCGCGGATGTATGAACGGAGGGAGCTTATCTCCCTCTATGAGCATCCGCGGGTAGCTCTTGAGCTGGCCAAGGACAACCGACGCCAGTACATCCTGGCCGCCTATCCTGCGCCGGGAGTAGGCCTTGCCCAGTAGAGAACTATCCGGCGCTGTCACAAGCTGCATGTTCTTCTGCTTCCGAGCATTTTCGGCTTGCTCAAGCAGCCAGAGGTCCTCGTTGACGTTCTGCTCGACTTCCTTTATGATTTCCAGGGGTATGCCACTGGGCGGGCTGGACTCGTTCACACCATGCAGCACGCCAGTTGTCGAGTTCCAAGCCGGAGGGGGAGAGGGCTCTCCGGTCGGGAATATGTCGCCAGGGGAGATGTCATCGATGGGGCTCGAATGGAGCCTGTTCGGAGTCTGCAGACGCTGTGCAGGGCGAGGGCTCGCCTGAGGGTAAGGGGCGAGACGTTCGGACTCGTAGACGCACCGCACATTCTTGTCGAGGCACCGGGAGCAGGTTGGCAGGACCTGATTGCAGCGTGTCTTTGCTTCCCTACACCGGACGCACGACTTTTTACGGGAGAGGGGCATTGTTGGTCTGGCTTGGGCCGGTGTTCAATTGAACGAGACTTTGGTTTGTTTGTAATAGAAAACCGGCTCTCCGCGTCTGATCCGGAATCTGTCACAGCAAATTCCAAGCTGACGCCACCCAGGTTCCGGATCTAAGCTGGATTGGGAACCAAAACTCCACCTGAACTCCGCGGGGGCATTTGTAAGTTGTAAGTCAGGTTGTGTCAAGTCAGTCGCACTTTGTCCAGTCGGCTTCTCAGTTGCAATCCGGAATTCCGTTTGAGTAGAATATTCCAATAGACCAACAATTTTGATTAGAAGATTCCAGTGGGCCACTGAGTTTGATTAGAAGCCCGTAGTTAGCCATCATGAAGTACTTAAAGCTCCCGGAAAATAGCGTTGGTCGAGGAATCTACTCAACAGCAATACCAACAAGCAGCAGTTCAGACAATACCTCAAAATTCACCCAAGATCTCCCTCAATAATTCACTCCGGGGCTCAAGATGCGTTCTCTCGCTACTCAAAAATTTGGCAAACCAGAAAACTACGAGATCCTCGATCTCCCTCAACCAGAGCTCACGCGCCCAGATGAAATCTTAATCAAGGTCCACGCATCGTCAATTAATCCAGTTGATGTCAAGCTAGCCACTGGAATGGGCAAGAATCTTCTTCCCTGCCCGTAGGTCTTCAGATAGTTTTCCATTCTGGTGATTGATTCCCACTAATCATACCTCAAAACTAGACTTCCTTTCAAACTTGGATACGACGTCTCCGGAACCGTAGTAGCCGTCGGCAAGGATGTCCCCTCTACTCTTCAACCAGGCATTGAGGTCTACAGCCGTGTCAAGGAGGAGTACCGAGGCACGGCGTCCGAGTTTGCGATATCTACAGTGGATGCCACCTCCCCTAAGCCCAAATCCCTTACCCATATCGAAGCGGCATCTCTACCCCTTGCTTCGTTGACCGCCCTGCAGGTCCTTGACAGAGCGGACAAGCAATTGGTCGGGGGGCTCAAGGGCAAAACCGTCTTCATCCCGGCAGGTCTGTCAGGAGTAGGCAGCACGGCAATCCAGCTGGCCAAGCGGGTCTTCCAAGCAGGAAAAGTCATCACCACTCTCTCAACTAGCAAGATTGCTCAGGCAGATGGTCTCCTTGGCGCAGATGTCATCGATGTCGCCATCGACTACACGAAGGACAACTATGCCACAACGATCGAGGCAGGTTCATTAGATTTCATGTTTGACATCACCAATCAATCAATGGGAAGTCTTCACCTCATGAAGAAAGGGGGCCTGATTCTTACCATTGCTGGAGCTCCTTTTGGCGAGATGCTCAAGGTCATGACGAGTCTGCCCACGGTAGTCAGATATGGCCTGACAGCCTTTGGATCCTGGCGCCAGTTCAGGGCAGGCAGATATAATGTCGGCTTCGACCACATCCCCATGCACCCGAGTGCAGAAGACCTCGCGAGGTTGGGGCAGTGGGTGGATCAAGGAAAGCTCAGAACCGTGGTGGGTAGGGTAGCAAAGTTGAGGGACGTGGATGCGGTTCTACAAGGATGCCAGGAGGTGTTCAGTGGCAAGGGAGGCATCGGCAAGTTTGTCATTGAGGTGGAACAGTAATCCTTTAGGCAAAGGTCGTGGTCTCATTACAATCCGGCGGTCTTTTTGATTTACGGACATAGACAGCTACTTCACATTTACTTTCATTGATACCTTTTTCGTTTCTTTTAATCACAGGTTTCCAGTCAAAAACAGAAGCAATTATATAAAAATAATTACCAATGCTCAACTAGCACCCGACTCTCATGAATGTCATAGATCACCTTCGATCTTCTTCAAATATTCATGATCTTCTTTCCTCTCTAACATATACAATAGCTCTAAAGTAAAGAAAGAAAGAAAGAAAGAAAGAAAAAGTGCCAAAGTTTCATCTCTATCCCAGTACAACAACCATAATGGTTTGCATATGAATGAAGTAGCACAACAGGTTCTGAAGTGGCGTCATCAGCGACCCAGGGAACGATACACCAACTGAACCTTCACCATATATCGCATGCTACCCTTTCATCGATTTAAAAGGCCATGCAATGAGGTTCAGAGCCTGGAGCGGATCATCCCCAATCCCATGATTATCCTCCCACATCAAATCGGGCGAGAGAATCTTGACACCATTCCGATCACGGCAAAGATGCGTCAAGAGTTTACGCATGCCCCTGGTCCGTCGTATATTGAACTCATGAACGCGGCCAAGCCATGCCTCCTTGGTTTGCGGATCCCATACATTCGTCATATTGAGAAACCCAAGGATGATTGCGGCCATACCCACAGCAATGGGAGTTGACACCGAGGTCCCGCTCATCTTCCGGAAGCCGCCTCCCAGTTTGGTTGGCCACTGGCTCCAGACTTCTTCCCCAGGTGCCACAAACATGGGGAAGTCCGGGCTCGGTTGGGGAGCAAATGGGGATAACTTTTGAAACTTGTCGCCGGAGGAAACACATATGGCGAGGTCTGGACTACGTGCCGGCCAGGCAATGGCATTATTGTTACCGTGGTTTGCGGCGGCGGCGAACACGATGATACCGTTCGCATTGACAGCATCGTCCAGAGCCCGGGTTAATTCATAAGACCCTAACTGCGAGAATCCCAATGAAAGGTTGATGATATCCACCTTCTGCTCTATCGCCCATCTTATTGCCTAGGAGGTCAGGTCAAATCAGACAATCATTTTCCAACGCCGCAAGAAGTCCAGGTTCCAAGATTATTTACTTACATCTTCCACGGGACGGCGAGACTTTCGCTTGGCTGCTTTTGTAGAGGCTTTTGCGGTTTGTTGGGCCTCGGAAATCTCCTTGCCGGTGCTCACTTTGGCGATATACAGTTCTGCCCGGGGAGCAACAGCCATGATCAACCCGGCAATGTGTGTTCCGTGGCCAAATTCATCAGTGACGTCGTTTTCCTCCCCAGGTTCGCCGACAAAATTTCGAGCCGCAACGATTCTCTCACGTTGGGTCTTCTCGGGGATTCCCTTCGCCCTCTTGCGTCCTATCTTGGTTCTTCTCCTTGCGGGCTTGGTGAAATCCTCGTGTTCGAGATCCACACCCGTATCCAGCACTGCAATCTTGACGGGGCCGTACCAGTGAAAGCCGGAATTTATCGTGGCCTCGTCATCATCAGGCGTCCAGTGGATTCTGTTGTACCACGTTTCCTCCAGAGTTCCAAAGAAATTGTCAAGATATGCGTCTCTATCGACTGGTTAGTATCGCGAGATTCATGGTGGGCTTGTACAAAAAAGCTCACTTCTCAGGGGCCGGCGTCGACTCATTTGTTATACTTGCATCAGTCAGTGCAAACATTTCACCTATTCATGTTAGTCCCTCATTAATACTCTTCTAGAGATGATGAGGCTTGCCTTGGACCTGCTTTACTTCTTCGCTTAAACTCGGGGACGGTGTCCTTCGCGGGCTCTTTGGGGGTTTCAGCATTCCCTCGTTCTTTGTGTCCATTCTCCCCTGCCGCGTTTCCCCGCCAGCCTCCAAGTTCAAAGAATCCATTGCAATATTCTGGTTTGGTTGGTTTGTCTTCTCCCGACCGGCTTGCGAAGGTGGGACAAATCGGACTGCGAGCCGCAACGCCGTTTGGCGATGGCCATGTGTCCGGGCAAGCTGTAGGGCAGTCTCCCCTGCGTCATTGGTGATATCGCGATTTGCCCCCTTATCGAGCAGTAATTGGACTATTTCAGTCTTGTCGAACCTCGCCGCGAACATCAGCGGCGTCCAGCCCTCGTTGTTCAGGCAGTCCACCTCTGCCCCATGCTGCAAAAGCACCTGGACGCACTTCTCCAGCCCATGTCTTGCCGACCTATGAAGCGGATGCCATCCTCGAGGGCTCGCTGCTTCTACCGCGTACGGATCAGCGTGCAGCAGATATGCGACGGCCATTTCCAGATTCTTGTCGATTGCCCAATGGATAGACTGGCCTATGTGAGTTGGAACTTCATCCTTCCGGGGATATTCCTGGAGGAATACGTTGTGGTTCCCCTTAGCCTTGGCACAGGAGAACACATGGTCGAATCTTCTCCTCTCGGTCGCCGATAGGTTCTCAAGGAGTCTCTTGGTAGTGATCCCTTCCTTGTTCCTCGCCGTTGCCGACGCTCCGTGGAACAGGAGAAGAGCAGCACACGGGATGCTTCGGGCCCTGACGGCGAAATGCAGAGGCGTGTCTCCATTCGCCGACGCAGCGTTCGGGTTCGCGCCACTCAAGAGAAGCTTCAGCGTCGTCTGCGCCGACCACAACTGCGCGGCCACATGAAGCGCCGTGACCTCTCCTCCGCCCTTTTCCCTCTCGTCGGGCGCCGTCTTCGCATGAACATCAGCCCCGTTCTTCAGCAGCGTGCTCACCACTTCGCGCCTGTTGTCAGCGGCGGCGAAGATCAGTGCGGTCCACTTGAAAGGGCTCCGTGAGTCCACTTGGGCGCCTTTGGCGAGCAACTGCGCGACGATCTGGTGCAGTCCCAGCTGAGCCGCGTTCTGGATCGGAGTGCGATTTCTTTTGCGGCCGTCTTTATCTCGTGCATCGCGGCAGTCCTCGGGGTATAAATCGAGGAGCTCCCCGACAATAACGGAATTGTTCTTCAACACAGCTCGATGTATAGCCGTCGACCGATCCTTTTTCCGCTTTTCAAGATCCAGGCCATTTTCCTTGAGGAATTTCTCGAGCTCAGCAGAAGCAGCCATCTCTTGATTTCATTGTTTCTTCAAGGAGAGTGTTTGCCTCGTCGCAAATCTGTGGGTGGGAGGCGATTACTGCGAGCTTACATGCATCATGCATGATTAGTCGGGTCAGACTGTAGGGCTCATGACGCGATTGGACACATGCAAGAGCCCCTCTCTCATCTAGCCAGTGATATGGCAGAATCAGCTGGTCATTATCGAAAATCCCGGTTGTGAGCAGCTTACGCCCCCGCCATGAGCGAATTCGTCCAAATACCCGACCCTAATTGAGATCTTGTTTGGCTTCAACCAAAATACTAGCAGCTAATCCATCTCGTTCCCAAGCCTTCGGGGTTCTGCTATCCGCCATCAACAAGAGGGAACGATGAGTTTCGGAGACACCATGAAGAAGTACTGGATCGTGCCCTCAGCGACTCTTGGCCCCGAGGATCTAGTCCTCGGAACTGTGCTGAGGAAGCCAAACAACGTGATCGATACTCTGAACCGCAATGCCGTTGAGCCCATCGAGATCGGCCATATTATCCACGAGAAGGAGCAGGTGAAGAAGAGTATCGGCAACGCCTTCGATGTGGGATTTGGCGCCGAGCTTGGGGCGTCCTCAGCCCTCGCTGCCATTATAGGAGGAGCTCCAGCAGTAGAGGGGAATTGGAAGAGTGGGATTTCCGACTCCATTGAAGCGACGCAGATCCGGGCTACGCATTTCTCGCCCACGGCGGATTACGTGAACAGAGCGCTGCAGACGCCGGAGATCAAGGCCTATGTACGCCAGTCCTTCTTCACTACGCCAGTTTACATGGTCGTTGGGGTGGCGGTCGCGAGCTCCATCGAGAGAGAGTTCACTAGGTCCAAAAGTAAGGACGGAAAGGTTGGGGCGGACGTTGGCATCGCAGGTACTGGCTTGGATGTCTCGGCTTCTGTGTCTGCAAATCGAGGGACAGAGCAGAAGTACGGTGATAAGGTGGAGGGCGATGTCGTTCTGGCGTATCGAGCTCGCCGGTTCAGGTATTCGAGGAGGAAAGAGGTCTTTGTGAGGAATAGTGAAGATGAGAAAAAGCATGGGAAATATAGCACAGATCAGGACGAGGAGCAGAACAAGGATGACGACGATGACGATAATGACGAGGAGGATGACGAGAACGAGTTTGCCGAGTTTTCTTATTTTGAACAAAACGATGTTTCGGCCACAGAGGCTGGAGCGGCAGGTTTTGAAGAGGACAATGAGAGCGAATAGTGTATCCTGTGTGCAATCCTTGCGCTCCAATCACACATTTCAAGTTTTGTAGTCAATCAGAACGTGAGTTCTGTAACAAGCACAGCATCGGGATCATGATATATGCATGCGAGCCTCTCGTCGCCAAGTGCCAGTCTATGCCATGGTCCAACCTCATGTGTAGACTCCAAATGTTCATTCTCCGGTCTTATCCATGGCTACATCCATCCCCTTAAAATTATATACTAGCTTTAGAGAACTCACAGGTGCAAGGCAACCACCTCAGAGCTACCTTGCTAGTCCGCCTAGGGTGAGGAGAAGCTGGGCTATGATTCTAGCCAATTCTCATTCATCCAACTGTAAGTCCACGAACCAACAAAAAGCATTTTTCCCCCAATCATTGAAGCGACTGACATAGAACATAGCACACCCAGAACCTCCAGCGTTCAATTGCAACACAATATCAAAGCAATTAATCAGTAATAAATACAATATGGAGCTAATTATTGTAGAAGCTAATCCGTAATTTTCTGATTATTGACAAATCATTTTGTGTTATAGTGGATACTAGGGCTTATAGTTCCCACGATAGCTTCAACTACCACATACGACCATACCCATTCGAAAACACGCGATCCCGTCCGCTCTCGCCTAGTTAAACGGATGAGGGGTGGATTAGTAGTTGGGTCGGTGACGACCAGCGAATACCCGCTGTTGTATGTTTTTTTCTCGGTTTCTTGTCTTCTTTTTTTAGGTTGATAAATCTCGTCTGTAAGTGGAGGCAAGGGCTGGGTAATGACGAGTATGAGTGGGCATGGCTTTCATGCTATCAAAAGCAGCCAAGATTCACCCCCGATTCTCATCTAGGTCAATGTCCAGATAGTAGTCAAAGCTTCCTTGAAGCTGTCCATTCCAAAAGCCAACCATGCTATCATCTCATCCCCTCCATTATAAATCCAACACCGAATACTTGTCCCGACCATGGTACAAGCATAGATCACGTCGACTAGTGGATTCGCGAAGAGAAAGTCGGTACAGTACTCAAGGGCATGGTGCTCGAGTGCTCGGACCACGGTGCCTGCCGTGTTGTCTGCTCTCTTTGTCTTTGCGAAGCAGGCAACCTGCCACGCGCCCTGTGCGGTCGGGTGCTGGATCACCAAGTCACAGGCTTTTTGGCTCCCAGACTCTGGCGGCTGCTGGGGAAAACATGAAGTTGCCCGTAAAGATTTGCCGATAGAAGAGGAACTCGAACAACCAGACAGTTAAATGCTCCTTAGGGGCGATGAGGTTTCCGTTGGGGTCGAGAGTCGCCTAGGCAGTGAGGTAAAGCGACTCCATCCCCCACTCCAATATAAGTCCATGTGGGTGCCAAGCTGTTTGGGCCATAGTCGAGGTGGTGGGGGAGCTGCGTCTGCAGGAAAGGTGACTTTACGAGTATAGTCCTGTGTGATGAGTCACAAACGAAACATAACCGGTGATGAAGAAGGCTGGTTCTAGACTCGGTATTGAACTCTCAGAGGGAAGTAAGGCAGAGTCCAGTTTTGTTGTGGACAGGTAGCTTTAATGACCCAATCCCTTGCCAACAAGCGCTTTTTATGGTGACAACGTTCCAGAGCACCCTGAGTGATTGGATTGAGATGAATGTGCACGTGTCGGAAGCAACGTAGGCGCCCATAGTTAAGCACCGCCACACTCACCCTGCATGAGACTCTATCCCAGGGTCAATGATCTTGCTCTCTCACACATCATCTTGGGCCTGGCGAACTGGTGGAAATCCTCTAAGCTGTCACCCGAGGTTCTGGGGATACGTTCCTTGCGCGGGGCCCGTATCTTCTGGTAAATAAGATCTTCCTCTGTTCACACGAGCCTAAATGGCGAGGTCACTGCTATTCTTGTCTGCTGATGTCTTCTGTATTTAAACTACAACATCCTCGGCCCGTTGCTTGTACTGTGGTCCGTACAACTCGAACTATCACATGAAGCTGAAGACGCATATTTCGGCTCTTTCTCCTAAAGGAGGCGACCATGATCCTCTAGGGATTTTTCCTGATCCGGTGACGACCAAACCTCATGCCCATCGCCTCTTAGGAGTTGTACGGCAACCAAGACACTCAGGGAGCGGCAGCAAATCAAAACTCGCCATAAAGCTATCTATACCTACAGCCTGTCACTATGATCCGTTCTCATTCGCGGCCCACTCTATCAATTGTGCATTAGTGAATAAGGTCTCCTTTTCTGGAGTTAAGTATTTGCAAATACAGCGATTTGGACCCCGTTGCACAGGAATTTTGGTTACATGCGATGATGGAAGTCTGAGTACGCTTCGACAATGAGACCCAAGCCAATCGGGCAGAACATATTCCTTGTATTAAGTCTCAGAAGGGTCCCTTAAAGTGTTACCTTTGCCTATTCCAGTACGGAGGGGACGGTGGAGAAATTTGTTCAAGAGATTCTGGTGAACGAAGATGAGTCCGATTTCATCGAACGCCAGCGATTTACCTGCAATAATCCCAACATAGTATTACCCAATCCCCCCGTCCTCCCCCCTTCTCACATTTTAATGTGATGGTAATATAATCTTAGGAAATCATGTGGTGGTTTACCTACACTTGGGATCAAATCATGATTTGGGATGGGTATGACATAGTCAGAGATGTCGTTGCCGCTTTGCCTTTCAGTACAGTGGCATAACAGCGGTACACCCAAACCAAGGCCAAAACCGGGCAACGCCGAAAGACCTTTTTATTGACGAGCTACTCCCCGTCTGATTGAGCAGGGTATATTGAACTTTTGTGGTGTGGGCTTAGAAATAAGTAGACCAGAAGCTATCTTGCCAATCCACCTGGAGTATTGAAGAAGCTGCTTTTCTCGCTCATTATTGAATATCTTCTAGATGATCCGAATGTTCAGATCCGAACGATCATCAAATACCATGCGGTTAATAATAGATTTATCAAAATTAAGGTTCTGCATTAACTCCCGCTCAGGGTGCGTAACGTTTCATCCTGTCATTTTGCACAGCATGTGTGAAATAACTCCGCGACTTCCGAGCCCCGGTGGACAATAACACAGAGCTGGTCGACCTCCATTGAAGGGTTCTCTTCGTTCATGTTCCAAAGGCACACTAATATCAAGCATCTACCTCACTGCATCCGGTAAGGGAAAACAACGCACCGGGGTTCTACACTAATAATCCCATGGCGAATTATCTGGTGATGTCGATTCCAAACAACATTTTCATGCCGGACCTTAGTAATAGGCTCGCTCAGCCACCTTGTGTGCTCCAAGAGGGCAGCCCTTAGGGCAGGTGGCTGGACATGAGACCGAGGTGGGCTCGCGAGCTTCAAAGTCTGACTTACCAGCGCATCGTCACTACTACATTAGGCATTAGTTTCTGAACCTGGCTGGCTGTTGAAACGACCAAGTGGCCGATCAGATCGATACAATTATGCGCCACTTAATTAATTACCACGGTGCTTAATACTGTCAGGCGTCATCAGCTCCATCTCCGGTGGAGAAGATACGCGCCGGGGAGTCGATCAACAAGGGATGGAAGCATTTCATACACTGTATGCGTCCAGCTGCCAATGACTTCCCCATTTAGGCTTAATGTTCGGCATGCATTGTCTGAGCAGCGGCAGGGTCCTGTCATCGCCGTCCAGCTGCCGAACATGGATCGATTTCGCGTTCGAGAGGCGATGTAGAACTCACCGCAGGATGAACTGTTCAGTTGCTTGCTTCTGATGGTCGGAGGCGCCATTGGAACGATCAAGAAAGTACAATTTAGATTGCAGAGGAGTGTTTTAGTAAAATTATCACTGACTCAAAAGAAAAGCAAGAAGAAAGAACCCTGGATTGATCTCGTCTCATCTTTGTGTCCTGGGTCCGGCAGGAGGCCTGGGGACTGGGCCATCGAGCCTATGCCGGCAACGCATCAACCCCTATTCTTATGCTCTGCTGATGAGCGAAAAGCTTGGCTGGCGGCAATGGCTAGTGGCTCGGATAGTCCATAGCTAGCTGTCTTACCACGTAATACCAGGCCAATAACCTCCCTGATCGGGCTGGACGCGTGGGCCAGACTGAGGCCAATGGCGGCTCCGAGGCCCTCCAAAAGAGCAGGTCAAGAGGGAGAGCCCCTGGCGCGCTGTGAAACGTAAGCCGGCGTGGCCATGGGGCCATTGGTTGGAAAATCACCGCGGTCATGCCAATCCCACTCTGGTGAAACGGCCATCCCGGTTAGCCCCTGACGGTCTCAAAACGCCAAGGGGAGAGATGAATTGAAACATCTTGATAAGAAACTGGCTCCAAGTGCTGTTTCTCTTCTTGATCTGCCCGGCTTTGTTCTGTCTCTTCCTCACGAGTCAACTGTGTGTTGCTTTACCTTCATTTTTCTTTCGATTTTTTGTTGCCAACACTGGATTGTTTGACACCATTCTTTATTTGAACATATTGATTCACGACTTATCAACCAACCTTCTTTACATATCGCATACAGACATTCATTTAAGACTCGAATCGAGCAAATACCGCAATCATGATTGCAAAGGCACTCGTTGCATCCATCGCGCTGGCCGCCTCAGTCTCAGCTCAGACTTTCACCGACTGCAATCCCCTTGAGAAGGGTAATGACCATACACATGACCACTGCCTCTGGATTCTAGAAACTAACATGATGAATCAGATTGCCCTGCCGCTCCTGCCTTGGGCACCCAGTCGATCGACTGTGACTTGACACAGGGTGCATGCGCTGGCTTCAATGTTCTGGAGGGTACCACCTTGACCTATGACTCCAAGGGTGCTCTTTTCTCTATCGAGAACGACAAGCAAGCGCCTACCATCGCCAGCAGCAGGTACATTTTCTTCGGTCGCCTCGAGGTGGTCGCCCAAGCCGCCCCTGGCCGTGGCCTGGTCACATCCATCGTGCTCCAGTCTGCCGATCTTGACGAGATTGACTGGGAATGGCTCGGCTATGATGAGGTCAACGTTCAAACCAACTACTTCGGCAAGGGAGATACCACCGTCTACGACCGCGGCGCCTTCCACAAGGTTTCTGCGCCCCTGACCACTTTCCACACCTACACCATTGAGTGGACTGCTTCCAAGCTTGACTGGATCATCGATGGCCAGGTCGTCCGAACTCTCAACTACGCCGATGCCGCCAGCGGCACTCGCTACCCCCAGACGCCTATGCAGGTGAAGCTGGGTACCTGGGTTGCAGGTCTTCCCGGTAACAGCCAGGGCACCATCGACTGGGCCGGTGGTCTTACCGACTTCTCGCAGGCTCCCTTTAACGCTTGGTACAAGTCCATCAAGGTCGTCGACTATGCTGGTGGCTCCGCCGCTCCCACCGAGAGCATTCGCGAGTACCAGTACGGCGACAGGACCGGTTCCTGGGAGAGCATCGTCATCGTCAAGGGCGAGCCAATCCCTCTCTCCTCCGCCATCACCACCCCCGGAGCGTCCACCCCCGTCACCACGAACACGCCGGCGTCTTCGTACACACACACCGGACCCTTCAACTCATCCTTCGTCGCCCATCCCACCCCGACCGGCGGCGACTTCACCACCTCGACCGTCTACGGCACCACCGTCTACGTCACCTCGTGCGCTCCCACCGTCACCAACTGCCCTGCCGGTGGCTCGACCAAGGTGACCGAGACCATCGCCATCTCCACGACCGTCTGCCCCATCGGCACCGGCAGCAGCCACGTCTCCTCCCCTCCCAGCGCCACGAGCGGCAACTCGCCCCAGCAGCCCTCCAGCAGCGGAATCAGCGTGACCAGCGGTAACTCCCCCCAGCAGCCCTCGGCTACGACCGGTCCCGCCAGCCCGAGCCACACCTCTGCCAACTCTCCCAACAAGCCCTCCTCCAGCACGCCCTCTGGCCTCATTACCGCCACGTCCGCCTCGCCCGTGCCCTCGCACCCGCACAGCAACTCCACCGCTAGCATCACGTCGCCCTCTGCCGTTCCCACCGCCGGGGCTGCGCAGTTTGTCGGCAGCCTCTCTTTGGCGGCTGGTGTTGCCGCCGCTGTTGTGTTGTTTGTATAAAGAATAATGAGAAGAGAATGGAATGGAACGGGGAAATGGGATATAGAGAAAGGGACACTTCTTATTCATGGGAACGACTTGTTAAATGGGTTTATACAAGTAACGCCGGTCTTCGTTACTTCTTTACATAAATGTACAAAGTAAAAAAAGTAAAATACAATGTTCATATCGACATAATTACATATGTTCTTCGTTTCCCGATGTGCTTGTCTTCTTTCGCTTTATAAAGTACAGATAAATCGATCTTGCCAGTCATACCTAGATCAACTTCAGGGACAATACTGCGCCAGGAAACGTAGTCGTCTGGGTTGGCGGGTGGGATTCCGACAACGGTGCGGTCAAGCTCTGGGTCGGGATGGAACTCTTGCGCGGGGAAGAATTGGGTATTTCCGGGATCGGCTGCGGAGAATGTAGGAAAAAGTTAGTTGGCTTGCATTCCTGAGGTCACCCATAAGAGATAGCGCTGACCGTGTCAGAGCTCGCAATCAATGAATTGTGACTTGGTCATGGAGTCGGGCAGGACGGATAGTAATAGACCATGCGGTGAGATCCACGTCGATTATGCTAGTTCATTCAGACAATTATATTGTATGGTTAAGGATAGGTATGTGACTGGTATACACTTTGAAAATTCATTATATCGTTCGTCAAAAGAGAAAGAAAAGCAAACAGTACAACCACCATAGATTCATTAGTTCTTCTTCCGACTACTTCCAGCTTGCGCGGGTATACTCTCCAAACTGCCAGGGTATCTTGTTGAGCATGCTGCTCTATGATTTCACATTTCCAATATAGCATTCCAGCGTGCAGAGGATATCAAAACTCAGCCCAACGTCAAAGAGTCTTTGAACAGGCGAGCGAGTCTAATCTCAGTGTGCGCGCGACAATCTGATGCACTGCCTCTAGACCTTATCGGCATTGGCGGCAGGTCCCCTGGACTTCCAGTAAGCCATGGCCTCGAGACCGAAGAGACCGAGGAATCCCGCCCAGATGAAGTATGCGAAGGCGACAGAGGCCTGGGTAACCTGGCATGAACGGTTGCCCATGCAGTCGGGAACACCAATATCGGCGGCGACAGCTGTGGCACCGGCGAACCAGAAGATCATGGTGATTCCCAGAACGGCGAGGACAGCGATGGGGATGTGAGCTCTTGGGAGGAAGGCGGGCGCGAAGACGACATAAACGAGGACAAGGATGGACCATACGACGGTGAAAAGGAGGAACTGGACGGCGGACCAGCGCCAAGTGATGTCGACAACTATGGAGATGTTAGCAGATGGTAAGACGGGAGGGACGGTTGGGCATCAAAGGGTTTGGGTACTGACCATAGCTGACGAGACCGAGCTCAATGATGAGGAACAGCGCCAGAAGGGCGTGGATGATGGTGAGGATGCCAAAGGAACCGGCCTTCATGATGTCGGTTGGATATTTTCGCTGGGGAGAAGAAGATAATCGGCTGTGCCGGTGGTGTGATCAGATCGAGCAAGCTCTTGGCGGGAAACGAAATTAATAAGGGATGATCGGGGGTCGGTTTGGTTGTCGTCGCGACCGAGGCGGGGTAGCGAAGCAAGAGCACGAATGGTGGATGTCTTGAAATGTTGTTAGATATCGAAGATGATGTGGGAGAAGAAGAGAGGGGAGGCAGAACTAAAACAGCTGGGTGATAATGGTGAATAAAAGCAAAAAGATTTGTCGCTTGGCAATGATGAATGTGACGCGCATCCAGCGAAGGCGCTGAATGGCGATGACGTAGCCTTCCAAGAAATGATGCAGTGCCAAGTGGTGAGGTCATGCGCCGGTTTTAGGCCCTTTAGGCGCTGTATTAGGCGGCTTTAGGGCACATCCACAGGCATTGAATCGCCCAAACCTCAATGGCTTGTGGCTGATGTCGCGGTTGTGGCTGGCGGCTGTGGCTTAGCAATGCTTAATGTTATAGGGTAGCTGTCAATGGATAGAGGAAGCGCTCAGAGCTTGTTGGTGAATGAACCACGTTTGACTGCACTACAAGGTCAGTCTGTTCAAGACAATGGCCGTACAATTTTCAACATATGCATATGTCGCCAGTGACTTTCAGAACTACCCAAACTTACAGCCATTACCAATCATTCTCTAACCAAGTCTCCCAAAGGCTCCCATCGTCACTGCTCATCACCAGCGGGCTGTATGGGTGTAGGGTAGCCTTCTACAACCTTTCGGATAAATAGATATTCCGAATCGAGTCATGTCTGGCGCAAGAACCTACTCTCCTTGGAATCGGAACTTGTCGGACCAAATTATTCTTGCTACCCTATACAGGAAACGGGTAAACATTAATCCGATAGGAGGCACTCACTCGTAACGCGGCGGAAATCAACCCAACAGGAGATATCACGTGATAGCCTTTCCTTTACACATGAATAAATAGCCCATCTATACATCCTCTCTAGATGGAAATTCAAGTCTCCTATCATTTCGATTCAATTGGTGACCTCTAGCTGTGGCGAGTCGTTACATTAACCATCTCGGTTTAGCCATGGGCATTGCCCTGCTATACCTCGCGGATGCGATTTGACAGCATTCCTCAAAACCTTGTGAAAACCCTGCGTGCGTTAGGCTGAGTACATTACCTCAAACATTTTCTCGTAATGGACCTGTACTACCTCATTTGAATATATAGGAAAGCCCTTCTCTCTGTAATGTCTGAGAGCTAGGAGGGGAAGGTCGTGATAATTGTCGATTGGCGTAGACCACGAGCACGTAGTGAAGGGGCTCACGCGCATCAAACCTCGATTGGCAGGGCTTGTATCACAAGCAAATGCCGGCGCCAAAATCTATCGCGGCCTCATCTAGACAAGTGGGTGAACCAAAAATGACAATGAATGGAAGTTTTGGTCGTTCTATACATGTATTCATCAAAGACTCTAACAATAAACAAGACGCACCAGCACAGGTTGTCAAGGCTCCCGACAAAGAACGCGATGAATTATTATCCCCGCTCTATTTCCCCAAGATTGTCAGAGGGACAATCTGGATATATTTACACTAATCTTAGCTTCAAATAATCACAAGTGACAAGGAGGTATTCCGTTTCTTGCGGTAAAAGTATACTAAGCATCGAAGAGTTTAATCATGGCTAGTTTTTCGACATGTCAAGGCTCTATCTGTGACCAAAAGTAAGTGCGATCAGAGTATATTCTAGAAATGACCTGAAGAAACACGAGAAAAACAACAATTGCTTAAACATCGTGCAGTTTAATCTGGACTCCTACTAATTTCCTGATATCCACAATCATGAAAAACATGTCTCCCGCCATCCTGAGAATGTATTCCTTCTAAGGAGAGGGTTGAATCCGATCAGGGGAAAATCAGCTATATCTCTCGCCAACTGCCCAAGCTGACAACGGGACCCTTGGATCCCTTCGCGAACAATACTTCTTTGGGAGTCGAAGATTGTGGGTGGGGCTTCTTTCTTGAGGAAGGCTGGTACTGGAGGAGTATTTACTTTCTCTGTTTTTCATGATTATAGGGGCCATAGCTTTTGGAGTCACTTGGACAGGAAACAAGGACGATACACAAGGCGCGTTTGCGGTCGCCTGGACGATGCAAGTAAGATCCCCATTAGTAATGGTGCTCGCCATGAGAGAGCTTCCATGGATCAACGCGAAATGTGATCTAATGCTCATACACTATCGATTCATACTTTTCCATGGGACCCTTCTTTGTTGCTATCTATTTTATTATCACAGTAGCCATGGGACTGTGGCCTCATCAACAAGTTAGCTAGTGACTTGCCTAAGATGGTCTCCTTGTCAACGGAAGTTCTCTCCCTTAGGTTATGAATAAATAAAAGTCTGCGGTAATGTGATGACCACAGTTTGAGAATACGGGAAAGTTTGGGTAATAAATTAATACAGAGCTGTTATTTTCGGACTTTAGACATGTTTCGCCGGGTTCTCGTGTGCAGAGAGGAGGAAGACCCGCGACCTACATAGCAGCCCCAACCGTCTCGACTTGATTCGTCCTCAAGGTTCTCGGAAGTCGAAGCACGTGGGTAGAGATTCCCACTCTCTCCTCAAGTTTTTAAATTGGCTTATGGGATGTGGGAGGAATCTCCCTGGTCTCGGTCGGAGTTACGAGCATCTTCTGGTGAGAGTCATGATGAAGTCGAGCGTATCGGGCCCACAGAACAGAGAAGTGGAGCCGCCAGGGTCAAACCATGTCGGACTTCTCGGATTTGACTCTCCACTTGCACCACAAAGCTGTTTATCATTACACGGCTGGGGATCAACATGAACGCCATTGACCTCTACACGGTCTAGACTCTACCATAGAAGCTATAGCATGACTTTCAAGATCGAGATCGTCAAACGCCTTCTTGAAGAAGTGGTCCATCTCTAGTGATTGTTCCTACACTAGCTAAGCCGTCATCGAGCAGCCGCCCATGAGGAAGAGGCTGTGCTTGCATTTTGGATCTACCAGCCAAGGGACTCGCATAGTACCATCAGGAGATGAGGTGTAACACGAAACGTCGTATTAGCAATGCCCATGCGCTGATTTGTCGGCCCCTTGTAGCTGATATCCATGGGTGACAGGATATCACGGAACGCTCTGTCAAGCCGAATGGCATTGCTTCTTGCAAGGGTGAGGAAGGATTCCCATCGGACAGTAGCCCCATAGCCCCATTGAACGTGGCGCAGAATATCCTTAAAGTACCATGCTCGAGTCACCAGATGTGGAAGCATTCGCTAACTGAAGTGAAGACCCAGCAGATGACATGGAAATGAATAGCTGAGCGGAACCGATCTTTGGATAACTGAACGCATCATGAAACCAGTGAATAATCAGCTGAGATGAACATCAAGTTATCCTAGTTTGACTCCGTGTAAAGGACATCGATACACGCTTGACCTGAAAAGAAAGAAACCCGCCTAATTCAAGTCTAAATAAGAGTACATCTAGCTTGGGACTCCTCCTCTGCTACTTGGCAGTAAATGGAACACAATTCCAAAACAGGCTAGAAATGGTTACGTCTCCCGTTGCCTCTCAACTGCCAATCTGGCTGCTCCGTCGCAAGTCACTGCCGTGGCTTGGCCCCTTCCCCACGTCCCGAGCGAAACATCTTTTGTTGGTCGGAGCAAGGGTGAACGTATGACAGCAAGGCTTAGATTAGGGGCCGAAAGTTCGATGGCTTGCCCTCTAGGGGCTGCAGCTAGTCTGATTAGGGATTCATCCTCGTGCCTTATAGCTCCCGAGTGACGCGTACTGTATCATCTCTTAGCTGCTTTGCTGAAGCTCATATACCTCCGATCGCCAGGGCCGGATATTGGTTGCTTCCTCGATGTATCTCCAAAACCGGCATGCACAGCTATCGCAAGATGGACAGATATGACAATCCGGCTCCCGCTTCGTTCTCGAAGCGGCTTATATTATCATATGCCTTTGACTGGTTGGTTTTGGTCGTCGTCATCATCGCGGCGGTACTTCTCGGGCGCTTGTCTCCCACAAAGAGACCATTCTCACTTGAGGACCAAAGTCTAACGTGGGCATTCCGATCTTATTCAGTGTAATCTCGTGCATTGAAGCTTACAATATCCAGGTTTCCTCGATCAGACGAGACTGTTCCGATCTGGCTGGCCATGGTCCTCTGCGTACTTGTTCCTCTCGTCGTCATTTTCCTCTTCGTCCTCCTGCTCGTCCCTGGCGCAAACAGCTTCTCGAAGCCAACGAGCCGATCGTCCATAATCAGACGAAAGCTATGGGAGATTCATGTCGGGTGGCTTGGCCTCGGATTATCTGTCATAATTGCATTCTTCATCACCGAAACCGCCAAGGGCCTGCTCGGAAAACCCCGACCCTACATGCTGTCAGTCTGCGACCCTGATCTAGCAAACGCGGCGGATCATCTTGTCGGAAGCGGAAAGCTATATGCGGCAAGCATCTGCCGACAAACCGACACCAAGCTACTGAATGAGGCCTTTCGCAGTTTCCCAAGTGGCCATTCGTCGTGTAGCGCCGCTGGGCTTACCTACCTGTCGCTGTTTCTGGCCAGCAAACTGAGGATCACGACTCCCTTTTTCCCACGGTCCGGATCGCCGTACTCTGCCGGGTTGCTCGACTCTTGGGTAGCCAAAAAGGACCATGACGGGTCAGAGTACGACTCACACACGCGGACAATCACCTCTCGACCTCGACTTTCTCGTACACAGGCCGCAGCCCCTCCGATTTACCTCCTAGCCCTGTGCCTCGTACCCATATTCCTCGCCATATTTATTGCCGCTTCTCGGTGGTTCAACTTCATGCATCACGGCTTCGATGTCATTGTGAGTTTCCTTGTTGGATTGCTCACCGCCTTCTTGGGTTTTAGTTATTACCACACTCCCATCAGTGTGGGCAGTGGCTGGGCTTGGGGCCCTCGTGAGAAGCATCACGCTTTCTGGGCAGGTGTCGGAGGTGATTTGCCTGTAGAAGAGCAGGCGAGGAGGATTGGGGACAGCCGGGGAGAGGACGTGGAGCTTGGGGCATATGCTGGGAACCACAGAGCGAACTACTAGGACGCAATGCCAAGGGGTTGCAGCTCGATGTCTTTAGATGTGCAGCTTAGGTGGTCTGCTCGACAGGTTCAGAATGCAGGAATGGTGATAACTGAGACGGAGTAATTATGCTGGGAAGAGTGCAGTTGATAAAGGGTGTCCATTGTAACTAATATTTCTCTGTGGGCTGTCACTCTTGACTGCGCACATTTCTCAGGGAATGACAAGTGATCTGTAAAAAGAGTGATTAAAGGCTACTGGGTGCCCACGTATTGTTGCCACCAACCCGTCTTCTGCCTCCCTCTTTCCCAAGCTCTAACTCTATCTGCTCTATGCGTGTTTCCTATGCCCTTAACGAGGGCTAGGGCACTGAAAAATTCCATGGAGCGCTACGTTGAAGCGCATGATCTAACAATCAGGCATATCGTGCGTGGCATGCCCAAAACATTCTTACACAACAAAAATGATGAGCATCCTGTTACTCCGACCAGAAGTCCAAACGCGCGGTCACCCACTCCCATTTGCAGTAAGAATTGACATGGCGCTATATTGGGTGCGGCATGATTTCCCAACAGGAGAAAGTAATTGTGCATGAGAGTCACAGCCTTAGCACACGCCGGGGGCAGGCCACTCACAGAACCTCGCACTTATTTGTGCCGTATTCCGACCTAGTCGAGTGCTTCTGCTTTCGCATCTTTCCCCTGGCATCCCTTATCCGGACCTGTCAAGTCGACAGTTTTTTTTGGCTGTATGCAAAGCAAGGGCCATATCACTCAATCAACACGCGCGGCAAGCTACTAATAAGGCACGTTCTTCCAATAGAGAAAATGCATTTGATTCATCGCCAGCACATCGTCTGCGGTAGGTCATTAAGAGACTAAATTAAAAATACAATCGTCGTCGTGACGGGCATTTGAGATCTTAGTTGGAGTACTTGGGATCCACCTTGTTGCTAAATGAGGAAAATGTATGGTTAGCATTTGAATGATTCCCAGATAAAGGGGGGATTGTAAGAAGGAGCTGGAGGGACTGTGACATACCCCGTGACCTTCTCGTAGACTTGACGGCCACCGTCGGTGATCTTCTCTTGCTTCTCCCTGGTAAGGCCCCAGCCCTGGCTCTTGTTGGCTTGACCGAAGGCTGCAGTGAATGGAGGGTTAGAATTGGGCGCAATTGAAATGGTTAGTCCCATCATGGGGAGGATTGAGACTTACCCTTGTCAACGTAGTCGTCCTGCTGGCCTCCTTGAGCCTGGGCGTTGTTGTGGTTGCTGCCCATACCGGAAGCGGCCTTCTTGACGAAATCCATTGTAAGATAAGTGTGGTGTTTGCTGAAGGGTGAAGGTAGTAGTGGGAAATAATAGTATAGGACTGGATGCTGAGTGATTGATGATGATTATGATGAATGAGAGTAGGCGGACGAGTGCTGTCTAATATACCCTTCGACTTCAAGCCAACGATCCGTCTTATCTGGTGGCCCATTACGCCATAAGGATGGACAGCGGGTTATCCCCACTCTCATCCAAGATCTCGAAGAGCTCCAAATTGGGGCATAAGACGCCCACGTCATACCCCAAACTTCCCTTGCTGTGCGTGCGTCATTTCAGCCGACAGTGTCCCTCCAACCTCCACTTCTCACGGGAATGGGACAGCCCCGCGCATTCCAGAAAGCAGACCTATCAGCACTCGCCTCTCTTCGATACCGCGGGGAATTAAGGCGATTTTACCCCTGAAAAGCTAGGCCTTGACTTTGACCGTCCATTGGCCTCAATTCGTATTCGACGGATTGGTAATTGATCGCCTTGAGTCTCCTTTCCTCTTCCCAGATTCCAACCCTTGTCCCTTTCTGGATCTTACGTCACACCCAGCTCTCGATGAAACTCTGACGGGCTCAAGAGCTGTCTGTGTACCAACAACGCGCGTCCACCAATCTTGGATGCGGTAGATTGGCCATCAGGGTCTTAGGAGGCTCTTTTTAGACTTGCATTTGAATTTGCACCTTCTCGAAAATAACGAGGCTCTCCGGTGCAAGCCTTCGTCTCATCCAATGTCTTTCTCTTGAATTAATACCTGCGACCACTGGATTCGGAGAAATCAGTCCCAATTTTGGTTCTCGCTGTTTTTGTCTGGATACTCTAATTTATTATGTTGTTATCAGCGTGTAGAAGCAAGCAACGATGGTCGACTCTAGTTGAATCTATAATTTCCGCTCAAGTAGGAAGTCATGGGCTCAAGAAGGCCAATTCATTATCAGAGATGCAATAATGGTCGTTGATTGACGAAGGCGTGCAAGCTCATTAGAGAATATGAGATACAGGGCCATTCAACTCTTGGCCTTTACAGAGCCTTGTTGCACAAACTCATTTTGTTCACACCAGTGATACCGCGGCATGCCCTTGGCTAAAGAAAGTCACAAGACAAGATAGAGAGTTAATCAATCACCCCATATATGCTGGCTTCGAAGAAACACACAGAATTCCATGTTCAAGTTAGAAAAGCTATGGACTGAGCATCTATTCCGTTGGTGAGGCTTCTTAGGTAATTCATAGGTTGCGCATCGGTCACCAACGTTGTGTTTTCCGAAGAAGTGTCGCCTCCTTCTGGGGTTGTCGCAGGGCTCTCTCGGCCCTGCGCTGGAGAGTAGATTTCCACCAATGAACGCCCTGGTAATTTATAAACTATTTATCATTTGGTCGGTTTAGTTAGTTAGTTCTATCTATGCGCCTTTCCATTGACATATTCGTCCAGGAGGACCTAGTCTGATAGAGCATTTTCTCCTCCTCCTTTAGATTCGACTACCTACTAGGAAACAGTGATAGCTAGCATAGGTAAAGCTTTAACCCCCACTTGTCATTAGCTGTCGGCGCCGAGACGCAGCTTGGCGACATATCTAGACGGGTTCGAGTACAATGCTGGGTGTAAAAAGTCAAGCGTGGGCGATGAAGGGATATCCGGGGGTAGCGAAATTGGTTGGATCACACATCTTCATTCCAGAGCGCAATTCTCGACTAGGTGTCAGTTTCTCGTCAGTCAAATGTATCGAAATGTAGATGTCGGTCTGAAAAGTCCGACTAAAGTACGTGCCACGGCGTTTTCCAACAGTCCCGGACATGGCCGGCCGATACATGTTGGCCAGCGGAGATGTTCCCCGATAAATCTCCGCAGTAACATTGACATGGCAAGCTCTGCTACACTTAAAAAGGCTTGATAGAGCTCATTCGCGTTTCCATTTCACTCCTCTCAATCATTTAACTGGGGCGATTTCTACATTTGACGGCACATACATCATCATGGCGCCTTCTCCGAAAACCTTCCAGAGTGACGATCGCGTCCTGTCCGTGCCCATCAAGTCTCTACTTGCTACTTTATACATGACAATGGACGAAAATAAGATTGACGAGTGGGGTGCGCACTTCACCGAGGACGCGGTATTCAAGAAGGAGGCTGCCGAGATCAAGGGCCGGCAAGGTGAGTGGTCGTAAGAAATAAAAAAATCCGATTCGTGACTAATACAGCCTCCAGCCCTCATCGACAGCGGTAAGGAGAGTTGGAAGCCGCTCAAGAGTCGAGATCACACAGTGTACAAGGTTTTTCCCTTTGGACCCGATTGCGATGAAATTATGCTGCATGGTCGCAGCCATAACGTCGATCTCGAAGGCAACGAGAGAACTTTCACATGGGCCGCCCGCATGCACTTTAGAACTGTCGAGGGCAAACTGCTGATTGACGAGTATACTATCATTCCAGTGAGTATTCCAAGATGAAAGCTAGTGACAGCGCAGCCTACTCCTTTCCGTGAAAATAATAACGCTAACTGTTGCTAGGACTATCATCGATAGGTAGGTTACGTGATTTGTGTCTTGAAGCTCGTCGGCATCTTGTCCGGCGAGCATTCATTTGTGCCCCTCACGGACAAGTCTCCGATACTTGGGTCTCCGATACTTGAGTGTCCTGGGGTGTGATCTTAAATGTTCTTAATTGGGACGGGCTGCTATATGGTTCAGGTTCTTCAGTTTAGAGCTGGCTTAAGTTCTCTCGATATGTAGTTTATTATTTCATATTACTATAACTCTACATAGACTGCTATTCCTCGCAGGGATACGCTTTCAATACTCTTGCGGAGTGTCTGGACGGTTGAAGTCACCCGGATATCAATAGCCGAATATTAGGGTTATCAAAATGGTTGAGTTCGCCAGCGTTAAGAGCGTGGCTGGCTGTGAGGGAAGTACACGTCAAACTCATACTTCTACCAACGTAAATCGGTGGCACATGTTAACAATATCTTCAAATGTAGTCGGTGAATCTAGGTGGCGGTTATGGTAGTTCTTTAGAGGCGCTTCTCCTTCGCGCCGTTGTTCAGTGACCCAGGTCTCATCGTGGGATTCGTGGATTGTTGATGTGTAAAAGGCACCTAACGCCTGTTGTACCTAGATTGTCACCAAAGCTATTGCAAAGAACCTGGCTCAGAATGTTGTGGCGGCTCTTCGAAAAGAGTGTGTGAAATGTTTTGGAAGAGGTGATCAGAGCGAGGAGATCTTGTGGAGAGGCAAGCGACTCAAGAATAATATAGAGTAGCTCGGGCGACGGCATTTCTATGCCATTACAAGCCATGTCTGCTTCTAGTGGTGCAAATAAATAAATAGTGGTGTTGAGGATGGCTGACTGAGCCTTGAGGGCTTCAGTTCACCGCTGTTTTGGCTGGGGACCAATCACGTATTGCCCTGGCATCAATCGCTTGAAATCAATCACCTTTGTAACATGAGCAACATTCTGGTTTGTACACAGCCACCTGATCGAGTCAGACTCGGGCGTGGTCGTCTTCACTTGATTTCGGCCGCGATGGAATACTAGTTACAACGGGGCAGTGAAACCGCATCGTTGGAGTTTTTGGTTATCAAACTTGTATTGCAGTTCTCTTGTACCTGTTATTTTCTACTTCACCATTGTGGAAATGAAGGATTCGGCCAAACCTTGTAAATTTAATAATGGATGGTTTGGCCACCTTGAGTTACCTATTCTTAATCAACGAGAGTAACGGCATTTGCCGGTAGTAGCTCCGTGAGGGTCAGGTCATTGATTCATAACCGCGATCGATCTCCGCAAGAAGTAATTCTGGCTAAGCCACTAAAGAAATAAAACCGCTTATATTTCTAAAATGAATATCCACGGATTTTCGTTGCCGAGATCTAGACAGGGCTGAACTAAAGATGTGCCAGAAACCCAATAACAACGTTCATGGGCATGGCCACTGAAGATAAACGAGGCAATGACGCTGGGCCTGGCATCGCGCTGCAAATCAGGACTCTAGCCGTTTCTAAAAATGGGGATTGGGGAAGGGATCGCTGTCAGGGAGGCGAAAAGGGTGGGCGAAGTGCCAATCCTTTCCGTCTCAGGTCTGGGGCTGACCACCGACTGAGCCACTCTTTTGGCACTTCTGCCTACTACTGCTGCACGAATCTGCCACTCTGACAGCCTACTGCAACGCCCCAACGCCCCTTGGGACTTTGGTCGTCGAATGAGGCGCTTGTCTGGGTGGTGATGCTGCCTTCGTGGCTAGGTTGAAATATGCCGATTGCCCATGGAGAAACCCCTTTCTGTCTCACCACGACTCAGATCCTCGCCGTTGTTTCGAAGTCGACTGTGGTGAGACCAACGGCTTAAATCGAGTATCTGCTCCCCGCAATTCGTTTATGTATACCCCATCGCCATAGTCTGAGCCTGTATACATTTCGGCCAGAGTCGCTACTTTCTCCCCCCGAATCGCATACCTTGCCTTAGCCGGGTAAAGATGGCGAGTCCGAATATTGATGGGCACGACACAGCGTCGTTCCTCAACAAAATGCCCGCGTACGAGCAGCCTGTGTATCCAGAACCAGCTGCAAGCCAGCCACACCGTCAATTCACGCTGGGATCTCTTCGTCCCTCCTGGCCTCGGAGAAACAGCTCTGCCGAGGAACCGTTGCAAAAGTCCAAGCCGATATCCAAGCGACGTGCGGAATGGAACAGCTTTTTGAGCAGGAAATGGGCAGTTACATTTGCCGCCGTTACCCTCATACAGGCCATCATTTGCCTGAGCTTTGAGGTGTAAGTAGGAAATGACCATGTTCGCAAGATCATTTGGGTTGATTAAACAGCTGTGCTAATACCATCTATTCATAGATACGTCTATGTCAAGCTTGAGTCGAGGCTCAAGCTCGGCATCCAGAATAATGTGAAGAAGCAGGTCGAGATCATCCCGACATTCCTACCCCTCTTCATCTTCGGCTTCCTTTATGAAAATGTCCTCGTGTGGGACGCCCTTCGAGCCAAGAATACGATACAAATCATGGGAGCCTGCTTTGCCAACTTTGCACTCGCCATTTACACGGGAATTCAGATCGACCAAGTCTACACAGCACTTGTTCTCGCCAAGGAGAATAACCAATTGCAGAAACCAATCGATCCCGACAAGGTGTTCGATGCCACTAAGCCATATCTTTTTACCATTTGCGCTCTCATCAGCTCGTCCACAATCATTATGGTGTTTGCAGCCTGGAAGCTCTATCAGGAGTTTTCCTGGAGCGTGCTTAAAATTATTGGCGCTGACTACAAGATGAAGAAGCGCTTTCTTTGCTATCAGGTACGGAGGACTTATCTCACATCTACTCGATTAACAGGAGGATTCTGACCGCTGTCTAGATTTATATTGGATTGCTCAAGTTTGACTTCTTCTTCGTGATTGGCTTCATGATTCAGCTCGTCTCAGTCGTCACTAGTCGCCGCGATCCTGAATTTGGTCTCACCATCGCTGCCATGCCAATCACGCTCATCATCCTGGCCGCTGCTGCCTTGTGCACGCGCCGAGAGATCAGATGGGGCATGGTTATTACAATCATCCTTTATCTTGGCGCACTGTCTTATTTCATCTTCAAGTCCGCCCGAGTCTTGTCTAATGACAGTATTTGGCAAGAATATTATAAGGCGGTAAGAAAGCCCCTCGCCGCATTCGCCTTGATCACGATTGTTCTCATCGTCATAACCATCATCAACGCAATATACTGCATGCATAACTTCGGCAAGGGGCTCAAAGATTATTTTGGGAAGCGAAGCAAGAATGAACCTGACCAAGAGATGGGTTCTCCCGGTCCCATCAGTGAACAACATCGGATGAGCCGTATAACTATTGAGTGATTTGTTGGATTTGAAAGCGACGAAGAAACACGATGGAAATATTGATACCCTCTTATGATTGTATGAAGATTTGACGATGATATGAAAGACTCAAGAATTTGGAAACAAATGATAAGAGAAAGATGCCCTTTCAAGCCGTTACATAGTAGGCGGAAGCTGATGGGCTCGAGCTTGGTGCTTATTTTTCCTGTTCATAAAATGGTGATAGCTAAATCTTGCCTTTGTTTATCCTTGACGACCGCGTTTCTGTTCCTATTTTGGAAAACCTGACGACCCGCGAAAAGGGAAATTAGGCAAAACTAAGGTAAGAGAGTTGTCACGGTGAGAGGTTGGTAGTGGGGGGAAAAGGTTGGGAACACATTTCCATGGTTCTCATTTCCCTGGTACCATGTGCCTCTGCCTCCTTGACCTCTCGTGAGTGCCTGGGTATTACGTGTTTCCCTCTCGTCTCAGGGCAACGCGCGTACTCCCTAACCCGATCGAGATGCATTGCTTGTGGGCTTACACAAAGGCTGTGACAGACAATGGCTTTGAGAATGCTAAGACTGAACTTTATTGTTACCAATCATTTTCCCCCACTCAGGCGGAGAAAATACTCATATTGAACATCCACTCGTCATTCGCAAGCTGGGCGTAGAGCTCAAAACACGGTGATTCTAGATATGTTCTGTATAACTCGTCGCGTTTACAACCCCGACACGAAAGTGGGGGGGGGGGAGGGGGAACACGCGTAGAGGAGAATGGAAGTGCTGTCAAAACAACGACTCCTCTGGGTGCATAAACAACCCTGATACGATACGCTGCGGTTCTGGTCATGTTCAAGGTGAGTATATCTCCTGGACGAAAAAGTAAAAATACTTGGATAGCACCTACCTTTTGTGAGGGAACGATATGATAAGGCAACGCGACTTGGTTTTACAGATAATGGCTCACTATGAGAGTCACTGATGCATTGGCAATCTCATTTTCACTCCCGCTATTTCAGCTCAGGGTTTGTGAATTTTTATTGAACTCATACCAAGTAGATCTAAAACAGAAGAAAGTGTGCTGAAGATCTTCACATACAGTGATGCTGTGGATACAAGACAATACGACCGCAAAAAAGTTATCGGTATGAAGGTTTATAGAGTTTTCCTTCTGCATGGCTGTAGCTTTGGGCTAGCAGAGCTTCTTTGTTTTGCCCTTTGTCTTCATGGTATTGAAATGCCGGGTCTGGAGCGATCTATTTCTGTTTTCACTTTGTTTTCGAACTCTCACCCGTGTAAGCTATGAATCAATTAAGGTCTCAGGGCCTGTGGTAGCTCTAGAGAGAACTGTTGTCTCGAATCTAATTTATCCGACGAATTTTGATGTCAATAATGAGGCAAGTCAGCTCAACATGTCTCGATTCCAGCTAGTTATTTAAGGTTAGAGTTACACATCAGCCTAGCTCTTCCTTTGTCTGAACTATCTTAAGGTTGATGTGGGTGCAATTACGAAACAAAACCTCCGAGAGTAGATTATCCATCGATCGATCGCGGCTTGGGATGAAAGGGATGAGGCTGGGATTAAGCCAAAACCACTGGCCTATCCTCTCTGGGGTGATCCCCAGCCTCTTGGATTCCTCATGGCAAAGGCTTACGGATCGATCGTGGCTTCCCTGAGCCAATAGATGCTGGCGTTTCGTAGTAGGTATAGATCCCTCTAGATGCAACTTATTGTTCGGAAGTAACTTGAAGAACTTATTGAAGCATCAGGCTCATGTTACCTGAGAGTATCGAGCGTTCTAGACTAGGATTGATGTTGACCAATGGCCCAGCCAAAAGGCGGCAGGCTAGATCTGTCTATATCACATAAATTAAGGAGCATGCGGCCAACGCGGTAGTGATCACCCATGATGTGACCCATGTCCGGGGGACATGTCCCAAAGTAGCTTTTTCTTCGTTCCTACTCTTCGGTTTAGTATTGGTTTATTTCTCAATTACTGATTCGTGCTTGCTGCTGGGGTGTTCACTTCGGCTCGAAGAACATGGAAAAACATTAAAAACAAAACAAGGTTTTAGACCAAGCCATTAGTCTGAATGAGAATCATACTTGCTATTGATCAGTACGCTACCCAGCCTCTCATTTTCAAAGCTATGGCCTCTTGTCCACTTGCTTCGTCGGATATTTGAAGGCCCTCTCGCGTCGCATTTCTTCAACCGATTCCTCAGATCTGTATTATCCATCCCTCACTAAAACATCGGTATACAACGCATCGAAATGCTGTTCCCCAAATTTGCTGCTGTTTTCGCAGCTTTTGCCGCTGCTGGCGCGAGCGCCCAAAAATGCAAATGCAAATCGAACCCTTGCACTACCAATCTCGTTAAAAACGGCGATTTTGATGACCCTTTAGATGGCTCCCCATGGGTTTTTAAGAATATGGAGATCACCGAAATCAAACCAAGGAGTTCTCCCCAAGCAGCGTAAGAAACATCTAGTGACCAAGGTCGCCTAAAGAGCATTCGTCTGACAGTCCCAGTTTGGCCTCAATCAAAAACGACATCGAGATACATTCTATTGAACAACCCATCACCTTGATTGAAGGAAAGAAATACGCGCTCCGGTATTACTACGCAATTATATCAGGCACAGTTCCTACCGCCGCTGAATGCGGAATCATTGCCCAGGTTGACAACAGTATTGTAGACGTGAATCCTCTGATCACTACTCAACTGGGGAAGTATATTCTGCATGAATGGACTTTCACTGCGGCCGCAACTAGCGAACTTAAGATCACGGTGGAATGCACAAAAGCGGGCGCCACTGTTGACGTCAACCTGGATGATATATCCATCTATCCGTCCTCCTGCCTAATCGTTGAATAAGATGACATGCGTCGATGTCATCTTCATACCAAGGCCTGGAGTGCCTTGCCGTATCAGATATGAATGCGGGATGGATAAACGCGGGTTGTCGACCTGCTTTCTCAACATTTCATCTTGGGTATTTTGCTTTGCCATTGAGAGGGCATATTCAAAACGGATAGGAAGTCAATTCTAAAAGTTTCTTCTAATGAAACTTTCCAATACCGTTGTGATTGGATACTGCAATCCTCAGCTGCGGTGAAGAGCGTTGCAATGACTTGGTATCCGATTAATAATTGAAAACTGGCGGCTCATAATCTACCGGTCTCTCAGAGACTCTACTGCATTTGCAGTGATGGACATAGCTATTGCTGTTTCAAAGTTAGGTGACATCTCGCTCTCCAGACAACAACTCTTTTAAGAGTAAAAGACCTAGGGTGGGCCCCAATAAATACCATTGCCGTTTCTTCCATAAAGCTTCGAAACCTTGCTGGACAAAGTGCCCGTGACGCCCTTCTGTCTCCCTTTTACTCTTGCGTTCTGTTTGTGGACTTCTCTCTGGGTTTTGGTATGTGACTGAATAAGAATGAGCAAAAGCAGGCTAGATACTTGCCGATATCGAACCCGCGAAATCTAAGTTCATGATTGAGTCTCTATGAAATGGCATCTAAATCGTTTCTCGAGGAACTGTGACTAATTTAGTTTGGGATACGGCCTTTCGACTGCTGTATAACGGCCAAGCTTGCTGAGCCCTGGAGCTCTCAACGTAGTCGAAACAAAGATCCTGTGCTATTTATCTAGCCCACTAACATATATGAACGATCTTGGTTTCCTGAATGGGTGTTTGGCCGATTGATGGATGCCTCACTGAACGTGAAGAGATGGCTGGATGTGGAGACCGCACACTCGTCCGTGGTTTCAATCTAGAGGAAGAAGAGAATAGAAAGAAGACGCACATAAAGTGTAGAGGGCTGCACTATACGTCGAGTGGAGTGCTTAGTCAACGCTTCTGTTGCGGCAGATGATGGAAATAAAATGCTTCTGATTTTGCATTCCCGCATCAGCCAATATTGAAGCCAACATTTGCTGCAAGATGTCTCACCAGGCACACAACATTCCCTGGAACGTATTCGGCTCCAATCTCAAATTCCGCACTAGAATCCCCTGTGCAGACGACGGGGCAGGCTTGCATTTCCGCTTCAGGCCTACGCAGGGCAAGGAGCTCACACACTTCGTCAACGCCTTCACGCGGAACATCCACCAACATACAGATTTAGAGCGTCAGAAATATCCGGAGGCACATGATGTCCTAGGCTCGGATGACATAGCTCTAGATGACCGTGTTGCTCGCATAATCACGCCCGCAGTCCGCCTGTGGCGCTCGGAGAGGCGGGACAAGCTTGGCGAGGTTGACGAGAGCCCAACCAACGCGCTTTGCCATCATTCTGAGCCAGACGAAAGATGTCGCTGCCCTCTTTCACACAGTCAAAGAAAGATGGTCTCTTTCCTCCACAAGTATAGGTGGTCTGATTGTTACAAGTTCTTTGATGACCACAAGGATGATTATCTTGGTCTTGAGGTGTTTAAATCGCTTCTCATGCACGGTGAGATGGATACGCTCCTCAAGATTTGCGCCCATCCAGACGTGGGATTTCCAAGCTGGTGGGATGCGCAGTTGTGCTTGTGCAACCCACAAGACCTCGGCCGCGATTACTTGGAGTACGCGCTGGACGCTTACCTTGTGCTCAACATCTTTCTGTCGTCCTTCCCCGAATCATGGGCCCCTGGCCGCTCTGATCAAGACTACCGGCGTACGAGGATATAGCAGATGATGATCTTTCGAGTTACAGGAACAAAGCAGGCATCCGAGCTGGCCACGCATCCTCATCGTCAGTTCTTTGGCATCGCACGTGGCCAGTTCAACTCATATTCCGGATTCAAATGTCCTACGTCATCAAAACGAAAAGACAGATTTTCGGGTACGAACCAGCCATATGGGCGTCTAACCTACGAGGAGTTTCTGGAGAGCCAAACGACAATGGACTTCCTGCCCTCATTGTCCGACGTCCTGCATGTGCGCTGGGTATTATGCGAGAAAGGTCTTCCAGTAGAAGTTTCACAACTCATTCTTGACAAGGCGCTGTATAGACCCCAACGCAGACTGAAAGTGCCCCACGACCCTCTTCACCCTGAAAATATCGAAGAGTTGAACAAATACCTCAAGTTCTGCTGGCTGGTCCTGGTACGGTCTGAAGTTGTGGCGAGAGAAGTCGGTATGAAGATACCATGGAAGGATTTGCTTTCCGAATCAATTGAGCGTTTACTTGGTTGTTCGTGTAGAAAGTTGCTGGAGCGGGGTGAACCACCTGATGACGACTTGGTGTGGTTCAAATAAAACATAAATTACAAGATCGCTTTTTTATTATGGTCTGACGGATACTGGGACTGTAAACCCTGTGGCTCACAGATATATTAGAGATTCCTTTCTTAGACGCGTAGACGCGAGCTTTTGCATGGGCAGAACTAAGATTAGCTTTGCTGAAAGGCTATCTCTCTACTACAACCCAGAAGAGTTTCGTGTTTCTATCATATGTTTTGTTTCATAGATTTGTTGACTTGGAGAGGGATGTTCTCATTATATTCTCAATCGAAGGCTACTATACTGGCCCACATAATCTAGTCTTATTAGTTACACATCTTGCTGTTTCTCTGCCTTTAAGTCTGCTCTGAACTCTTTATCCTGAAGCTTTCTTGCTACATTCTTTGTCAAGAATTTTTCAAAGTTAGGAACAAGGAAGGCGGCCAACAGCACGATAGCTGAGAAAGGAATCGTCGTGTAGAAGACCAGCTTGAATGCGTCCCTGTTTGCAGCTACTAATGCAGCACCCACGGCCTCGGTTACCGTCTCCGTGATACCAGGAACGGCACTGAAGTTCCCTGTTGTGATTCCTTGAAAGAGTGTGGGGAGCGAGTCTGATGGAAGGCCAGCATCTGTAGCTGCTGGGGCAACATACTCCGGTATCAACTCGGTCAATTTATTTGAGTAGACGGATGTATACAGGGCCTGGGCCACGGCACCCCCGAGACCACGGATTGACCCCAGTACACCAGTTGCCAGACCAATATCTTGTGGCTCCCATAACAAGGTGACGCCGGGATATGTGATGTTCTCAAGATAGCCGACGGCAGTGCACGCCAGGACGCCAAATGCGATAGTCGCTGCCCAGCGCTCTTCGGACAGAGACGTCAATGATGTCACAAAAGTCATGACGAGCGCTGCCGCGATGATACACTGGATCTTGACCTTTGGGACGTATGAGAGGGCGAAACCCGCCATAGTCTGACCAAGCAGCACGCCACCACCAACAACGGAGCTCTGCCAGCCGATGGCCTTGACATCTGTGGTGTAAACAGTCTGTATGATGGTCGGCCACAGCACGGTCATGGAGTAATAAACCATGGATGCAATGGTTGCTGTGGCTATGACGGCCACGAAGCCGATGTTTCGGAACATGCGAGGCGGCATAAGTGGTTGGACATGGCAGAAGAAACCCTCTGTTGAAGTTAGTAAGGTTATCATTATCTCGCGCGCGCTATTTGAAATTGTACTTACCATAAACGAAGAAGACAGCGACGAGGGCGATCCCAATAAGAAGGGTACACAATACTTCAGCGCTCTTCCAGGGGTAGGTTGTGCCACCCCATGACAGGCCAACGAGGAATAGAACACATCCGGAGATATACAGGGCGATGCCAATCCAGTCCAGCTCCTTTGTCTGTTGCATTCGTGTTTTGCCGACATGGAGCTGCTCGAAAGTGGGCGGATGGTAGAGGAAATGATACAGACACAGCGTGATGGTGCTGAGGATGATGCCGATGTAGAAGCTCCATCGCCATCCCTGCTGGGTATTCTCGATCAAAGACCGGGCGATGATGGGGCCGAAAACGGCAAACGGCATCGAGGAAAGGAAGACGATAGTGATGATGGGGCCTCGCTTATCGTTGGGGACCAGCTCGCCGAGGACAATCCCAAACGAAAGCTGGCCTGCAGCAGCGACACCGTTGCACCCCATTCCGACGATCAACATGGCAACATTCTGTGATGCAGCGGCCAGAATGCAGCCAACCAGTCCGAGCCCTGTGGTGCTCATTACCATCCACTTCCGCCCATATAAATCTGATAGTCGGCCAACGAAGAGAAATCCAATGGAAGACCCCATGGTCCAGATTGTAGCTGCCCAGCCGATGTTTGGCGAGTTTCCGAGATCCGCGTTGATAAGTGATCTTGAATGAGTCAAGTTAGTATAAACTCAAAGGATGGACTGAGTTTCACATACAGCGTGTTGGCCGGGAGCACCCATCCGAGGTATCCGCAGATACTGGCGAAACATTGTGCCTATCGTCGTTAGAGTTATCTTCATTAGGGATGTTTTTTTCCATACCATGACGGTGCCGATGAACTGGGGGCTGCGAAAGTAGCCTGGTGGCATGACATCCACCTCTCCTCCAAGAGCATGGGCATCGACATAGTCGATAGTACCATCAGCGTGGACGACCTTGGCCCTCTCTCCATCGTTCTCGAGAACTTGTGATATGTCGTCGAGGGGTCGTCCATCTTTAGACTCGATATGGCTTGCCGCAGGCCCTTTGGTCTCAGGGCCAGACGTGGTATCCGGTGCCATGTTGCTTGCCAAGGAGACAAATCAAAGGCTAAGGAAAAGTATGGCGCTGGAGATTCCCGTAGTATTCTAAGAAACCACTATCGGAATGCTTGGCTTGAAAAGGGGGATGAAGATCGCCAGAGTAAGGGGGATGACGGTTATTTAGTCAACTACGGGAAAGGGCGTGGAAACACCACGTTTGAGAGCGCCACATCCACCTCAAGTTGCCTTTTGTTGCCTGCCCATGCGCTAACAGGCCTGTAAGAGTCTAGACGCCCACGTTGAGGCCCCGGATTTAGGTATCCACGATCTAGCCCGAGATCGCCTCCGCATAAACGATGCGGGTGCGGGGATGGGCGCCATTTTGAGGACACCATCAAACGAACGGACTGTTTCATTGATGCACGCTGCACTCACTGCATTTGTATCGATGTAACCTGGAGTTGCCTGGTTGGTGAGCCAGTGGTCCAGCAGGTTTGATCAACATTAATGCTCTATGTAGGAAAGCCGCCGATGATGCACAATGCTGGCAATCCAAGAATAGGACCAGGCGATTTCCTGTACTGGATTGTACTTCTGGCTCGGAAATGCATTAAGCATTTCGGGCAACCCGACTGGTACGAACTCTCTTTTGGATTCTTTACCCGAGTTTGTGAGGCTGGCCAACAGACTTTTCCCGGTTGTTGCCACTAGCCGGTTGCTCTGAGCCAGGTCAAAGTACATCATCGGCTCTCGTCTTCCGACGAGCTTAGGCCATCGAGAACCGCAAGGGAAAACATCATCCTTGGCACATGTACATTTGTGCGGGCTACCTGATAGCAAGCTGGGACTAATTTCGGCATTTGCCATCTTCTTTCCGGTGCTTCCAGAATCACTTCCATCTACTATTGATTGCGAAACTCAGCACACCTTCTCTCGACTACTTTCTACTTTGACACGCTCCATGGTCTTCTAGACTACCAAGCTCCCTTGCTTATCCTGGTCCGAAAAAAAATGGCTGTGATTTTGAGTTTGCCGTCTCCCGACTGTGAGATGTGTCTTGCCATATCGTCGGGAAGCTATTCTGCAAGCCGACGGGGAAGTATGTACTACAAACTACCTGTGAATTGATGTGTAGTAGCATCTTGACACGGTTGACGAGCGTTCTATGCTCTGAGAATAATGAGAGCCACAGATACTGGCGCTGTCTAGTATCTAAAGCCTTCGACATTTCGAAAACCTCTCCACCGACGCTGCCACGAACCATGCCTGGACTCTTTGAAAAGACAATTTAAGGCTACATAAAGAGAAATTTTGTCCAAATTACGGAATACTGTTTCTTGGGTTCCTGAAATACGAATTGTTTTTCAAACCATGCGATGAATTCTCAACCATACATCTATTGACGGTGATAGATGTATTATCTTTAGATCGGCGCTTGTTACGTCACTGAAGCTGAGTTACGCTACTAGAAAATCATCCTAAATCCATCGATTCGAACAACTACCGAGCCCTCATTACAGAGGACATTGAGAATTCGTTTTGTCAGCTTGGAAGTGATGTCGATCTAAGTCATGACGAGACTGATCAGCTGACTTTTCCAATGAAGCGGCTGGAGAACCTGTTTGTTTGCACATGGCATTAAATGAAAACTAAATGAATGCTTGACTTTTCTAACGGAGACTCGAATCTGATTTGCTGCAAGCATGCGGCTTATATTCGCGATTTGCTTTACGACATGCGGCACTGAATCCCAAGATCGCCAGAGGCATCATTGGCTCCATACTCAAGGATCTTTCGCCATGATGAGTTATTTTGTGATCAACATTTTGGAGGTAGCTTCTTTCAAACAAGTCCTTGAGGGTTTCTCCAGACTACCATGTTGATCTGATGCGATGCAGACATGTGCAACGGATGATTAAGATTGATCTCTTTGGAAATAGGAGATTGAGGTCTTTGACAGTTTAAGACAGATATCCTCCCGCCTACTTATGATTGAAATGACATAATCAGCGCATCTGGGGAAGACGCATTAAACTGGGCTTCCATCAGCGCGGGCGATGAGATCATCGCCGAGTTGCGTCATGATTCTCCGCCACTTCGAAGCTCCAATTGCGTCCCACAAAGCCGGAAATGCGGGGCTATAAGTATGAATAATTACAAGTATACGCAGCATAGAGATGCAAAACCACTACGTCAGACCAGTCTGCGCATCTCCTGAAGGTAGATTGATGGCTCCATGACCATCGCCAGTTGCTAAATTACTGAAACATTGAGTGTCTTTAGGAAAAGGAAGGCGGTTGAACCAGCAGTTAACAAGCACATCACCACCACCATGTCGTCTTCACCCGAGCCACCGTTTCTACCATTAATCCTTGCAGGCGGGAGAGCGACGAGAATGGGATGTCCCAAGCATCTCCTGTCTACGCCGAACGGGAAACATCTATACGAAAACCAAATCGAGGTCATCCGCGAGGCATTCCCCGGAATAACCGAAATCTACATCTCCCTCGCCCAAGACTCTCAACTAGACGACCTCCTGCAGATGGCCTGCTCTGAAAACGGCTGTCTTCTCGAAGGGAACCCTCGCGTCCGGCTCAAGGTCATCTTTGACGAAGAGCGCAACCTGTCAAACGAATCTGCAGGTCCCGCCTCTGGAATATTGGCAGCTGCCAACCTGCGTCCCAACACCACGTGGCTCGTCGTTGCGTGCGATTTCCCGTTCCTTACAGCAGACGCCCTGAGGCAGCTTGTCTCGCACTACGAGCAGCCTGTTACTTGTTTCCGTAATCTCAAAGGGTACTGTGAGCCGCTGCTGGGACTCTGGAGTCCGCAGGCGTTGGGGTATTTGGCAGACAACCACAAAAAAGGAGTTCTCAGCCCGAGCAGGGTGGTGGACAAGTTGGGAGGACCGATGTTATTGCCCACGCGGGATCCGCAGTGGACGTTATTCAATGTGAATTCAAGGGCAGATTGGACGGCAACTATGAAAGCTTTTAGTTTTGGCCAAGACAATAGTTCAATTTAGGAGATTCATTGAGCAATACTTCTCACAACCCTACAGGTACATCAAACATCAAAGCATTATTTGTTCGTGACATGTTCTTGTGCAGTAGTCGCATCAATCACCTTCATTGGGGGATAAGTAAAGGAACCCCGGGAATGTTTCTTATTACTGTATTTTGTCTCTTGTACCAAGATTGTATATGGGAGGCTTTGCAAGGCGCCTTGATCGGGACGTGGGACACATTAAGGAGATAGCGAGTGAGGGACGAGGCACTTTACCCGTCAGGTTCTAGTGAATGGGCGGCTTGTCCAGCCGATTCCGCATTTCTTGTATAGGAAAGTTCATTATTACGAAGATCAATAAATGGTAGATTAGTAGATCCTCATTGGGAATTGCAAAGTAGCCAAGGAAATTGCGTGCTTGTGGGGATATTGCGACTTTGCTCTGAGTATCACGCAAAGCCTAAGAGACACACCCCATGAGAAAATCAATATAAGTTGAATATATCAATGCCCTTAATTTTGATTCAATTCCGGTTCCATCATATTATCATTTATATTCAAAATGGGCTCATCACCTTCTGATAATAAACAACATTACACCGGCCGTTGCGCGTGCGGGACAATTCGTTACTCACTCAATATACGCCCTATCCGCATACATGCCTGTCATTGCCATTATTGCCAGCGAGAGACTGGTTCCGCCTTTGCCCTAAACGCCATCTATGAAGCCCAAGCAGTGCGACTTACTACACCGACAAATCCAGACTATGTGAAAACCCCAACGCAATCTGGCAAAGGACAGACGATTGCACGTTGTCCAAATTGTCGCGTGGCAGTTTGGAGCAGTTACGGTGCACATGCCGGGGAAAGCCTAAGGATAATCAGAGTTGGCACTCTGGACGACCCGGTCGGATGGAATTTCGTACCTGATATGCACATATACACTGCGGACAAGCAACCCTGGGTTACTCTGGACCCAAGTGTGCCTTCTGTCGACGGATTCTATGAATTTAAGGACTACTGGCCCAACAACAAACTAGAGAGACTAGCCAAGGCGTTGAAAGGCCATTCTAGCGCGCGATGACTAGGGCGCGGTGGGGATTTGAGGAGGACTGGGTTTGAACGATACCGTGTTCGCCAAGGATGAATCAAGCAGGACAGTATCCAAGGAGATGATTCTACGTAGCTAGGAAAGAATGGATGGTTGTAATGAGAAAAAACTTACTAGCGAATAGAAGCAGAGCAAGTTGAGTAATACGTCTCTTTCCTAGAGCATCTTAGCTGTACTGTGTCTAAAACTAGCTGTAGACTATTGTGACACTACACCTTAGCTACTATTGTTAGATGTTGACGCAGCTTGGAAGTTGAAGTTGCGTGTTTCCCTCTCTGAAGTGTGAGTGAAAAAAATGGCACTCATTTTTGATGTGATGTGACTGATGCTGTGAGTAGGATAAGTCGGTACCGACCGGCTGAACGTACGTTTCAACGTAGATTAGGGCGGGGTCGCTGTCGATACAAGGCGCACGAAATGATCATTGCATGATGTAAGCTCAGACGTGAAGAGTGTGTTGCATCTTTTGGCTTGATAGCTATTGTTTGGGAAACAGGATATGCCCATGACATGTGAGTGTTGTTCTTCTGCTACTTCGAATGAGAGCCAGCCGCCAAGCACACCAAAACGTCAGCTTCATTCTATCTACTCACGTCAGAGAGATAGCCTTCACTTAAGCGTAATCGTCTCTCTTTAGTTTAGTTTAATATTGCAGAAGTTAATGGTGTTGCTGACTGCAGCTCACCCTCAGCTGCGGGGCCAGGATCACATTGGTTGGTTCCAATTTCTCGAGGCAACCAACAAGTGAAGCGATCTATACGAATGAGGATGCAAGGCGCTCTTTATCACGTATTTGAGGCTGCTAGGCAGACGCAATGAAGCGATATAAACGTGGGGTCATCCGCACGTTTGACAGGATGAGATACATCTCAAATTCTATTCAGATTCTATCCGATCTACTAGTTTTTTATCTAGTATACAAGCACAAAAGATTGCCCATCACTTGACAACCGTGAAAACGATCAACATGCTTCTTTCAGATGCCAACTGCAGCGACTCCGGTCCTACTTTGCCGGGCCATGTAGTCACTAAGATGTTCAGGCACGACTGTCAGGCGCGCCAATGCCCAAGCAGATGGTCTATCAGAGACAATCATCACGATGAAGAGAAGGTTCTCTTTGATGCCATCGCCACAGATCCAATAGTCCATCGGCACTATCTAAGTGGCAAGAAATGGCTGACCGATTCCTTTACTATTCAAAGTCTCGAAATGAGAGCCTTTTTGAAAAGTGCTCTAGCCAACCCTCACTGTGTTGTCTTTCATTGTGTTAAAGGTTTGAAAGCTTTTTTTTATTAAGGCTATCCTCTTCCGAACCCTGATTTCTTCCACGTCAACGTTGAACCACCACGAGGAGGTCCTGGACACTACCCGGAGCGTAGAAACTCTTTTACCTCCGAGTCCGAATATACCGACGATGAAGGACATCCCAGGCCACAATACAACACAGGCCCTCACTATGGTGGTTCACTCCTGGTGGGTCCCAGAAGGGGCTTTATGGCCACGGATAGACCTTTAGCGACTGGAAAAAGGATAGTGACAAACATCGAAGCTAGATCCGAGAATCTGGACCGGCTTACTGATGGGCAATGCATGTTGACCACACCTTGGGTCATCGGATTAGACATGAACACAAAGCTGTGGGGTAGGTGACTTTCAATTGCATCGGACTCGCACTTTTATCCCTGCTAATAAATTATGGTATAGGCAAGTTCCGCGTTGATGAACTTGAGTCCATTGATTGGAGCGACGAATCATACGAGAATCTCATCCTTCCGGATAAGGAGAAGGAGCTTGCCTGGGCTTTTGTGAAGAACAAAGCACTGGCCGACAGCACCAAGTTTGAGGATTTCGTCAAGGATAAGGGTTTGTTTACTTCGTCCAAATCCAATAGCCACTGACCTAAAACTAATCTGGCTAATAGGACGCGGCATAATTATTCTCATGTTCGGACCTCCTGGCGTGGGCAAGTCCTACACGGCTGAAGCAGGTAGGTACATGTTTTTGAGACGAGCAAGCCATCTAACACTAGCTGACCATGTTCCCACCTAGTCGCCGAAAGAGCTCGCGAGCCGCTCTATACAATGAGCGCAGCAACTTTGGGGACCAACCCGAAGCGTGTCGGGGACTGTTTGGAGTACGCGCTCAATTCATGCCGGGCCTGGAACGCCATGCTTTTCTTAGATGAAGCAGATGTCTTCCTTGGCTCTCGATCTGATGCTGATCTAACTCGTAACGAGCTCGTTGCTGGTGAGTGATTTTTCATGTTCTTTTTATACCCGTGACCTGAAACTAATGCTTGACATAGTGTTCCTCACAAAGCTTGAGTACTATCAAGGCATATGCTTCATGACTACAAACCGAATGTCGAGTATTGACCTGGCAATGCAGTCCCGTGTTGATCTATTCCTCCGCTACGGGGACCTCACTCGGGAGACACGGTACTGTGTGTGGAAAAAGTTCATCTCCGGGGCCTGTGCTACACGGTTTGATATCAGCGACGAGGACCTGGACAAGCTCTCCAAGTACAAACTCAACGGCCGAGAGATCAAAAACCTTGTCAAGACAGCACATCTCTTGAGTCTTGGAAATACTGATGAGAAGATCAGCTTAAAGACATTATGTATGCTTGTGGACAACCGTATCCAGGCACTCGAGACACTCAAGGGAGCATGATTGAGTTGAAACTAGCTTTCCGTTCCGCTTCTTTCTTTCGTTGGGTTTGCTTCGAGGAATACATGAGCTCTGAGTGGTGATAAATGACCTCGTGATCGCCTACTTCGCTCGTGCCTAACATTCAGAGTTCTTTTTCGGAAATTTGAACCTTCTCAAAGCATGAAATTGCACCTGGATAATACTTATATTAGTCTTATAGCTCCCAAGTCAAATTCTAAGTAGGCTAAGCGTGTTGGATCCTCAGGTGTAGCCTTCAGATACAATATTCCTAATTAGATCGAAATACAGTGACTTCAAAGCCCATCTGAAGTCTCCCATTTTCAAAGTTGATCACGCAGTGTCTTATCTTACGTGGGTGCACAAAAGGCCAAAGCCATAAGCACAAGCAGGATTTAATCAGCGGATTGACTTGAGCAAGCCGCCTACACATTGGCTTCATTTGACCTTAGCACTGAGCAAGGGTTTCAAACCATCCCTCCATCGACCATCAATATCTATTATGGGTTAGGTCATTAGCATAGCATAAGACCGAAGCAGGAAAAAAGAACTTCATCATGAGAGGGAGTTTCGGTCCAATCCTCACGTCATTCCTTTAGTCACATTCCGAGGAAGATGGGGCAACAAAAGGACAGCCGAGGGTTACCCCGAGTCTCTTGTCATAGCCTCCTACGTTTGTTATGATCTTTTCTCGGAATACGATACTTCTTATGTTACTGGTCTGTCGTTCAAGGGTTACCAGAGAATGTTGATCCACTTTGGCTCAATGAAGGGCTGGACAGCGGCCTGATGCTCGTTCGCTGTATGTACGCTCATAATAAAGGACCGCAGTAAATCCTATATCAAGTCATGTAGCCCTGGAAAACAAGTTCATAGAGACATTTTGGCCCTTTGTGAAACATTCATGTTTGATGTGGGAGCCGGATCAGAGACCGAGTGTTGGATTCGTAAGAGGATTAGTGTTATTACGCTCCCCAGATCCTTGAATACTGATGCTTACATGTGATAGTCGCTGATGACACACTGGATGTGTTCGAATCTGCTATTGTACTTTTTGTAGCATTGAATCCTGCAGCTCCTCGGATTTCACAGCCTGAGATTGGGTCGGAGGTGTTGATGCATATGTAATTTTCGTGTATACCCACCCAAAGTCCTCATAATGTATCGTCGGGGAGATTCCCATTGGAACATATGTGTGGAAGGGTGTTCACTCTCGGGGCGGAGTGCGGCTCGACTACAAGTCTTTTGATGTCACGCATAACAAGGAAACATTCATGGAAAAGCTGGAGAATGAGACCTCTGATTCGACAATTTTAGCCCACAGGACGCGCTTCTAACGTTTTTATCAAATGGCTTTGGATTTCAAGAAACCACCGTCTGACCTGCTGACCGGGGCCGAGCTTGGCCACCTCCCAGCTGCATCACCAATGTTGTGCTTACTACCCCATGCAGTGCCCCCTCGGTGAATGGGAATATACAATTGAGACACATTCTGGCCTTATATCCTGTTATATCTTGTGCCGATTTGAGGAATATTCCATTTTGATTGCTGCTACTATTAGCCCAAGATAATTTCTCCATTCTAGACAACTATGACCAAAAACGATATTGTCGTGTCTTGATCATCATGTTTGTCATTCAGTATCTTTTGGGAGACGCCTTACACACTCCTAATGGTAAGCAATAGGCAGGTCGTAAAAACGTCAGATTTCACACACCACAATCTTGATCACTGTTTGAGAAGTCCTAATACAGTGGTGTGTCCTCAGCTTCATTGGATGGGTAATATGGCAAGTAGGTAGTAGCGAAGTAAGCCATCAATGGGAAATCACGTCATCCTAGGGGACTTTGAGGGTTGGCTTTCTAGGATTTTGCCAAGTGACCATCGGACTGGCTTTTGGTAAGATCTTTCAGGCTGACGCCAGAGTTGTACTTTGAAGCGGGGGCTAGGAATGTGCAATTCCGCACAGCCTTACCGAAGTTCTTTATATTTTCCGTCATTGATGGCTTAGGAAAATATTCAACGTGAAGGAAGCTATAAGAAGGTGCGATATCCCTTTCTCCTACTATAACTCAAGAACTTGTATTCAACAATTCTATTTGGACAGATTGAACAACCCACTCTCTTAAACATACCCTCACGATGCTCGTCAATACCGTCAACACAGCTGCTCTAGTTGCGGTCTTCGCAACCGTAATTGATGCAGCAGTTTATATTGGGGAGACCGAGATCGCTGCTCCACCCGAGGCAGCCCTTCGGACCGTGTGGGTTGAGGAGGATGACAATGCTCGCCCCCCTCCCCCCGAAGCAGCGTTAAGACCGCTATGGGTTGAGGGAGATGTCCCTACCAGACCTGTATCAGTTGTGATCTTGCCAACTGACATCGAGACCGACCCGAATCTTGAATTGAGAGATGATGATGTCGATGCTCTCGCTGCGATCGCCGACAAGTATACATTTTGGCAAGGCAACGGCGCAAACTGGCCAAAGAAGGCCGCGTGGGGTAGCTTCACCCAGCTTTGGAACGCCAACCTCCCTATCATTCGTAAATCTTGCGGCTGGAACAATTGGGGGGCGGACAACAGTGCCACAGAGATGAGCAACTTACAGAAGGCCATTAACCAGGTTGCAGGCGAGGCTCAGATTGAACCCCGTTTCATTCTTTCAATCGTTATGCAAGAGTCTGGTGGCTGTGTACGCGTTCCTACCACGAACAACGGTGTCCGCAACCCTGGGTTGATGCAATCCCACAATGGCGCTGGAACTTGCGCCGGTCGCAACCCTTGCCCTAATGCCCAGATCTTGCAGATGATTCGTGATGGCACATCGGGTACTAAGGCAGGTGATGGCATCAAGCAGTGTCTTGCCAAGACGTCCAAGGTTGTTACCAATGCTCCACATAGAGCTGTGTTTGCCGCTGCTCGTCTATACAACAGTGGTTCCGTCGACTACAACAACCTCAACAACCCATTCACTGCCACTAAGTGCTATTCTTGTGATGTGGCTAACCGCCTCACTGGATGGACTCTTGCTGCTAGAAAGTGCTCTTAAACACACCAAGGGACATACATGGTCTGAGAAGTCTTCAAGTTAACGATAGGTCGTTTCATTCTTCCAACTACTCCATCTATATTGGTAGCCTAGCTTTGAATATGATTACCTTCTCCCGTAGTTCTATTTTTCTTATGCCTTCTACAGACCAGTTGATTCTAAATTCCTTGTACCTAAGACACAATAAGACAACTCGCCCTTTGCTACACCGCAATCCATCGCAAATATTGGTACGTGACTCAAGTGAGAGCATTGAATAAATCCTTCCGTTCTTTTTTCGGGTCTATAGAGATTTCCACTTCCAACTGCTCCATTCCTGCAACCGTTCATCATCCCAGTTGGTCAAATCGAGCTCTTTTCGGCCCTCTTCATCAACCACTAGCCCCAGAAGCTCCATTTTCTCCCAGAATTCTCTAATGTGGTCCAAATATGCTACCCTCAAAGGATGACAAATAATGGCTCTGGCATGAGGCGCTCGTCGCAGGCATTTCGCAATAGAATCCGAGAGCAACTCAGGATGATCCTCGGTGTACATAGTGTCAGCGGCAAGGATGATCGAGAAGCCGTCCTTGGTGCTCACAGACTTCGTCGTCCCGTCTGGTTGACTAATATGAACCACTTCCGGAGAATTCCAGTCCAGTGCACCACAAGCAGCCTTTATGTTCCCAGCTTTGAGCATATCCTCGTTAAGGTTAATGTTCATTTGTAGACCCGGTACAATGCCAGGAAGCTCAGTTAGCAATGCATTTCCGCCCCAGATCACTGCGGCGCTGAGCCCGGTGAGGCCCGTGCCAGCACCGAGTTCCAGAATGGAGTATTCCTCCTGAGCGGTGTCTCGCAATTTCGCAGCGTCAACTTTCAGGCTGTACAGTGTATCTGACAGCACGAAAGACGATGCCCATGTCGTCAGGGGTAGATTCTCAGCCTCGCAGCGGGCTTCGGCTATCTTGATTGAGACCTTCTCGGTCTCATTCTTCTGAATTTCGTACGAACGGTGTGGCGTTGACATCTTGAAGCTTGTGTGAACTGACGAAAATGTCTTGGTTCAAATAAGACGTAGAAACGAAGCCGAAAATAATACTCGAATTTGAGTTTTGTGCAGCAAAAGGGAGCTAACCCTGAATTGATGATTCAACACTAAACTCAAAAAAGAACAGGATTGGTTCTGATCCACTTGCTGTGTGAGTGAGACAAAGTGCTCCCAAATGTGTAAGTGTAATTGCAGGTTACCCTATATTAAGGGACATGCAGTACTACAATATGCGTGTTACCACGACTGTCTTTGGTAGCGTAGGATTACTCACTCTTAGAGAGTACCTTAAGACTAATAGCTTGAGGCGGCAGGATAATGTCTGAGCTTGAGGTAGTAAACGAGAGCTTCAAAAAGAAAACAGTTAGCAGGGCCTGCTTCTTGAAGGCTAAAGATAAACAGGCCTTCGCTTGTAGGCCACCTTAATCAAAGAATGAAGCAGCGGTTGTAAGTGCTAATCTAGATTCACCAAGCGGTTCCAGGCAATGCCATCGCACTGTAATCACGCCTAGGTGAATTAACGATGAAGAAGCTTAAGTAGACAGTATCGAGGACGGAGTAGGTTTCACAGTGGCGGATAAACTTTGCCGTTAAGAACTGGCGCGGAGGTCCAATAGCATGATTCACTACCGGAAGTTATTTTCATAGCAAGGCCATTAGCAAACTGTAGCCCGCTTTCACGTGTTGAGCACTCAATTATATAATCGTCGCGATGAGAGACTGGAAAAGTCTACCGACTGGCGTCTGAAGTGACACTCAAGCGGATATCGTTTTTCGGAAGGGTGGGCATCTTCCCTATACTTACATACCTAAAACATACATTGGGATCTGATTTGGATCTTATTCACTTTGATATTTTCCTGTATCCATACAAGTGAGCTTGATATAACTATGAAACCCGGCGCATTACCTAAATGGAAAGACTTGCCACCCATCGAAGGGCAACCGTAAGCCTTAGCTGAATATAATATTCCCAAAACATTGATACTAACTACCTACAGACAAGGCTTCGGTTGGGGTTTATTTGATCAAGATGGCGTGAAAGATCAACTTGGAACGCTCAATTTCCTGACACCGGAGGTTGTCCTTCGCGCAGAAGACGAAATTAAAATTGGAATTAGTGTTTCTCTGAATTGGGGACTGGAGAATCTTGCCGAGTCAACCATGGGTCGATCTACCTTGAAGCATGAGCTCGTGGATTGGCGTAATAAGCCTGGCTTCAGTTTATATTCCTGGGATGATGAAATCAGCTTCAATACCCAAAGCAGTAGGCATAAGCAATCACGGCTCTAGGCAATATCTGTCACGTTTCTAATCAGTATATGTCCTAGGTAGCCAGTGGGATGGACTGCGTAAGTGATTGCGAGACACAGTTCAATTTAATGCTGATCTAGCCCAGGCCACTGGGGAAACACACACACAGGATTCTACTACAATGGCTTGCACCACAATGACCTTATCCAAAGTAACCAGCTTGGGATAGAAAGTGAGTAGCATTCAGTATTTTGTGAACCCCGTAGGACTGGAGACTGACTTGTATAAATATTGGACCAAGCGTGGCGGTATAGTCGGCCGTGGTGTTCTACTGGACTACGTGGACTACGCAGAGCGGAAAAGTATAAAATACAGCCCAATGTCAAGCCATGCGATTCTTGTGAAAGAGTTGGATGAAATAGTCAAGGATTGTGGGATCGAATTTCTTCCTGGCGATGTTCTGCTTGTTCGAGTGGGCTGGACCAAGTGGTACAACGAACATGACGACAGCGGCCGATCAAAGTACATTACCAACGCGTATGCCTGGGCCGGTATCAAAGGCTGCGAAGAAACTCTAGAATGGCTGTGGGATCATCACTTCGCTGCCATCGCAAGTGACAATAATGGTGTTGAGGTTGTTCCAATGGATGATGCTTGGCGTGAGTGTGTTTTCCTATTCTATCTACTAGAGGCTGACAGTCAGTATTCAGGCTTGCATGATTTTCTGCTCCCAGGCTGGGGGATGCCTATGGGAGAAATGTGGGATCTTGAAGATCTGGCGAAAGAATGTAAAAAGCAAGGTCGATGGACATTCTTCCTCACCAGTTCTCCCCTTAACTTGAAAGGCGGCGCGGCAAGCCCGCCCAACGCCCTTGCGATCTTCTGATGAATGGTTTACAAATTCCAATATCAGGGGTAACGATTTCATAATAGGGTGCCTGTTATGGTGGAATTATTTTAATTCTCTTCTATCAAACAAAGGAGTGCAGCCGTTTGGACAAGTTAGTATCCAAGAAGAACATCAATAGTAAAAACTAGTTTACTAAGCCATTCTGCTACGCAAAGCCACGGCGATAGTAAGATATACTTATGCCAGGCTGTTAATCCAGGTGTTGAACTTGCCAATACGCGTGTAGACACCGGGATAGTCAGCTTGAGCGCATCCATTGCCCCAAGAAACGACGCCAGTGAGGGTACCAGAGCTGTCAACAATGGGACCACCGCTATCTCCGCTGCAGGAGTCCTTTCCACCTGAGGTAAGACCGGCACACCACATGGCGTCAGTGATAGCGCCGGAACCGTAGTCTGCTTGGCAACTGGAGCGGGAGACGACGGGGACGGAAACCTTCCTTAGGGTGGTGGGCAAGGTTGTGCCAGTTTCGGATGTCAGACCCCTACAAGTGCGTGACTTGTTAGAATAGGTTCAGAATTAGTGAGGGTTTTAGAAATACATACCAGCCAGCAACAGTCATGGTAGTACCAGCTGAAGGGTCAGAGCCCTGGGCGGCGAGCTTGGCGTATTTGATAGTAGAGCTGGTCTCAGCAATGCTGGTCGAGAGCTTCCAGACGGCAATGTCATTGTAGGGAATATCATTGGAAACGTAATAGTCGGGGTGGATGGTGATGGAAGAGACACCAACTTGTGTGCCTCCCGAAGACCGGTTCTGTTAATCAAGAAGTTTAGTTACCGCACGTCTATAAACGACAAGAGAATATGTTGCTTTTGGGAATAGCCGGTGGCGGTCAGATGGGCTCAACTTACAAGGCTTCCCGCGCGAACCCTAACAGAAGAAGCGCTGGAGTCAGAGCAGTGGCCGGCTGTCACAACAGTGTTTGCATTCAGCAGAACACCGCCGCAGAAGTGCGAACCGCCGCTAGACAGACTAACAATATAGGGGAACTCGCCAGAACTAGCTGTTGTTCCACCAACGATGTTAATGCCAACGTCGGCCGGGGCCGCGGCTGGGGCAGCAACTGCCATGCCTGCCAGTGGCACCAGGAGTGCAGCCTTGAGCGACATTTGGGGAGCCATTGTTGCTTCTGTTGGATTGAGGACAGCGGAAGGGAGGAGTTGATGGTTGGGCTTATTTGTTCTGAAGAGGTCGGCGACGAAGCTATTATTTATATTCAAAGTGCCAGTCCGTTAGCAATATCTACTTCCTATTTGATCATTTTACAAATGTCACCAATCCCCTCATTGGAACTGTTAATGGCTCCGTGCAAATGGGGCGACGATGCCGCAATCCTTAGATGAAGACATCCTCGGCCCACTCGTTGATGACAGCCTAACGCAGCTCTGTTGTGATGATAAAACGCCGGAACCTTTGTTTTTCGGAAAGAGGCTTCCTAGCTGATTTACTCTCCTCCCTAAATCGGTTCGTTAGCCCCGGCTTTGGCGATACGAGCTCATCAAGGTGGTCTATATCTGGCCGGAAACATGAAAGCTGCCGACTAGCGGCAGTCTTTGACAATTGATGAAGTTCTTGGCATTAAACATGGAACCTGAAAGAGGAGTTGAGGCTGTCTCGTCCACTGCGATATTCACCCACGTTTGGACGACTGTTAAACTAATCACTAGGCTGTGGGAATCGTCCAAGGCGTCATTTTGGGCGATGGGTTTGTACCTTCCTGTTATGCCCACCGTGGAGTTCGCCGTTATGCGATGATTACAGGGCATGTTGCTGTTATGACTGGAGCAGTTGGCGCCTAACTCTTGTCTTAGTTTAGGAAGAACACTTAGCGCGCGCGATAAGAATGCCGCATATTTCAGTTAACAGCAGTCTTACGGCTGTTCTTGATTCATTCTCACCGTGGGTTGAGCTAGCAAAAGCCATAAGACCTGCTCAAAGGGTATAAGTCGCGACTCCACTCCGACTGGTCAAGTACATGTGCTCAAGTACTCACAAGTAGCTTCTGAAGTCTAGACTACTGCGGACTTTCATGCTCCTTCCTCTTGTAGATCGGCACGCTCTCACATATGTCTGAAATTGGAAGAGTGTGGGCCAGGCACTAAGGTGGGTTGCCGCAAGGTTACGACGATGTAACTTCATCTTTTGGCCGTTACGGATTTATGCATAGAAATTAGGTAGAAGGTAGGTTCGGGAAGTGGAAGAGCAAGTATAAGAGTTGAAAATGTAGCGGGGAGTCTTACAGAAGTGCTCTGGGATTATGACGGCGTCTCAAAGATGTCATAGACAAAAGATACCAGCGTTTTGGAATCAAAGCTTCATTTATGACCCATGCCAAGCATCCACAGCACATAAACGAGCGCGACCCCGGCCACGAGACAGTTACTCATCGTATTTTAGCAACCGAATATCATTGCCAACTGGGGATAACTCTGTTTGCGAAAATCGGTGAAGCCCCGTAGCTTCTAATTCGCCCGCCTGTAAAATTAAACGTATCAAAAGGGCTTCTCTATATAGTCAAAATGGGTACATCATAGCATCTGTCCGGGAAGCATGTCACAAGAGCCATTTGGTTGGTTCCCTGACCTGTCTTGCAGGCGCCATCCATCAACCTGCCGATCTCGTATCGGATGATGGGATTTTTGAGTCGGTGTTGCACGTAGGGCTGTGCGCGTTGTTACATCCCTCTTTTCTTTTAGGGATCGCGGTGGCTTCTATGATGTTATAGCTTCCGCGTATTGGATAGCCCCTGATAACCTCAGTCCTCTTATCAAGCTGTACGCGCTATGCGAAAGGCATTCTCCGCTTGGACTTAGATAAAACACCCAATCCATCCAGATTTTAATATGGTTACTGTTTAATCAATTGTTCGTTGGCTACCCTTCGATCATGTTCAGAAGTTGCCTAAATACAAGGTTCGTGATTCTGTGATAGAGTTACACTTGAAACTGCTTTCATCATTGCGCGTTCGGCCCAGCTTACTTTACTGCGGCTTATTCGTTCATCCAAACCCTCTGTTGACAATATCACTCCACTCTGGCAAGTATAGCATTTCTGGGGCGATGGAATCCCCAAAGGCGAAATCTCCATCTTGCCATTCGACTTCGGCATGTTCGTATATCCCTATTGATTGATCTGGTATGCTTGGTATGTCTAAAGCGTTTGATGCGGATGAGTTCTTATTGTCATGCCTTGGTATTGTTATATGAGATGGCAGAAAAGATCCGGACTGGTTATGAGAAACGGACCCATCTGCCACCACTTCCATGCTATCGTGGACAGCCGTATGGTTTTGATGATCAGCCGAAGGCCCCCCTGCATTCATTTCGGCTTCTGATGCCTGGCGCTGTAGCCAAAGCAAGCATCGCCAGATATTGCTTTTACTAGAGTTATGCTCGTGTAAGCCATTGGATATTGTACCAAAGGTTTTGTTAACGAGGACTCGTGCTTCTTTTGTCTCGGGCCTGGAAGGGAATGCGCACAGGTATCTCAAAACATAGGCCAGCGCATACCACTGGGTATAAGCTTTGAAGACCCAGACAAACTTGGGAGAAATTTCGCCGCTCACCAAAGACCATCCCTTACTGAGTGTGTCGCAAGCTGATCTGAAAGGCCTTTCGCTGAGACCTTGGTGAACCGCACGAGGACACGCTCGATGGTTGTTCACGTGCAGATCCTCTCTTACTTGAAGCATGAAAACCATCTTTGATGAAGCGGCATAATAATGACTCGAGGCTGCCTTTTGTATCGTTGAACAGATGCGTTTAGGGAAGAACCTCCTTTCAATCGACGCTTTGTGACTGTCAATTATTTTTCTCTTCTCCGCGAGCTCCTGTAGAATATCAATATTCCTCGTTCTCTCCCCTAGCACCTGGTGAAGTAGCCTAGCAACCTCAAGCTGTATAATGGCAAAACTAGTTTCAGTCCATCCCTCAGCGTCCTGTGGCAATTTCTCCATTGTCGGGAACAGCTGGTTGTCATCGATGTTGAGAGGGAGCCTCAAGTCGTGGTTGAAGCTCTCTATCCTTGCAAATCCGTGATCTTCAGGTGCTCTGGAATCTAGTAAACAAAGATGCCACCAAAGGCGAAGCCGAATTTCGCTTTCGAATGGGCTTAAACGCAGGGATGCCCCCTCTCGGTGGATTCCGATTGACTGCGCCAGCCTTATCGTAGTTCCAATAAGGATCCAGACGGTCCGGCTGTTATCATGGACTCGCAAACTAGTCTATTCAACATCTAGAATTAGCTGGCTGAGGTGACTGAGGTTGGAGAATATGAACCCACAGCAAAAATGGCGAGTGCCTGGAGGACAGTCAGATCTGGCTCATTGAACAGCTGACCCTCCGTGATAACTTGATTGATCCCCTTTTTGTATTTCTGGAGCATCACTTCTCGATCTTCTGCTGTTAAGTGCGGAAGTTGTTCCTCGGACAAGCTGGTCACAGCAGCAAAGTACACTGCAAAAACTAGCGCACTCATGGAATAACTATGAGGCTGTGATTGAGATATCGCATTGATCATGGATGATTGCATGGTGGGAATATGGAGGATCTTGAGAACGGGATCGACATTCTCAATGTACGTGGTCCATAGTTTCAGCGCCAATTGGGTATCAGGATACAATTGATGCCAATCCGCGCTGTTATCTGTAACAACAGATGGAAGTCCTACAGTAAGGTTCAGGCCACGACCTCGTTTTGAGGCGATCCGTTGGGATGATAGGATTTCGGGCGGATTGATTCGATCCTCCTAATGCTTTATTAATTGGATTGCTCTGAACTTACTCGGGAACAACAGATTTGATCAGAGAAGTTCTTACATCTTGAAATAGGTCCAGTAAATTTGTGTTGTCCACATATTGAATTCTCTTCCCATCTGTGACAAGTGTTTCCCAGGGCCTTCTGACAATGGGAGGTGGATCGGTAGATATTTCAGGAACCTCATTCAGATCCTTTGCATGGATGCTGACTCTACCTTTATTTAATACCTCAAGCAGAAGTGTTTCCACCCTCTCTAATCGATCAGTCACGTCTTGTAACGACGGCGGTTTCCTCGGCGATTCCTGGGCCGACGTCTTTGGATATTGACATGTGGAACCGTGACGGACACAGTTAGAACAAGGTTCTTTGCGGTCGCAGCGAACCTTTCGTCGGTGACAGATGATACAGGACCGAGATGTCTGACCGAGCACCGAGGATTCCGGGAGCGGGGATCTTCGGCGAGAATCCTTCGCTATCCCATGGTGTTGGGTTCGTCGCATGCTTCATTCCCCCGCTCAACGATGAGACAGTCCTATGGAGTCACTATTTAGGAAAGAGCTGTAGGTTTGATGGCATCAGGTGTGCTCAGGAGGCTATGACAAGAGGTCTTAGTGGAAGGAAATGTGAAGAACCAGCCTCGGGCCCCTCGGCGCCGAGCCTTCCGACGGCTTCTTAAGGCCACCCACTAATGTAACCGCGCTATTCTCTGGTGCTTTTAGGCCTAATAACGTGATTTAGTCTTTCACGTAATTGCAAGGATAACATCTTAGCTCTCAAAGTAAGGTGGGCTTGCGGAGCTGTTCATCTCGGCGGCTGTGCGCCGAGGCCGCCGAACATTGGTAGTATATTCATCCAAGCTTGTCGAAGATATGTCTCTGATTCCTTAGAGACGATCGCTAAATTACGAAACCAATGCCTCGAGCCTCATTCTCAGATGGCAGTCGTGAGACTGCCGTTTCAAGCCTTCCCGCACCAAATAGGACAAAACTCGACAATCAAGAGAATAATGATTCCTTTCCCGAAGGCGGCTATGGTTGGGTTTGCGTTATTGCCTCGTCTCTGATTAGCGCTCATACATGGGGCATCAACAGCGTACGTGTACTCGTTGCACTTTACCACAAGAGTCCTTATATTAACCTGTACTAGGCATACGGAGTCATTTTGGCTCACTACTTGTCAAATGACACTTTCCCGGGCACAAGTGCTCTTGAATATGCCTTTATTGGAGGTCTTAGCATTGGCTGCGCTATGCTTGTTTCGCCAATTGTCACTATAATTGTGCACCACCACGGCATCCATATCGCACTCTATACTGGAGCTGTCCTCCAATCCATATCGTTTGTGGCTTCTTCTTTCACAGAACAGAGCTGGCAATTATTCCTATCACAAGGCCTCTGCTTCGGATTAGGCATGGGTTTCTGCTTTGTTGGGTCTGTTGGTGTTGTCTCGCATTGGTTCCATAAGCGCCGCAGCTTGGTCAACGGCATCACGGCGGCGGGTGCCGGGCTGGGAGGGCTTGTATACTCGCTTGCAGCTGGATCGATGCTGATAAATCTCGGGTTTACTTGGACCATGCGGATTCTAGGCATCGTTTCCTTCGTTGTGAATCTCATCTCCGGGGCACTCCTGCGTATCCCTCCGACAACCAAAACAGACGGAAATACGTCCGCCTTTGGATTATCAGCCCTGCAAGACACTCGATTCATTCTTTTACTCATATGGGGCATCCTAAGCGTTCTTGCTTATGTCGCGTTATTGTTTAGTTTATCAAGTTACAGCGTCGCAGTCGGCCTGACCCAAAGCCAGGCCAGTGTGGTAAGCGCGATCCTCAATCTTGGCCAGGCGTTTGGCCGCCCAGTCGTGGGCATCATGAGCGACTCACTGGGGCGAGTGAATGTCGCATCAGGAGCTACCTTGGTTGCTGGGGTGCTTTGTTTGGTGTTCTGGGTTTTCGCCAAGACTATGGTGACTATCTGCGTTTTCGCGATCATGGTAGGAACGGTGTCTGGCACCATATGGGCAGCTGCAGCACCACTTACTGTTGAGATTGTTGGCCTGAGACATGCATCTAGTGCCTTGGGCCTTTTCTGGCTATCATTAGGACCGCCAACTATAGTCGCAGAGGTTATTGCTGTACAGTTACGCAACCAAGCCACGGATACCTTCCCTTACCTTCGAGTTCAGATGTGGGTAGGGGCGTTGTATATATCTTCTGCCGTCTTTCTACTTTTCGGCAAGTTTTTCGATCGAGTCGGGAGGAAGATAGAACTAGAAAAGCCTCAACCAGTCTAGAGTTGACTTCAATTTATGTGCGGTACCATGATAAGCTTCTGCCTCCACGAACAATCTACCTAGAAGTGATATGTTCTTCCTCCCCGAGCATCGTGCAATACTTCCTATTAGCCCATTCCCCTTTTACTAACGTTGCTACGCAAAAAGCTATGGGTGGGTGAACCAGCATATAATTATATAGTTATCAGATGATGATAGTAGGAGTTGGGCATTACACATCACAAGCAAAAGCTACAATCGAAGATACATAAACTGGTGGCAAATATGGGTGTCAGTAGAATAATCGATCCCCTTATCCTCAATTTGGACATATAACAATATCAAATAAGACAGCCATAGAGGTTATACTGTAGCTGCTTTAAAATATATATATATATACGTATATGTATTGAACACCAAGAAATCGACAAATCGGTAGATTGATGCTTTGATGCCATACGCAGCACCACAACACCCCCATTACTTCATGTAGACATCAAAAGAGTTCCCAAAAATCCGGTTCCGCGGCAAAGAATCACTGAACCAATACAGTTGCGCTCTTGGACTGTGGACCTTTGCCCTGTAACGCTAATCCACGGTCTTTCTGCAGAACATATTTGTAGCTCTGTGTGGCTCTGAACCACTTTCTTGTCTTGGCTTACATTCCTATGCACGTTATTACTTCGTTTGTCGACCAGCTACAACGTTCGACTTTCTCCTCTGGCCGATTCATCGATATTTTTGTCATGTTCACGAACACTGCCCTTGCTTTCTCGAAATCGTCCTTCTTTAGTATTACTGTCTGGGAGTTTGGTAAGTGATTTAGGAAGGCAAAGTTAACTTTACAGGTGTGAGGCATCAAGTGTTGAAATGGAACAGTCTAGCCTCTACATCCCAGCCCGTTTTGGTGGTTTGACTAGTTTGAGTCGAATCATGATGCTCTAACTTGGCCATTCAGCTCGTAAGGATCCTTATTAGCGGCAACCATAACGCCAATTCTATCTGCCTAGTCTTGAAGGGGAGAAATAGTGGCGTTTGAGATTCTCCACGTGGCAGAGGTATTTTGCGGGGTCTGGATCGCCACAGACAAGTTCGAGTCTCGGGAGGGACGGCAGGGTTTCCTCACTCAATACTGTCAAGACGAAGCTGGTTCTCCAGATTTCCTTGAACATTCGGGGCCAACCTTGTTCTTCTTATCTGCAGCCTCGCACAGGCAAGGGCCAAGTTCATGAAATCAAAATGCAATGCCGATATATATCATCCACCACGCTCCCCAAGTCCTATAGGTTTGTTTGAAATGATGACAATAGCAGTCGTTCGCGACCCTGCACAAGCGTTTTCCATGAAGAAGCGTGCGTCCGCGCAGCTCTCCAACCATGACGGGGCTCCAGCCCAACATATTTGTTGGCATCGCCATCCCCTGGGGACTGGCCACTCTCGCCTTGATCTGTCGTGTCATCGCCAGACGCATGAAGAAGGTGGTCTGGGGCTATGAGGATTATTTCTGTTTCGTTGCTTTTGTATGTTTTGTGCCACTCTGATGATCCAAGCCGTCGTCCAATTAATATTCTTCTAGGTGTTCACCAGCTTTTTCAATAGCCTTTGTGTCTACTGTAATCACTCGCCAGTTCTTTCCTCTCCATTCTGTCAACTGCTAATCAATCTTTTTTTACAAAGGGACGACCAACTGGTCACTCGGCGTAATGATACCCGATTCCGTCGACCCAGTTACTAGGCAGCATATCCTTGAAATGTCTCGGAAAATCGCCTTCTTCTGTTCCATCAGCTATGCTTTCGCCATTGGGTTCTGCAAGCTCGCCATTCTATCACTCTACTGGCGGCTGTTCAAAATAACCTCCATCCGGATACCCATCATAATATTATATGTGCTTTCCATCATATGGATAATTATACGATTGCCCGTGGTATTATTTCGCTGCTCGCCCGTGCAAGCCTACTGGGACAAGACGATCCCCGGTGGTCATTGCAAAATCACAGATGGTGTTTTCTTCTTTGCGACTATGCTTCCCCATATTATCATGGATATAATTATCCTCATCTTGCCACTCATTGAAATCTTAAAGCTTCACCTGCGACCGGCTCAGAAGATTGCCACGGCTACTCTCTTCCTCTTCGGCATCACGCAAGTCAAAATCTTGACCTACACCGATCCTGGATTCTATGCTAATAGCTAGGGCAGGGTTTGCACTGCCAGTATAGGTGGTTTAATCTGCTCTTTCAGCGCCAACCCGAATACCACGCAGATGACCCACGACTATGCCATTGACTACGTCTGGGGTGCTGTTGAGGTCAGCATGGCTATAGTTTCTAGTACGATTTCCATACCTTTTCTTCTTTTATATATAGAAAAGACACAGGCTCATTTTAAACAGTTTGCTTTCCTCTTCTCCGTCCAATTTTCTTTGCCATCTTCGGCTCCAGAGCCCTCGGCTCGGACGATCACAGCACGCAAGTCGTGAGCTACAGCAATCACAGCTGGATCCGTCATCCTGGTTTCGAAATGGGCTCAACGGTCGGTCCGAAGAGAAGGAAGGAGGCCAATGCAACCAGCTCGATCCAGAGCATTGAAAACGAGGAGAACGGTATTCTGGGGGATCCGGCCCCCCTGAAGACCCCGGATCGCATCTTGACAACCGTCACGGCCCCGTATCACACCAACGAGTGGCATGAACACTACGGAAACGGGATTCATGTTCGCAATAACGAGGAGATTGAGGTTCACCATGCGGATCGTGAGACGAAATCTTCCAATAGCGACCATGCCTCTCAGGATTTTATTTAATGTCGTGCCGCAGACTTGAATCTCTTATAATTTTTAAAAGTTGTATAATTATATAAGGTAGTTTAGAGAAAATTTATATATAAATAATATCTAAGATAGATATTCTTCTAATATAATCTATAAGTAAGCTAATTATATAAATAAGCTAATTACTTCTATCTATCCCTTATATAATAAAGTTAATTAAAATAATAATAGCTAATTATCTATAATAATAATACTAGAAATTAATTTATTAGACTTCTTTCTAATCTCCCTATAGGTTTAGATATTATAATCAGGCTTTCTATAATTACTATATTATAGAGTCTTTATATAAGCTTACTCTCCCTAACTATTATTTCTATAGTTTTCCTCTCTTAGCTACTTATCTATATCCTTCTAGTTTAATAGATCTATTCTATTCTATATAATTAGAAACCCTTTAAGCTATATATAGCTTTTTTTAGCTCTTTAGTATTTACTTAATATCTTATTTATTATATAAAGATTATAGATCTTAATATATAAAAGAGCTATTTAGTATATTATTATAATTATCTTCTTTATAAATTAATCTATTATAGCTAGTATAAAGATTAAAGAACTATTTTAATAAATTAAAATTTAAAATTTAATATATTTAAACTATATACTTATCTTATATATAGTCTATAGTATTTTTAGAATTTAGAACTATCTTATTTTAAATAGGATCTCTAGTAGTATTAGTATTTATAATACTATATCTAACTTTAAAAGAACTCTCTCTAGATTATATAGTATTAGATTAGATCTAATAAAATCTATCTAAATATTCTTCTCTATAAAGAAATAGAAAAAAACTATATAAAAGATAGAGAGAAATTTAAACTTACTAATATAGATAATATATATCTATATTAGACTCTTAATTTCTTATTTATATAATTACTTAAATAGTTTAAAATAGCTAATATCTAGTAGCTAAAGAAAATAGAAGGAGTAAGAAGATATATAGATTATAATAATCTTCTACTCTTAATAGTAAGTTTTAAAGTTAGCTAAGTAGTAGCTCTTATAGCTATTAAGAATTAGTATTTAATATACTTCTTTTATATAAGGAGCTATATAGAAATTAAAATACTTAATCTAATTCAGATTAATCTTATTAATAGTTTAATTATTCTTAGTTATTATAAGCTACTAGTTATATAGTAGATTATATTTCTAATATTAGTTTTTAAGATAATATTAAATAGTTAGAATAATAAAAGAAAGAATAATCTAATTAGCTATATTTACTTTTTAGATTATAATTATTTATTTCTAATTATTAAATTAAACTAGTTTAGTTTTTATATAACTCTCTAAGATTATAATTATTATTCTAGGGAAGATAATATTTATTATAAAACTAGTTTTATTAAAGTTATATAAGTTTTTATCTAGAATATTATATTTTATCTTTAGATTATATATAAGATTAAACTAAGATATAATAATCTTTAGATCTTTATATTTAGCTCTTTAATAATTATATTTCTAAACCTAGTATATATAGAGTTCTAGTTACTATTTAATAAAGTTAAAAATCTAATTAATACTAATAGAAGATATATTATATATATATAGTAGAATATTAATTATTTTCTTAATATTATATATTCTAAGAGGAAATATATATATAGATAGCTTAAGTATATATAAGATAATAGCTTTTTCTTTAGATTTTAATAAATTTATTAATTTTAATTAAATATTATATTTTACTATATAATTAGTATATTAATTATAAAGAGTTATATATAAAACTTAATAGATTTTTACTATTATTTTAATACTTAATTTTAGATTTTAATTAAGAGCTTAGATTATAAGAATAATATTTATTTTATATAAAGTTATATTTATTTTATAGTAGAAAGTTATTTAATTATAAAGAGGAAGTTCTAATTTCTAGATAGAAGTAATTAGCTTACTTATATAATCAGCTTACTTATAGATTATATTACTTCTTCTTCTTCTTACTTATAATTAGCTATTCTTAAATTAATATTTTATTTAAGTTCTAGTAGAAGAACAGTTATAGAATAAAAAAGAGTTAACTAAATAACTAGTAGATATAATAGAAAAAGAAAATCCTATTCACAGAATATTGACCAAGACTACCTTTTAATATAATGCTTAGTCTCCATTTTTCCATGCTTGGTCCGCATCTATCGTTGTTTAGTATTTTGCCGTTACGCGAATTTGTCTTGCTCTTTGCTCACCTGGATGGGTAGCTGGCGCCTCAATTTCTGCCCTCAGCTCTGCCTTCCTCTTATAGTCAGTATCGAATCTTCTGTCCCGATCCCCAACGTGCCTCTCAAAATCAAATTGATGGTCAGCTGTATAGCTTGTCATCAGCTGTGGCTCGCCCAGGGGCAAGGTATGGCCCTGGTCTGTTTGCCACAAATGGTACACTTTGCCGTATAGATGAACAACTTGGGCCATTTCCTTGTTCTCCGCCACCTCCCAAACCGAACTTGGTACCACATTATTTGGCATAATGAGCATACCGCTCTTTACCTCATACACATGGGAATGCCAAAGGCGGCGCTCTTCTTTCGGGAGTGTCTCAAACAGCTTCTCAGTTATCATATACTCGATACCAATTAAGCGGGCATTGGGCCCATCGGAGTCATATAAAATGCACTGTCGAAAATCATCATCTATCAACAATTAGATTAGTTTCAAAGCATGAATTTATTCTAGGAGGCCGGACAAACTTAATTGGGCACAATAGTGGTTCGCTTCTATGGGTTGTCGCTTTGGATCATTTGCATAGGCGTGAAAGGCATTCAGGTGCGCGCAAACAGTCTTTAATGGGCGAAACTCCTGTCATCTCGGGTCAGAATGCCGATCTCATGACCTGATCCATTGGACAGCAAACCTGAGTGATGGAAGCTCCTGTTGTAAGTGCCCGATTCTCCAAGGATAGTGGACTGCCTTGGGTCTCACCATCAGCTTGGGAACTATGTTGGAAATGCGGCGTATTCATGTCGGACTTTCGGAGCGCTTGGGATGGGACTTCGCGATGCAAGAAGACAAATTCAAAAAGCCTGCGTTTCCCTCCAAGCAATCGGCAAATAAGTATTGCAGGTATGAATACGTCATCGATTTTGCATCGATAGGTATGACGTCAAGGAACTTTCTTCTGTTCGCATGTTATGCATATGATGACGGTTAAGACTCATGGGATAATAATATAAACAATATTCACTCTCGAAGTGTTCCTATCGCCGTGTGCGACTGAGTCTCATTATCTAGCTTCTGGATATGTGCCGGGGAAAACACGGAGTCTTTTTTAACTCCTACTCTGTTAGTTTGAACCCGAGGATACTTTGATTTCATTGTCACCATGTAGGAGGCAGCTGAGACCTTTGCTTCTGACTAGACATAGGCGCACTTCCCCGCAGGCGACACGGCAATGATGGTGGATGATTTAAACTCATACATCGCCTAGCCATGTCACGTCTGCAATTACATAAGCTTGAACTTGTAGAAACTATAATTGCTACAGGGCAAAGGTAAGTATCAGAGCTCCAAACACACCGATGACAAAAGGCCAATTGTTGGAAGCTTCAATGGTACGTTTCTCGTAACCAATGCCCATATCATACACAAGCTGCTTAATCCCGTTTACAAAGTGGAAAACAAAAGGCCATGAAAGACCAAACTTAATACTCCCCTTAGCTAAGGGGGACATAATGGCAAAAGTGGCAATGAGGCTCTCACTGCCCAAGTTCCACCCGACGAAGGGGTTGAGGGCGTATGCAATAAAGTAGCCGTAGGCGACTCCCATAACTCCAACTCCAGTAAAGCGCATCCAGATGGAAGAACCTGTCCATGTCTGGTTAACTTGATATACTGTAAGGTGAGGAGCGACTGGACGCTGAAGTCGTTGCCGAACCAGGATTTCGTCGGCTGCATGAGCATCGATCTTTTGTGTTGCGACTGGCCTTACAGAAGATCAGCGCGAGCGGCAACTTGCACAGCGATAGAGACGTACCTGGTAGTGGATGAAGAAATGGATGGGGACGTGATGACTGCGGTGCGCAATAAGCTGGTGCTCACGCTTAGACCACCTCTGGTATCTATATCGTCGTCAGCGTCTAGGGAACTGGATAGCAAGGCGCCTGGTTATGCTCCGTGATTCGCACCTTGTCTTAGCAGATGAGCATTAATTCGGCGGTTGGCGGTTGTAAACATGTTCACCAGAGCGAGACGGAACCTACTGCGGGGCTGAATTCATTGGGAGACGTTGAAAATAGTGAGCGGATATCAAGAAAGCAGAGCGGTTAATAGAGAAACCAATTTGCGTGCTATATCCGGGTCGGGTGCTACTTCAGGCTTGATTTGTATGCGTGTCATGATCGTGTTGGAGGAAGTATGATGAGAGGGTCGCATCATGGCGACGCAATAAGGGCAAGCCGGCAAGGATTCCAGAATCTGCGCCAGTTAGCAAGGGTTAGTTTCATAGAAGATCCTACTTAATTGGGTAGGCTCGACAAACTGACCAAAATACCATGCATCAGGATTCAATATCATCATCATCTAGTTTGGAGACTACGTCACATTGACCGCAGAAAATCATCACCATATAAACAGCTACTAACCAGCCAAAATTCGTCGAAGAAAGCGTTATTCTTAATATCTGCCTGATTGTTATCAAAATGCCTGGCATAGAACATATTCATCTGGGCCCAACGAACCGGGTACCATTGCTTCGATATGCGAGAAGCAAAGAACAAGCAAGTCACCTCCCTGTGAAGAACTTCAAAAGGCACCCCCAGGGACCTACGAGCCAGGAAAATGCCAAGATATACTTTATTGGCACAGCAACCACGGTAATTGAATGGGGGGATTTCCGTATTCTTACCGATCCAAACTTCCTACACGCGGGTGATCACGTTCATCTTGGCCCAGGAGTCAGCGCAACACGACGCACAAACCCAGCGCTAGATATTGAGGAGCTACCTGCTGTTGACTGCATCTTACTCTCTCACTATCACGAAGATCATTTTGACAAACTCGTGGAGGATTCACTTAACCGTGCATTCCCTATTATTACAACTCCGCACGCGACGCAATGTCTCACCTCGCCAGATCGAAATAAGGAACCATTCACACGGGTAACAAGTTTGGACCAATTTGAAAGTTCTATCATACAAATCGACTCTCATCCTGATCAAAATGGACAAAAACGTGCAGTTAAAGTCAGCGGACTGCCTGGCAAACATGTTCCTCCTGGGCTACTGTCAGCTGCCAACGATTTCATGCAAGCTGTTCCTCCCACCAACGGATGGCTTGTAGAGTTGGGATACCAAAAAGGAACCGATATGGCAGACGAAATAGGAGTGGGGTACCGAATTTACATAACTGGAGATACACTCTATGTCGACGAGTTGAAAAGAATACCAGAATACCTTAAGAACCAGCGCCTTGATCTTATGTTGGTTCATCTAGGGGGAACAACAATTCCGGGTCCTTCTATGCCACTGATTATGGTGACAATGGACGCGAAGCAAGGCCTTCAGCTTATGAGACTCGTCGATCCTGATGTCACGATTCCGATTCATTATGATGACTACAATGTTTTTCTGTCCCCATTATCTGATTTTAAGGACCAAGTTGACAAAGGTGGATATGAGAAACGCGTTGTTTACCTGGATCGCGGAGATGCATATGAGTTCTCGGTTAAAGATGCGCCATCGGTACTATAGTTAATATTATTAGTACTAGGCAATTGATGGCCAGAAGTCACTGAGAATTATGAAACTTAAATTTTAAGCAGAACCTAAATATAGTACTACTTACGACCTCTGCATTATACGAAACCTGAACTGGAGCATTGGCTTAAGCATTTGGATAGCTCTACTCACATAGTAAGAGACAGAAATGGAAGATACCAGACCCAACATTCGATAGACCGAAGCATAGACAGCAATGCCATGGATAATGTATCTCAGGCTGCTGAAGATCACCCAGAAGACCTATTTACCCGTCAGAAGACCGTACATTGTGAGAGCGTACTACTTGTCCAACTCAACACCTGTCAGCTTCACCAGGGAGCTATTCTACGGCCTAAAGGCTGCACCTCACTCCCTTTCGTGCACGATATCTTCAATGATTTTAACTTCTAAGGGTAGATAGCTCTAGAGAAAAGTTGCTATTGGGCAACTAATTTAATTATTGTGCCTAGCTTTGCTTTTTACCGACCATTAATTGTGCTGGTAACTATATCGATAGTTATGGAATGATGTTAGCAAGGTTGGGCATTATGCCTCACAAGCGAAAGTTACATCGAAGACACAGAGTCGGGTAGTGAATACCTTTATCAGTAAGATAAACGATATCGTCATCCTCAGTTTGGCCTTATAATCGTAGCAAATGAGATAGCTATGCAGGTTATGCAACAGCTGCTTAAAAAACAAAGAGCAATTACTTGAACCCTATCAACTGAAAAAATCGACAAATTGATGCTCTACCCAGCATCAAAACACCATCAAAACATCATGTGAGCATTAAAAACGCCCCCCACATATCGTTCCAAGGTGAAGAATCACTGGATACTCTTCTTCGGTGGCCTACCCATCCTCCCGGCCCCGACCCGACACGCCTCAATGTGGCTTAGCTGCTCTGCCATGAATTCCTCAGTATGTGAGCATATGCAGCGGAAGTTTAGCTCCTTGTAAGTGCACGAATCATGTTTCAGATGACGCCGGTAATGGTCTTTTCGGGCAGTTTCATGCAGGCACCGACATCGGTATTTGCCCTCTGTGGATTCATGGTGTGCTCGGCTCTTGTAGTGTCGGCTGAGGTCTTTCTGGCTTTCGAAAACCTTTGATGAGCACCCTTTAGTGCATGGGTAAGTCTTGGCATGCGTGTTTCTGTCTTCATTGGAGGCCATGGTATCGTACGAAGTGGAAGTTTTTGCGAGAACTGGTTCGGAATTGAGTATTGTTTCTTGCCATGATGCCTTTTTATCGAGCCCTCCTTTGGGCTTGCCTAGGGACGGGTTTGGGCTAGGTTTGGCTACTGATTCACCGTCCTCCGAAGCTGAAGAGCCAGTCTGATTACCCTTGTCATGGTTTGATGACATGTTGACTTGACCGCAGTGATCGTTAATGTTTTGTCTTAGGCGGGAATCACACAAGAATTGCCAAGTGCTAACCAGACCTCCTCAGAACTATCAATATCTCCCGAAGGACCCGTAGCAAAGTCTAGTAATAACGCTGGGAGCAATTAGGGAAGACCCCCAGTTGATGGGCTCTAGACATACAGAGTGCAAGAATGGTTCGCTTTGGTAGTCCAAGGACGGCGTGATGCGTGACCGTTGCGTCGGGGTAGGTCTTAGCGCCTTGGATGCGTATCTGACGTTTCTGCCTGTCGGATCTTGTTTTTCTGAGGGCGGCGTGATCAAGGATCTGGGAACTATACAGCAAAATCCAGTATTGTCCTGAGCCTTGAAGGGGCGTAGCTACGTAATGAGAAGCAGAGAAAGGAAAGAATTGAAAAGAAATGCACCAAGGACGACCGAGAATATGAGAAGAACAGAACACGCCGGGAAACCTCGACCCAGGGATTCAACTCCAAGGTGCAACAGGCAGTAGAAGGGGCGATGGCTTTGTGGAAGCTCATGGGCTTCAACAACCATTCCCTCAACTCCGTATCGAGCAGTATTTGGGCCTAGAGTGTGTCGCTATGTGGTGGTAAACGAATGAAATGAGCGCCAGGGTGATGATCCTTATGATCGAACAGTCAAATTTGCGATAGAAGCAGGCTAGACGCAGTGGACAGGATATAGTTGGAGGCCGAGGTGGGTATCACAGTAGAGTGAGAGATGGTCTGTACATCGCTGCATTGATGCGTGAGAAAGAGGTAATTATCTGCAAAGCAACATTGCTGATTCACACATGGCCTCACGGAAATGGCCCCAAGCCTACATATGGCCTCACATAAAGGTGTGAGTGTGCCCAGCTGACGTGCCTTAATGTGGCCCCAAGTCGCCTTACCACCATCAACCAATCATTGCCAGCATTTTCGTGCTTATACATGGCGGCGCTTCGGATCGCTGTTTTCCCGAGCAGCATGCATACAGCATCCACGCTCGAACAGGTAGCCCCAATAGTAAGACCATCATGAAACTTCTTCAACATGGACGAGTACCCTCAGAGGCTAAACCATTTCGGTGTTGGCAAACCAGAACTCTTTGCTCAGTAGATGCGATGATTGATCAATTCCGTCGTATGTAGAAGAGGACGGCAGTGTCGTATTGGACCAGAGTACATTGAGCAGACAACGAGCAACAGGCTCCGTGCAGATGACGTCGCGATCATGACATCGCTCCAGCTTGTATTTTAGCCCTTTTCCTCTTTATTCTCGGCGAAACCGCTTCTTGCTTCTACGATATTACATGTCCATAGATCAATGGCATGTGGGCAACATAAAGCTGTGGTATTGATCGTATTATGTCGCCGGCCTGGAGGCAGATCCCAACTAGCCAGCTCGTAAATTACTACTAGGCAAAATTGAAGTCAGCTAAGGTCTCAATACTTGGAGAGCGGAGAGGGACTGACGAGAAAATATGTCTCGGTTGTGTGCGTTCGAGGGCCTATCGGATAGATGCGAGTTGTCAATGGGCAATGCTGTTATACATCCATGCATCCGGACAGGAGAGAATCAATGATGTGCTGCCTTATTGAATTAAGCATCAGCATGATATTCGTGGGTCTTGTCGTCCATTTACCCTCGACACAACCGAGTTCGTGATTGAGCAGGTCGCGAAATCGGTCTTCAGCCAACAGTCCTGTCCACACGGAATTCCCAGACCACCACGGGCTGGTTGGCAACCCGAGCACAAGCACCATCTGCGCAAAGCTTTTCCAGAGGACCTCGGCAAAGAGAGCTCCCTGAGTAAGATATTCGAAGACGGGGACGCCGGCAAAGCTAGCGTTTTCTGGCGCGATGAAGGGTGCTCTGGGATCCAAGAGGCGGGACTGGGTAATAGAAAGAAATATCTCGAGATGCTGGACGATTTGCGAGAAGCATGATATTATTAGCAGCGCGCTCGGCGAATCGAGAACTACACGGTCTGCTACGGGGGTTGGCGGCTGGCCTCGAGGACTGCCGTCATCTGGGGAATTCGACTGCAAGATGAGACACGCCCGTGTCCAAGCGGCGGCTTTTGATTTGACCGTGTCTTGTCTGGTCCCTAGGGCTTTGTGTATCGCTTTGATCGTGAGGAGATAGTCCTGCAAGAGTGTCATCAGGGACTGGTAGGGCTTTAAGATGGTGCCATCGTCCAGACTGCAATCGCCAAGAAAACTTTCAAAGGTGCCATTGGCTGGATGATTCTTCATGGTTTCCCACAAGGTGTGAAGCTCCACGTTGATCCGGGACAAGGTGACGAAATGCTCTCTCCTAATGAGATGGATGATCTGCGGCGGCATATCAGACGGGGAGTACCGCCGTTGCATATTCTCATAGTGGAAAGCAGAGGGACCTCCACGAATTGGCAGAGGAGGGAGCACGGTCTGGTGAACAGAATTGAGGAGATAATCAGACATCTCGGGAACCATCCAATCTATTGATTCCACATCAACAGGGGTAGGTTGGCTCGGTCCTTGGCCAAGCAGATGCGGGTCGAAGATGAGCTCAGGAGTAGCCGCACCGCGCGCAAGATGCACCAAACTGGGCGATGGTCTGCTTGTGATGGCATCAGCATTACCAACCGCAGGGCCCTTCTTCTTGCCCGCGGCCAGATCCTTCTTCGAGGGCCTACCAACCTTGCGCGACGGGCCGAGCTGGCAGTACAACCCGAGATGCTGGCACCGCGTGCATATATCAGCCAGGGCTGACGGCCGCGTGCATCGGAGCTTTTGCTTGCGGCAGTGCTCGCACGCGGACCGCACTTGGGTCGGGTGTGGGATCTGACTATTATGCATATTCGGATCGGAGCCAACCCGTAACACAGGGCCGATTCTTGGACAGGATTACGCTCAGGTACGGTGCCTTTCAACGATGCAAAACAATGGCAAAGGGGACGCTGGGTTGGCTCTCACTGAGTGCAGTTTATCGGGGGGTTTCTGGCGCAATCAAACGAGCAAAAACAGCAGGCTAGGTCTTCGGAGGGTTTTTCTACCGGAGGGTTTATATACCTAGTTGACCGGAGGCGCGATGACTAACCAAATGAAGACTTATTTTGGCGCTCGGTCTCGGACTCCAGCCAACAGATCAGCTCAAATTCAACCAAACAGCCCCTGGGTGCATCGTAAACGCAGCCGAATTTGGGTTGCCATTGGGGCACTCAAGCAATTCGGTGAGTATGTATGGTGCCCGTGACCCCTAGATGACTCCAAACTTAGCTTGGCGGTTCCCAGTTCCCTGCAACGGACACAAACTGTTCACAATCCCGCAATATCTGCCCTGGCCATCACTAGTGTCAATTGCGTGGCCTCCAACACACCACGCTGGGATTACCATCTATCCCCCTTCCGCCATCAACAAATCCAACATTGTGACAGTAATAAGCCTGTGTACTGGTGAGGTTGGGAAACCGTCAACGTGATACAGGGGCGACCGGGAGCTAAAGATAGCAATACGCCAAGGTATGTTGGTGTTCTCACCCTCCACAACCTGTAGAGAGTGGTGATGACTGAGATTCTATTGGATAATAGAGCAAGTAGGATTGGCGGTGCGGAACTAGCAGAGAATGGCTCCAGAGTCGTCGTCACACGTAGGACGCTAACAGCACAGCCAATGGCGAGAATCCATTAGCCATTGAGGAAGAAATTTGCCGTGCTCTGTAACAAGAGACGTCGCTGATGTGGGGTAGCCCTGATGCTTCGCTATGTATCTTGTGATAGGTGCACCTTGTGATAGGTGCACCTTGTGATAGGTGCACCTCTCGCGAATGTCCACGGACCTCGAGGCTAGGATACCGAACCCCAGGCCAGATAAGATATGACACGGTTTTTAGCGGTTTTAGCCGGTGGCTGCTAGGTTTAGACGATGGGGAAGAGCTTCTTCAAAAGAGGAGAAAGGTTAACCGCTGGGACTCTGAGCCATTTGCCAAGCGAACTTCAGCTCCCTCCATGTCAACGTTAAGCCGGGGAGCCTCGGTTGGAAAGGCTTCTAACTAAAATAGCCCATCGTCAGCACCGTATTTAATGGGCCGGAGATTAGGAGGCTCCCATATATGAAAACATAATCGCCAAATAATTCTGGCAAGGTGAGTGTTAGAACATCGTGAATAATGGCTGAAAAACATGTGCGATGGGCGCCCCTTACTTCTGTGTACCTTAGCACCTGCTTCATATGTCGGTTTAGCTGCCAACTGCTTGCTAATTCTTCCCAGGAAAATATGTAATGGCCAAGGACTACACCGTTTCACCATTTTGGTACACTGATACTGTGATTAATATCTCTTCGCCTACCTCGCGAAGGTATAGGGTATCTCAAACTCGAGGACATCAGCTCTTGGCACAAAGATTTAGCCTCTCTCTCACAATGATTTCCCGATGAACTCTCCAGAATATGGCATCTGTGAGGAAAATATACCCTGTGCATGCCTCCATCGAAACTATGGTGGTGTTAAGGGTGGTTTGTTGGGAGATGACACGACAAGAAGGTCATGCTTGTCGCTTCTATATGAGAACGCCAAAGAAAAATAAGTATCATCTTCATAAATAAACTATATGTAAAATTGTTTCCATCAAATCATCTACTGTGAACAGTAAATATCTGTATATTGTTATTTTCTTAGTATGAATAAGTACTTTGCCACCTGAGCAAAGGTCTCATCGACATTGATAGCATGTATCCGCTTTGTGTAACCGAATACACTTAGTGAAGGCTGCCAATAAACCTGTCGGAAGGCGCCTTTGCCACCCCCAAATCAAAGCCTACAGTAGCATTGTCACTCTCTAGGATTTCTGATCAGTAAAGGCGGTGCAATTGAGACTGGGAATCAAAGTCCCATATTTTCGCTGGCAATCTGACCAATCACGGCCTGGAACACTCCATAATGGCATCATTGCTGTGAGCCTTGTCAGCACAGCCACATCCTTATGGATCCCAAGGCTGAGCAAGAGGCGATTGGTGATCCATGATAAACCCGAGGCTCTCAGGAAGCAGATTCTCTATAAAATCGCACGAATCTCGCGGGGGGGAAAATATTCACTAAAGCACAAGTACACTACATTCCTAACATCTATCTACGAATCAAACTACACTTGATTGTCAACCCTAATTACTTACTACTACTACTACCTTTACACCTTACCTACCTTACTTACAGGGCATGTCTAGTATCGAACAGCAGATTCGGGAGGCTTCAGCTCGGAACGCCGAGCTCCTGCGCACCCTTACTGAGACAGATTATGCCAAACCCTCCCTTAAGGAACAGATTATTCTAATCGATGATCTGCAAAAGCAAATCGAGAAAAACAATAAAAATCTCCAGCTGTACGACACTCAGCGAAAGGCTGAGCTCAAGGACCATGAAAAGTACCGGGACAGCCATTTCCGCCGTTTCTTGTACAAGGCTACAGGAAACAAGGACAAGTTTGCCGAAAAGGCCAGCAAGGAGGAGAAGGAGTACTATGATGTCCTCCAGAAGCAGCACAAGACGACCGTCTTGAATAATGGTCTCAAGGAACAACATGAAGAGGCCAAGAGGGTCCGGGGCGAGCTCGAGACGGCCGTGGAACTACACACCCACACTCAACTCGAGCTAGATAACCTCTACAATTCCATTTTTGCGGGAGAGACGCCTCGTTTCCCCGAGGAAGATGCGCTAGAACGCGAGAGTGATAACTCTCTGCAGCGCTACCATGATGTGCGCACCAAGCTCGAGGAAGAGATGCGCGTCATGAAGCTGGTGAACCAGGCTCAAGGAAAAGTCAGGGAAGCCCTTCAACACATGGATGATGCTCGCTCGGCCTCTCGCATGGACATGTTTGGCTTCGATGGGATCGCTGACGCCATGGAGCGCAGCGCTCTCACAAAAGCCGACATAGCTTATCATGATGCGAGGAATTTTGCTGAGCGAGCGAACTTTGATGACTTACCGGCGGTCAATATCAATCACGGCCACATCATGCGCGACGTTGTATTTGATAACATATTCACCGATATGCAGTTTCATGAAGAGATCAAGCGTGCCCAGAGCGAGATGGAGAAGTTCGGCAACTTTATCAAGCAGAAACTGACGGTTTCCCAAGACAGGAAGAAGGGTATTGAGGTAGAGCTCAAGCAGGCAGAGAAGGATCTTGAGACAGCCAGGATTAACCTACAAGAAGAACGTATGAAGCTATTTGAGCAGGTTGCCAAGAGCGCGCCATGAAGTAGCAAGGCGCCAATTTCCCGCAATCACAAATAAGAACAGTCGCACGCAATAAATCCCTATTTCATTTCATTTGCTTTTCGAAGGAGAGATACCATAAAGTACATAGCCATTAAATTTGATGAACCATCCATTTCCTGCGAGGAGCACTACTCTTATCACAAGTGAATGTGAGATAATGGTTGCTTAGGGCAGGAAGTTTCTTAGCGCCTTAAGATATCGAGATCCGGTGCCTCGGCTTTATCGAAAGGCTTCCATGTGATCATGCCTTTAGATAGCATCTCCATATCTCTTCGCAACAGCCCCAGCCAACTTGTGTTTTTTTCCGAAGGTGGGCGGAATTCTGCAGTTACCAGGTGGACAAGCGATGCGTTTGCCGAGAGAAACCTCAGGTTCATATCTCTTCTTGACGATCTTGTTACCGTTAGATGGGAGTTTGCAGTGACTGGAGTTGCAGGTGAACCGCTTGTTGATAGAAGCCACAGGTTGGTATCTCTTCTTGATGATCTTGTTACCATTGGATGGAAGCTTGCAGTGGCTGGAAGTGCAGCTAAAACGCTTATCGAGAGAGACTTCGCTTTCGTCTCGAGTCTGATGATGAAAACTCCGCCGATGAGACGACAATGACCCGGATAATCCATTCGCGGTTATGGATGACAGCACTCTCCAGATCGTGAAGGCCAATAAGGTAGTGATATAGGAAATACTTTGATAAATTACTGCCAAGGCCGACTCTAAAGAAATTTTCAATAATAAACCAAGAGGAATCTGGAAAGCCGTCGAATAGACTCCGTACTGAGCAGGGTACACACTCAACTTACATGCAGCAATTATCCCCACGAATAAATTTGATATTTCGAGGGCAGTCACAGAGATTTTATAGCTGAAAAATACAAGCACGATATGCAAGGCCAATATTTCACAGGAAGCGATCACACCCTTGTCTATAGTGAAGGTGAATCTTTCTCTCCAACCCGGACCTGTTGTTTACTCAAAGAACCAAGCATAGGTCACCGGAGCGTGATGCCACTTTTATTTTCCCGCGCCATTTGAACCCAGTAGCACACAAAATCTTCGGGAAACTCAATCTCCATATTAAGAATCTTCAGAAGCATAGCCACAGCTCAGTCAACCTTGGCCTCGCTCAGTTCTAGCGCAACTTAGGCTCAGAACTCGCTCAGATTACATAATCATTGATCAGGTTCAAGAATGGAAGGAGCCTCTAGTTAGATTATTTTGTAGGATAGTGTTTAGCTGCTACAATTACCAAAATAAGCCAAACCACAACTTGAACGGAAGCATACCTAACGTCAAAGGTTCAACAAACCCATCCCATCTACAATTGCAAGTGGCAATACGACTTAGCTACATCGTCATGGGCATGGAATTATGTCCGCTCAACTTTCCACGTAAATTTGTTAACAGCTCGATGCCACCTGGACCAACTTGTCTGCCTAAAATGCGGCCAAGAATATTGCTGACAGTAGCTCCACTGGCATGCCATCCCTGAATAGCGCTGAGAGCTATAAAAGGTCCTCCGCAGGATCAGAGCGGCTCGCAAACCTACTTCCCAAACATCATTTCTTTCAGATCTTGTCAACTCCGACTAAGTATCCAAAATTAGCAATGAAATGGGATACCACGAATATCGTTGTATAATATGCAGTGTCAGTTTTGCTATTGCTCGCATTCGCACACTCAACGAGCCACGTGACGCATCCTGGGGCTGCTATGGAATCACCACCCGAAGAAGTCAGGTCAGATGTATGGGCCAGACTCAAAAGTGGCGATCCCGTTAGGCTGGAACACATCGCAGGCCCGGATTGCGAGAGCTTGTCGGGATATAAAGGACACCGCATCTCCGTGGAGGAAATGAGGGGATGCAATACCATGCAGGGGCTGATTTTGAAAGATCCAGACTGGGAGCCAGAAGATGGAGACGAGGAGTTTGAAAGGTCCGGGCGTTATTATCTCACCGGGCTGCATGACGCCAACACCAATATCGACTCTCACGATTCGTGCACGCCTCCAAGCACGGCTGCTCCTGCGTATCTCCAGCACTTGACAGTTATGACCTTGATAAAATAAGTGACGAACAACGCCGAGCCAGCCTATCGCTATTCCATACCTGTCCACCCCACCTGCTCGGAGGTTTTGAAAAGGGTTCATCTGCGCCGATATGGGCGCGCCGATATTGACAAGTTCCTCGTGTGGTGGGAGCTAGGTGTTCGTAAGAGAGCCCTGCCCCAAGATCCATGCCGAACCGATGCTTCTCATGGTCGAGATCAGTACTGGCTACATAACAGTGGCGCCGAATATTTGGCTGCAAACCCCCTCTTTGTGCCTGGGCTTGAAAGGATTTTCCGTCTCGCTGATACTGCGGCGCTTTCTGAGAGCGGCAAGATAAATAACAATGTCGAACATGAAGTGTTCGCTGTGTTGCCTACCGAACTACGCAGAATGATACTTGATTGCCTAAGCAGAGATGAGATTACGAAGCTTCACTACGCATCGCCTTTCTTGTATCGCAACGCGATGAGGGACTTAGGAGATTCGTTAATGAGAGAACACCCCTGGCTGTGGGAATACTGGACCGAGTTACCATATTCCTCTTGGGCACTAACAACCGCCACTGAGCTGAAAGAATCAATTGAGAGCCCAGTAAAGCAGCTCACTGCGTCACGTTCTATTAACTGGGGCTCCGTCATGAGGATGTTTTGGAATGGAGAGCAGTCTGGCCGTTTGAAGGGTCTCCAGAATCGCCGTCGGATTTGGAAAATCTGTGACATGATCTTAAGCAAAGTCGAAGAACATGACCCTTTGGTTTCATGATTCTCAGTGGTTCTGATTTTGCACAAAAGCTCGCGACATGCCGCATGTGTTCTAAAGTTATGCAGTTTCTCGGTTCGACAGTCTTCCAGACATACATGCCGACTTCAATCTCTCTTGATCCCTCCCAAAGAAAAATGTCATTATAGAAAATAGACCCTAAAAATCAATAAAAAGGAGAAGAAAAAGGGAAAAGAAAGAAAACGAAATTTCAACTCATCCTGATATCAACTATGCTGATGGCCTGGATATAATCTGTCCCTAAGCTGAACCAACTTGTCCCAGGCAGCTTTGTGCCTACCTGAAGACTCTTTGCCTGAACTCACGTCATCACGCTCTTCCTCATCATAGTCCTCTATCAAATCGCTAAGATGCTCCTCCGTGACGTTGCGGCTTGTGGCATATTCACAAAAGATATCGAGAAATATGTCGTTCAGTTTGAAGCCAACTTCGGGGCGGAAAGTTGCCTTCCTGTCTGATGCAGCGAGTTCAAAAGCAACCTCCATAGCGGAGGAATTTGTTGTCCCCGTGCCCTCGCTAAACTCGAAGAGATCCGAACCAAAGCCTTGAATAGAATACGCGTCCCATGTCCCTGTATTTTCCTCCTCGCTCTCATCCACCAACTGCACCAGGTTGATGAACTCTCCCCCATCTGCCTCATCACCCCCATTTGGTGGTGGCCTCCTGGACAACCGTACCCTGTCGTGCTCGTTGGTGCTCCTGACAGGACCCAAAGGAGCCCCGTTGTCCAACAGGAGGCGAATACGATTTGTCATCGATATCTCTTCCGGGATGTCGTCAAATGGTAAAAAACCCCATTGTCGAGCCTCATGTTTGACAAAAGCGACCAAGAGAGACCATTTATCCCTGTAGAAGGCTCTCCCAATGGTGGAATCAGCTCGGGCGCCAGCATCAATCAACACTTGCATGCAGTTGACATCCCTCAGGTGAGCGGCAGCACCGAATAGTGCTCTAGTCAGGGCTTTGTGGTGGCTTCGGGAGCCGCGTCTCGAGTTCGGCGGTATGCCCCTTTCCAGCAAAAGTTTCACGAGCTGGGTCCTTTGCGTCTGCTCCCTAACATATCCGTCGTGTTTCCAAGGGATACCTGATGGATAGTCTTCGATGTCGAAAATGCATACGTCAAGCATACTCCGGGGACGAGTGCCATCGTGATTGACAAGCGCAAGCGTAGGGTCGGCCCCACGTTCGAGGAGAAGTATGGCGGCTGGGACATAATCCCCGGACGTCACCATGGACGAGAACGGTGTTCGTCCCTCGTTGTCTCTGTGGTTGACGTCCACACCTCTGTCGAGAAGGTTTCGGCAAAGCGGTAAGCAAGCGCCATCAATAGTGTCAACAGCCAAGTGGAGGAGGTTTCGACCTGATTTGTCGGTGGCATGAATGTCCACTTCATGGTTGTTTACCATGACGTCGAAGAGTTCGACCTCTGCGTTCGCGACAATTTCAAAGATCGCCGGATGCCCCTTTGCCGAATCTCGAGCTCCGTGTTCGATCAGAATCCTTGCTATAGCCAAGGCGTCTCCATCCCCTTGGCCATGAGAAAGTGCGATGTGGAGGACGCCGACACCTTCAGCATCATCGAGGCAGTCACAGCTTCCCTGAGCCGTGGCATCGAGGTCTGCTCCATGCTGCAACAGGTATTCTACAATTTCACGCCGACGGAAGAACGTCGCACATTGAAGAGGGGTGTAGGAGAATGTTGGGCCCGTAGGAACGGCTTGCACCTCGATCACATCCTCGGTCATGTCCAGAGCTTCCAAGACGGACGCGATATCCGACATGGCAACTACTAGGGAGCCATCTCCGTCCGCATCTACTGCTTCTTCTCCCGCTGGCTGTGCATGATTCCAGGCAACTTGATTTACTGTGACGATCTCACCGTCCGCATCCACTGTCTGTTCTCCCGCTGGTTCTGGATGATTCCATGTAACTTGATTTAATGTGACGATCTCACCGTCTTGTGCCCATGCGCCATGTTCGCCATGTCGCTCAGCGAAGAGAAAAGGCGCAGGGATCGCTACCGCGCGAGTATTCACATCGGCCCCATGCTCCAGCGCCTTCCGAATGGTGTCGATGTTATCAGACTGAATTGCAAAAAAGATGCAGGACTGATGAGGAGCCTCTTGCCGGATGTTGCGCGAATACAGGAGCGGATTGAACAAGTCGTAACATAGGCTATTTGCCTTGGCAAGATTGTTCAGATCCTGTTTTGCGCATGCATTTCCAACGGCGATGAGGACGTCGTATGGCAGCGACTCGAAGACGGACATGTTGGTCCTGCAATCTTCTCCCGTGTCTCAGAATAGTACAGGTTGTGTCGTGATGGAGATGGATGATGGCAGGCGACTGCTGATGGGATGAAGAGAGAAAGAGGTAGGAGGGTGTTGACATGTGATGGTGAGAGAGGGGTTTGACCAAGTCAGGCCGTCCAGTGTGGCTAATGTTGTATTATTGCTGCCTGCATAAAGCTGGTGACGACCAATAATGCTGGAGGGAAGATTCACCTTTGTACTCTATTGGCTCCATTTTATGCATAATCATCAACTGTCAGCGCTAACCTGTGGGTTCTAACACGACTATAACGGCCAGACGGGCTACTGTCGTAAGAATGGTACTTGCATCCGCTGGAAATGTGAGACAACGAACTGCAACGCTTCGGAGCGAGATATTGCGAGCCTATAATGGCACCTTGTATTAGGAGAACTGCCAAGTGTATAAGAAGGAACGTGTATGTCTCCATGAAATGATCTCTAATCAAGCCTCACATGTAGAGTCCAAAGTGAATTAATAGCCACTTCCACCGCAGCTCATCAGAACTCGGTTCACAGACTAGTTTCTCTAAATTGCCCATAGTCCAAAGGCAATCATGGAGGACTGTCATGTTGACTAAATTGTCACGTTAACCACTAATGGTCGTGACATGGTTCCTATCAGCAGCTTGGTTAGGAGATGCCGATAGAATGGGGTCGATTAAAAAAAGAAACGTGGAAAATAAAATAGATTCTTACCATGCGATGTAATATCTTCCATCCGTTGATATCGTGGGTTTGAGCTATGCTCCTCAAGCCAAGCCTCAAGCAACAAGTCAGGGATCAAGAATCACTTCTTCATCGTTTGACTGGAGCAACGAAAGACCTTTTCTACAGCGACTACTCGCCATATTATCTAAATTCAAATATCTAGAGCTTTGATACATTATCGTGTGCTGCAAGCGAGAAATCTCGGTTAGAACCAGGCAGTCAAGTACAGCCAGATAGCAAGGTCTTACATGAAAACTCAACACCGTTTTTCTTATCCTTGATTAGTTTCGATAGTGCTGAAACTAAATTTGCCGCATTTTCCTTTGTCACTTGATGATGGAAAACAATTCGACCACTGGGAAATGTAGTGAGCCTGTATTTCGCACAGTACTCGACAAAGGTAGAGCCAGGAATTTCCATCGCCGCCAGGTCCAAAGCAATCATATTAGTTTGTGCTGGAAGGGCCAACTTGTAGCCCAGTGCTTCCAGCTTGGTGGATATGTTATAGGTCAACGAATGTATGGTTTTGAGTTTGGGAAGTGTAATTTTCATTGCCGCCAGCGCTGCCGCAGCCATCATCCCGGATTGTCGTATAGCACCGCCAAACATTTTCTTAAAGTATCTTGCTCGCTCGATGAATGCCTTAGTCCCAGCAATTATACTACCCATAGGTGCTCCCAAACCTTTGGCTAGACAGATTGACACACTGTCAAAGCATGCTGTGCACTCTTTGAGCGACCCGCCTTCCGCGGCCGCGGCATCAAAGATGCGAGCGCCGTCAGGATGCATAACCACCGGGTTTGTTCCTGCGGGAACAGAATATGACCGGACGAATTCGGATATTTTCTTAGCTTCTTCGAGAGGGAGGATTGTACCGGCGAGCGTATTCTCCAGGCACACTACACGTGTTTCCGCGTGATGGACTGTTCATGACAATTAGTTCTGAACCGTGTCATGCATTCTCTTCCAAAACTCACTGTTGCCCTCTGGAATCATATTCCTTTGCACATCTTCGAGAGTAAGATATACACCGTTTGCTGGCTTTAATGCAATGGGATAGCTTGGGAGAAAACAGCCAGTCCTCCAGTCTCCATACACTGAATGTGGCTTCGAGCATCGACAAGAACACTATGAGGCGGTTGTGTCAAATGGACTCGCAGGCAAATCTGGTTCCCTTGTGTCCCGGACATTGTCCACAGGGCCGCTTCTTTTCCAGTGAGCTCCGCTATTTTGTTCTCTAGCGCTGACACGGATGGATCACCCTCAGTGTCATAGGTGTCATCGCCAAAGGTTGCCTCAATGATTGACTGTACTTATGAATTAATGCTCGGCGCCTTGAGGCCTTCCACAAACAGGTGTTCTTACCTGCACCATAGCTTGTGTTGGTACGGTAACAACATCAGAACGGAAGTGTCTAGAGGCTTTCTCCGTGGCGGCCTGCAACCTGGCAACTGCCTTCGGGGTGAGAGCTAACGTATCTTCACCCATCTTGTTGCCGGTGACTAGGAGAAGTAGCACGAATAATAATAATACGTTGATACTATTCAGTATTTGTATCCTACGCAGTGATCATTAACAGCTTGAAACTCACTCTCTATGCAGTCTAGATTTTGTTAGGCCCACTCGATGATCAAAGTCCGGTGTGCGGGAGCGACAATGATAAGTGCTGAGAAAGTAGACGAAAACCGGCTGCCAAATCAAGTTTAACTTAAAATATGAACTGTTGGTACTGATAAGGGGGATGAAAAACAGCTCACGGTAAAAAAAAATAATATAAGTATTAGAAGGCTTTTCTAAAGTATATACTGTAGATAAGATAGGTTATAAAGATAATTAATTAAGTTCCTATCCTAGCTATAGAACTAGGCTGGTTATAAAGCTGGTTTTAGAGCAGTTATAACTAAGCCGACTGCTCTATAGTTAGCCTTCAGCTATGTGATGACAAGGTCGGAGAGCTTAGATTGATACTGGATGGCTGCGGGTGTGCGTAAATCCTTCTGTCCCTTCACCTATGATTGACGAAAATTTAAACCCAACCTGAAGCCATCCGGTCTACAAACTAACGCTCGTTGTACCGATACGCCATTCCTTCGCCCCCAACCCGACTATCTAAGCCAGTGACCTCTAAGGAGCTTCGTCTTCAAAAGTACCTGCACAATTGGACCCATTCCCTGGGGCGACTGAATACTAAGCCCGTTCAACCAGAAACCAAACCATTTACGATATTTCCAAGTTGGCAAGTATGATATCAATACCTTTTATCTATATACATTACCCAAGTTGCCCGATACCGATGAGCCATACATGATTCTAGCCAACATAACTCCCAGACTATTACTTGGAAAGGAGGTCTTCCAAAGGAAACCCAACTTGAAGCCCCAACTACTTACTATGATCCTTGGGCCACAGTATTGCCTTCCTCTTGACCGCGATGACTTGAGCGTACGCGACGATGAAATACATGATGACAATGAGAATCGTCATGGCACTCGCAACCCACTGTATCGCCTCACTCTCCAATTCCTGTCCTATCTGTGCAGTAGCCACCGTGAAGCCGACATTGGGAAACACAAACGCCCACCACGAAAGCGAAAATCGTAGCTGTTTCTTGAGCGCTGACTCAACCACGGAGATGAGACTGATGGCGAAAAACCAGAACCCGATGCACCAGATCCAGATCCCCACCCAGGTGGCCACTATAAGCAAAACCTCCTGCGCCATAGGATGCTGACCAAAGTACCCGTACCCGACTGGGATGGCACGCGCCATGCCGATGATGGCCACGGTGGTGAACCCAGCAGGCCCAACGGCCATGAACATCGCCGGCCGCATTGCCGGCGCTGGTAGGCCGTCCTGCATGAGTCGGCCCAGGTATAGGGGGTACACGAGGCAGGCGACGGTCCAGCCGAGGCCTTGGTAGGTGACGCCAGCGACGAGCATGGCGATGCGACGCTCCGGGGACTGGGTGGGGGAGATGGACGCGGCCAGAGTTCCCACCAGCATGACAGGGAAGATGGGGAGGATCCATGCCGGCGTCATGGAGTGGACGGATAAACTCTCCCCCCGGAAGAGGATGAAGAATTGGACGATGGCAGATATCGTCGAGAAGCCCGCGTAGATCCAGAAGAGGACGTAGATGGCAGTGGCCAGCCAGGGACCGGAATTGGGGACGCCGTATGCAGCGGCATTCGTCAGGATAGTAGCGAAGCTAAGCAGAAAGGCAGGGAAGAAGAGGCTCTCCGTCGGGTGAGTCAAGCTATGTTTCAGAGCTTTCGGCTTGACGGCAAAACGGTAGCCCATACTAGCCGTGATCAAGACGAAGAGGGCCAGGTTTAAGATGTAAACGATCCGGCCGATGATATCCAGGCCGGTGAAGCGATGGGGCGTAGTATGGAACAGCAAGGCCAAGCCTCCCGTGCTCATTGTGGTGGTGAACCAGGCCCATGTCATGTGCTGGAGGCGCTGACCGATGGGCAGCCACGACGACGCGTCGATGAACTGCCCAAGATGGACCATGGAGTTGTGAACGTGGCCATCTTCCCAGTTGTCCCTCTTCGGGGGCGATGGCGATGGTGCCAAAAACATGACCCAACGTTGGGGAGGCGCTTGTCCATGGAGAGAACAATTACGAGCAGTGAGATACCGTGAAGAGAAAGCAGGTAAACAGCGCTAAACCCGCTCTATCCGGAGCCACTTCAAGCTTGCTTTAACCCCTGCATTACTCCATTCAGGAGAAAGTGACGTTGATCATTAACGCGGCAGGTTCTTGTCAGAGCGGTGAGGAGGCTGAGCAAAAGAAAGAGGAGATCATACGAAATCCCGTCTCTACCTATTCTCGCATATGCGTTGCCTTCCTTACAAATCAATCAATCATCCATGACACATCTCAGAGTGAGGACGGGCGTTTTTTTACTCATTTTGCGTTAAGCCCCGATGCAATTACCTACCCTATATCTATGTCAAGCTTCCCAAATGTCGGTCCGCATTGAATCTACAGTGGAAAATGAAGACTTGCGGTAGAAAAAGATGGGTTTGTTGGGCCGCAGAATGCCGTGTTTCAAGCGAGGATTGTCATCCAGTCATCATATGGTTCGGGTGACGGGTGCGTTGGAATTGAACACCATGCACATCATCTTCATCATTAACGGGAGAACAATGTGTCCACTGTATGTTGATGTTGGCGAACCCGGCGATCTGAAATAAGACAAAGATCGGCGCCATCTTGCATGCAATATCCGGTATGGTGTAGTGGCTAACATCGCTCGCTCTCACCGAGCAGCCCTGGGTTCGATTCCCAGTACCGGAGAATTTCTCTTTTTATTGTTTCTTTTTTTGTTTTATCATCCTCCTCTATTGTCACCTCTTTGTTTTGATTGTCGGTCGATCTGGATATTTGGGATATCGCCGAAGGTGGCCTACGAGCGAACGGAGGAAAAGTACCCCAATATACATAGGTATTCAGAGCAAACTGTATACGGAATGGCAAGGCGGCACTCTAGGTCTACGACAACGTTGATGTGCAAAAAGGATGCATGTTATTAGAGCTCAATTGATGACTATGAAAAAGGCAATGGGAAAGTTCAGTTATTCCTCATATTATCCCCTCAGTCTGTTCCTCTCAAATCCCAAACGCCGGAGCGATGCAATAACAAGTGACAAATACATGGCAGCCCGATGTGTCTCTAGTTGACAACGATGCGGCGAGTCTCATACTGCTTCGCCTTGGGAATTACGACACTCAGAATGCCATCCTGAAGGCTGGCGGAGATACCGTCCTCCTCGATGCGAGAGCCGAAGGTAAAGGAACGAGAGAAGCTGCCAATACTCCGCTCAGCTAGCCAATACTTGGCGGTATCGATAGGCTTCTTTTGCTCGACAGCTGTGGCCTCGGCAGCTTCGGCGTCGGCCTCATCCTCCACTTTAGCCTTGTGCGAGTTTGAGCTGGTCTCGGCGGCATCGCCTGCGCTCTCGCTCCCGGTGGTGTAGGTCCTCTCGGACTTGCCATGGATGACCAGTGTCTGGAGTTCAGGGAATTCGATCGAGATGTGATCCTTCTTCACTCCGGGGAGCTCGCCGTGAAGATGGTAGGCGTCGGGTGTCTCGCGGATGTCAAACTTGGGCTGCCACTGGGTGGAGGGTGCCGTGGCGGAGCTGTCGCCCTTGGAGTACCGGTCATAGTCTTCCATGAGGCGGAAGAGAGGGTTGAATGAAGCGCCGTTGTGGTTGGGGCGGGTAACGAATGCCATTTTGTTGACGTTGGCGTGTGGTGTGTGTATAAGTATGGTGGTGATGCTTAGCTTAGCGAGATGCTTGTAGGCTAATAAGAGTTTTGGGGGTATTTGAATTGAGAATAAGGCTGATGAGAGAGGAATGGTTCATCTCCAGTTGGGAAGCCAGATCTTTAAATGGTGAAGGCTCGCCATGTTTGCAGTTGTCTGCTGCTCTGTGAATGACTGGAAGAAAATGCCAGAATTGTCTAGGCGATTGTCAGCACGTCGCATCACGGGTAGCGATTCATGGAGGCGTGTTGCGTAGACCAGGTGATTGGCCCTTCGTCATCGCCGGAGATTTGCGTGATGCAAGTGGAAACTTCGGGAATCTGCTGGATAAACTCAGCACGAGATTGCCCCCTGAAACGCGCTGTAGTTCCTGTGGGTCACCGCTGTAACTCACTCCAGTTCTCCACTGGCGACTTTTTGGCGCTTATTACTGTAAATCTCTTGATGAGGTGTTGGTTTATCATACCAAATACAATAAAAGTTGAACACAATTGGATGAATATCGATCATGGTTGCGGGGCTTGTCAAAAATCAACAAACTAGTAGCTAATATGCCAACCATTAGTCAAAGGTAAACCGGCCCGAATCACTGTATCCTGCTCATAGCTTGCCCGTCTCAACTACACTGGTGACATTTATCAAACAAGGGGCCCAAGAAAACAAGACGAAACCGTTAGGATTTCCGTTTGCGCTTTATTTCGGTGAAGCTCCTCACGCCATCTAATGCTCTCGTTATCGGGTCGTACTCTCATTTGAGACGACCCTGAGGAAGGCTACATGTGAAACGGCGCCTCTTACTGCTTGGCGAAGAAGCGAGGTGAATTTAGTGGCATGATCTAGTGACAGTTTGTCTTGTTTGGTCGCTAGATTTTTGATAAAGGACCAGCATACAATTCACGTTAGAGCTTACATCTCGCTTCGCTCACAGTTTGTCCCGCAAATCGAAGATGCTACAATTCACTCACTCATAGTACGGCGCGGGGACTGGGAAAGTTTAAGTTTCCGTATGCGTTTCATCATTCGATCATGAAAAGCGCATGAAAGCCTGTTACGTATCTGTTGCACAAACATCAAAGTCTGTGTCGTGAAATAACGCCTCTCTCCCTGAACGAACACGAGCACGGCAACGATACTGGTACCACCTAACCATTTGCTGAAGCAAAACACTGTCTTAAAACCACCGTCGAACTTAGTTTATTGCATGATAGGGTTTCTTGGTCTAATTTTCGTTGGCTCCTTTTTTTGTTATATGAAGTACGTTTGATAGGAAGCTTTGATGTGAAAATAACAACATTTAGTGATGTAAATCTCGTGTGTACGACCATTCATTGGGTTATCATGTCGGGAAGCTATGTATTCATCCATAATAGCTGCCCTCTGAACCGAAGAACTCGGCTGATGAGCGGCTGTGAACGTGAAGCGTTCGCTAGTGCCTTTCTGCGTCGTGTCATCTTGATCTAATGAATGTCGATGTCTTCGCCTCAGGAACTAGGTTTTATCTATCATCCCTGGTGGTGGAAATGATTATAGATTAGGAGCTTTAATGAAACCCTCATGCCACTAGTCTTGCTGTGCTGGTCTTAACGGATTCCTTGGAGCTGATGCACTCTTTACCCTGCTCAAGGAGGCTGCAATAAACAAGCTGCTCAGAAAAATTTCCAGTTTTAACGTTAACAGCATGATCTTCAATGGAAAGCTCATGGGCGAAATATAATGTTTTCTCGAGCCAAGAGCGAGCAATCCCGAGTCTATTCAGGGGAGAATAATTCAGATAATGATCTGAACTCCGTTACTATGATATGTTGTTTTTCCACTACATGTAAGATTTTAACATAGCATTCCGATGGTTCTTGTTGATCGCCAAATATGCCGGATAGACATTCGGAATACCTGTCACTGCTTGGTATTGGAAGGGATACTCAGACCATCGCCTCAAACTAGGGTGAATCATGCCGCTGTACAATTAAAAGATTTCATGGTAATTCAGTTCATATGTGAATAATTCTGCTTCTTAAGGCTTTTCGAAGAAAGCATTCTTAGGACGGGGAAGTCCCAGGTGCTCTCGTAGTGTTGTTCCTGTGTAGTCCTTACGGAAAATCCCCCGACGCTGTAATTCAGGGATCAATTTCTCGGTCACATCATCGAGACCTTGAGGAAGGAAAGGGAAAGTGACAGTGAACCCGTCGGCTCCTCCTTCAACCAGCCACTGTTCGAGTCCATCCGCAACCGTCTCTGGAGTGCCTACGAACGCAAGCCCGGAATAGCCACCATAGCGTTGAGCAAGCTGACGTACAGTGAGGCCCTCGTCCTTGGCTAGCTTAATCACTGATTCCCGACCGGACTTGCTCGCATTCGTCTCTGGGATGTCATCTGGAAGTGGCCCGTCGGGGTCGAATTTGGAGGCGTCCACCCCTAGAGAAATGGACAGTGATGCGATGGCACTGTCATAATGCACGAAGGTATCCAACTTCAGGCGCTTGTTCTTGGCATCCTCTACGGTATCGCCAATCACGATCAGTGCCGCTGGGAGGATCTTGATGTGGTCCGGATTTCGACCAGCGGCAGCAGTGCGACCCTTGACATCTGCATAGAACAACTTGGCGGAGTCCAAATCCCGCGGCGCGCAAAAGACAACCTCGGCCGTTTCTGAGGCAAGTTGTTTTCCTGGCTCAGACTGGCCTGCCTGGACAATAACAGGCCACCCCTGAACTGGGCGTGCGATGTTGAGAGGACCCTTCACTTTGAGCTCGTCACCCTCGTGGTTAAGAGTATGGAGCTTCTCTGGGTCAAAGTAAACACCGCTTTCAACGTCGCGAACGAAGGCGTCGTCGGCAAAACTGTCCCACAGGCCGGTCACAACATTGTAGAATTCTCTGGCTCGTTTGTAGCGATCGCTGTGTTCCATATGCTCATCGCGGCCGAAGTTCTTGGAAGACTCTGGGTTCCCTGTTGTGACAATATTCCAGGCAGCGCGGCCATTACTCAAGTGGTCAAGCGAGGCGAAGCGGCGGGCAATGTGGTATGGCTCGTCGTATGTGGTTGATGCAGTTGCCGCTAGGCCGATCCTCTCGGTCACAACGGACAAGGCGGAGAGGAGAGTGAAAGGCTCGAAAGACGTAACTGTGTGACTTCTCTTTAAGGCCTCCACTGGCATGTTCAGGACCGCCAGGTGGTCGGCCATGAAGAAGGCATCGAATTTGGCTTTTTCAAGTTTCTGAATGAAGGACTTCAGGTGATTGAGGTTGAAATTGGCATCTGGATAAGATCCGGGATATCTCCATGCTCCTGTATGCAGGCTCACTGGCCTCATGAAAGCCGTCAGATGCAAAGTCTTCTTGGAATCGGACATTTTGATTCCGAGATATCAATACTGGCCCGGTTTACTGTTGCTTGTGATGAATAGTATGCTATGTGAATGATTGGGCCCTTTATATCCAATCTAGAACGGGGCTCCGGGTATGCCGGTTCTAAGGACGGATGTCGCATTGTAAGCAGTGGGAGATGACAAATAAATGCTCGATCACGACATCGATAACTGCGGGGTTGGTGACCAATACCGTGGCGGGATTTTATCTTGTGATGTCGCCATACGATGGTCCGAGGATGCAATTAATAATTATGTTCCTTCAAGCAGCGACGGATGGTAAGCTAATTATGTCATAAGTATTTTGAGGCCCCTGGTGATGCTTCTTGTGTGCGCATGTGACATTTGTTATGGTGTTGAACTTTAGGAGTAGTAAGTGAGAGAGTTACACAGTTATGCGGCAGCTGCCAAAAAAAAAAGCAATTCCCAAACACCAAGAATTTAACAACTTGACACCATACCTAGTATCACAACACATTAAACTTCAGCCTTTTTGCCCGGCTATAAGGCTTGGGTGTTGAACTTTATCCTTCGTCTTTCGAGGTCCTTCTAAATAATCTCACTGTCGAGTGTAGAATGCTTGCTTGTAGATATATGAATGAAGCTAGAGTGATAAAAGAACAAGAAGAGGAGAAATGAGAAGTGTGGCAATTGGATTTGGATATAGTCCTTCTAAAGCAGTGTGATCAAGAAAGTATGTAGGAAGCTGTACGATCCTGAAACAGCGAATTGGTCTGATTGGGAAGGTGACTGTTGATTTGGCGCCATGGATTCTCATCCTCGAAGAGAAAGAGTCTATACTAACTACTTTACGAACACGTTTGCCAAGACAACCAGGAAATCAACGGTCAAAAAACGCCCGGGAATTCCCAAGAAGAATTAGGCTTCGCGTATAGAAGAGTATATAGTAGTCAAAAATGAAATCGATGAATGAATAAGTCTAGATATTGAGAACTGGCGAAGGAAGGAAGGGAAATCACTATATTGCAAGTCATACTCAAAGGAAGAATTAGGATTATAGGATTATTGGGAGTTTTTTTACTGACTTACGCTTTGTATTTTAAGAGTTGAGGCGATGACGATGTCAACTGTATGCTACAATTCTTGCAACAATTTTTAGTACAGTCTCTTCGAATATCTGATTGACGCCGGAGAGATTATTCTGACTAAAGAATATGGAAAAGTCGAGAATAGGTGCCATAGGCTTCCCCGGATGGTTCTGTGACTCCACGGAGAAATTCTAGCAGCAAGATTACCATATGTGCGGTTTGAAAGGATGCGCATATTTGAAAGACCATATGCCATTGGAAACTTGATCAAACCCATAAAACCGGTCCGCGGGCTCTTTTTATCGAGGATGATAATTGTTTTATAAGCTTTTATATTATTTAGTTATCACATAAGATAAAAATAAATAAAACCAATAAATTTATATCGCAAATAGAGAACAATTACTTCAGGTTTAGAAGTCCCAAAGCAGCGGAACACGGCGAATAACCCTTATCTCAGTATCTCGAGGAGTTTCTTCCAACATCTCAAAGAGTTGCCAATTTTCAAACCAGTTATCCACATCAAGAATACTGATACGCTTCAGTTGTGGTAGGCTAGTAAAACTGTTCATGGACATGTCTTGAACTAACTTAAGAATCCCTTGGTCCGACCACGAATCACTCGGGTTCATGCAACTGCATCGTTGAGCAACACTACGCATGACAGCGAAAGCGTCTTAATGCCACTGGGGATGCAGTGATCCAGAGGCTGAGGTTGATCCCCAACACCAGCAAGAAATACCAACGGCACCTCGAGGTCGGTTATTCGGTTGAATTTCCGAAGCCCGCTGAATGATCCCATGACCTTCATTTTCACTTTGCCACTATAGTCATCCTCCTTGCGGATGGTGACCCTGAGCTGTAGCCTCTCTAACGTATCTTTCACATGTGAGAGAGCTGCAATCATCTCGTCAAGGTTGAGATATTTCGTGACGAGAGAATTACTCCATCTCGTTCTAGCCGCACACTCCTGGCCCCAGGCAAGTGACTTGAGGTTCTCAGCCAGGGCTAGTATCTCACCCATGGTGGAGGCATTGAATTTTCCATAGCTAGGAAAGTCAGATTACGAAGGTCGGGCTTACCTAACACCTGTTTGCAAAATTCCCGTTTAAGATTACCCGTCCGACCTGCCAAGTGCGTGACTGTGGGCATGTGAAAGAGGCGCATCCCTTCCTCGAACATAGTCAAAGGAGGATTTGTGTGAGAATCATGACCTCTAAAATAAGTGACTCGCTCCAGGCGTTCGAGTTTGGATAGCTGTCCGCTTGTTTTCAAATCAAGGACTGGGCCAAAGAGGTCGGGCAAGCGGATGTAACGACCAGTAACAGTGAGGCGACGTATCTTGGTAAGATGTGCAATCAGTACGGCCTCAAAAGCGTCCATTCGGCCTTCCTTGAGCTCACGCGTTCAGCAATCGGTCAGTGGTGTGTTTAGCGTTTGAACGACATCCACATATTTGGTATTAATAACCCGCGGAGCTGCCCCCAATGCGAACATGTCTTTATCCCCAGCGCAATTGCTTCCATCTAGCGTGAGGGCAGTGATCCAGCCAAAACGTTCTGGTCTCCGGAACAGCCTGTCCAGCAGAGAGATGATCCGAGGCTGTTGATCATGATTCCATTTGAAAGTGATGTCAGAGTAGAGCGCGTACTCTGCAATAGGGTGGAGAGATTTATTGACCAGACAAAGATTGGCCAGGTCAGGCGTCCAGAGGCAACTGAAAATCTCGGTGACAATTTCAGGCGGAGTGTTAGATAGTGGCATTCTTCTCTGTCTCGAGACACTGCAAGTCCGTGGGGCCGTGTGCAGCTCTACTGACGAGAAAAGAGTGAAATACCTTGAGAGCAAGATCAGTTACTGTAAGGAGAATGACCGTGTGAAATTGTAAAGGCTTTAGCTAGGTGGGGGCACGCCGATGAAATAAATGAATCGAGAGTGGACAATATCCAAAGTATTTTTCACCTGCTAAGTGACTCATCGGTATAAGGTTTACAGAGTTTTCCTTCGACCTGACTGTTGCCTTGGGCTTGTAAAGCTTATGTTTGCCTTTTATACATTATTCTGTTGACTGGAGCGCGCACTAATGTGGCAAAGCGCGTGGTCAGTGTGTAGCATTGAATTTCAATATAATATCAATACAATATTGAAACAAATAATCCAGTAATAAACACAGTATCGAGCTAAGGATTAAACAGTAATTTACTATTAGCTTATGATTATTAGAAATATCCAAGACAGGCCTATAACTCTCCCACTTTATGAGGAAAGCGTAGGTCTCAAAGTATCAATCTACCTCTTGAGAACGTCATCAGATATTGCGGAGAGGATCAGGTGTTCAAGCTCAAGTGGAAACTCTGGATGCTCCAGGTGCTCTGATGAACATCCAATGCGATAGATATATCGTTCAGACTTATCAGAGTCTGCACCAATTCCACACTGCTTTTGTAGAAGCTCACAACGACAATCCTCCATATGTCACCGAGGATAGATTTGGGGCCATGTCAAAGTTAGCCAAGGCCAATTTTGAAAGCAATGAATTATTCAGCTCAACAATTCCGATATTGGTGTGGCTGCCGCTAGTATAAATGAAAATGTGGGATAGTTTACTTTTAATCTTGGTTTGCTACATGGGATTGGTGGCAGTTGGGTGATCCATGGCCACCAATACATCAGTTCGAACTATGAAATGCGCTATCAAGTTGCCCTCTATTTATATCTTGGCCTTATTGATGACAACTGCGTTTACCCTGGCCGGGCTGAGGAAATCAGCGGCGACCAAGGGAGATCCAATCTCTTCACTTTGCTATAGTTCCAAAGGGTAGGTTTTGGAGTCTTACCGCGTATGGTCCAGGCCAAGACCTTATTGAGAGTAAATTGAGCCAGTACTCTCTTGGTGACCGCGATACCTGACGTTTCCGGATGGATCATTGGTCTCTGATGGTGAGGGGTCGTTCCAAATTCTCCTCCAGGCTACAGATATCGAGCCTCCAGGTAATTGGACCAGCAGGTATATCGAAATTCGCCATAATGTCTGTCCTATACCACTCAACTTGATACGTTGATCGATATCTAAAATACTGGCTTCCTATCACTGCCGGTGTATCCAGTATTACCGTTACCTGTAGCTCAACTTTCGAATATATGTGTAACCTGCGCTCTCTTACTGACTCTTCGAATAGTGCGATGGTACGGGCTAAAGCCTGGGATGTCCCATGACCTTATACTTATCCTAAATTCAAAATGATTGATGCTACCCGAAGCTTACCCTGTAAACTTAATATTAAGAAAGAGGTCTAAAAAGCTAATTAGAGCAGAAAGAGCTTTGGGCGCCTCCTAAATGAGAACCAAATAGTAGCTAATGCGATAGTGTGTCATCCTTGACGAGCAATACCGCTAGTCACGGCAGAATAAGATAGGCTAATCTACTATTGCATTTTGTTTGGCATGGTCCATGAACTGAGGTGCTTTAGAAATGTTCCAAATTTGGAGCTATCGGCATGTCATTCCTCTTCCAATTATTGACCAATGGTTTATGCGGCTTTTCAAGGTTAAAGTCATGAGAATTTAGCAATTTTTCTCATTACTAGCAAAATTCCAGGGGCACGCAGGACTGATTTTGAGCTCCCTTGAGCCGTTACCGCGGAATGAATAGGAACATCCGCGGAAAGGTCGGAAACATGCCATTTGTGCATGGTTTCTGCGGAGCATTGCAAGCTGCAAGGTTGCACTCCGCAGGTAGGTAGAGAAAGGGGATCCGCATAACTTGTGCACGAAGCTTGAAACTTGACGACTGGACCTCCCGTTTGCTTACGCTAGCCCTGTGTTGCTTCCGCTCCCAAGGATTGGTTTACTTAGCGTTGCAATCTGAGAACTAATCAGGCGCGTGTTTGTTTATGGCAACGAGGATATCAGGCCGAGTCATGTGTTAAGCAAGGGGCGCAACTTGCTTCCAGATTGGGCGATATTATTGAGCATGGAACTGCTTAAAATGGAAATATTGACAACAGTTGGTTTTGAAACAACAGGATGCTTGGCCCCACCATTGCCGTGGTCTATTAGGCCGGACTGACATATTTTACCGAAGGGGGAAGAAAAAGACGGACAGACATAATCATCGCGTCGCTGCGACCTGGGTACGTCAGACTGCTGCTGATTGGATGTTCAATGCCGTGAACAAGGACCAGGCAGGGATCGAGGCGGCACGGAGTCCGTGTTTGTGTCTCTCCTGGCTCTTGGCCAAGGCCGTTGTTCAAGATTCTGGAGTGGCAGTACAGAGAAATGCTCCAATTTTTATGCTAACAATCCTTCTTTGATATGTATTCTGCCCGAAGCAAGTGATATGATTCGCTAGATCGTATTCCGAGCCGCCAGACTAGGGGCTAGGGAGTGGACTCTTCCCAGCCAGCGTGTCATCTCGGGCTTTTCTGATAACAAGCAACAACCCGACTTTGGTTGGAGGCAGAATGGACGCATACGGCCATCGGGTCACATAATCTTTCCGGGTTTCATAGATGGCTGGTCATCATGTATCAGGGCCCCTTGCCCTCGCCGGCCTAATATCACGTCCACCATCCACCATAGTCAGGAAATGTCAAGAGCAAACAGTAGAAAGACATTCTATCTTCGCACCTTGACAACAACTCGCAGAAGAGGGCCATGAGGAGTCTCATTTTCTAAACACACCACACCATTGTTGCACTCCACACATCGTCAAATTAGAATGGCTGCTACAGTTGAGATCCCTGAGCCGCCAGCCTACCCATTTGTTGGCCATGTCTTCCAAATCAGCCCGACATTCCAGCTGGGCTCCTTTCGGGATCTTGCTGATCAACACGGTACGTGCAGTCACCCCATTCATGGCTTCTGCCTGCTAAATTACTAATGGCACGGTCTGAAAACAGGAGATATCTATCGACTACGTTTTCCCGGAATCAATATTGTCGTACTCTGCACGCAAGCCCTGATCAACGAAACATGTGACGAGAAGCGATTCAAGAAGTGCATCGCTCCGCCTTTAGAGGTTTGAGTGTCCCCATGTCAAATCATAGCCCCCCTTTTTTGACGAATCTGTATTGACAGTGTATCCTTCGCTTAGCACATTCGATTAGGTGTACACAACGGGCTCTTTACTGTAAGTCGATTACCTTTGGAAGAGGGAGGCATACCAGCTTTAAGCGGTGTTTGAAGCTAATAAATGTTCCAAAAAGGCCCGAGATGAAGAAGAACCCTGGGGTATCGCACATAGAGTCCTCATACCGGACTTTGGACCCCTCAAGATTCGTGGCATGTACGATGAGATGTACGATGTTGCAAAGCAGCTTACTTTGAAATGGGCCCGTGCTGGACCTAGAGAATGGGTAAAGCCTACTGAGGACTTCACGCGCCTAACCCTTGATACTATTGCGTTGTGCTCCATGGGGTTCCGCTTCAACAGCTTTTACTCACAGGAGATGCATCCGTTCGTCCAAGCCATGGCCGACTTCCTTTACGAGTGCGGCGAGATAGACAGAAGGATTTTCCCAAGCTTCTTCTATCGCAACCGCGATAACACGATGTCTAAAAACATTGATACGTTGCGTCGAACGGCACAAGATGTACTAGACGCTCGTAAGAGTGGCCTAGATGACCGGGACAATGACCTGCTTACTGCTATGCTCAAAGGCGTCGATCCACAGACGGGGAAGAAGATGACAGACGGTAGCATTCTGGATAACCTGATTACGTTCCTTATTGCTGGGCATGAAACCACGTCAGGAATGCTCTCTTACGCATTTTATCAAATGCTACACAATCCCGAAACATTTCAAAAGGCACAGCAGGAGATTGATACAGTCTGTGGCAAGGGTCGGATTACTATCGATCACATTTCAAAGCTGCCCTACATCAACGCCGTCCTCCGTGAAACCCTAAGGCTAACCTCGACCATTCCTGCCTTCTCTGTGGAGCCCAAGGAGGATACAATAATAGCCGGCAAGTATTTCGTCAAAAAGGGGCAGCCGATTGTGAATCTTGTCTTCAAGGCCCACTTAGACCCGGCTGTCTATGGCGATACAGTCAACGAATTTATCCCAGAGCGTATGCTGGATGACAATTTCAACCGTCTCAATCGGGAGTTTCCTAACTGCTGGAAGCCATTCGGTAATGGCAAGCGGTCCTGCATTGGGCGGGCTTTCGCCTGGCAGGAAGCCCTACTTATCATGGCGATGCTACTCCAGAACTTCAACTTTGAGCTCGAACCTGGGTATGAGCTCTCGCACAAACAGACACTAACCATCAAGCCAGACAAGTTGGCCATGCGGGCAATGTTGCGCGATGGGCTTACCCCGGTGACGCTTGAGCAGCGACTCGGAGGCTCAGGCCCAAGAACTAGCGACTCTAAAGCCGCAGAAGCAGGACTGGCCTCGGGTGAGGGTAGAGGCAAACCCCTTACAATCCTGTACGGCTCTAATAGCGGCACATGCAAGTCGCTCGCTCAGCAGGTGGCCACCAACGCGCCCAGACATGGATTCCGTGCTGTCAAGCTTGACTCCCTTGACACTGGCAAGGAGTGCCTTACCACTGATCACCCTACAGTTATCGTCACAGCATCGTTCGAGGGAGAACCGCCTGACAATGCCGGGCAGTTCGTTTCCTGGATCCAGAGCCTAGACGCAGAAAAGAAGCCGCTGGACAAAGTCTCGTACGCCGTCTTTGGTTGCGGCCATAGCGATTGGGTAAATACTCATCAGCGTATCCCAAAGCTCATTGACAGCAGGCTGGCTGATTTGGGGGCTGAAAGGCTTGTCGGCTTGGGCACATCAGACGTCTCTACGGGAGCAACCTTTGGTGAATTCGAAGCTTGGGAGGATGGCATGCTCTGGCCAGCCCTCAGGGCTCGGTATGGCGACAACGATCAACGCAACAGCGCTTCCATTTCTGAACCGCAGGGAGTCAGCGCCACCGTATCCCATCCCCGAAACTCGACTCTCCGTCAGGATGTCCGCCTCGCTACCGTGATCGAAACCGAGACACTTACAACATATGAGGGCGGCGAACTCACCCTCAAGAAACACGTCGAAGTTGAACTACCCCCTGAGCTAAAATACGAGACGGGAGACTACTTGGCCGTTTTGCCCGTGAATCCAGAAGAGACGGTACGACGGGCAATGAGGGCATTGGGTCTCTCGTGGGATGCTCATCTCGACATAACGTCGGATGTACCAGTGGCCCTTCCAATGGAAGGGTCAGTTTCGGCCAGGGATGTTTTAAGCTCATATGTCGAGCTGTCGCAACCAGCTACCAAGAGGGTAACTCTGCCATTTACTAATGCAAACTTTCAAGCAAGTAAAGCTAACAACTTCAATTCCATAGAACATTCTGAAGCTCATTCAGATCACCAATGACGAAAAGACCATTCAAGGTCTGACTCAGCTGGCGAACGAGCATTATACAAAGGAAATCAGTGCCAAGCGAGTATCTGTGCTGGATCTCCTTGAGCGTTTCCAGGCCCTCTATATCCCTATCGGGACCTTCCTTTCGATGCTACCTCCTATGCGCGTCCGCCAGTAGTAAGTCTACGACCTTCTCGTGAACAGTACACGTGCTGACCAGCACCCAGTTCTATCTCATCATCGCCGCTCCTCAAGCCCTCCCATGCAACACTCACCTTCTCAACTCTGCGCGAGCCCTCACTCTCAAACCCTTCGAACCCTCACATAGGCGTGGCTTCCTCATATCTCGCTAGCTTGCAACCCTCCGATGTTATCCAAGTCATCGTTCGCCCATCTCCGCCCGCATTCAGCCTCCCATCTAATCCTGAAACCACCCCAATCTTTCTTGTAGCAGCTGGTACAGGTATTGCCCCATTCCGCGCCTTCATCCAGGAGCGTGCGCTCCAAATTTCTTCTGGCAAGAAACTCGCACCGGCCTACCTCTACTTTGGATGCCGGTCTCCAGAGTCGGACGATCTGTATCGAACCCAACTCGACGAGTGGGAGCGTCTTGGTGCCGTTCAAGTTCGGCGTGCTTACTCTCGGTCCACTGCCACACCTGAGAGTCAAGGCTGCAAATACGTTCAGGATCGGTTGTGGAAGGATCGAAAGGAGGTTTGGGACCTCTGGGAGAAGGGCGGTGCCAAGGTTTTTGTCTGCGGATCCAAAGCTGTCGCAGAGGGGGTTCGGGACGCAATGATACGAATGAAGAGGGAAGCAAGCCAAAATGACGAGAGGGGAGAATCAGAGTTGACAAAGTGGTTCCATGCGCAGAGGAATGTGCGATATGTTGAGGACATTTTTGATTGATGACGAGAAGGCCACGGTGTATCACTAGTTTAAACTTGGGGGATCCTAGACAACTCCTCTCCTAAATATATTCTATTCTACACTTTAATACGTGGACGGCATGAAGCAGTGAAGCATAGACCAAGATACCGTACCTGAACCAAGTGTTACACAGCCGCCTCGGTGTTCTTGTAATTGAGTTATCTATGGCTTGTTCACTTGATGAAAGCCCCCCATCGTCCTTGGTTCATCCAAATCGTCACATATGAGGTAGTTGTCTGTGCCAAGCAGCCAAATTCTCAATCACTGAGTAGATGAACATTCAAGTGCCATGGTTGTCTGATGATTTTGGAAACATCAACAGAATACTGGATAATCAGGCAAGGGATACTTCAATTACGCCTCAAGCCTCACTTAGTCTTATATACAATGGTCTGGGTTGGTATCCTTAGGAGCTCCCCACCAAGCAGGGAATGGCCTTTCCTTCCCACTAGCACCAAACACAGCAAAGGAGAGGACGAAAATGATCACCTGCGAACCTCCATCCAACCCTGCGCCGATAAGGTAGTTGTATTTGTTGTAAATCTTGGGCTTTCGGCGCCTGAGCCACACCTGCGAGAAGACGCCCACAGCAATAGACGACCACACCCATGAGGTATTCCCATAGTAACGTGTGCCAGAAGTAACGAATATAAAAGTGGTATTTAGTGGAAATTTCTTCAGACGGGGATATGCTTTGTTCAAAAACCAGTGGATGACGGGGAAGAAGAATCCAATCAAGATACCGAGCGGGACAATGACGTAGCGGCCGTTCAACCCGTACATATCCTTTGCGAGTGACCAGGTGATCGCCTGTGAATTGAAGCCCTGAAGGGTCGATCCACTCCAGACAGAGTTTCCGATTGGATCTAGGAGAATTTCTCTTTGGTTGGTTACAACTGTAGTCATGACAACGTAATTCAAGGCAGCCCCCAGTAGGGTTCCGTAAATTTGTGTACCGAACATGATTCGATGGGGTACTTTCGTATATTGCCCTACTTTGAGCCAGTTGGCTAGGTTGACAGCCAGAAGGATCACTTGGTGCGACCAACAAGCGAAGTATAGATTAGCAAGAGGTCTGCCGGGATGTACCGCACCAGCCACCATCTTGGAGATTTGGTTTGTGCCTACCCCGGTCCCATTGAGCCCATATAAAATGCAAGAAAAGGGGGCAATAAAAGCGCCCAGAAGAAGGGAAACAATGTAACCCCACACCGGAAGAGTAGTGTCGCCTTTTGTTGTTACAACGATGCCGGCAACGAAGCATAGAACCAACAGCACCCAGTACCACCACATCGGCACTTCCTTATACTTGAGCATGGCTTGGTAGTGAATGTCGGGTTGGGTTTTGTTGCGAGCTTGCTTCCAGGCTTGAATCATGTCCTTGCCAGAGAACAGAATGACGTGACTAATTAGAGCACCGATGGCGAGATTCTGCGAGAAAAAACCCAACACGGTGCTCGATGTCAAATGTGGTACGCCGACCTCGACCAATTTTTCTTGGTCTATGATGCCTTGATTATCAAGCATCGATGTGGTAGATAAAACAGTTCCGTTGCTGTGGAACAGAGACGAAGACATGAAGGGGAAGTCTTTGGCGTTCCAAGCATTCCCGTAATAAAGGCCGAGCATAGCAAGGTACCAGACCACGTACCCGATCCAGGTGTTAACCTGCTGCTTGAATGGGAGTGAGAGGTATGTGCTTTGAATATATTGCCAGTCCAGGGAGAAATTGAGAAGCCCCAGCCCTTCGTTCGAGGAGGCGCCGCCAAAAATGGTTGAGAAAATAGTCCTTGTCGACGTGGATGCTCCCATCGACGCAAGACAGAAGACTGACAACCCCCCGAACCACGTTATGATGTAAGCCGGGAACACTTCCCACACAGCAGCGAACAAAAGAGCCCATCCAAATTTTCTCAATCGCTCTTGGTTGGCGCGCCGATCGAAATGAAGATTTTGAAACAATACGACTTGTGGCAAGGTACTCCAGTATACCATCTCGGCCGGGTACACAATCAACGGGCGAAGGACTCCTGCCAACACAAAACCGCACAGGCACATGGAAAATGTGCCCAAGACGGCCGTGAGGGCGTTGACGTTTTTGTCGTAAAAGAGCCGCTCAACTGCGTACACCTCGACGCCATTAAGACCGTTGTTACCGGAGGACGCGATGAGTGCCGCCACAACATGCTCCTTGATACGGAAGGGCTGACCGAAATTCATGAATTTGAAAATGGTCCGTATCCACTTTGACTTAAACTTCTCAGGAGAAGGAGTTACGTATGCCCACGCTGCCCCGAAACAGTAGACAAGGACTGGAAGCGGATTAGTAAAGGGAACCCCTTCCATGGAGAGTTACTCAACACTAACGCTGTAGGAAAACAGTTGAAACTTGCATCGTTGTTGGCTTGAAGACGTAGAGCATAGTAATGACACTTGACAGTGCGGTGAAGACTGATCCCAGAACAATAGATCTGAATGTCAGTGCTGGATCTCCATCATCTCGAACGGAAATTAAGAACTTTGAGACGTCAAAGCCTAAGAGGACATATTAGAATTTTCTAGAAGTAAAGATGATGCGGTATGCTGAGGAATTCCATTACCATCTCGAATGACGGGATGACCATTGACATATGTCGTATCGCTCTCCCGGGAGTCATCACTGTGGTCTTCCTCAGGTTCTCCCGGTGAATCCCTATCCGTCTTCGGGCGCTCCTGCACCACAGTCGTGTTCTTCTCTTCCTCCAAGTCTTCGGGCGGACCATTAATGACATCCAATTCTTTCGGCATCTTGGCAAGACATGTAAATTGAAAGCAGATAGGATTGTTTGCAAACTCACGAAAGGTTGCGTGTGGCCTAGGTCGGGTAAAGGATCACAATATATGATCCCTGTATGTGCCATGCCTTCAAGTCTCACCTCAACTCGCCCATCAATGGTGCAATGTTAAGTTGATTCCATGTATGCCAACCGCTGAACATATACGAGTTTTTTGGTTTCTTAGGGCTCAGTACCTTCCTGTTTCAATCGAACTTTTGTGAAAACCACGAGAATACGCGTGCCAACAGATAACAAAGATGGAGATTATAGGCGACATTGGCGCGTGTGTCGATTGCGCAATGGCCATGGGACATGGTCTGAGGTTGGGTATTTCAGAGAATGTGCCAATGAAATGGTCCCAAACAATCCACCTCAGAGGTGTCTCGGCTATGTCGGCCGGGAGATGTAACACAACCCCTAATAGTCGATTCATGTTCGCCACTACAGGACATGAGATATGTTATCGCTGCATTTAACGCAAGTCTAGCTTGGGAATGGATGGAGAATGAGAGATTTCATTTGGACAAAAGGTTGAAACGGATTACTCTGGCATCGCTTAACATCAAGCATTTGATCTAAAGGTAGAGGCTAGACCTTTTCATGAGCATATCCCGAGCCCTGCTTTGTTTCTACTTATATCGTATGCTTAATACTCTCATAATTCTCAAATGCTACCAAAGCCCTTGTCAACACCTTCCTAAACTCTTGTTGTATGATTCTTCAGCCTCGCAGTTGTGGTGAGTAAGGACAGACAAACGGAGTGGGTCAATGTGGGACTTGCATGTGGGCCGGTTGCTCCCCCTAGAGTCTTAGTGCGTACGCTAAGCTCTAGGGGTGTTAGTTTCCAAAGCCGCTCTGAGCTGACCAATCATCTTTGACCATAGCTCGTAGCTACCCTAGACCTTGGATTTACATATATAAGCCCGAGAGTGGAATAACCACCAGGTTGTCGTGTAGACCAGGCGCGTTTGGCAGTTGTACATACTAAAAGATCCTTCTTCGACTGGTAGGTGATATTTTGGGCATTCAGTTCGACACTTTGGGTGGACTATTGAAGGCGTTCATAAGTATTGCTGATTTGTCTCCTGCTTAAAGAGATTTTTTATCGTTGTAGGACAAAAAAAATAAAAAAAGGACGCCATAAATGTCTGAATCATACATCTAAAATCTGAAAATTCTCGTATGCTTTAAAAAGGCACACATAGTTTTTCAAAAAATTTCTGGAAATAATGCGAACTTGATATGTGCATCGCCGGAATGAAGCAACGTGGAGCTTCCCGGCAATAGCCGCTGAAATACGTCATTGACTTTCACGACGACATAAGTATGATGAAACAGCTTGGAACTTTATCTCAAATCCTTCAGAAAAATCATCTCTAATCCTAGGATTGATGTGTGAAAGCTGTCGAAGCTGCCTTCTTAACTCTCACCATGTCGATCGAATCCTTGGCTGCATTCCGCCGAACTGGCCGATCGAATGATCTGGCTCAACTGGCCGAGAAGCATCTCGAGCATGATCTTCAAGACTCCGACCGCGAGATCTTGCAACAGTCGGTCGCGAAAGTCGGTACTCACGCCACGCTTGGCTCTGTTGTCGGCCTGGGACTCGGCATCCTATTTGCCTACCGACTCCGACGAGGACAGGCCAATGCGTTCAAAGCGTTGCGTGCGGCCGAGAAACCAACCCACGTGCAGTTCGCCGACGGGAAAATAGGTAAGCTCAAGGCGCGGTACTGCTCCGACTACAGTCACTAAACCTACCTCTCCAGTTCCAATCCCCGATCTGAACCCGTTTCTCCAACCTTCTGTCGCAGGGGATATCGCGACATACTTCTTAGTGGGAGTTGGCGGGTTGTTCCTTGGCGGAGAGACCGGGTTCCTAACAGGGACGTATTCTGCCGACCGGCTTCTCCAGAGAAATCAGGAGAGCCAGAAGCGGATCGAACAAGCATTCCGACGATTCCGAGCGGAACTCCTCAGGAAAGAAGCGGATAGGTTGGATGGAGGTTCAAAAATACTCGGCCTTGCGAAAGATGCTGGTGTCTGGAAGTGAATCAAATCACTATGATAATAGTTTGCCGATTGTATATTCTACGTAGCAAAGACTACGAGTTGATAGGGTACTGAGCTGAGAGAATAATCCAAATTTCGTGTATTTTTGTACCTGATACTATCCTACTAGGAAACACTATCTCTTCCCCATCATCTTCTCTAGCTACACAGCCAAAGATCGAGGAGGCTCCAAAAGGCTCCCCCCAAGCACTGACCTCTTCAACAGCAGCTTGATCTAGCAAGGCAGGCACTGAGAGTACCAAGCGTTGTTGAACTTGCAGCAGCTGCCGGAGGCGCAAGAAGTCGGGCCACTCCAGCCACTGCCTCCGCACTGTCCGTAGATGGGCGAAGTGCCGGTGGGCTGGGACCCGCCCGAGGTAGTGGTGCTGGTGGCCCTTGCGGTGGTGGTGGTTCCTGGGTTGGTCGTGCCAGAACCGTAGGTAGAGCCGATAGGACCGAACTTGATGTTGGCTGTATATGCTGCGTTAGCTTCTGGAGGAGATGATAGTTGAAATTACTTTGGGAAAAAAGGTTGGGTCACATACAGAAAGAGACTGTAGCACCGGAGTTGCTGTTGATGACGTCGGGATAGGCACCTGAGCTGGTGGGGCAGCTTCCACGGTCAGCGCCGGGCTTAGTAGAGCCGACTGGGTAGTTGGAGTCAAGCCAGAGCATGTTGGCGTAGAACTAGGGAATGGTTAGTCTTATCGCTTCAGCAGGAAGCGGGTATCGGGTTTCTTTAGAACTTACATCGTTCCAGAGACTGAGAACCAGAACCATGCCATTGAGGCCCTTGCCCATCTGCGCAAGTCCGCCCTTCTCGGTAAAGCTGTCCCTGTCGGTGAAGACGTCGCGGATGTCCTCGCACCAACCCTGGGTGATGGAGTTACCACCGGTGCCGAGGAGGTCCTTCGAGTTGGCAATGACCTTGCCATCCTGGACGTAGAGACGGCTGATCTCGCTCAGGGAGCCTCCAGAAGTGTGGAATTGAGTGACAACGGTGACCTTCTTGGTTGTGTCAACGACAAAGTTGCCGCCAGGTCCGTAGAAAGTCTTGTTGCCCTGTCTCCATGAGTTGAAGTCACAGCCATCTGGGTCACAGTCGCCGGCGTAGCGGTCGGCAGAGTAGGTTCCGCCGCATGAGTCACCGTCACAGACATGGTAGTTATTGTTCTGGCATGGGTGGGGAGTATAGGCGGCGGAGATCTTGTTGGCCTCCCCTGTTTTGATGGGTCTTGTGGTTAGCAAATTTTGGTCTCTCAGAGTGTTGACTGGAAACCAACTTACATATATCCATCTCGGCGCAGCAAGCACCAAGGCCACCGACACCAGCATCCGGGTTGTCATCGCCTGACACCCAATCTTCAACGTTGGCCTATTTATGTGTCAGTATTTCATTTAGATTTGGTGGGTGTTTGATCCTGGGAGGTGGAAGACCTACCTGTCCACCGATGAATTTGACATCGCGAGGGCACTGGCTGTCGCAGTAACCAGCTTCATTGATGTTAGCCAAATATCTTGAGCAACTTATTGGTTAGTGAGAAACTCACTTCCGAACTTGGCACCAGCTTTGTTTCCGGGATAACTGGCCAAGCCACCGTCCTTCTCCATCTTCACAAAGTACAGGGCGCCATTCAGCCCACACTCAAGCTTGGAGACATCCGTGTCAAAGGTGAACTCGTTGCCCAGGAGATCGAATGTCTGGTACTGAGTATCCGAACCAGCCTGCATCAAGTAGACACGGCTACCGATTGTTTTACCGTAGGCATGCTGAGTGACAAGCCTGAGGTTGAGCTGGCTGCCGGAAGTGGTGACACCATATGTGCCAGGGTAGTCGGCGCCATCAACACAGCACTTCTCAGCGCAAACCGTGTTGCTGGTGCAAATAGAGGTGTCCCATTTGTTGCCGTCGTAGCAGTTGGTGGAACCCGAGACGGTGTGAGTCCATCGCCAGTTGGAATCAAGGACGACACTGGCCGAGTTGGTCGTGCAGCTGCCGCCGGTGGTGCAAGTCTGCCATGTCAGAGGAGGATGAGTCTCAGCCTGGCTTGTACAAGCCTGTTGCGCGCTGGCGGCGGCGATGAAGGCCGTAATGGCTGCGATCTTGCGGTGCATTTTCACTTGCTATCTTTTTGCTCTGTAGGCTTGCAGAAAGTGCTTGAGATGATGGGGTTGGATTGGAGAGAGTTTCCATTTCCTAGACAGCGTTATCCAAAGGGTTTATATACTCATCTCGAGTTGATGAGAACACGTCGAGGCTATACTCGTCCCTGAAGGCTCCGCGGTCCGACGCTCCGTCTGCGGCTTGACATAGTCAACATCGTGAACCTGTTTAACGCGAGGAGGCCGCCGGGTAGTCAAGCGAGCCGAAAGGCAAGAACATTGGGGCTGTGCGGGGACACACCAGGAGTAGAGAAGCGGCAATTACTGAGAGACCACTGGCACGACTCATGCACATAGGACGAGAGGGTATGCTGTTCCAACTATGCATGATCCTGATTAATCAAGGATCCTCTTTCCGGCCAGGGGCCGGCCGGAGCGGGAAAATGTGCAAGATCTTCCCATTATCCGCCTATCACGTTACCTGCACATCCTGAAATCAGACGAAAGCGCCCGCACTCGGCCCGCCAAGAGGGTTTACTCTCTGCGCCTCGCAGGACATGCCGAGGATATTCCTGGATCTTGGAAGCGGTTCCCGTCACAGGACATAAACGGGCCAGTCTATCGTCTGACCAGGTGACGGCTTGTCGGCGCGGCGGTGATGTGTGGAGGCAGTGCGTGTACCCAATGTATTAGCTTGGTGTTAGAAGTAAAGCATGGGAGAAAACAAGAAATCTCCAGCGGATTGTCGGCAGAGGCTGTGATCTTGGAAAGTGGGTGATTTTTTTGGGAATATTGCAGCTTTTAAAGTTGGTTTATTCAAGGCACTATCTCCTCCGCTGTCTGATTTGGGAGACGTTGTCTTCCAATGGAAAAGTGAACGTCTTGTCTATAGTGCATGGATTCTCATACAAAAACATTTTGTTTGGTCACAATAGTCAAAAACATCAACTTGAAGTAACTCTAGATGTGATCCGATGCTACTCACCAGAGCACCATTGGCCTTCACAATCTCCCAGTATGACCGAACAAAGGTCATGCAGACCCATGTCCGCAAACATTTCATCCAATGGGGTCAAGAGATGTGGCAAAGGATGCGGAGAAGTCGACATGATATTCAACAAGGCCTGAAAGGTCACGGAAGTTAGAGAAGCGTCTGGCATAGCCCAAAAATGAGATTAATTGATCACACTGCATGTCAGCGCGCCAACTTACGGTCTACATCCAATAAAGCCCCCGGAATTAGCATCAATAGTCCCGAAATTGAAGCACATGCCGTTTTGTCGGAAAGTTCTCTTTCCTTGCTGGGGCAAAGGCGGGGTGATACAAGCAGCTTCTCTTCCTGAAAAGCGGGGGGCAGAATATAGCAACGCCTTGGCTGTCGTTGAAATTGTGTGGTATAATTCGGCTAAGAAAACCACCTAGATCTCACGTTTGGATCGTTGAGTTCGTCGGCTCTATCCGAGTGCGAGTTTGCCGATCTTTTCCTATGGACCAAGCTCCCGGAAACTCGACAAGAAGGGCCCCTTGGTATCCGTGTTTCGTCTTGGGAAAGAAACTGTGGTGATTGAATATCTTGACCAAAAAGAGAACCTCGGTCTCATGCGGAACCAACTCCAGGCTGTTCCTGGCTGTTGTATCGATGCAACATGTGAGCATGGGGGCCCACACCCAAGATCCCAATCCAGGATCCTCGGAGCAGGTGCTGCCGATACATGTATTAACTAGTAATTTGTATGCCACAATTATCCGGGAGATCAGGCCTAGTACGTAATAGAACCCGGCATATCAAGCCCCAGGCGAGAGGTCCATGTCTGGCATAGGCCCTCACTAGGCGTTGGCTGTCATTTAGGATGAACGGGCCATTGAACGTACGCTTAGCTTACCCAGATAGTAGATGTGATTGAAGCAAGCCCACAAAGCGTAAGGCGGATATTATTAAATGGGTCGGTGACCTGGCCACAATGGTATGACATGACATGCACACAGGAACGTAGCCTCCTCACTGACAGGCCGCGTTCAGCATCAATCGTTTTTTAACCGGTGGGAAAGGAATCGACTCTCCGGATCTTTATGTTACCTTAGTCCTCCTTCACCCAACAATGACACAGCATCTGGTGTTTGAAAACCGGGATTAACCGCTGATCGTATATTCATAGCCAATCCATGAGAAATCGTACGTTATTTATGGTGACAAATCGCACCGACCAAGGTATCAACCGTTGCTCCCCATTTAAGAGAACGCTGGACGATAACGAATATGGGATAGGATCGCTGTCCTTGTCTAGCAGGTGAGTAATCTTACCCAAGCTTCCTAGGAAAACTTGCGCAGGTTCTGTCTTGAGTTTATCCGGTATTAGCTTTTATCTTGGCTTGCATGCTGGGTTACATGCTGTGCCAAGATCCAACGTGTTCATGATTTTGCGGGACCAGTGACTATTCCCCAGTGTCACATCTGTAGGGGTGGATGAAATGAGTTCCCATCATCGTCACAATATCAAGATTCGGTTGCGGCCGAGAAATAAAGTAAGCTGCAGCATCGAGTACTCATGCATGTTATGGATGCAGTGGCCTCTCGATGGAAGTCACGCGGCGGCAAAAGGAAGAGGGATGGCCTTTAACTAGCTTCCACGGGCTCCTGAGACAAGTTGCCTGCATGTTACCTGCTGTATATGGTAGCACCTGATCTCGCTATCTGGTGGGCGAAGGAGTGCAGTTGTCTCTTTACGAGGGAAGTTTCACGGGGACATTTTATTTGCACAAGTACCAACTGCTGGCAAAATTCAGGTCCTGGCAGTGCCACTGATCATTCTGTTTCCTTGACGTGCCCAGATTTTTCCACGGTGACGAAAACACGAAATGATCCTACCTCAGGTGTTGACCGCCGAGTGATACGGTAGCTGACCGCTGGATCTGCACTCTGCCGTTTCTCATGACTAAATGCATTGAAGCTTAGGCGCAGGTGCATGAAAGCACCCGCAGACCCCTCATGCATCCGGTGAAGTTTAAGCACTGCATGGCCATAGCCGTGCATGTGGTAGTGCCTCATCTCCATTGTACAGCCGAAACTAATTGGATGGCTGCTTTCGACTCGAAGGTGAGAATGCGAACTTGGTCTCCCGAATTACGGCGCCAATAAAGACAAGCTCAGGAGTATTTCTTTTGTTGATTTCTTGCTACCTAACTTGACGTACTAGTAACTCTTATGCAACCCCTCGTCGTCACTATTAGAGTGTCAGATCCCATCTAGGGCTTGGATGGCAGATTAAACACCTTGTCCTGTCTTCTCTAGGCTCTCGTGTCTTTATGCAACTGAGACAAGCATCTCAATAGAGTATAAATCGTCCGACGTAGCTCGTATAGGTTGAACGCCACGGGAATGAATATTCAGCGGCTTATCGTAGAGAAGCAATTCATTGGCTTGGATGCCTAGTTAGCACGATGTGTGGTTACGCAAGTACGCATATTTCAGCTGGATGGCAACTAACAAAACTCAAGGATTGGGCTGGTATCTCAATGAACACCGGTGCCGGTGTCGGCAATTGAACCGAGCAGTTTTCGTCCCGTTGTGTTTCTCGTATAAGGTGGGCATACGCCCCTCGAAGATGACTTATGAAGTCCAAAAGTAGCTCTTTTTGAAAAGCTTCTCTGTCCTCATAGTTGTCCCTATACTCATTTCTATGATTTGTTGCTCGCCTTGGACAGATATGCATTTCCATCATACCATCGGGGCAGATCTTCTCATCCTATGTGGGGTCGAAGCTGCCGCAGTTCCAAAACACACTCGTGATGACACCAGAACTTGTCGTAAGACCAAAGTTGCCGTTCTTGGTGCTGGTGTCGCTGGAATCACAGCTGCACAAGCGTTGATGAACGCCTCAGTGACCGACTTTATCATTGTGGAACGTAACAACTATATAGGAGGTCGAGTGGTGAACACAACACATTCGGCCAGAAGCCCGACGGAACTACTTACGTCGTTGAGCTCGGGGCGAATTGGGTGCGAAATTTCCATCTGGACTTTGGCCCAAAAGTACAGCCTTGCCAACACCCCTACCGATTCCAAATCTGTCATCACATATGACGAGACTGGTCAGGTAGACTACAAAAACCTCATCGATGAGTTTGATGAGGCCTGGGAAGGGGCCCAGATTGAGTCTGGAAGGTATCTGACTGAGAACCTTCAAGACATTAGCGTACGCGCTGGCTTGAGCCTGGCGGGCTGGAGGCCGCATAAGAAGGACATGCACGCCCAGGCCGTAGACTGGTTTGGGTGGGACTTTGAGTCCGCAACGCCTCCTGAAGATGCTAGTTTGGTCTTTGGAATGACCGGAGTTTACAACGCCACCTACAACCATTTCAGCGAAGAGGATCGCTTCATTTGGGACCAGCGTGGATTCACCACAATGGTCACTGGTGAGGCGAGAACATTTCTCCAAGATCAGGATCCGCGGCTCCTGTTAAACACTATTGTCAAGTCAATCAAACACACAAACACTTCAGTTGAGGTGTTCTTTGAGAATGGAGACTGTATCGAGGCTGAGTATGCAATTTGCACATTCTCTGTCGGTGTGCTTCAGAATGACGTTGTCAAGTTCGAACCTGACCTCCCTCTATGGAAGCAGGAGGCAATCGAATCTTTCACGATGGGCACGTACACAAAAATATTCATGCAGTTCAATCAGACGTTTTGGGATCTCGAAAAGCAATATTTGCTCTATGCTGATCCGCATGAGCGGGGAAGATACACTGGCTTCCAATCTTTGACAGGCCCAGGTTTCCACGAAGGGTCTAATCTGATTTTTGTTACAGCCACGAATGCTCAGTCATGGGTAGTCGAGCAGCAGACCGATGAAGAGACCAAGGCTGAGGTCCTGGCGGTGTTACGTTCCATGTTCCCAGGGGTGACTATCCCAGAACCAACAGCCTTTATGTACCCACGCTGGAGCCAATATGAGTAAGTTTGAACGTCTGGAGAAAGGAAATAGGCATGTTCATCGCCGAGTATCATGTGCTGACTGTTCACTTCATGGAGTCTCCTTCGGGTCATTCAGTAACTGGCCCCTGGGCACTACGCTGGAGCGACACCAGAACGTCCGAGCCAACGTGGACCGCCTCTGGTTCGCTGGTGAGGCGACCTTAATACAGTACTTTGGATTCCTTCACGGAGCCTGGTTGGAGGGACAAGAAGCGGGGGAGCGTGTGTCGAGCCTGCTGAAGGCGAATCTTTTTGGCAGCAAGTCCGGCCCTATGGAAGTCTATAAGAATCTCCACGGGACAACAGAAGAGGACCAGTATAATGAGTCCAATGGTTGGTATATCGATACAGTGGGAGATGAGTAAAACAGGAAGGAGATACGTGGCAGACATTGGTAGAAGCAACGTATTCTCTTTAGCTGGCGAGTAGAACGAAACTCTTTGCCGAGATGAACGGTTAGTTTTAGTTTGGAAGTCTGTAGATCATCACTGATAATGAGCCACAGTTATAGTAGCATTTAGGATTGAGGCAGTGAGTAAGTGCGTGTATCATAGCTGATTGCCGTCTGAGGTAAGACTGTTTTCTTATTTGGGCGACTAAGCCGTAGATATAGGAGTAGCGAGGTCATTTCTTGACTGTATCCTATCAATTGGCATTGTGTGCCAAAGTAAACATTTCATCTGCCGAGCGGCATGTAACAAAAACAATGCAAAAAAAAAAATTAAAAAAAAACTTCAAGTCTGTGTCTTTGCCTTCCTTCCATGAACGTCAGATTTTAGCTGTTGGGGCAGCAATGGCACAGCAAACCTGCATAAGCAACTGCAGCTGGGTCACACAGCTGTGACTGACTGAGACACAGCCACCACCAATCTATTCTTACCCAACGGGGCCACGTAACGGGTGACGTCAATCTGGCCATTTTTAATAAACACGATGCATCTTTATACCTGTGTTAGGTGGCTAAGTCGCATGGGGCCCCAGAAATGAGTCAACCCGACTGTGACTTATTCAACCCTAGCCAGCAGTGAGCGACCTACAAGAGTCTTTGTATTGAGTATCAAAATGGACAGCAAGACTGGGCCGTGCCCAGCTTTCCGTGATAACAAAGATCTGTACGGCCTTGGCATACGGCTAGGCTTTTACATCCAGTGGGTGGGCTTGATTATCTGTGAAGTCTTCGACAAAAAGAAGCCATGTAATCAACCTAGGCACTTACACTCCGAGTTTTTCGCGATCCGGATCACGAATGCATCATTTGTTACCGCGGAGTTCATCGCGGTTCTTGTGCAAATCGCCAAAACATCGCTTAAATCGGATCGAAAGACAGAGTTCATCCAACCAGTGGACATTTATATCGTCCTACTCTTATGTTTTGGCTCCAGTCTTTCCCTCGTGGTGGTATTCATCTGGAACATGTTCACGCCGCTCAATGTCGAGTACCCCATGAGGCCAAGCCGACTCTCCGTTCGACTCAGCTGCTTGCTACTCACCGCTGTATCTCTCTTCCAACTCTGGTTCTGGTCACAAAGTTTTGATTTCAAAAATTGCAAGACGTACGGGTTCGCCTTTAATAAGACAACAATAGACGAGATCACATTCCGAGTCACACATGGAATCCTTTATGGAGCCCTGCTGCTAGTGGTTGTGTTAAACTTCATCAGTTTCTTTTTTCTACCAAAACGCTCCCCACTTGTTGATAAGTTAGGCCAAAAACTATGGGTGAATATTCCCCTGGGCGAATTAACTCAAAATGCCAAGAAACATGCTAAGATCTTATATACAAGTCGAGCAAAATGAAGGCATGGTACTGTCTGGCCAAGCTACTAGTCTGCGCTGTTATCATCGTTGCAACGGAATTGACAATCTCCTGGAACGGCATTAAATCCATAAATGAACTCGACTCTGCTGGGCAAACAATACCTTTTATAGTTGGCTGTTGCGTCTTGGCCCGCGTTATCTACGTTACTGGCCTCCAAGACCGCGTGTGGAAGTGGGAGGAGGCAGCCACGTGGGGGGATATGTTTGACGCGCTCAGACGACGATTTCGGTAAGGTTGTCCTATGATGTACCGAAAAAGCTTCTAACAGTGCAATTAACTAATAGACCCGATGGCGGAATCCTCGGAAGGGTGGAACTTGTAGGCGCCCATTAGAAATTCTATCAATGGTTGGATATGTTGAGTCTGGTGTCTCTGAAGCCCCCCACTGGTAGTTTCAGACTGAAGACTAGATAGCATTCAGAGCTTGGCTATATTTTGTTGAATTTGGTGGAAATTTGTTCTCTCCTTTTGGATATGAACGAACTTAGGCCCAAATAATGTATCATGATATGCGTGAGCGAAGAAAGAAGTAATTGAGGATCATCTGTAGCGTTAAAGAATCGAACAAGCTAATAAAGCTACCTGGGTTATATCAGATCTAATATAACGAGATTATGAAGGTATTTGCCCTAAATACCTCTTTTCAAACCCTATCAAGTACCAGGTAGGCTATTCTATAGTCCTTTGAATAGAAAGGCAGGGGGTTATCGAAATCGTGGCTATGCGATATCAGACAGCTTCCAGACTATTCCTTAAGACTCAACTTGTTGATGGCCCCAAAACGTTCCTTGGAAGCCAACTGGGTTGTTTGACTGAAATTGCTTCCCTTTCTTAACTCACACCTATGCATAGGACGCGATGCCATATGCATATCCCCATCTCTATCCAACACCGCCAAGCCTTCTGCTCCCCACCTCTTAACCACGTAGGTAGGCAATAACCGACGAAGTCTTCCGCCAAAGTGAGGCTAGAATCCACAGTTTTCTCTCCGATACCGAAGTTGATCCGTCTCGAGCACCTGATCAGATCATCGGTTATCTCAAGCGATCCACTTCAATCGCCATTCAATCTGCTTCCCAGTCATGCATTAAAAGCCTCGCCCGCCTATACAAAGCCAATTGGTCCATATGTATCAACCAGCACGATGTCGTCTGAAGCAAACCGATATCACACGCTCCCGTACAGGTTGCAAGGTCTGCCGAGCGCGCAAGAAAAAGGTATTTGGTGAAAGAGCTCCTATTCTGTCCAGGATCCTCGGTTGACATCGTGGTATGCAGTGCGACGAGAAAAAGCCAGCTTGCTCACTTGTCAGAGACTCGGGAAGCGCTGTGAGCCCATCCAGAACCTCCTGAATTTCCGGTAGGTTAATGTCAGCCCACAGTCCCCTATTGTACTTCAAGGTACAAGAAGTAAGAAAAGATGAGTGGAATACGCCAGTGCTTCAAGTCCAAGTGCGCTGTCCTCATCGCTGAGATCTTGCAATGCAAACACTTCAACACGTGCCTCTCCATACTTTTCCACGACAGGCAAATCTCCTGACTCATATGATGGAGGGATCAGTCCAAGAAGCCCGCCTAGCAGCTGGACTGCAACCCCCGTCCTTGATGAAGCCACCACACCGCACCGTGCTTATTCGTCTCTACCGACTCTACGTGAAGCGACGTCTCAAATCGCATTGCACTCAATCAAAGACAATACAATTAACATCGCACCTGTCTTATCCACCTTTCACTTAAAGCCTGACCAAGGTACTCTATTATTGAATCTATGGGACACGGAGTGCATCCCGGCTTTGCATCCCGTCTTCAGAAACTTCGGTATTCAGCATCATCTCTCCCCCGTCATGAGCAATATCTCGCTGGCAGTATCGGCATGCCGAGCGAGTCGGCTACTACCCCAGAAAAAGCCAGCCATAGCACCCAGCGAACTTCGAAGTCTTTACAAAGGTAAACTGGAACACAGCCTCTTTGTTACTGGATATTTGGGTATCCCCATCTTCTTAGTTCTCATCTTCGGATATAAGATCATCTACAAAACGAAGGGTTATAAGCCCGAGGAAGTTGATCTGTTTTCTGGGAAGGATATAATTGATCGAGAGGAGGAAGAGTTTCTTGCACGAAAGGCCGCTTCCAAAGCCGCTCAAGCCAACGAAGTTAAGAGTAATGGACGTTGGTTCTATCGCCACTTCATTGCCTGGCTCCTGTAAGCACCTTGATACTCCAGTTGGAGTTTTTCTTCAACTTCAGCCACCACCTTTGTCGGCGTTGCATATTACTTCTTGAGCATTCGTTGCCTCGGGGGGTAGAGTAGATTCACGCACAGAATATATTCTTTTGCTATTTCTACTCGCAGCTGGCACTTCTTCTTCATTGCATTTCTTACATAGACCAAAGCCGACAAAATTGACACTGTAGGTAATATATTGGGATTTGGTGAGAACGCCTCGCCTCATAGTATTAAGATATGAATTATGCAAGAACTTTCCCTTCCTAACTCTCTTTTCTTTCTCAGTAGCATTCTCTTTTTTTAAAGCCATCGAATGTTTGTCCGCCGGAAGTCCTACCCCAAATATTGTATCAGTTCAATTAATTCCGATGAGTGTACTCGACGCTACCTAGGTATTGAAAGCTAGTGTGATTGGATACTACTACTCGTGTAGTAAGCTCTTATGGTACACAAGGGATTTCCAGGCTTCTCTAATAAAAATACAGCAAAGTGTGGCTGGTTCAATTGGGAAGCTAAGGGATAGTTGAGTTGATGAAGTTCCCGTCTTACTATATCCAAATTGCTAGTCTCTGTTACACCACTCTTTGGAAAGGTTTAAATCATTCAAAACCAATTATTTTCACCATGCAATAGGCAAACAAATATCAGAAAAGAGCTCGGTTGAATGGCAGCTAGAATGGGGTGGGGTGAATACGGGCGGCTAAACAGTAAAGTATTGAAGATAATCAGCCTAAAGCCGAACGCCCGTTGCGAGATTTATGGGACGCCAAGCCTGTGGAAATATTCTTATTATTGGTATACTGAATACCCCTAACTAGCAGTTACCAGCTGAAGGCTAACTACAGAGCGATCGGCTTAGTTATAACCGCTCTGAAACCAGCTTTATAACTAGCCTAGTTCTATAGCTAGAATAGGAACTTAATTAATTATCTTTATAACCTATCTTATCTATAGTATATACTTTAGAAAAACCTTCTAATACTAATCAGTAGTTATATAGTAGCTATAAATTAGTAAAAAAGAAAAGATAGGATTTTCTAAATACCTAGGGAAGTATAGTCCTCCTATAGATATTAGTTCTATACTATAGAACTATATATAATATATAATATAATAATACTATTATCTTTTATATACTTTAAATAGTTACTTTAGAGATTACTTATTTCTCTAATAATACTATTAGTACTAAAAATATCTCTAAAGAATATCTTATTATATATATCTCTCTATTAATATAGATAGAAGTAGTTAATAAGATTACTTCTCTTCTTAACTACTTAACCTTAAGAGTTTACCCTTATAGGATACTCTCTTTTTTCTAATTCTAAAGAGAGATAAGAAATTCCTTATATCTTTATTTTACTACTACTTTAACTCCTCTATATCCTATTAGAATCCCTCTAAATAGAGATTCTTATTCTTTTAATAAGAGTAGATTACTACTACTGAACTTACTAATATATATATAGTATAATATATATATTACTATAAATATATTAATCTATATAATAGTAATCTATTAAGTAAGTTTATATATAACTTTAGAGGCTAATTACTAGAAATATTTATACTTCTAAATACTAGTATTACTAAAGAGTTAAAATATATACTATAATATAATAGTATCTTTACTAAACCTCTAAATAATACCTCTAAAATAACTCTTAATAATATATAAGGACTAGAGAACCTACTAGAATAGCTAAAAAATATATAATTCCTTATAATTATCTTTAATTTAAACTCCTAGGTATTTTAATTATAAGAATAATATAAGAAGTTCTAAGGATATAGATTACTAATACTATAACTGCTCTAAGAAAGAAATATAACCTATATAATTAAGATTAATAAGATAGAAATACCCTAGATAAATATAGATTTAATTCTATAAGTATTTCTACCTTTCTAAAACCTAATTCTAAACTAGTAGTTAGGAGATTATATATTTAGATTATATAATCTATACTATAACCTCCTACTAGAGAATAATCTTAAAATAGGTACTATATCTATATAAGAACTTATAGTTTTTTAGAAACTCTATAATATAAAGAAGTACTTATTTAGAGGGGAACTATATAATATACTTAATATAAAGATCAGGATAATACTAAATATATATAAATCCTATAATATATAGCTAAATAGATTTAAAACTACTCTCTTTTAAATCTTTAAAGGGAATATATAGAACTTCTAGTTCTAATATATTAAGAAAGAATATATATTTAAGAAGATATATCTAAAGCTAAAATAATACTTTAATAATACTATTAATAAGTAGTAGTATTATTATAACTAGACCCAGATTAATATTACTTTAATATAGATAAATAGAGAGAATAGAGATCTTATAGTATACTAGATATTATAGAAAGTCTTTATAATCTTTATAAGGGTATAAAAGATACTTAGAGATAACTATAGAGAGGATAATAACCTTAAAGATACTATAGTAAGAGTATATAAAGACTTAAAGGAGTTAGAAATAGTACTCTAAAGAGAATATATAAATACTAAAGCCCTAATATAAAGTTTTATAATAGCTCTAGAGATAAGTCTTTTAAGATAGTTAGAATAGAGCTTAATAAACTTAATAGTTCAGAATATAATAAAAAATATATATCTTATTAACTAATAATATAGATATATTTAGAAGCTACTAAATAGAATATAATAGTAGCTCTATTATATCTAAAATATATAGAATAGACTATTTAATAGAAGCTTTACTAATTAGAACTAAAAACTATAGAGGAATAACTAGAGAAAATACTACTTTATTTATAATAAGCCTAGATATTAGTTAATAAACTATCTATAATAGAGATCTAAAGTATATTACTAATTTATAACTAACTTCCTTAAGATAGAAAAGAAAGTAGGAGAGAATAATATACTAGAAGAATTTAAATAATAGGTTTAAGACTAGGAAAGGGTTAATAATTAGTCTAAAATAGCAGACTATAGAGATTCTAATAACTATAATAACCCAGATAAGGAAGACTAGTATATAAATAATAATAAGTAATAATTAGTATAATATCTACTTAATAAGGTATTTTAGTACTTACTCTCTAAAGAGAAAATCTAAAGAGAACTATAGAACCTATTATAGTTTATTATTAAAAAGAGATATATAATATAATTCCAGGGGATTATACTAAATATAAATACTTTATTAATTTTAACTATAGATAAACTATAATTTAAAGTACTTTAATATATTAATCTATTAATTAAACTAGATATTATAGTAGATATAAAAAGTATTAAGTTTAGAAAAGAGCTTATAGAGTTACTTAATATAATAGAGCTATATACTCTATTCAGACCTATTATATTTTATATAATAAACTTAGAAATCTCTTTTCTAATATATCTTTATAATATAAACTATCTAAATATTAAGTTTAGGAATATAACTAATAAAGTAGTTAGAATTATAGATAGTCTCTTTATTCTAACTATAAGAAAATAGAACTATATATAGTTCTTCCCAGAGTATATACTAATAGCTAATATAGTCTATTTAATAGAACTAGAGCTAAAATAGCTTTACTACTGCTTTAGCTATCTATTAGTAAAAAGACTATATTAGCTTCTAGAGAGAGCAGACTATAGAGATATAAATAGAAAGATAATAAAAAAGATTAAATACTTCTACTACTAGTACTAGACTTATAATCTAATCCTAAAATACTTTAGATTTAAATTATAGGATAATTTTAATTTTAACTATAAGATTATAATTAATATTATATATCTATTAAATTAGGAACCTATTTTATATATTATATATATAGTAATTATATTTTAAAATATAATCTTCCTTAAGAATATCTTAGTAGATACTATATAAGAAGTATTAAAGAGGATCTAGCTAGATATCTATTTTAAACTACTAGACTATATTATATATAATATAAGAATCTAATTTATAAGTAACTAATTTTATATAAATACTAGAATTATTAGTTCTAAATATAAATAAATACTAATTAAGGCCTATTAGTTAATTAGTAAGATTAAGAGATATTATAGACTGCTATAATATATATTTAATATCTTATATAAGGAACTTAAGGAGATAATCTTAAAGGAATTAATATTATAAGTAGTAGTTAAAGTAGTTAATAATATAGTAAGGCCTAATAGTCTTATACTAATACTCCTTATATTTAGAGTATATCTAAGAGTTATTACTTTCTCTCCCCTATTATAATCTATAGTTTAAAGAGTATAAGTAGTTAATCTTATAATAAAAGTACTAAGGGAACTATATACTAAAGAGAGAACTATACTTATACTAGCTATATATAATAGTCCTAATCTAATAGAACTCTTTAAACTTCTACTTCTAAGTAAGATTATAGTATAAAGAGAGAATAAGAGGTAGTTTAAGCTATATAGGCTATTATTAAATAACTCTTATAATATTATAATTAAAATATATAACAGACTAAAGACCTTCTGGTCTATATATATAAAACTATATTATAGAGATAAATAGATTAAAAACCTAGTTCTAGAGAGTACTAATTTAGTAATATATCTAAAAGACCTCTTACTACTTATAATAAATAAGTAACTATAGAGAAAGAAATAACTAAGAGGCTTAAAGAATAAGCTAAAAGTATATATATAATATATAGTATAACTAGTTAGACTATATATAAGCTATATAATATATAAAGAGTAAAATACCCTTAAGCTAGCTAAAAAACTTTAAAAGAAAGGAATTATTATAATCCTAAGTACCCCCTTTAAGGTATCTATAATAGTAGAGATTAAATAACTTATTAAGATAGGAGTCTTTAAGTTTATATACTTTAATTAAGAAGTCTAGAGCAGCTAGTTATTTAAAGTATATATTATTAATAAGATAAAAAGCTAGAATATAAAGCTATATAAGAAGAGCTATTTAGTTATATAAGACTATAATAACTCAGATAAGAAAATAGTTCTTATATA